CTGATGTTGGTGCAGAAGTCGGTCCGGAAGTAGGTCCGCTAGTTGGACTAGATGTAGGTCCAGAAGTAGGTCCACTTGTTGGTCCAGCGGTGGGACCAATGGTAGGACCTGAAGTCGGTCCGGAAGTAGGTCCACTGGTTGGGCCACTTGTAGGCGCGCTTGTTGGTCCTGATGTTGGTGCAGAAGTCGGTCCGGAAGTAGGTCCGCTAGTTGGACTAGATGTAGGTCCAGAAGTAGGTCCACTTGTTGGTCCAGCGGTGGGACCAATGGTAGGACCTGAAGTCGGTCCGGAAGTCGGTCCACTGGTTGGGCCACTTGTAGGCGCGCTTGTTGGTCCTGATGTTGGTCCTGATGTTGGTCCTGATGTTGGTGCAGAAGTCGGTCCGGAAGTAGGTCCACTAGTCGGACCAGATGTAGGGCCACTTGTTGGTCCTGATGTTGGTGCAGAAGTCGGTCCGGAAGTAGGTCCGCTAGTTGGACTAGATGTAGGTCCAGAAGTAGGTCCACTTGTTGGTCCAGCGGTGGGACCAATGGTAGGACCTGAAGTCGGTCCGGAAGTAGGTCCACTGGTTGGGCCACTTGTAGGCGCGCTTGTTGGTCCTGATGTTGGTGCAGAAGTCGGTCCGGAAGTAGGTCCGCTAGTTGGACTAGATGTAGGTCCAGAAGTAGGTCCACTTGTTGGTCCAGCGGTGGGACCAATGGTAGGACCTGAAGTCGGTCCGGAAGTCGGTCCACTGGTTGGGCCACTTGTAGGCGCGCTTGTTGGTCCTGATGTTGGTCCTGATGTTGGTCCTGATGTTGGTGCAGAAGTCGGTCCGGAAGTAGGTCCACTAGTCGGACCAGATGTAGGGCCACTTGTTGGTCCTGATGTTGGTGCAGAAGTCGGTCCGGAAGTAGGTCCGCTAGTTGGACTAGATGTAGGTCCAGAAGTAGGTCCACTTGTTGGTCCAGCGGTGGGACCAATGGTAGGACCTGAAGTCGGTCCGGAAGTCGGTCCACTGGTTGGGCCACTTGTAGGCGCGCTTGTTGGTCCTGATGTTGGTCCTGATGTTGGTGCAGAAGTCGGTCCGGAAGTAGGTCCACTAGTCGGACCAGATGTAGGGCCACTTGTTGGTCCAGCAGTGGGACCAATGGTAGGACCTGAAGTCGGTCCGGAAGTCGGTCCACTGGTTGGGCCACTTGTATGCGCGCTTGTTGGTCCTGATGTTGGTGCAGAAGTCGGTCCGGAAGTAGGTCCACTAGTCGGACCAGATGTAGGGCCGCTTGTTGGTCCAGCAGTGGGACCAATGGTAGGATCTGAAGTCGGTCCGGAAGTCGGTCCACTGGTTGGGCCACTTGTAGGCGCGCTTGTTGGTCCTGATGTTGGTGCAGAAGTAGGTCCGCTAGTTGGCCCGCTTGTTGGTCCACTTGTCGGACGTTGTGTTGGCGCAGAGGTGGGCCCAGAGGTTGGCCCAGAGGTAGGGCCACTGGTTGGTCCGGCACTTGGTCCAGAAGTAGGTTTCCTGGTAGGTCCACTTGTTGGTTCAGATGTTGGAGTTGATGAGGGTCCCGGTGTGGGTGCGCTGGTTGGACCAGAGGTAGGTCCAGATGTGGGCTCATTCGTTGGTCCGCTTGTTGGACCTGATGTTGGGCCGCCCGTTGGTCCAGACGTAGGTCCTGAAGTTGGCCCGCGTGTTGGTTCAGATGTTGGGTCGTTGGTTGGTCCAGAGGTCGGTGCGCTAGTAGGGCTGGAAGTAGGCGCAGAAGTCGGACCGTTGGTTGGTCCAGAGGTCGGTCCACTGGTTGGCCCGCTTGTGGGTCCTAGTGTTGGCCGTAATGTCGGCCCATTGGTTGGTACGCTGGTAGGGGCGCTTGTAGGTCCTGACGTAGGACCGTTAGTTGGTAGAGATGTAGGTCCTGAGGTTGGACCGTTTGTTGGGCTCGATGTAGGACCTGGGGTGGGGCCAGCAGTAGGTCCACTAGTTGGTCCAGATGTAGGCTGCCTAGTTGGTCCATCAGTTGGTTCATCAGTTGGTCCATCAGTCGGTCCCGATGTGGGTCCGGAAGTAGGCCCAGAAGTCGGTGCAGTTGTAGGACCTGAGGTTGGTCCACTTGTTGGTCCTGGTGTGGGGCCAGAGGTAGGGCCTGCAGTCGGGGTAGAAGTTGGTCCAAAAGTTGGTCCTGATGTGGGGCTAGAAGTTGGACCTCTTGTGGGTCCCGAAGTTGGTCCTCTGGTTGGTCCGGCTGTAGGACCCAAAGTAGGCTCGTTTGTAGGGCCAGATGTGGGGCTGCTGGTGGGTCCACTTGTTGGACCAGCTGTTGGTCCACTCGTTGGAACAAAGGTAGGATTTGTTGTTGGTCCACTTGTTGGTCCCATGGTAGGTTCGGAAGTCGGTCCATTTGTTGGTCCACTTGTAGGTCCTGTTGTTGGACTTGACGTTGGACCTGCAGACGGGCCAAAAGTAGGAAAAGGTGTTGGTCCAGATGTAGGTCCACTGGTCGGAATTCTAGTCGGCCCAGAAGTTGGTCCACTCGTAGGCACACTGCTTGGCGCAGAAGTAGGTCCACTGGTTGGACCGCTTGAAGGACCAGATGATGGCATTGACGTAGGCCCTGAAGTGGGTACAGAAGTAGGTAGAGAGGTTGGACCCGAGGTGGGGTTCATTGTCGGCCCAGATGTAGGCCCTGAAGTTGGCAGACTAGTAGGTCCCGCAGTAGGAGGATTCAAAGTAGACGGTGCTGCTGACGGACTAGGATCGTAGATATAACAAGTCCATGTCGCAGAGCCCGAAGTGGCACCGACAGATCCTGTTCCAGAATATCGATCGTCGCAACCATTGGTAAAGATCAAAGGATCACATGTACTGACGACGTTTGAGTTCTCATTGTAGTAACAACGGCAACGTTTGTTGCCCGGCTTGTAGCTGAATCCAACCAAGTCGGTATCGTCCGCTTCCAAACACTTGTCAAAGCATTCGTTTGCGCTGTCAAGCGGCTCAGCTTCTGCCTGATCGTAAAACCTATCGGCAGTCTCTGTGCAAAATCCAGGCCCAAAAGAGCTAAAGCTCTGGGCGTTGCTAATGCGCACCGTACCAATCAAAACAAGAAAGATCCGCAAGATCATTGAGTTGTTCATGACTTCCTTTTGTCTTAGTCTAGAAAGATGATACAGAACAAAATGTTCAGATTCGATGGATCAATGGATGTGAATTTCTTTTTGGTCTCCAGCGTTGTGGGAATCTCAAATTGTAAGCATTGACCGTTCCAACTCACCGATCAACAAACGGCCACCAGCGAAACCGACAACACGCAGTTTCCCCCCAGTCTACGATTTGAATCTTGCACGTCACGATCGTTCTAGTATTGGTAATGTTGTGTACATGGAATGAATCGCGAGCAACTCTTTCCAAGATCCACATCGTGGGCACTCAGTTCCAATGCGTTGAATTCTACTGAGCCTAGGCGCCATACCGCATATCCATTGAGGTGCAGATGAATCGATATCTCAAAAGAGCATTCTTTTGAAACTCCTAGCAATCAACGGATGTAAAATATGTGATTCCGCACTTGAAATACTGAATTCTTCTCCACGCTTGGCATCGGTATGTTCAAGCTCCGTGCTGAAAATAGGATAATTTGTTCCACGGTACTGGTGTCAATAACTTTAGTACAAGTATTTTACAAGCAACATCATCAATTTTGTTCATGTTTGTTTGTTTCTCTTGTTCGCGATGCGCAAAATCGACTCGTTGGATCCGAAACGCCACGTTTGTACCATCTCATCCACGACTGATTTTCAAAAAAGATGGCGGCACGTCTGATTTCAGTTGTCGTTGTCAACAAGACCACAACACAAATTACAAGTACAAAATGTTTTCTAGCCTATTTCAGACCCAGCTTGGAGTCCAAAAAGTTGACTACTCCACAAAATATAATCTAGATGATTGTCTAAACAGTGCGGATGATCGAGCAAACAAAGTCAAGTTCCACAAGATTGGCATTCCTGAGTCGATTCATGCCGACAAGTCATGTTTTGTGATCAACCATGTCCTATCACCAAATGAATGTACGGGAACCATTGCACGAGCAGAAAACGCAGGATTCCGACAAGCGCTGGTCAATGTTGGCGGAGGTGAAATGCTCATGGAAGATTACAGAAATTCAGACCGCTGCATCATTGATGATCACACATTTGCCAAAACCGTTTTTGAGAGAATCAAAGGTATGCTTCCCGAAACGATTGAAGGAATGGATAGATGCACATGGAAATTGAAGGGTTTGAACGAGAGAATGCGAATCCTCCGCTATGGAGAGGGCAATTTCTTTGCGGAACACAGGGATGGAGCATATGGAAGAAACAGAAATGAGCAGTCATTCCTGACTATCATGATCTATCTCAATGATGGTAATAAGGACTTTGTCGGCGGTGCTACGAACTTTATTGCTTCTCCTCGAGGAGAACGAATTCATCGAATTATCAGTGAAGTTGTACCAAGAACCGGAATGGTATTGGTATTTGACCATCGATTGATGCACGAAGGTGCTAGACTTTTCAGCGGAAAGAAGTATGCTATCCGAACAGACGTCATGTACGAACGAACTGATGAAGAAGGTAGCACTGTACTAGACATGTCGTAAACATGAAGACGACTGAGGGCAATGTCACTCCACAACCGATGATAGACGTGTGATACATGATTAGAAAGGATAAAACAAAAGATGTGTTCTACTCGTACGATGCGTTTTCCGTTGTGTCTGCACTTGTGGTCCGTAGCTGTTGCAATCAACCATTCATGTCATTACTGTACTGTGTACTGTACTGTACAGTAGGCGGCGATTTAGATTGTCACTAAAGTAGTACGTTGTGGATTTGGTGACTATGACCGCATGACAAATTTCGATTTCCTTCGTAAAATCTTTTGCACCTGAATAACAATGACCGTTTCTCCACGGCCCTCCAGAGACGAATCCTTCATATTGGAGAAAGATTCATCACTGCGAAAATTATTTGATGGTTTAGCAGATCTCCACGACCAGTTTGAAGAACTTCAAAAGGAATCTTTCTATGGGATCCCCGAAGATCAAGGTCGGCGTGAAAGTACCTTTCTATCTGATGATGACGGGCTAGATGCATTACGACGTGAATTGGAGGGTATTTGCCTACCGGAATACCAAGAATGGCAACAAGAAGAGCGATCAGTGGAATCGATGCCATCCAAACGGCCTCGCTCTTCCATATCTTTACCGATTGTGTCCAAGATGGCAGACCACGAGAAAATCAACGACGTAATTGCCGCCCGAGAAAAAACAAACGGCATCCGTCTTGCGGAATCCTCTGCTGCTGCAATGGAAATGATTAAAGAAGATTCAGAGATAAGCGAAAATATTGGAATGACCCCCGATACAATGCTCAATGAACTTGGTGCTGTGTTGAGTAAATACGAAGTTCCAATGGGTCTTATGAACAAGCTCATGATGCTCAGTGAATTCGAAGTTTTGAAATTCATGATTGATGACGCGGGTAGCATGGCTCTATGCGATTCAAATATGAGAGGGAGCATAAAAGCCCCGCTATCTCGTTGGAATGAAGCCCAAGGACGACTCAAGGAACTACTAGAAATCTTGGCATATGTTCCCTTTCATCAAATTACAATTGAGTTTCTGAATCGATCAACTACGATCTCTTTGGAACGAAATGGTCGGAATCCCGCAGCCTTCTTGGCCGACGCAATTGCTCAAGTTGATGAGGAATTTGCAAAACCGCCCGCAGGAACTTCTTTGTTTTTGGAAAGGCTTACTCAATCGCTCACGGAATCTCCCGGAATCAAGATTGCCCGGTGGTACTTTGGTGATGGCAAACCACAAGGTGGTGATACGGCACAAGAGCAAATTGTCAACCTAGTAATGAATCGTGACAATCCGGCCGGTAATCCAATAACCTTTGTGAGTTGTACCAATGTGGATGACGACGTCGAATGGATGAAGGATTTAGAAGAGATTGCTCCGTTTTGTAGTGAATATGATGATTACCAGACCGAAGCTGGAGAAGTGTTGAGAGATCAAGGAATGGCCATGCCATATAGCAAAGGATTTCATTTGGTGGGAACCCTTGTAGCTGCAATAAACCCAGATGACCTGGATGCCATGGATGAGAGTGTACCGTTTACCAAGACCACTTTGGATAATCTTCTGGGCATTCAGCACACGGAAGAAATGTATCGTCACTATTTCAGATGTTTCCAAGTGGCACAGAGCAAGCGTCAAGTGATATCTGATGCCGACAGGTTGAAGAAGTCAATGAAATGGGACTATGATGAATTCTTCACGGCTTCAGGTCCTTCCAATATTCCTTCGGTCCAACGCTATGAAACGGAGCTGAAGCAAATATCAGCACCCTCCAGAGCCGATTCGTTCATATTGGAGAAAGATTCATCACTGCGAAAATTATTTGATGGTTTAGCAGATCTCCACGACCAGTTTGAAGAACTTCAAAAGGAATCTTTCTATGGGATCCCCGAAGATCAAGTTCGGCGTGAAAGTACCTTTCTATCTGATGATGACGGGCTAGATACATTACGACGTGAATTGGAGGGTATTTGCCTACCGGAATACCAAGAATGGCAACAAGAAGAGCGTTCAGTGGAATCGATGCCATCCAAACGGCCTCGCTCTTCCATATCTTTACCGATTGTGTCCAAGATGGCAGACCACGAGAAAATCAACGACGTAATTGCCGCCCGAGGAAAAACAAACGGCATCCGTCTTGCGGAATCCTCTGCTGCTGCCATGGAAATGATTAAAGAAGATTCAGAGATAAGCGAAAATATTGGAATGACCCCCGATACAATGCTCAATGAACTTGGTGCTGTGTTGAGTAAATACGAAGTTCCAATGGGTCTTATGAACAAGCTCATGATGCTCAGTGAATTCGAAGTTTTGAAATTCATGATTGATGACGCGGGTAGCATGGCTCTATGCGATTCAAATATGAGAGGGAGCATAAAAGCCCCGCTATCTCGTTGGAATGAAGCCCAAGGACGACTCAAGGAACTACTAGAAATCTTGGCATATGTTCCCTTTCATCAAATTACAATTGAGTTTCTGAATCGATCAACTACGATCTCTTTGGAACGAAATGGTCGGAATCCCGCAGCCTTCTTGGCCGACGCAATTGCTCAAGTTGATGAGGAATTTGCAAAACCGCCCGCAGGAACTTCTTTGTTTTTGGAAAGGCTTACTCAATCGCTCACGGAATCTCCCGGAATCAAGATTGCCCGGTGGTACTTTGGTGATGGCAAACCACAAGGTGGTGATACGGCACAAGAGCAAATTGTCAACCTAGTAATGAATCGTGACAATCCGGCCGGTAATCCAATAACCTTTGTGAGTTGTACCAATGTGGATGACGACGTCGAATGGATGAAGGATTTAGAAGAGATTGCTCCGTTTTGTAGTGAATATGATGATTACCAGACCGAAGCTGGAGAAGTGTTGAGAGATCAAGGAATGGCCATGCCATATAGCAAAGGATTTCATTTGGTGGGAACCCTTGTAGCTGCAATAAACCCAGATGACCTGGATGCCATGGATGAGAGTGTACCGTTTACCAAGACCACTTTGGATAATCTTCTGGGCATTCAGCACACGGAAGAAATGTATCGTCACTATTTCAGATGTTTCCAAGTGGCACAGAGCAAGCGTCAAGTGATATCTGATGCCGACAGGTTGAAGAAGTCAATGAAATGGGACTATGATGAATTCTTCACGGCTTCAGGTCCTTCCAATATTCCTTCGGTCCAACGCTATGAAACGGAGCTTAAACGAATAACAGGATATTGATGCCTTATCCAATGATCCCTTCCAAATACTTGCACTTTTAGTTTACAAGTGGTCAAAGTTATTCTAGAGAATAAAAATTAAAGTAAATTCTATGTTCTATTCCAGCTCTTTCCATAGATGTACCAGGTACCTGGTACCGGTACGGTGCAAAAGTACCAGGTACAGACAGCGTCTGCGAGTGACGATCGATTGATTACTATTACCCCAAGCGCATGCAGTTCTTATCCAATCTGATTAGTCCATTTCGCACATACGCATCCAAACATCCAACGAAGTCAGAAAGAGTCTTATTATTAAGGACTTCTTGTCTTCAATCCAAAAACGTGACAGCAGAATGAAAGCAAAACCAATCTGGACGGTAACGAACAGTGCAGCAAGAAAAATGGTGAAATCTGAGTTCACAAGTTTATCGAGAAACGCAGAACACATGAGTGTCGGTTCGAATTGCCCATCATGGAACCGTCATGCTACATCGGCAGTTCAGACACGCCTCTACCACTCGACGGGATCTACACCAGCTGAAGATGATCGAATCAGTGCACCTAGAGCTGCCAAGGCAGTGGGTCTACTTCCTACATATTTGGCCGATGCGCGAGCTGTGGAACAGTATTCACTATCGACTCCCAATGGAGCTCTTCAACTGAGTGTGGCTGAAAACCAGCTGCTAGAGGATTTGCTTGTGCCATCATTGACAGAGTTTTCGTCAACGCTAGCGTTCCCAGCAGACGCAATCTACTACCAGCCTACGCAGGGCCGAGAATCGTTTCGAAAAGCAATGGCAGCGTATCTTGAAGATATGTTAAAGCTGAGTAAACCAATGGACGCAGATGGAATTGTGGTGGGAGCCGGTTGCAATGCGGTCTTGGAAAATCTTTGCATCTCTTTGGCTGAGCCTGGTGAAGGAGTCATGATTCCGACGCCATATTGTGAGTTTGTCTAGTTCTTGTACCTCACCTTCACGACTGATCGTGATGAAATTCACTAAAGTCCTCTCCTCTCCTTCCTCCTTCAGATGCTGCATTCGAGTTCGACCTTGTTGCACGAGCCGGTATGTAAATTCAGCCAGTCTTTTCCTGTACTTCCTTGTCAAAACAGACTAACCAAAATGATATATTTTCAGGCTTATCTATTTCTCCCGTGACAACGATGGAGTATCAAGATTTTGATAGAGAGAGTAACATCATCCCTCACGAAGCGTACTATCCCAATCGGGCCTCTCTTGACGCGGCCGTGAAAATGTCACTCGCGAATGGCGTGAATCCTAGAATCCTTTTGCTGAGTCACCCTCAGAATCCCCTTGGAATCTGTTACCCACCAGAGGTTGTCAGCGAAATCATAGACTGGTGTAGAGAGAAAAAGATCCACTTGATTACCGATGAAATCTACGCTGGCAGTGTATACCGTGATGATGCCAATTTTGTTTCCGTTCTCGAGTTGGCCTCTACTGGAGATGGCGAAGCGTTGGGACTTGGCCCTTACATTCATTTGGTATATGCTCTGTCCAAGGACTTTGCTCTCTCCGGTTTACGTGTGGGCGCGTTGTACTCAGAAAACCCAAAAATTCGGGTCCCACTTCAAAAGTTGAATGACTTGTGCTGTATCTCGTCTCATACACAGCTTTTGGTGGAGAAAATGCTGACAACAGCCTCCGATGACCCAAATGTTTCTTGGACTCAGGGATTTCGCGCAACGAGCCACGAGCGATTGAGGAAACGCGGTGATGCGTGGCACAGCACTCTTGACGAGCTTGGTATTCCATACCTAAAGGGAACAGCAGGTCTATTCGTTTGGATGGACTTTCAAGAATTTTTGCCAGCGATGGGTTCTGATGACGAACGCGAACGAAAGCTATACTTGGAGCTCTTGAAGGAATTTGGTCTCTTGTTCACACCTGGAAGTAGCATGAAGAACGAAAAACCTGGTTTCTTTAGATGCGTGTTCACTGCTGCCAGCAACGAAGAGTTTGACCTTGGTATGAAGCGACTGAAAAAGTACGTTCATGCCAAGCGTTCTTAGACCTGTTGCTACTAATGAATAGAAGTGTTCAGACGACTCTAGTTTACCGCAACTTTTTGTACAACAGATAGCAATGAGGAGGATCAATTCTTCGGTAGTAGTTCTCTACCAATTCCCCTTTCTCAAATCCAAATTTTGTTTTGTAAAAGTTCATTGCATCCTCGTTGGAGATTTGTACGTGCAGCGCAATTTCGTCAACTTTTGAAAGTGCAGCGTCTTTTTCTGCTTCATAATGATCCAAAATCGATTGAATGAGTTGAGTGCCAATACCCCTTCCCCTGTAGGCGGCAAGGACACAAAGTGTCATTATATAGAGGCGTTTACGGTCGGATCCTTCTACGTTTTCAACCCTAGAACAAGCAGCACCAACGATATATCCATTCCAGTAAGCAAACTTGCAAAGGTCCTCATTCTTTCCTTTGACGACATTTTTGTAATAGGTTTCTTGGTATTGCACAGGAAAGCAAGCTAAGTTCACCTGTCTCAGCTAAAGATGACAAATGAGCAAAAGGGGAGTCAGAAACAGTCGACTTTCAAGCTTTCATCCAAAAAAAGTAACAACACAAGAATCCTGTCGTACCTGCTCAATATTGTCGTCAGTAATCTGGCCGAATTCGACCTCTAATTGCTTTCCCATGGTTGATGTTTTTTGCAATGAGCCTTTGACAGATGCAGGTTGCCCTGCGTTTGGGAGGCAAAGTCGATTGCGCAAATTTCGCGCGAAACGAATCGTTGTCTGACATCAGTCATCAATCTGTTTGATTGATGCAGAAAGAGTTGTCGTCTCCCGGTATGCAATAGGAAAAATGACTTCATTTCAATCTCTATTCCTTCTATCTTGGCTCATTGGATCAGTCTTTGGCTTTCAATCGCTTTTGCCACATTCCAAAAAGATTTCATGCGGTCAATCAACCTCAACAACCAAGTTGTCAGAAATTCAGGGAGATCCACTCCGAGACGCAACTGGAATTCGTCCTTCTCTCCACCCCACTACTATCAATGCGATCTCAAATGCTTTGAAAGCCCGTGCCATGAAAAAGGAAGGCGCTCACTTTCAGGCTTCCGACACTGTCGAACCACTGGAAGTTGCTGTCACAGCCGGATTATTTGCAAGCGAGGCTGTTGCATTGCGACAAAAATCATCCGAAGGAGATGGAATGACACTTGCACCAGAAGAAGAACAAACAATTGCTGGGAGAGTGGTTGGAGTGGTCATGAGATTTGATACTTTGGAGTCTTTACTTCATGAAAAGGTCTCCAACGTTGGGTGGATTGCAAAGTACGACGAGTGGGCTACCTTTGGTACACTGAAGGACGAAAGCGAAGAAGGAGCAGTAGATAACCGAATCAAAGATGATCCATTATTCTGCGTCAGTAGGGCAGAGTGTTTGTTGGCGCTATTCTTGGATACTGTGGAAGCTCCAACTATGGCAAAAGTCGGTCAAACTGTTCCTGACCAAAGTAAAATAGATTTCTTGGATGCCGATCGGATAGAAGTCCTGGTGTCAAGTGACAATTAGAAACGAAATATGAGCTCGCTTGTATCTGGGTTCTAGACGAGTCCAACGCCCACTATCCAACATTTATTCTTGTAGGGAAAAGCCAGTAAAGTCGGCAAGATTGGGCCATGACATATCCTAAAAAACAAGAGCATTGGTCAAATTATTGATTCGAAAGCTACTGTGTCAAGTTACTAAAAGCACATGGTTGTATAGGCATTTTTATTGGCAGCAGTTTTAGCAGGAATATTGTCGCAGGGACAAAGGGCGCAATACACCACTTTCATTAGTTGTGTCGACCGGTAGAATCGTTGATATCGACTCTCAGAATTAACTAAACTAGTCGTAATTGTCTTCGACACCTCCGACTAAAACCTGCGCTGGTTCGTACGTGTCGGAAGATATTTGAACGTTTCATGCTTGTTGTCATCGCATCAAAAAGAATATCACAGATCAGAGAACCCAGCTAGTTGTGGCATTTACATATCAGGTTGGATCCTTGAATGGATAGGAGGGAAAGCAAAGTTGAAAATGTCTTCACAACGAGTTCTGAATTCATCATTCCGTGCCCTTGCAGTGGGTGGCTCCATGTCCATGGGATCTTGGCTATACCAAGAAAACATTGGCACGTCGTCGGAAAACCGAAACACCTCACCGGATCCGAACAGAAGTGCAGATGTCTTTGCACCAGCCAATGTAATGTGCTCAGAAGCATCAGATATGATGATACAGGAAAGTTTATTCTCGCTTCTACCACGCCCAAAAATAACAATGATGGATGGAGCTGCTTACTCGAATGCGGCTGATCGCGACAAGACCGCAAAACCGACCAGAACGATAACCTACGATTTTGTCATTATTGGTAGTGGGAGTGCTGGCCAAAGTGCCCTGAAAACTTTGAAGGAGAAATGTCCCTCTGCACGGATAGCAGTGATCGATCCAGTCAGGCTAGCAAATGGAAAAGAGGGTAGGAGTGTGGATCACTACAAGGAAACAGCCACAGGATTCAATCCAAAACTGAAAACTGTCCAATTCATGGATGGTACGTCTACTCAACTAAAGTACAGACATGGAATCCTTTTGGCAACCGGGTCACGAGGAGCCCCTCCACCCTTGGAGCTCTTTCAGCTTTCCGCCCTACCCAGAGTATTCGAGTTGAAGACAACAGAACTCCCAGGAAACAGCATGAAGCGACCTGTACTCGCTCCAGAACATGTCCGAAGGGCAATACTTGGCTCAGCAGCGAAGGGTGCAAAAGTCGCTATCTTGGGTAGTGGATGGGATGTAAGTCACTCAACAATTTCGGTTTCACACTTGCGGATCAATCATTGTCGTTGTAGCATTGTCTAATGTTTTTCATTATGTGCAAAAGGCCCTCGATCTGGCAAGTGTCATTTCAAAACAAGGTCGAAGGAAACCAACGATGGTCTTTGGCAGTCAAGGGCCTGCTTGGAATATTTTGCCTCAATATTTAAGCTCTGAGCTTCGAAAACGCTTGGTAAAAAGAGGGGTTGATATACAAGATCGATCAATCGTACGGTATATTGCAGATATCGATCATTTTAAAACAAAGAAGATTGAAATGCACACTGCAAAGTCTTTTGATCTCTTGGATACTCAAAGAACAGTTTTGGATATGGTTGTCCTCGCACCGGATTCATTTGGAAACAAGGGTACAGCTGCATTACCAACCAGACAGATTCCTGAGAAAATGATAGAGAGTGGTGATGGGAGACCGTGGTACAAAACATGGGCCCAGCTCACAAAAACTGACGATCTTGAACCATCAATGATTGCGTGTTTTGAGGATGATGGCCGAGTAGTTGTCAATTCTGAATTGTGTGCCGCGTCGAGAGTGTATGCAGCCGGTTCTGTAGCGAAATATCCCAACTCTGCGACTGGAAGCTCGGCGATTGCAGGAGAGGGGATCCTTGACGGTACCAAGGCTGGTGAAGTTGCAGCAATAAACATGTCGAAGGATTTTTCTCGTGATTACGGATATGGCAGACAGGACGATGACATAAATTCGTTTGCGGCAATTTCATTGCCCGTTTGGCGTTCCGACCTGACTTCCTATCAAGGTATGGGGAGCGTGACTCCCTCATCTCTGGGTAGCTTGGGAATAAGAGCCCTTTGCGTCGGGAATTGCGACTCCGAAAAGCATGGAACTCGGAGCTTTTGGTGGACCAATTCCTCCGCATATCGAAAACTAAATCGCGCCTTTGAGGATGATTATGATGTAGGTTATGATGACGAGTCTACAAATGAGGAAGCTGCAGAGAAGCTGAAGACGATGCGTCGTCTCTCAATGCGACGTCTCTCTAAGAGAAAGCGCAAGGCAGGGGCCGGTAAACCGCTATACGGCACCGGTGTCGTGTTCTACCTGACCAAGAATGGTAGAATACGAGGTATTATGACCTGGGGATTACCTTTCACTTCGGGAGAAACTTCGGAAATCAATCCTGTGCTGCTGAAGCGCTTGAAGGTGATTCTTGCGTCGAACGCTGGTGTTTCCTCGTTGGATGCCGAAGAAAACCATCAGGAAATGAACACAGCACTTGCTAGAGCAAGCCAAGACCTTGTATCGATTGCGTTCAGAGATCAAGCAACGGATATCACACAAGAAACACACGGCCTGAATGGACCAATTTCTGGTTACTCCACGCCGCTGTACCGTTACACTGAAATTCTACCCGCAACGAGCTCAAACCTGAGTGTTTTGAAGAGAAAAGAAGGAGGAGCTCTTGGAGTAATGGGTGAAGACTTGTTTGCGCTGGACGTTATGCGTCTTGAAGAACCGGAAACGGCGATAGACGAGAATGATGTGGCTCCGTCCAATATCCCTGTTACTGTGTACCCGGTCACAGTCGTCCCGTTTCAAGTTGAAGAAGCCTACGGTTCTGAGGCTGCTTCGTTGTCATCCCTGAAAGAGTTAAACAAGTATCTGGCAGTGCAACGTGGCTGGGAAGAGAACGAGGAAAGAGCGCGGCCAGGAAAGGAGGATCTTTTGTGGCTTCGTCCAGGAGATGAGCGAAAGAGCTCTTCCAAAAAACAAATGATTATTGATGCATACAGAAGCATCATGTTTGCCCACAGACAGTAGAGTCCTAATATAACCCACGGTGAAAAGCCGAAGGTCCCATTGGTTGAAGAGGTCTGTAATCTCGTTTGGAAGTTAATCGCATTGGAAACATAGAGAGACCCCTGCACTCTGCTACGAATGAAAAAGTTTTCAACATTTATCACATCAGTTTTCAACAAAATTCCAATCTAGTTTTAGTTCTAGTTCTTGTACGATGGGTTCCATGTATCCAGTCTCTCTAGCGCCTCGATGACATATCTGTCTTCGCTATTTGCTTTTGCTTCTTCTGGATCCAGTCCGATCCAACGCCACCTACGAATGGATCTATCTGTGAGAGTTACCATTCTGCAACAAGCATCCATCGAGACAATTATTCGAATCATACTCACCGTTCGCTCTGGGCATCCAACACGATATCATTATCATCGCCTCCAAGTTCAACAAGAACGATTGCATTCACTGTCTGAGTTCCCTTTTCTTCCTGAGAATCCCAAGCACTGATTCAAGTGCAGCAGAAGTAGCACGGGTTAGATATTTGTATATCATCCATCACAAAACATAGGATCATGCTCCAAGGAGCAACGACAACTCACCTTGCTGGGAAGAAAGTGTTCCAGACACCGAGGCTGAAAATCGGACAGAATAGGTCAATGAGGAATATTTTTGTCACAATACAGTAAAAATAACAGCCCATAATCGACCTTACACTTGGATCGGAGTAATGCTTTTCAAACCAGTCTCTTGTTGCGTCTTTCTCTTTGCAGCATCAAAGAATGTTTCGCCCTTCAGCAATCTACCTCCAGGCCACCACCATACTCCTTTGGCTGGCTCACTGGCTCTCTCCACCAAGACGCATTGTTTCTTTCCAGTTTCCTTATCCCTGCGAACAACGACAATGTCGACACAACAAACGACACACTTTCGCACCAATTCCCCATAGACATCGGACGGCAAGAACTTTCGAGAATCCGTGATGGTGGTCAGCTCTTTCTCGTCTCCGTAAAATAGGGAAAGATCCTTTCCTTCCGCGGATGCACCATCTATGTGTGTGCAATCGAGAAAAAGATTTGATGAGCGAATATAAATGACAACGATTCTAAATAGGTTGGTCATTGGTTTCAAACGTACCGTTTCTGCCAGTCTTTTTGTTCAAGGCATCGGAGACTAGAAGACAGGCAGCAGCACCGGCAACAAAGCAGGCGAAATTAATAACCCGAGGGTCCGACATTGTGATTTGTCTCGTGTGTTGTATTGGTTTGGTTCTTGCTTCTATTTTTTTTCTTGTGCCGTCCAAAAGAATCATGACTGAAAAACTATAGTAGCACCTCACAAAAAAGAGTAATGTACTGTAATATATTGTACATTTAACATTTAACAAACTAACTATCTAACTATCTAACCACAGGAAATGAGCTGATAGTACTGACCGATTCCTGGAGAAGTGACTCGTGTGAAACCGTCACTGAAAGCGTAAGAGAACCCAGTGTTGGGAACATTCACCTGACTGTTGATGGCAATTGTGACAGATTTCGTATACAGTGTGGATCCACCAACTGCATATGTACCATAACTGCCAGAACAAGGATTACCAAAGCAATTCCCATTGCATGGATTGCCAACGCAAGTGTCTTGTTCGTACAGGATATCGATGGTAGTTGGGGCTGACGGCAAGAAATCGACAAAGAGGTTGACAAAATCCACGCCAACCTTAGTCCGAATGATCACAGACCACGCAAAGTCTTGTGGGTTTTGAGCATTGGGACAATAGTCTATAAACACACTCGCTTCACTTTCCGTCATTTCCACATAGATTTCCTCAAGTCCGGCTCCGTTGGGAGGACAGGAATTCCTTTGGGTAGAACAATGGAACGGAACACCTGGAGACGGTCTTGGAGTGACGGGCATAAGTGACGGAGTAGAGCTTGGAATAGCTGATGGAGCCAGTGTTGGCTCTTTCGTTGGTGGAGGTGTTGGAGCGACAGTGGGTGGCGGTGTCGGAGGTTGAGTGGGCCCTGGAGTTGGTGGTGGAGTTGGAGGCTGTGTTGGGCCTGGTGTTGGTGGCGGCGTTGGCCCGGGAGTCGCTTGAAGAGTCGGAGTTTGGGTAGGCCCTGCAGAAGGTGACACGGATGGTACTGTACTCGGAGATGGGGATGGCATTCCAGTAGGATCTTTGGAAGGAATCTGGGAAGGCACCTGTGACCCAGCCACAGTTGGTTCCGCACTGGGAGCGACACTAGGTGCGGTTGTTGGCTGCAAGTTGTTGAACCTCGTCACCGTAATGGCGCTGAATGGAGGATCACTGAGTCCCAATACATCCAAGAGAGTGCCCGCTTCCTCAATGGCTGCAGTATATACCCCAATGAGTTCGAAACTCTTGGCATCCGAATCTTTGATAAAAAACTCATGGAATATGTAGATGCGCTTGCAAGTTCCCGCTGCAGGCTGAGTATTACACTCCTCATCTGTTTCCTCACGGGCTTCGATTTTCGCATTTGCAATCAAATATCGGAGGCTATTCAATCGACGACGACGACGACGACGACGGTCTCCTCCTCCTTTCAGATACCGCGACGTTCCGGCAGCATCATCACACCCCACCAAAAGGGGAACAAAACTGGATTCCATCTGATCAATGAGTGCACCTTGCCATTCCGAAAGGGGCATATCAATGCTGAGTTCCACATCCAATCCAATGTCAAAGGTTCTGGATTCCAAAGTTTCTTGATCTACAACATCCTCTCGTTGTCTAACCGCTTCGCAATCGCTCTCCTCCGGAGGTGGAAAGGCGAGTGGTTCCGCAGTGGGCGATGTCGTAACTGCAATGATAGGCGCTTGGGTAGGAGTTTCCGTCGCTTCCACCACTGGACTAGCGGTCTCGTCGCTCGGACCACTACCACCATTGTCCACTCCATCTATGGGTTCTTCTTGTACTGCCACAGGTTCTTTGGCGGCAGGTCTTAGGGCAAAAAAGGCTCCCACACCCCCGGCAATGGCAATCAACACGACCACCAACACGATGCATTTCCATTTGGATTTGGCAGGTGGTTCTTCTGGTTCTCCATTGTTCTCTTCAGTGTCGGGGGAAGCTCCGGCAAAGTTGGGTGGTTTGGGTTGATAGGGTCGTTGCTGAGGTTGTTGTTGTTGCTGCTGTTGCGTCATTGCTGCCATGCGCTGTTGGACTTGACGTTCTACTTCTTGTTTCTGGTCGTTGTCATCTTCGACGGTTTCCGCTTCAATGGCCAAGGCAGCGGGAATATCTTCTTCACCAACTCGTGGTTGTGGTGGTGCGGATTCTTCCGGAATGCTGTTTCCAACAACGCCTGGACCAGCCGCTGGTCTCGATCCATGTCGCGCACGGCGTTTGGCTTCTTGATCGGCAGAACTGGAACCGGTACGAGAACTAGAACGATTGGGCGATCGATGGGGGGATCGATGTCCATGGTTGGCCGTTTCGCGACGTGCTTTGCGGCTTTCTCGATTCTCTTCGCCCGAAGTCATCGACTGAACCCCGGGAGTGGCAGCACGGGAAGAACCCTTGGCTCGGCGTTTGGATTCGCGATCGCCACTGCTGCTGCTGCTATGACCCGCCGAAGTGCCATGGGATCTGTCTCTTCTAGCTCGATCCTTGGCTTCCTTGTCTTGGTCCGGTCGTCGCGAGCTACGGACTGGACTGCGATCTCCTCGAGTGGCTGAACGAGACTGTCTGGCCTTTCGTTTGGCCTCTTTGTCCTCTTCGTCGCGACTGCGAGAACTTTTGCTACTTTTCTTCTCTTCGCCCATGGTGGTGGTGGTGGTTATTGCAAAGTGAGAGCGATTATTGAACGAGTCAGTCAATTTCCGAATTTTGGTAGTTTCGAACTACGAATACAAAAAAGAGACTGCGCAACCAAGATTTGATTATTAATTATTCGCACTCACTTTGAACGGAAACCAATGCTTAGGAAGCTGGTGTCCTCACGACATCCCGGAGTTTCGCACACCGTCTTTTTGACAACCTCCATGAAAGAAAGTGGGGAAGAGAACTGCATACAACCGCCACGAGTGAGTGAGTGGTGGGGTCTCCGCAACCAATGAATGGTGATGGTTCCAGGGTTTGAAACCATTTGTGGAGAAAACGAGACTGGTTTGCTTCATCTCTAGCCCATCCATTATTATTAAAATCCATCCTTTTGCCCACCTTTGGCGTTTCCTGGCAGACTGTGTTGTATGCATTCTACAAGAAAAGATTTACATACAACATATATATCATGCAACGATGGTTTGATTTTGTTGACAATTGCCTCTTCTATTTATTTTTTATGTTGTATTATAACAGCAGGTGTAGTTGCTTTTTTGCGATGTTTGGACACGAAGAAGGAATGCATGAGTGGTTTTGATTCAATCCTCCACTCATTCCTCCAAAAAGGCCGTCGTTCCATATTTGCGCATGTACTGCAGGAGATGACGACTGAATGAGGCTCGCTTGTTATTGCTACCGTACAGTATCTCTCCGCTGTGATACGGTGTGCGAGGAATGGTCCAGCATGGATGATAACGGACTCCATGACGGACATCAAACAACATGTCGGATTCTTCAGGGGCATTGCGCCAGTCCTTGCCTTCCCATTGCCTCTCGAATCGGTTGCGTACAGCATGGGCCTTGATCTCTTCTTTGGAACGCCACATGGCATTGCGCTCTTCTTCTGTGTAAGACGAATGGTGTTCGATGGTGCGGACTTGGACCTGGTCATGGAAGTGGACCTTATTGCTGCGCTTGTCGTTGTTGCTACTACTGCGATTCGAACGAGGGCGTTTGGATGGAGGACCTTCCAGTGCAAGGTAGCAACGAATTTTTCTCTTCAGGACGAAATCACTCGCACTGGCGAGCATTTTCAATCCGCGAAAGAGACCAGTGCGAACCACACGGTTGGAGTTATTGGAGTTATAGTTGGCGTTGTTTTGGTTGTTTTCCATCATGATTCTCTGTTTGTATAATGGTGGCAATTGTCTGTTTGTTATTAAAGTAGTGGATAGTGAGATAGATGCAGCAACAAGTGTCGACTTTTTGGTTTATGTGGGGCAGCCATGATGGTTGAAAGGTGCATCGTGTTGGAAAACACGATGGTGAACGACGTGATGTGGAAGATTTTGGAGCCGTCAAGAACAAATTGCGAGTTTCGAAGGTGTGATTGATTGATTCATCGGATTCAAAATTTGAAGATTTACTCTTGGTTTTGGCGATAAAACGAGATTTTGTTCACCGTGTGATTGATTCATCGGACTCACCACGTGTTGCGGTTTTGGAAGATCTTGCTCGTGAGAAACTGACAACCGTCACGCTAGTACTACAGTCTACTGTAATTGTACAGCATTGCAACCTTTCCTCGTTGTATTTGAGTGCATGCATCATGCATCCTCTTTTACTCGTTGTCGAAAATGGAATGAGCGAATGAACGAAAAGAAAGGATGGCTCAGACCAGTTAGTTCTGGCAATCAACAACAACAATCAACAAGAAGATGGCGTTTTCATGGAGTGGTTTCAACACCAAACGTCAACCTGAAGCCCATCCTTCTAGGCTAGAGGCTTGTCAATACAGTTGAGTGTGAAAGAAACAAGCAAAGTGAAACGATAGGTTTGATAAATAAAATGATTGTCCCCTTGGTTGTATAATAAATTTACAGTTCTTCTAGTACCCGTTCCGGTACGTGTACCCATCTTGATTTGGTCCCAACCTTTTAACACGAGACCATCTATTCGTCGTCCGAGGAATCATTTTCAACATCAGAGGAATAGTCATCCCCAACCCAGCATGGGTGGATCAACTCCCCCGTCTTGGCATCAACGAACATATCGTCGTCCTCGACGACTGTTCGCCAATCTTCTCCCTCGGCGTCAAATTCCGAATGATTGCGCCTCGCATTCCTGCTAATCTCTTTCTTACCACCCCAGATAAGACTTCTATCCTGAGGTGAATAGTCGTGACGAGATGGTATTTCAAAAACCTTGACGTCTCCAGAGAATCTGAGCTTGGCTCGTTTCGCAAACGTTTTCGTTCTCTTGCGACCCTTGAGCCGTACCTTACGCACGGTTGGACGTGCCGATGGCTGGTGCCAAAGTTTCATTCTCTTTGGTCTGTTGAAACCGTTTGCATTTTCGGAAGTTTCCTTCTTGGCAATGTGCTTGGATGGTGGTACGCCGAGGAGCGCAAGATTGCAGAAAGAGATGGTGTCAGCATCCTTGTTGTTGGTTTGGTTGGTGACTCGGTTGGTTTGGGTGTTCATTTCGAGCAGTTATTCGTGTTGTCAAGAAAAGTGTGTGTGTGTGTGTGTGTGTGTGTGTGTGATGTTGGGAGGTGCAGCAACAAGTGGTTGCAATTTTATGGCGGTGGAGAAACACATGATGGTCGATAGGTGCATCGTGTTTTTAACACGGTGGTTTGATGGATCAAGCAACGAAAACGAATGAATCGAAGTGGTCGACTCAACATGATTTATATTTTGCGTTTGGCTTGAATCGCATCGAATGGTATTTGGATCTGGTCATTTGATGATGATTCATCAGCGTTGCTGTGAATTCCATCATTATCATTACTCACATCCTCGTCGTCTTGTAAATCCTCTTCAATCGAGAAGTGCGGGTGGAGGAAGACCAGCGGTTGTTGATGTTGTTGTGGAATCCTGCTGTTAGTTCGAAGCCTTTATTCGAAAGCTTCTCTTTAATGCCGCAACTGGTGACCACATTTCCGTTTTATCAAGAATACAGCTTGAAAGATTCAAAAGGGAATGCACCAACATCTGCGATCAATTCGATTTCCATTCGTTGTTTGTCCAAAAGTGCTAATCGTGAAAAGGAAGCTCAAGGATCAATAGGTTTTCCAAAACTTTGCAGTAACCACATCTTGTTTCACTTGCTATCAGATGGTAGACATACAAAAAGGTACCGGAGGATAACCTTTTGAATGGTCCACACATCGTCATTCGAAGGTAACTAATGGATAGTGCTTTGGACATCATCATGACTTGATGTTTTCAGGAATCGCTATTTTTTTTGGCAGAAGCCTCAGTCGAATAATCCCTTTTACCGTTGCTTCACTTGGATCTGGGATCACTTTTCCTTTTTGCAGCACCTCAAGGAACGCTTCTTCATTGGCCAACCGGTATGCAATTCTGCGAGTCCAGTTCATCAGTTGCTTCTTCCGTTCATCTGTCAAAGATTTCCATGGATATATCTTTCTGGGTATCTCTGAGGGTCAGCATGTCTTTTCGAAGCCTCGTTTGGTGAGAATTTCTATCAGCGTCGCTTCGAGAACTTGCAAGTCCCTTGCCTCACTATAATCCGTCGGTTCACTCTGATTCTCATTTTCGTCAGCTTGCTGATCATAGTGATGGTTTACAACTTGCTTTCGCTTTTTAGTCGTCGGTGAGGATTCTTCTCTTTCACCTGTGACACTTCTTTTCCTTCTCTTCATGGAGGTGTTTCTGCTTGTCTTCTCGGTTTGTAGTAACGATGTGTGTGGGTAAAAAAGATATTTGTTCGACAATGAAGATTCAATCAATCGATCAATCGTCCGAAATTAGCGTCGGACATAAATATTGTCGGACATGACCGAAGGTGACAACGGAGACAAATTTTGGTGGTTTTTATTTTATACTAGATCCCCCGGGGAGAAATGAAGGGGAGAGAGGAAGAAAGGAAAAGGAAAGAAAAAACGAAGAGAGAAGAAAAGAGGAGAAAGCAATAGGATTGCAATGAAGGGGCTCTACAACACAGTGCTGGTTTCATGCATGGCGTCGCAAAATGACATACGCTATTATCCTGGCGTTAGCCAGGATTTAGACGGATTTAGAACTAGGTAACAATCCATGAATGTTTGATGTGATAATTGATGCGTCTGAACCGCCTGCAGCTAGTATTGAAATGATGTCCAAACACCTCTAAACCAATAACAATATCTACTGTCCCTACATATCGAAGAATAGGTCGAGACTCGGAGGCTCATCGCGCCGCGATTTTTGGTGTCTCGAATACTTCAAGATTGGAAACATGAAAGTGATGTCAGTGTATATAAAGAGAGCGTAGCCCGATCTTGTGTCGACAACAAACCATTTGGAAGGAAGGTGAATCAAGGCATGAAATACTGCTCAACTCTAGCAGCTGATATTATTGCTATGATACTATTGAAACGCTTACTTATGCGAGGCTTGCGAGAACCAGCCAGTATTGGATTCGATAGACAATCGGCGGTGTCCTCAATGGACTCAATACTTAGGGAACCAAGCAAGATGAGTAAGGGCCACCACAAAGCCCGATTTCATCGCAAAGAGAGTAAATACATGTTCTACGATTGAAGGCATGCAATAATCAACCGGTTTTGAGTAAGATTCACAGGCGAACATATAGACAGAAACCTTTCATGGTTCCTTGTTGGCAAAAGCCGCGATAGGAAAGTCTGTTACAGTATAGTCATATATGATGCTTTCAGATTCGGGTATTGTACATTCTACTCTGACGGCAATACAATCAACCTTTTTGCACCCGTTTGAGACAATGACTTGATTCCAAAGGTGAAGAGAATCCTACCTATACCGGTATCAGCAGTAGATTTTAATCTGCCATCAGAGAGGAAGACTGAACGATACTCGATAATACATAGTAGTACTCTATCTGCAAGATTGAAAAGTCAGTTTCTATTGTTTGATCTATCTATTACCTCATGTAGTACCAGTCAATCATTTCAGTTGCCAACCTACCACTCCATTCTTCAGGGCAGGTAGAAGTGATCCTAGGGGATCTACAGCGCTTCCTCATGATCGAGGGCTAAGGTTGGTCCTTGAGACAAGGTGTTTAGTAGTTTGATAAGACAAAGAGAAACCGCTATGGCCGTATGGAGCTTGGACCTAACATCCCCCTAACATCATTTGAAGTCTGCGGAGTGTACTCATTTAGTGCGGAAGAGAGTTAGTCGAATCTATCATTAGTGATAGAGAGCTGTGATTGGCTCATACCACTAAAATAATAGACTCATCTTTAGTGAATCGACTAACTCTTATTGGCTAAAAATTCACTAAAGACTGAGGGGCAATACAAGCGAGTACCAGTACCGCAACGGCATCTCATCGTTGATAAAAGATTACGATCAAATGAATGGCCATTGATCTACAGCTGCTAACTTTAAGGCATCATGTTCAAGAAATTTGGATACGAGACGACAAGGGCAACCTCGGACAAAAGCAAAGATGTAGCCCCATCACAAACCCAAAAGAAGAAGTCACAGGATTTGGACAAGAGAATAGACGCCAGTATTAAGAGCATTCAAGATATGCATCACCAGAGAGAACACAATGCTCCACGTCTTGGTCATGATGGAACAGCAGAACCATCCATAGAGGCACCGGAACCAGCAATTCGACACTCGGAAGAAGCACCCGCGGCATCGAAACGGAATAGTCGATTAAGATCGAGGAGGAGTGTGGGTGCAGCTGATGGAGAAAGAATTAAAACAGTGGCTGATGGGCCTAGCAAGCGAATATCGGATGGTGCTGGTAGACGGCGATCAATTGGTATGACCAAAACAACAAAGACGGCAGTACCATCATTGGAGGCTTGGGCACACTTTGAAGATGAGCGCAAAAAGGCAGCTCCAGCACCAACGCCTTCAAAAGGTAGACGGGCTGCTGGGAACCGAAGAGCGACAGCGAAAACAAACCAGACGAGACATGCGGAAGATACGAATATAGTGTGGCGCAGAGAACCTACAAGAGGGCGCAGAAAAGAAATGGCTAGATCTCCGTTTCCAAGGAATAGGATCACAACACAACGAGCGTCACGCAACCGAAGCCGGAGCAGATCCGATCATAGCCGGGATTTTGAAATGTCTCCTGACAGTTCGAGTTCACCAAACCACGGAAGAAAATCAGTTCCGATTTCAAACAGAGATGATGCCGACGGCATATCAAAGGCACCCATAGTGGAAATCAAATCGGATGTGATAGACAACAGTACGCGCTCTGACATGACATCGCAGAGCGAACCAAGGGTATGGAGAAATCGTCGTGCTACTAAGGGTCCGATGCCAATGCATGCTGGAAAACCACCACCAAAACCATCGCCAGAACTAGAAGTGGAATCTGGTGTTGCTTCGCCATCGGCTACTCATGAACGACTATCTGGCAATCGTGAAAAGCGAAGACCTTCTCATGACAGAGCTATCGTTATTTCTCTCGGCAGTTTAGGTTCAAACAGATGGTCAACAAGGGGAGAAAGGCGGTTGATTCGAAACACTGACGCAGCTGAACTAGAAAGTAATGATGCTTTGGATCACAGCAAGCGCTCTGTAGATCCCGGGATGCAGATGTCATGGCGACAAGAACCAATTGTACGCAGACATGTTGGGTCAGTGAAATCAATGCGTTCTGGTAAAAGAGAAATTGTACCAAAAATATCCGTAGCCGATGGCCCAAAACTGGAAAGTAGCAAGGACGATAGTTTGGATCGCCGCAAACGCTCTGCAGAAACGCAGACAACATGGCGGCGGGAACCAAGCGTACCAAAAAATCTTGGCTCAGTCACTGTCCCGGTACCAATGCGCTCTGGGGGGAGACTATCAAGACCATCTGGAGTTGATGACTTCAAATTTTTGTATGAGCTGGAGAGTAATAATGACGACGGTTTTGAGCGCTCTATAGAAATGGAAATAAGATGGCAACGGGAACCAAGTGTACGCAGAAATGTTGGGTCAGTGAAACCAATGCGTCCCGGTAAGATTATAATGGTACCTAAAATACGCGCAGCTGATGGCACAAAACTGGAAAGTAGCAAGGAGAATGGTTTAGACCGCAGCAAAGACTCTGTAGAGACCGAGATAACATGGCGGCGAGAACCAAGTGTGCGAAAAAATCTTGGGCTAGCTAATACTCCGGTACCAATGCGCTCTGGGAAGAGACTATCAGGACCATCTGGAGTTGACGACTTCAAATTTTTATCTGAGCTGGAGAGTGGCAGGGAAGGTGACTTGGAGCGTAGCAAACGCTCTGCAGAAATGGAGATATCATGGCGACGGGAACCAAGCGTAAGAAGAAATCTCGGTGCAGGTAAAGCTCCGATATCAAAGTATGATGGAAAAAAATCGTCAAACACATCCGGATCTGAAGGTGAAAAACCAGCAAATATCGCTGATGGGCTTGAGGATAAGAACGATTCTTTGGATCCCAGCGCAGAAATGCAAATAACATGGCGACGTGAACCAAGCATACGAAAAAATCTTGGGCTAGCTAATACTCCAGTTCTGGTACCAATGCATTTTCTCAACATGTCTGAGCTGGAGAGCGGTATGAGCAGTGGCATCAGCTCTCCAGACACGGGGATGACATGGCGGCGGGAGCCAAGCGCACGCAAAAATCTTCGGGTGGCTAAAACCCCGTTGCTGGTACCAATGCATTTCCTCAAAACGTCTCAGCTGGAGAGTAGGAATGGCGATGGTACAGATCGTATCAAAGACTCTCTAGAAACGGGGATCACATGGCGGCGGGAACCAAGTGTACGAAAAAATCTTGGGCTAGCTACGACTTCGGTTTCAATGCGTTCTGGGAAGAGACCATCAACAAGACCATCTGGAGCTGATGACTTCAAATCTTTATCTGAGCTGGAGGGTAGCAAGAACGATGGAATAGATCCCAGCAAACGCTCTGCAGAAGTGGAGATAACATGGCGACGGGAACCAAGCGTACGAAAAAATCTTGGGTTGGCTAATCCTCCGGTACTGGTACCAATGCGTTTCCTCACAATGTCTCAGCTGGAGAGTAGGAAGGGCGATGATACAGATCGCATCAAAGGATCTGTAGAAACAGGGATCACATGGCGGCGGGAACCAAGTGTACGAAAAAATCTTGGTTTAGCTACCACTCCGGTACCAATGCGTTCTGGAAAGAGACCATCAACAAGACCATCTGGAGCCGATGACTTCAAATTTTTATCTGAGCTGGAGGGTAGCAAGAACGATGGAGTAGATTCCAGCAAACGCTCTGCAGAAGTGGAGATAACATGGCGACGGGAACCAAGCGTACGAAAAAATCTCCGGTTAGCTACTACTCCAGTGCCAATGCATGATGGGAAGAGACTACAAGTACCATCCGGAGTTGGTGACCTCAAATTTTTATCTGAGCTGGATAGTAGTGAGAACACAGAAATGCAGATAACATGGCGGCGAGAACTGAGTGCACGAAGAAATCTTGGGCCAGTGAAAGCTCCGAAATCCATGCGTTCTGGAAAGAGATCACATAAAGCATCCGGAAACCGACCACAGCAGAATCGAAACAAGAATGGCGGAGTGGAATCTGCTGGCAAATCGTTACGCGAAAGATGTATGATTCAGCGGGCGAATTCATCCGAAGGACATGCACTTGTTCTCTCGGGCGCTATTGGTACAGATAGTGATCATGTCAACAAAGATGGAATCGGAGAAATCGCGAAACTGTTGGAACGAAGTAACAGGCTCGAGAAAAAGAACGGAAGCCGCAAGGTAGAGAATGGGCACTCAAGAGTACGTAGTCGTCGACGTGCAAGGTCACCGGCGCCAGAAACAAAACAACACGCAGCTGCGACCCATTGGCAACGAAACCCACCAAGCATCGTATACTAAACAAGAAACAGGGTAATGAAAAAGAAAGGGGTAATGAAAATGTTAGTCACACGAATCGTACGCGTATAGTAGTCCTGCCGGCAACCAGTTGACTACCGTAGTAAATCTTATGGCGGGGATCTACTATCTGAAAATTGGCAATGATAAAAGAAAAGTACTGGTACCGGTACCGGTACCGGTACCGGAGATTACTGTAGGGCACCGTAAGTCCTCAATGAACTCATCCGAAGGAGATTTAGTACGTGCTCAACCAGGCTATTGGTACCGGTACTGGTACCTGGTATTGATGAGGTCATCATGTCAGCGCAAAACTACATTATCTGAACGAAGTAACTGCTTGGAGAAAAAGAGCGAAAGCTGCAAGGAGGTACTTGTTGAGAACTGGGCACTGTACCGTACAGTACGTAATCGTCGACTTGCAATGTCAAGTGCCATGGTACCGGTACCGGTACCAGGTACCAGTCGTAGCCACCAAGATCGGATCATTTGTGTAACACATGAAGGATTCTTCGATTTCGAACAGGGTGATGAAAAAAGCTGTAGTCACCTATTTTTGCATAATTGGCCCGGCGGTGCTCGAACAGGTATGACCATCACTGTTCTACAACTTCAACATATTTTGACCTCTGTAATAAATCTTAAGGTGGGGGGATTTATCAAATTCTCTTTCTTATTTGGAATATGGAAAGTGCCGGGGATTAGGGGCCAATACCTTACAAGTATCTGGCAAAAGCAAGACTGGTAGGGAAACGTATGTAGAATATTACCAGCGTCTTTCGAGAATGTCGTTGCGACAAATTGAATTTACCGGTTTCCTGTGCAGAAGTTTAAAAAAAGAAGTCCATTTTTTACCGGTACATTTCCATCGCACGATAGTGTACTTACTATCTTACATTTCTTGCTTGCTACAACCATGACCGTGTTTCAACAGAAGGAATACACGCAGATGTTGGTATCGAATGCCAGTTTGTCTTTGGGATCATTGGATCTTGAAGAAGAGTCCTCCGTGGAATCCAGTGACGATGAAGAGAGAGCGTCTCGGCAAAGGGCTTTGCTCGATGCCAAGCTTTCCAAGACCTTCAGCACCATAGCGGAGATAAAGAAGAGACGGACATGTTCCATCGATGAAGGACCGCCTGGATTGCTAGCAGAGAGCAACCACTCTAATGCTGATTATGTACGGCGCAGAGCTTCCAGGGAACAAAGAAAGAGATCATCGGGACTATCCGCATCTGAGCACTGTCCAGCTGCAAAGGAGCGAAAGGAGGAGACCCCTGATCTTTCACTTACTGTCCATGGTCCAACACCGCCAACACCACGCACTCGTATTAATCGCAACAGCGACCTCGACCTCGACTCGTTGCGGACAGTGAATCTGGATCCTTTGAAAGCAGCAGATATCAGACGAAGACGAAATTCCCTAAGCAATGAACCCTCCGCTGAAGACAAGCGTCGAGCACGCTTACTTGTCAATCATCATCGAAGACGAAGTTTAGCTGGTGGTACGGTTGATGGAGAGGGACAGCAAGAGCGCAACTCTAGAGAACTTGTTGGAGAGAAGGCCGAAACGAGATCAAGACTACAGAAACGAGCCAATTCGAAGAGAACACTTTCCAACGATAGTGATGCCTTTGGTTTCGTCGATGAATCTTCTGAAGCAAAACAAATGATGGATAGAACTAGCTCATCGAAAAGGCTTTCGGGCGGTAGCGCCTCTGGCCCTAAAGTACCCGAATCGATTGAGCATAGAGATTTTGTACGGAGAAGTGGCTCGAGACGAACCCTTTCAAACGATAGTGACACTATTGGATTCCACAAAGAATCGCCTGGCCCGAGAGTGAGGGTGCAGAGAAGCAGCGTCAGGAGGAAGCTTTCTATCGAACTTGGACCAATTCGGGCTGACCCATCACCCTGTGTCCGAAAGCAAAAGATTGCTTCTTCACTAGTGTTGTCGGAACTTGGTGTTTCCCGTCGTGATAGTGGATCCAATGGACTGAGTGCTGCTAATCGACGGAGGGATTGTGCCCGTTATAAGAGTTTCCGTTTGTCAGGGAACTCGAACGAAACTTGGGATCAGTCTCCACCTGACAAAAAAAACTTCACATGGACCTGGAGGAACGATGAAACGGAACCCACGCTTAGACGGTCCAATACATCGAACACCTCTCCATCTCAAATTCGAAGTGCTGTGAGCAGTATTTTGAGAGCAGAGTCTTTCACCTCGCCACCGCAAAATGCAAAAAATTCCAGACGCTTGTCCATGCCATCAGGTTCAGACCTTAGCCGAACGGATCATCCAATGTCCTCTTCGAAATTGTCACAACGTAACAAGCAACCAAAGAAATCCCCAACGAGAACTTCCAAGTTTGCAGACTCTTTGCTATCCCCTGCAGCACGTAGAAGAACTACTACACGCTCCAAAGAGACGATAGGTCTTCCAGGCGGAAGAACTCAATCATTAACCAACCTTCCCCTTGCCATCACCGACTCCAAAACCAAATCCAATCGAAAGAAGGGCAGAAGCTCTGCCAATCTACGGCGGCAAGCATCCAGTAAGACGACTAGAATCTCACCTTTGGAAACAAACTGCTTCGAGACATCGGGTGGCGTAGTCAACAAGAATTGCATTGGAGCCATTGCCATGGTTCTGAAACAAAGCAATGAGGCAAAAGAAGAGTTGGAATTCCAAAAGGAAGAAGAGCGTGAAGCCAAGCGATCCCATGTTCGGGCGAGAAGGCGTCAGCTCAGTGTCGAATCGCCTGCAGCGAGGATGTAGGGCAAGACATCCCGCACCGTTTCAAATTTTGTCATCTTAATATAAACAGAATACTTATTTTTCCTCACTCTGTTCATTCGTTCAACCAGTATTCTCCTTCATGGTTTGCATTGACAGTGTATTTTGTGAGTTATATATGCTGCCTTGACCTTCAATATTCGTCCAGTATTTTTCTACATGGCTTGCATTGTTGCGGTAATGTCATTATATTTCATTGTGAAGTTCGCACCTATAGTACTGTCCAGTATTCTTTCTCCTACAGCCAGCCAGTACCTAGTAATTTGCATTGTTGGGAGCAATATTCTTAGTATATTTCATGGGAACTGTTACATTTCACAGGTGTACCTATTGTATTACTGTAGTGTTCCATCAGATATTTCCGTTACCGAACTGTAATGTTCTGTTTCCATAACAGGCAGAACCAAAGCAGACTTTTAAGACTACTCGTACCCATTATATTACTCGTATCCTCTCTCAATTAATAAAAAATACAAGTGTGCATACATTTTGGTTGGTACAGAATATGAGTGGTTTATAATATATAAAACAGTTTAAAAGTCACACTTCGTGAGGCATATACACGGAAGGGAGGGTGAGGGAAGAAGAAGAAAGTCAATTGGAAGAATTAAGATGATCCATCACTTCTTTCAACAGGTGCAGCTACTGCTAGTCAGGCTAGCTGACAACAGGACCACCCCGGTCTAATCGTGGTGCTTCTTCCGCTCTAGGTATATCCCCTACCCATGCGGGATGCACAAGTTCCCCACTGGCCGAACAAATGTACATGCCCTCGTCCTCTGTGACATTTCGCCAGTTCCATCCTTCCGCAGCGAATTCCACCGCATTTCGCTCCGCATTTTCTTGTAGTTCATATCTGTTACTCCATATTCGTGATTTGATTCTGTCGCTATATTCGTGTCTGGTAGGAATTGGTAGGATTTCAACTTCGTCTTGAAAGGCAATCTTTGTCTTTTTGTCGCCAAGCCCATTTGTGGATGAGTCAGACTTGGTGTCCGACTTCAGCGGTTCTTTGGATCGAACGACGCCCTCCACTTGCGATCGGGTCGCAGAACCATCGGGAGGTGACTTGAAGGTTGTGTATCCCACTCCCATGCCTCTCAAAATGCGCACTCGTCGGTTTTGAGCAGCTGTCATGGGTTGGGCGGAAAAACCAGAGGAATCGTGGATGCCAAGTTTGTTGAGCAAACGAGACCGGAGTTCCTTCTCATCTCGTCCTACTGTTATCACAGAAGAAAAAGAAGAAGAGACAGTAACAACAGACTTATCAGAGCTGAAACCTGGGTTGATATCGGGGCTTTCCATCATTGATTGCATGGAACGTTGTAAAATGTCTGATTTGTGTGTGTGCGAGAGGCGTTTGCTGCAGTGCAGGGTTTTCTGGTTTTGTTGTGTTTTGGTCTTCTTTTCAGATCGTAGGTTCTTGGTACTTTGTTCACGTGCACGACGCTTTAGAGATTTGGGATGTTAAGTAAATTTTTCGTACACCGCAACCTACCAGAACTAGAGTTGGTCGGACAAACCATAGAACGCGCATCCTCGATTTCTTGTGCGACCTATTTAGTGAACAAACGTCGAGACACGATCATTAAAGTTGATGACATAAGAGTCACAACTTCGAATTAAGACTGAGATCGTTTCGTCGTTCTCTTTTTGCAATAGACCTCCAATGCGAGTGATCCACACTTCTGACGTTGTAACGTCAAGATAAATTTTCTTCTTCGCCACACTTCCCCACACTTCGCCGCTACCAAACGGATTCGGATTCGCCGCTGGCCGGCGCGATGTCATTGTCGACGTCATACATCACAAGATCTGGGAAACAGAACTCAAAATGACAGGAGAAACCGAAAAACTTTCAAATCCAAAAAAGAAAAACTTTGGAATCCAAACCAAACCAATCCAAACCAATCAAAACCCATCGGGGACATGATGTTTCGAGGTGTTCCTGCTGTAGCACGAACTTCAACAACAGCAACAACTACAAGAACAAGACTTCATCGAGTCATTGCAAACAGGACCAATTTCCGTTCGTTTTCCAATTCCATTCCTGCAGCGGCCGATGAAGAATCCAGTAACTTTCTGAGTACTGGATCCGGAGGGCATCTCCGATTGGGTCACTCCGTAGAACCCATCCCATATTCAAGCGACATTGAGATCTCTCCTGTCAACTATGGTGCCAATTTGGGCCACAAGAAGGTTTCCGTTGTAGGTTGTGGTCAGGTGGGAATGGCTATTGCGTACTCTGTGCTGAATCAACAGTCGGCGGGAACCATTGCTCTTGTGGATATGAATCGAGAAAAGTTGGAGGGCGAAGCCAAAGATTTGGAACAAGGATCTGCCTTTCATCAGCAAGTTCGAATTTTGGCCTCTGACGAATATGTGAGTCGAGTCACGCTTATATACTATGATGATGATATGATATGTTGTGATATGATATGATTGATTGTCTTGCAATGGTCGTCCATATCTCTCACATATTCTGTTTTTGCACAACCACCACAATGATATCACTCACCACTCATAAAATGATCCCAAACCAAAAACTTTAGTCCGTCTCGGCAAATTCCCACATGGTTGTCATTACGGCCGGAGCGGCCCAAAGACCTGGTGAATCGCGGTTGGATCTGGTCGAACGCAATGTGGCTATTATGCAAAACATCATTCCCAAAGTTTTGACATTTTCTCCTAATGCTAGTATTTGCATTGTGGCCAACCCTTGCGACTTGATGACTGCGGTTGCCGCCAAGATTGCTGGACCATCCGTTCCGGCTGGTCGTATTTTTGGATCGGGTACCTGTTTGGATTCTTCTCGTCTACGGTCCTTGATTTCTAAAAAGTTGGACTTGGACACTTCCGCAGTTGGTGGCTATGTCATTGGAGAGCACGGAGATACCTCGGTGCCAGTGTGGAGTTCGGTCACTGTTGGAGGAGTGCCACTCTTAGGCCACGGGCAGGATCCTAGTAAAATGCACGACGACATGCACAAGGAAGTTGTCGATTCGGCATACGATGTCATCAACAAGAAGGGATACACGAATTGGGCTGTTGGGTTGACGGGTGCTCACATTGCCAAGACGTGTCTCAATGATACTCGTCGCATCATGCCCGTCAGTACCTGCGTCAGAGGTTTAAAGGGAATCAAGGAAGATGTCTTTATTTCCATGCCAGCTGCCATTGGATCCACAGGAGTGCAGCGAGTGATTGATTTGCCATTGACAGACAAGGAGACTGAAAAATTCCTACATTCAGCGGATACGATTTGGGACATCCAAGAGCGTGTTTGGGATAACCTCTAAATCGTAGTACAGTCAGCAACTACAGTAGTCGTAGATATTTATGTGAAAGAAAGGATATCATATTATACTGTAGTAGATCCGATAAAATACTCTAGTAGATGAACAATTCTGGTACTCCAAAAGGAAGGAAGTAAGTAAGTCCCCACAAAAAAATCTTTTGGATTAGTTCGACCAAGAATATTTGGTTCGACACAAACATCATGGCGCTGACTTAGTCCTTGCATGTTGTCCAAACGTCTCGTCCATCAGCGCATCATGGCATTTTGGTGGGAGCCTCCAGTGCTTCTAATCCTCCTTCAATCACACCTTTCCACCCTCCTACCGATCCATATTCACATTTCAATCCATTGATAAAGTCTAAATTCACACTAGAGTACTAAAATGGAAGTCCGAGATTCAATATATTGCTTTGAAATAGCGAGGCGATCAGTTGGCAGAGCCGCCTTGCATTTGGGGATTGAAAACATGTCGGAGACTGCCTTGGACGTCATGGCCGATGTCCTGTTAAACTATCTGCATCGAGTGGGTCGTTCTTTGAGTCATTTAGCAGAAACCAATGGCCGCACCAGTGCTCATGTCAACCTATTGGATGCTCTTCGTGCGTGTGAAATGGAGGCAGCACCCGCCGTCCAACAAATGCATTTGAGAGATCCCAATACGGACGATTCTCTCTATCACAAACCCAACGTGGCCTCAAACTCTCAAAGCTTGATGATCAATGCCAATAGCAGAGACTGGAAAGGGCTTGCATGCTTTTTGTTTGGACCCAAATGGCTGGAAGACGATGAGAAACAACCTGTTGAGCAAGTCGCTCAGGCATCCGCTGGAGGTGGCAAACAGTTTCCAAAGGCGGCCGAATCGAACAAGGCACAGGGATGGCAGGCACCTTATCCGGACGAAATTCCACACTTTCCACAAGCCAGTGAGACTTGTGCCAACCCACACCCATTGGCCGCGAAGCAAATCCTCTCGCTCCACTCGGCCGCAGAAGATGATGGCAACTTGCAAACAGTAGAAGATGAGGAGGCTGCACTTCAAGGCATTCCCGATAATGCCTTTCTTGAATCGTCCTGGGGTAGTATGACGGCCAAGAAGCGAAAATTGGAAGACGAGGATGTGGTCATGGCGGAAGCTGCTGACACGGAACAAAGTCCTGCAACAAAAAAGACCAAACTGAATGACGGCACTGCCGATGCCGCCGCCGCCGCCAAGCCAGACGAAAGCGCCGAGAAGGAAAATAGTGACGAAGACAAACCCAAGGAAGAAGAAAGTAAGGAGGCTGTCGAGGAAAAACCGGATTCACACCCACATGTGCCGTCCTTTTATCCACAACCGCCTTCCTTCATTGGCAATGGGCAAGAAGGATCCATCAAGGTCCTCGATGTGGATCCCACTGCCGAAGGACCAGCCTCAGAAGACAAGGCTGAATATTCGCACCAAGTCCGATCGTCTTTGGTACAATTGGGATCCTATTGGGGCTCAGGATGGGATGGCGAGCCAAATACCAAACTGGCCGTGCCTGTGGGACGGGTGGAAGCTCAACCTATGTCCTCTTCGATTGTGCCGTTGGGAAGGGCCAGCGGTTCTCGCGTGAGTCGAATCCTGGAGGGATCGCTGGATGCTGCCGCCATGCAATAGCAAGCCACGCCTGGCTAAATTAGAATTTATATTGCATACCATCAAATGCTTCTTTGTAGGATTACTTGTTACAATTGTTACTTGTTACCATTGTTCTGTGGATACAGTATTGTAGGTGCCAAGAAATCATGAATATCCGGAGGACACGACTCTTCCACGCGCAGAGCGGCGAGTGCCTTCGTTCCCAGTCTTGCTGTCAACGTCATCATCGTTCATTTCTCTTTCTAGTTTTTTATCAATCACTTTCACAACCCATCTTTTCCAGGAAGCCTTGGAGGGAGGAGCTGGCATGGAGAGAGAATCGGTACTTGCAAGGTTGCGCCAACGTTTCCGAATTTGATCTAGACTACGCTTTCGCTTGGATCCCCAAACAGGAACAACCTTGGATCGGACCAGAGTTGTGTTTGTTCCAAAGCTGTGAAGCGATCGTAACAGTAATCGGTCTTCCAAGGCATTCAGTTGATCCATTTGTTCGCGCTTGACGACGACATCATCCTTCTTCTCAGATGTGGGCGAAATATCCGAGGAGAGTGGACGCTTGCGGTTCGATACAGATCTTTGGCTCCGGCGAGAGGCAACCACTGGTGTCGACGGAGGAGTCTTCGCCTCTTCCTTTTTGTCTAGTCCCAGAATCTCCGTAGACGGAAGGAAAAGATCGGCTTGCTTAGGTTGTTTTCGTAACGCCATACCTGCAAACCGCTTTCTCCGACTTCTGACTACACCCGAAGAGGAATTTGCTACGCTTAGGTTTGTCTCGTTCATCTTGTCAGCAGCTGCACCTTTGGGTTTCTTGTAGGCTCGACGTGTTGGAAATGTATGCACGTACATGATTTCATTGTTCTCAAATCGCATGTCATTGTTCAACTGTGGATTCAGATGAAGATCATATCGATAGGCCTCTCTAACCCCAGATGCAAATGCACCATGCATCGTGGATGGATGATATGGAGTGGTGTGTTCCCCTGCAAACATGATCAATGGCTTTCCTGGCCGAGCAGGATCGTAGATCGCATCCCCAACTCGTGCCAATTCTTGCCCCCCATCAACTCCAGGTGGTATGTAGGTAAACGACATTCTCGAATATTCTTCTTCACCCCATCTTGTAACGCAGCAGTCTATTGGATCGGGCACCTGTTCTATGCCGCAGATCTTCTTCAGAACATCCAAACAATCTTGAACGATATCGTTATCCTTCCATGATTCAATTTCTTTCGCAAAAGCACCACCAAACATGAAAATGAGAACTGGCTTGTCTCCAGCATACTTCCACGCATTTAGCACCAAATAGGAATGTTCTTTTCCTGCAAGGCCCAAGAAGTCGGAATCTTGCCAGAAGACACTGTCAAAAGACATGGCACACTTGTTTAGCAGTCCACAACCCAGTTTTTGTATAGCATCTAGTTTGGGAGCTGGCAATGGAGGTTCAAACTGAATGTGACCAGGTCGGCGAGGTGGTATCTTCAAAATACCCAGAGGAAGAGTGCAAACGACAGCGTTCGCTTGAAGAACTGTGCCATCTTGAAGCGTTGCTTGCACCTTTGACCCAAAGATATCGTCTTCGTCGGGTATGTCTTCAGAACTCTCGCTATCGTTGTTCCGTTTGCTATTTTCTTTTCCCTTGCGTTTTCGTTTGCCTTTGTCGTTCGGTTCCTCCTTCTTTCCACCTGTTTCCACCAGAGACTTGGTGGGGTCGTCATAACAAACTGAAGAATGGTCCAAGATTTGAAGAGTTTGGATCTGTCCCCTATTGGATCTTGAGGAACGTCGCAAGTTGGATTCGAGGCGTTGAATGCGGCGAGACGTACGGGAACCGGAACGAAAGGACTTTTTCTTCACAGATCGCGATCTTGACGATCTGATTGGGGTCTTTTTTCCAGTTGCTTTCTTATTCACAGAATTGTCAACCTCGGTCTTGTCTTCTCCGTCGTTTTCATCTGTGTCCTCGCCTACTTTTGCACGATTCTTCGCTACCGACGTTTGCTTATTCTCATCAATCAACGTTTCTTCTTCCTTTTCCTCCTCCACCGTATTTGTCCCAACATTTTCCTTCTGCTCTTCGGTTTCTTCCTCTTCATCACCGTTCTCATCCTTGACCTTTTCAAACTCGGAAGCAACAGTTTCAATTTTGGATACGGGTGACTGATACCACACATCTAAACCTTCCGCCAGTTTTTCCATGCAAAACTTCCAACTAGATTCAATAGCTGCATGATGCCCAGTAAATCCATAGGGCTCGTCATCATTCCAGGAGTATCCCAAATCATGAAAGTCCGCCCCCGTAGGCAATTCTAGATTTGCCTTGTGCCATTCCCACAAGGGATTGTTGTGTTGAAATGTATTAGCAGTAGAAGCAGATGCAGAGGGTGATTTGGCAGAGGAACTAGATTGTAACTCGGTCTTGTTATGGGTGTACAATCCCCTCTCAAAGCATACTTGATCAAATAGTTCTCCAAAGTTGTCGCTGGTTGTGTTGCGTTCGCTATCATTGTTGTTGCTGCTCGTGTTATCTGGAAAAACTTTCGTCGCAGGTCCACTAGAACTTGTTGGGCCAGTCTTCTTGGATGGCGATTCTTCTGCTCGTTCGCCCCTTGTTTTGTCCTTACTAACTGACGCCGATTGCGTCGGTTGTTGTTCCCCCATGACTTGTTCCTCTGTTTGTCCCCGTATCGTTTGAATTCGAGCAAAAGTTTCGTCCAAACATTCATTGAATAGCGTCGAAGTCTTTTCATCTTCCTTTGGATCAAAGGGCCATCCATTGGCATCCAACAGCAAGCAGTAGTCCGAAATCGGATGAAGCGGAATCCCCATTTGTTTCACGACCTTGTAGACGGGATTATTTTCCACACCATGGATCAAGGCTCCTCCCACGTCAATGTGGACGGAATTGGGTGGGTGCAATGGCGTGGTTGTGGTGTTCTTTGACTTGGTGGTGGTCGTGGAATCAGACTTTGGCTCTACTACTGCTGCTGCTGCTGCTGCTGCTGCTGAAGCATCAGTTCGACTGCGCTTTCGAGAATGTTGTGGCCGATTGATAGAAAGGGAATGATCGTTATTTTTGTTGTTGCTGCTGTTGTCGTCATGGTCACGCTGGTGGTTGTCGTCGAAATTGGTTTCCTTCTTCAATTGCAATTCCTCTCCCTTGAGTCGACCACCGACCCGATGACGAGCTTCCAACACCACAACCTCATGACCTCGATATTTCAGTTCTCGAGCACAGGCCAATCCACTGATGCCGGCCCCGATGACGATCACGCGATGTTTCTTTCCCATGGTCGTGTTGTGTCGTTGCTGGATAGATTTGGGGGATTGTGTCGACAAGGTGAGTTGTATAGTGATGTATAGTACCTCTGTGACTGTAAAAATCAAAGACCTGATGGTATGGTGTTTGTACTGTATATTTCAGGGAATCCTTTTGTTCGTATGTCTTTCGTGTGGGCAGAAGACTTGTCGGTGGCTGAAATGGGCGGAATGTCTGCTGACTCTTTGCTTCGATGTCTCCGAGATTTTGGGGGTGTCGGATGAAGGTGATGATTCAGATTTCAGATTTCAATTGGTGTCTGTCTGTCTGTCTGTCTGTCTGTGGTTTGTGAAGGCATTTTGTAGTCCTTTTCACGTCATTGCAACGATAACCACGCTTTCACATGTTGAACGAATGATGATGTGCATCTCGCTTGTATCGACACACGATCACGGAGAGTCTCCAAACGGCTGAAGCAAAAATGAGTGAATCAACAACACTCCCATAACAAAGAGCAGAACTTCATCCCAAGTCCTTGACCGATTCCTACCATGATCATGGGCTTTTCGGTAAGGCTTTCGACTCTTACTTGCTTGGTTACAGTGGGACTGGTAACTTGCATGTGTGATTCCACTGCGGCCATTTCCTATTCTACTTGTAATTTTTGGCATTATGTGATAGAGATTAATCATCCTCGGTTATTTATCGCTGCTTCGTCTCTACCGGTATTATTGTCTACCACCAAGAACGCCCGTGACTCCAGTAAAGAAGATACCTCGTGGTGGTGGAGAAGCAGAAGGGATGGACACGAATGAACCGAGTGGCAGCCAAACCTTGCAATAGGATCAGGATAAAGTCTTGTCTTCTACGTTAAATACAGACAATCAAACCGGGAAGTCCTTCAAAGATTGCAATGAGCAGGACGGGATCAAGGCAAGGAAACGTGAAGAGGTATACAGTACGGCATTGTTGGATACACTGCCCGACTTATCCAAGCGACCTACCGGTCCATTGCAAATGCGACGATTGAAATGCTTTACTGGGAACCAATTATTGTTAATGGCAATCATTCATCAATGGGGAGCCAAGGTGGCGCCGTTTCTCTTCGGGTTGTTCACACTCCGACTTTTTTTAGACGACTACCAATCTGATGAAGACTTGTTTCGGTTGGTGACAACGCCAATCGTTTGTGTATTGCTCAAAACAATTATCATCGGACCCAGTGCAATAATCTTTGTGCTGGGAGCCACGGCAGTGATTGCAAGCTTGTTTGGAGACTGGGACGCAGTAGATACTGTAGAGCCAACAATCTCCGTTCGCATCACGGTTGCGAGTCCTACACACACTGGGCTCACCGATAAGTCCAATTAGAAGTCGAGGGCATCTTTTTATTTGTGACAAGGTTGTCTTTTGGTGCCCTCTCGAGTATTGTTCGAAGCGTATTACAGTAGCCTTTGGAAAAAGTAAAAAAATGTCTCATCTAGAGTTGGCGTTGAGAAAGGAGAATCCACGAAAGAGAGAGGATCTTGCAATTGGGGGCCGACATCTTATGGTTTGCTACCTACTACTACTGTACACTACTCTTTTTGCATCAGTGCATCAGTTCATCAGTGCACCAGTGTTTTTTGACGGGAAAACCACGTACGTACTGTACGGACCCGCTTCGTTTCTCCCGCACGCACGTGCAATTTGTACGTAAAGCTGGTACGACCCGCCGAAAATCTCAGCTTCACACGACTGGATCCAAAATCCCACACACACCACCAACCCATCGTGTTCAAAACACGATGGGTTGGTGTGAAAGAAGCAAGAGAGATCCAAGATGCGTACGGTTGTCGTTTCGTTTTCACAACTTTTGCAAACACCATTGTGTGCAACGATAGATATAGATCATGTTTACATTGAGAGAAGATGGAACCTTTGGCACGGGTTTGGGTATCAATCTAGACGTCCGCGTTGATAGCAAACCATCCTTTGATGTGTTTGATGCTTTGGACAACTCGATCCAGGTAAGCGACGAGTAAAACGGTTTGTGTGTCGCCAACGAGTGTAATACAACCTTTCTTACCCACATGTCTTCTGCTCTCTATAGGATTCATTCCCAACTACTTTTGAAGATGTCGACGAGTACCGGGATGTCCAACAACAACCCAGTCGAAGCTTTGACGATGAATTACGAATTGGTGCAACGTTGGAGCATCACGACGAGTTTTTCAGCGAGGAGGAACAACACCTTCCCGACGACATCTCGTTGGACACGTTGGAGGAGTTTGGCTCTATACCTTTCTGTCCTGTCGAGGAACCACGAGTCCCCAAGGCTTTTGGATCGGAGGAGCCCTTTTTCGGTTTGAACGATCCACAAGAAACCGTCACGCCAGAAGTTGCCGCCACAATTGATGACATTATCAATGAAGCGTTTTCAGGTTTCTGCTCACCACCTCATTCCCCTGTCGAGGAAGCAACCGGCTATAATGACGTTCTACCGTTCCACAACATTGACGAAGAAACCAATGTCAACCATCAAATGATGATGCAAGAGTCTTACGCTCCAGTTGCTTCCATAAGCACCGCCGCTGTTCCATCAAGTACGACTCGTACCGTGTCACCTTCGTTGTATTACTCGGGCGAGGACTACCGTGCCGAATGGGCGCAACGCATACCAGAAATTGATTTCTTTGCCCAAGCCATTCGTCAACCCGGTGGTTTACGGGAGATTCCCATTGAAAACCGGGATCTCCTTGGTGGTCAAAATTACATCGTCAAGACTCCATTGGGTCTAGCTGTGCTGTTGAATTGCGAGGATGATCCCAACCGTGCCAATGCTCAGCAACCATCCTCCAACGTTTTGGGCCGCCGCCGCAAGTTCCAGCGTTGGTTGGAAGAGGAGGACGAAATCCTCAAGCAAGCCATCGAGGCGGAAGGTAGCCCTAAAGTCAACTGGAAGCGTATTGCCTCCAAATACTTTTCCAATCAGAGAACTGCTTTGCAATGCAAGAGTCGTTGGACCAAGTCCGTCAAGCCAGGAGTTGTACGCGGTCCCTGGACTAAAGAAGAAGATGCCTGCATCCTTCGGCTCCAACAAGACGGCTTGAAATGGCCCGAAATTGCCGAGTACTTGCCTGGTCGACTTTCCGAAAACATTTCGGAGCGTTTCAGCAACGTGCTGGACCCTAGTTTGAAGAAATCTCCCTGGACTCGTGAGGAGGATCAAATTTTGTTTCAAGAGCAATGTCGGATCGGAAACAAATGGACCCAAATTTCCCAGCTCATTCCTGGTCGATCGGAAAGCTCGGTGAAGAACCGTTGGCACAATTTGAAGATGGCTCGCAAGCGCCGGATGCGAATGGGATCCACAATGAAGACGTGCCAAAGAGTAACAGGTGGGCATTTCTTCCACCACCAGCCAATGCAAGAACCAATGCAAGAATTTGGGGTCGTTCCTGCTACTGTCCAATCCCAATCCACCCCTTCACCCTTTCAAGAAGTGTAGGGTGGAAATTCGACGACTTTGATCGATTGATTGATGGATGGATGGATGGATTAATGGATGGATGGATGGATGGATGGATGGATGGATTCTTCCTTCATTGCAGGTGGCAAGCAAATCTGCTCTGCCAGTGCCGCAGCCACAACCCACAACAAGACTTGTTAACAATAATAGCTACTAGAGAGGATAGATATATAAAAGATAGGTTTTTTAAAATATTGTAGCTCAACGTGTTCCCAATTCAATATTGTACCATAGAAGAGAAAGCAAAAAGGAGGAATTGCACCCAGTCTGTCTATCCATTACTCCAGTAGGAGTGAATTTCCAACACGATCACTCGGTCGAGTGAGTCATTATCGTTTGGAAATCGCGCCCGCCAGCCCATGCCCTTACTAGAATTTCTACGAACGTCTACGCACGCGATGATGATTGATTGATTGATTCCCATCCTCATCATTCGGGCCAAAAAAAAAATTCATAAAAAAACTATTCTTGGACAACAACGGAACGATCTTTGAGAAAAGCGATCCAATATCGAAGCAAGGAAACAGCCAAGGTATGTGATGGATTCTACATTGTCATGATCTCATTCAGAATGCAGGAAACAAGGTTTGGCGACGATTGATTGACTAAATACAAAGCAATGCAAAGCAAAGCAATGCAAAGAAGAAAGATTTCCGTTGTTGTTTTTGCCACCGAGAAGGGCGCAAGTAATCTCGTTCACTTTTTCATGGCACTGAAAGTTATTGGAGGATACCATTCCCCTTGTATCTTTTATTCTTTTATAGTACTATGATATGAATGAATGACGATAGCTAGTCGATTGTGCCACTGGTCTTGTGCCTCGTTGCTTTGTTTTTGTTCTCTCTTTTGTATCCACGAACAACAACGTCTTCCATTCTTCCCATTCTGACTCTGCCCGTGCTTGACTTTTGTTGCTGCATTACAGGCTACTATAAAAGAACAGCACTACCACCACCGCCACCACCACCACCACTATCACACTCACTCGAAACTACTCTACCATCATGGCACGATCCTCCCGCACCTCCCGCAAAACCAAGTCTACTAAGGCCGCTAGTACTACTACTACTACTACTAGTAGTAGTAATGCCAAGAAGTCGATCAAGTCTGCCAAGTCTACCAAGACTATTGTCAAGGCCACCAAGAAGACCATCATTGAAAAGCTCCAAAAGCAAACAAAGAAGGATTCTCCCACCAAGAAACTCATCTTGATTGAAGATGAAAAAGTAGTCAAGACTCCTCCCATCGAAAGCGACGAGGATACCAGCAGTGAGGACGAAGAGGAGGACGAGGAAAAGCCCGAATATGATTCTTCTTTTTTTCTCAAAAAGAAGAAGAAGAAGAAGAACAGCCAGTCAAACAGTCAGTCGCCATCGGCATCCACCAGCAATGCCTCGACTGTCTCGAAATCTCCTCCATCTCCATTGCAAGACGCTGCCAGTCGCAGCAACAAAAACCAAACCAAGGAACAAGAACAAGACACTACTACTTCTTCTCGTCCTACTCGTTCCCGTCGCGCTGCCACTCGCAAGACAGTTTCCTATGCCGACAGTGACGAGGACGAGGGGAATGATGATGGAACCTTGCCCAAGACGAAGGACTACAACAAGTCCAAGCGTACCAACACTACGAAGCTCAAGCGTGTCAACGAAGAGGAACAGGACGACTACGAAGAGAACCTTCCTCCCAAGCGCCGCCGCAAGGCTGCCACTGCTTCTACTGCGGCTGCTGCTGCTGCTGCTGCTGCTGCTGACAACAAGCAGAAGCAGACCAAGGCGGCAGCCCCCAACAAGAAGAAGGCTTCCAAAAAGGGCAAAAAGCTAAATGCTGCTTCCTTTGTCAGTCCACCTCGCAGCTTGGGCATCAAGAAACTATATTCGCCTCCATCTTCCATTCACGAAGTGACCAAGAACATGTGGCAGGCCAATGAAGGGGACTGGCGCGTATCTGGGGCTTTGGATTACTAACTAGCTACATTGACGATAGGCAGATATGCGGTAGAATGGGATGGAATGGGGAATAGTGGGTACTACAGTAGGCCATTCCAAAGCATATCCATGTGACGAAAAACTCGGGAATTATTGCATTGTATTGCGTTGTATTGCTTTGTATTGAACCATACTGTACTGTTCCTGCAGCTGGCCCAACCACTCGTGGCCACCATTCTCATCACTTTTTTGCTTTGGCTTTTGGCCATTTGAATGTACATACATCGTACATAGTAATTCTAGAATAGGTACTACTACACCAAACAAACGAACAAACAAACGAATATACTGTCAAACATTCAAAATTATTCTTATATGTATACATGCGCATTGGTATTTCGTCTTTTTTGTGATATTCTTTTTCTCGTCTTGTCATTTTCTCATTTTTTCCTAAACATACCATGCAAAGTGTACAAATGCATTTCACGAATTGCTACGTTGTTGTTGTTGTTGCTGTTGATGTTGATGATGATGATATTCTTGATCAAGGCCATGCCATTTCATGCATCTTTCTCCCGTCCAGCTCCACGTTACCCCAAGGACATGCCCCGATCCAAACATACACACCCGCATCAATATTACCAACCAGCGCAAACACCCCCAAAACGTCCTACTACATGATGGAAAAGACCGGCATCGACATGCCCGAACCCGAAAACACCGCATCGCCTGGCGTGTTCGAGTAATCGAATTCCGTATTCTCCAACATTTGGGATTCCGACGGCATCATGATTTCGGGTTCCGTTTCTTCCGAAGCGTGGTGGTCTTCCTCGCGAAAGTCAATGTGTTCCGAGCAGGTAAAAAAGACTAACCTTCTCAGTGACTTGTTGACAAAGAAATAATGAAAACTCCACAAGTGGTCCGATTCGTCAAGAAAGGATTCATCTTCAAAGGAATAAAAGTCACATTCTTTCAAACTGACAACACTGTCTAGAGCACTGAATATTTCCACCACCAAATCGACAGTGGATGCATTGGTGGGCAGTTTGCCCGTGGCATCAAGTTTCTTCAGTGTTGCCAATTCGGAAAGACGTTCCGAAATGCTGCGCTGGACTCGTGCCAGACTTAGTTTTTCAAATTGTTGGGGCTTGGCATTGCTGAAATCATAGTCTGGAAAGGAGGCATTGAGCGTCAGAATGAGATCCGTCATGAGTCTCCGTGTGGCCAGCTCGGAAATGTCTCCCAATGTATTCCTGTTGGTGTGCAGTGTAATGTCGACCGATTGGGATCTCGTTCTTCCACTAGTCTTGGGCTTCTTTTTGCTAATAGTTTCTAGAAAGGAAGTGGCTGAATTGGATCGTTTTCGTTTTTGTTTTGGCTTTTCATTTGGCTTTGACGATGATTGCGATTGTTGTTGCAGCCGTTGCAGTGAAGTAATAGTGCCAGTGGTAGTAGTAGTACTTGTACTTGTACCATCAGCATTAGTGGCAGCTTTTTGGCCGGCTGCCATTTGCGTCAGATCGTGCAAGAGTTGCTGTTGTTCTTCCAAATCAGCAATAAACTTTTGTCCCAGCGTGTGTGCAAACTTCTTGTCGTTGCCAGCACGCTTCATGGTGTAGGCTTCAATTCGTCCATTAATGACGCGGTGTGATTGACCCAAGGTGGCTTCGGAGAGTTGCCCCGTCAGTTCAATCAGTTTTTCATTCTCCAGAAATTTCATGTTTTGGAAATTTTGTTCGTTCGTTCGTTCGTTTTTAGTTTAAACTCGTATTCTTGCTCAGCTTTAAGTCCCAGTCTTCGTTCTACTTCAATGAGGAGGAGGAGGAGGACGGGTATTAAGAAAGAGGAGCATTAGAAGCGATTCAATTCAATTCAATTCAATTCAATTCAATTCAACTCGTTCACCTCCATGAGAAGCGTTGAGCGAGGGATCGCGCCGGTCGTAATTCAAACTAGTCGTGGGAATCTACACACCTTGGTATCCACAGTATTTCAATCTCACTTGGGTATTCTTGTTTCGTTTCTGTATCTTGGTAATCTCTTTACAGTCTTCGTATCAGATCAATCATTGGATGTATAAAAATACTCGTGTTTGTTGTGTTTGTTCTTTAGTTCTGCTTGTTGCTGCCTGCTGTTGCAAGATTCAAACGCGGCGTCAGTAGGTTCTTGTTGGGGAATTCTTCGATGTCATGTTGAAGAGTTTGTTCAAATTGGGAATTGGGAGCTTTGATTTGACATACAGTACCAGAATCTATGTAAAATCTCCTGTACATAGGACAATTGATTAGAAAATGGGTCATTTTCGAAATTTAGAACGCGCGAAACAGAATCTTCTGGGATTCCGTTTATAGGGTCGAGTGAATCATGGCAGAGATGGTGTCAAGGTGCGACTGACTACCAGGTACAGTACTATACGAATAACAGGTAAACTTCGATATTCCCCGAAGAGGAGGAAAAAGTGGCACGCTTCAAAAGAGAGATCCAAAACGTAATGGTGATTCGCATAGTTTGTATTTATATACATGCTTACATACAGCATATAGCCAACCGGTAGCTAGCTAGTGCTATGTTAGGCTGGCTATTATTTTTGCTGTTGGTGTTGGCAGAGCCATTGTCGTTGTTGTTGTTATGGACTGCTGTTGCTTGGTCGTCATGGACTGGTTGGAAAACTGGAATTTGGAGAAACAGAAGCAGCAGGAACATTGTCATCCTTGGCTCCCTTCAAGTAATCTTTTCGGCAGCTGGGACAGCTATGTTTGCGTACCAACCAATCCAATATACAGTCCTTGTGGAAGCAGTGCGTGCATTCTATATTTGGAGACCATGACACCATATCACCGGGCTCAAATTCGAGCAAGCAAATGTCGCAGGTTGTCCCTCGGTCTTGTTGCTCATTGATCCCAAAATAATCATCATAGACTACCTCCTGAGGTTTCCCTTCTTTTTCTTCTTCCTCCTCTTGTGGTGTCTCTTGCATCTCTTGCGTTGCTTGCACTTCTCGCATTGCCTGATTTGGTTTTACCTCTCTTGTGAACGGCACTGGCGAAATAGCAATTGGTGCAGAGGGTTTTTCTTCATCGTCTTGATCATCATCATCTTCATTCTTCTTATTTCGGTGCTGGGCAGCAATTGCATCTTTGGGCGTATCATCGCCAGATTCATCCCTGTCATCATCGCTATTTACATCATTCTCTGCCCCATCCTCCAATGTTCCCTGCTCCATCTTGGAATGGTCGTGTATCGAACTTGTACTGTTTTCTTCGTCATCTCCATCCTTATCCTTGTCCGCATCTTCGCCATCATTAGACCCAGATGGTAACTCCAGTCTAATGTTGGGCATTGATTCTTCCTCTGATGCCTTCTCCTCTCTCGCGGCATTCTTCCTTCTTTCTCTCTGTTCTGCATCAATCGCAACTTCAAACTCCTCCAATCGTCGTAAAATCGTTCCGAGACTATCCTCATCATCAACGCCGTCATCATCATTGTCAGCTTGAAGCGTTGGCTGGAGCTGGATTCCAACTTCTTCGTCGACAGGAGGGGCTGGTCGAAAGGCGTGGGACACTGGAGGGGGAGCAACTCCTCTATTCTCATTTTCCTCTTCGTCCTTGAAGACCAGTGGCGCTGAATATTTCAATACTTTCTTTTCGGTCACTATAGTCATGGGAAAGGGATGTCTTCGTGGTACTTCCTCAGATGGTTCCGTATCATCGGTCTTGTCCTGCACGTCCAAGACTTCGCGAACAATCAGCTTTTTCTGGACCACTGGTCGATTTTGGGCCATGGTGTAATGATCTGGGTGGCCATGCTCGTCTTCGTCTACCGAAAGCATGTATCGTAATAGAACAGATAGTGGAATCGGATCATCCGTCAGACAGTAATAAACGCAGACCACCATGGTTGCCAATAACAGAGTCGGAAATATACAAAAGGCAATCACTACAAACAAGCCCACCACTGTCAGTACGACCATGAAAGGATAGGTTAATACAAAGCAGATATTGTTGGCTCGATTCGAAAAATTTCTTAGGGCTTGCCGCCATCGTGGCATATCGTCTTCCGGCATCGACGACGATATCTGAACAGAAGAAGGCGTGATTGGTTCTGGCATAGAAGGCGAAACTGGGGAGGGTGAAGGCGGTGGCATATTCATATATTGTGGTTGTCGTCGTATCGAATGTGCTGTCAGCGCTGCTAGTGCTGATCTCCCTCCTTATCCACCACAAGTGTTTGTAGCTGGGTTGGAGCAATGGAACGAAAGGTTGTCGTCAAAGAGCGTCTGGAAAATGGTTCCGCAACTGGTGTCTCTGCTTGGCTCCGACTGTTTTCGAAACCGGTTTTGGATAGTCAAGTCGAGCTAGTCAAATAATCAAACCTTTCCATTTTATTTTGAATTTACAAATTTGCCCTCAACGCTGTAGCTTTGGCATCTCCGCATACTTACGATACACTGTAAATCCTTTTGCTAAGCTTTATATCTCTATGTTTGTTTCGCTTAGCAGTAAACCATGTCCGACTTTGGTCTGGAGCTAATGTAGGTGCTCATGCTCTGACATCTCAGAAAGCTTTCCAAAATCAAATCAAAGTCGTCCAAATTGAGAGCCAAGTCACCATCTGTATCTTCTGCTTGAAACAAGCCCTTGTTTGCGATAGTAGATCGGCGAGTCTTGATAGCAAAGAAGCGGTCTTCGTCAAATAGAACAGTTGGTTCAGTGGATGTGTTGTAGTTCTGAGTAGCTTCTTCGATCCAAAAGCAGCACGAAGGCACACCCGTCAAGATTTCATTAATGAAACGGTGCGACATGGAGAGCAAGCGCTCGACTGAGGTTCCCTCGCTTTCGCCATTTCCTAGAGAAGGAGCATCGCAGCCCCACGTGTTGGGCCGAAGAGCACCTCCAAATAGAGTACCAAGCGAATGTGCAAGGTACAAGATTTGGGATCGAAGAGCCTTTGCAGTGGCTTCAACGTCCGTTGACTTGCGCACCATTTCATTGTCTTTTCCAAATGCTGGGGCCAAGATCACCCGGCCAACATCCAAATCTACCAGAGTGACATCCTCAGGGAGGTTTCCGAGAAGCTCCCCATTGTCAGCATCTCCAGATGGGACACCAAGTATGAAAGGAGCTGGATATTGAATCAAGTCGACAGCAAGCGTTGATGGGACTAGAGGAACTAGCAGGTGACTCCACTCCAATGGCTCCAGCATTGCACACAAACCTGTAGTTGCAGCATGCAAAACGCTTCGTCGACTTGATGACAATATAATCTTTTGCTCCAACAGAGCGGTCGCGAACATGAGGGCCAAGGGCGTCGGCGGAAGGCAATCGGAAAGTTGTCGCACTGCTTGATCTTTAAACGCCCTTGATTGATCAGTGATCGGTCGGTCGACCCAGGAAGCATTGGCACCCTTTAGATGTGGTTCGAGAATGCGCAAAAGCGATGCGCTTTCGATATCTTTGTGCGAGAATCCACCAAGAACATCAATGAGTCCTTGGCAAGAAAGCGTAGCCACAGGGCCACCAGAAGTTCCAGGCTGTTTGGAAAAGTCAAACAAAAGTCTTGACAGCGTATCTCTCATGGCGTAAATTACGTTCCGGTTGCACACAAGTGCTAGACCAATTGTAGTGGGATTGGATGGATTGTGGTACTCATCCTTTTCAATGCGCACGTGCCAAGGTTCTTCCTTCATCTTCTCATTCAGAACTGGAAGGGCTGAGGACACCTTCACTTGTCGAAGTGCAGTACTCTTTCCACCACCAGCTGTACTTTCATCGGCCTTCCCCTCGGAAGCAAAACTGATGGGGGACTCGCTTCCGCCTTCTCCACTTGCCTCGTTGACAACGAATTCTGTGCGGATGGGACTTACTTTCTCTTTGCTCTCCATTGAATCCTTGACGAAAACAAGAGATACTCCATAAAGGGAAGATTCTGCGGGGTCGCTGGCAGATGACTCTGCATTTGGAATAACAAACGACACCAACGATACTTGCCATCCATCCGAGCTAAGGTAAGGAGCACAGAAGTTAGAACACAGCACAACAAAACATACATATCCAGTGCTGAGAACACACACTCACCTTATTCTCGTTCCATTGGAAGCCTTGGAGAAAGGCATGATTTTCATTTGCGGAACGACCGCATAACTCTCGAATGTAGGAGGGAGAATTGAATCTGCGTCCAGCAATGAATCCATCTTCACCTCTTTGTCAAGAGAAACTGGCAGACAAGCATAGCGTCGAATATCCGAAGACTCGATACCAGGCACTGGCATTTGTGACGCAAGTGCCGGTCCGATGGCAGTTCCAAAAATGACAGCGTATTGGGCATTTGGGTATGGTTTTTCACTGGAACCTTCGCTCGTTGGAGCCTTGAAAGGTTTATGTGAAGAAACACCATCTGGAAATTCAGCTTTTCTCAATAAGCGCTTGATGCAACCTTGAGGAAGGTTTGGAATTTCCTGTTTGTTTGAAAACAATGAATGGTTCGAAAATCCTTTTGCAAGCTCATTGCACAACAGTTCATGAACTTTATGTTCACGGAACTTGGTGTGACTATTCGAAGCATAATTGTACAGTAGTTCGTCAGCCAAGGTGGTTACCTCTTCAATGATACCAGATGTCAAAATGGATTCGGCAAAAGTAGATCCTGCTTTTGCTGATTTCTTAACACTTTCCTCCAGAATCGATCTGACTTTGCTGTGTGATTTTTCCACTTCAATGCACTTTGCAGATAATTCAGACAATTCGGAGACGTAAATATCCCAGAATTTCTTGCAAAGAGCAACTATTCTTTTTGTGTCATTATCATCAAGCGCCTTCTTGGATTCAAATGATTCCTTCATCGCCTTCAGTTCTGGTACAAAGGCTCTCTTGATGAAAATTGAACAACAGATATCGTTGGGAGCACCGACGATGCGCTTGCTTTCCACTTCTTCCTTGGAGAACCTGTGCTCTCCGATCGGCTCTTTCTCCAATTGATAAAGCAAGAAAACAATAATGTAGGAGAAGGAGTTTCTTGCGCCTGGTTCTTTCGACTTGCTCACAAGATCATCAACCAATTTCCCTAGAGGCAGATTCACATAAGGGGCAGTGTTCCTCATGAATGCCCTCATGCGTGCGCATTGATTTGAATTCAAGAACGATAGGAAAGGGGCCCCAGTTAAGGAATCTACCACTGCTTTCAGGAAGTCAAGGAAGACATCCTTTGGGATCGATTGGTTCGGTGTTTTGCCGCCGAGGACAAATTCGAGATGTCTTAATGATGAATCAGGAACAATGGTGTGAAAGTCAAATAATGGAGGTTGAAGACCAGAACCAATCGATGTTGGAAGGAAGAATTTGTAGGCGATTCGACTAGTCATCTCTTTCAAGCGGGCCGGAGGAGTCAGATGATAGAGATCCAAGAAAGACACTAGCTCCAAGAAGAGCATAAATTGCGCATTTGGTCCCAAGCTTCCTTCCGGACCATTATCATCGACTTCGCCATTATCGGATAAGTGACGAACGAGGAACGAAAGACGGCGGCTGTCTAATGCGCAAGTCAAGAAGGCATTCCGAACAGCATTTCTGAAATTGTCATCTTCACTAGCCACTTGAAGCAACTCCTCCATGTCAAAATCATCATTGCATCTGTATATCATCGCAATTATTTCAGGTTTGGAATTCAAATAGATCTGACGGACGAAACAAACTTACCTTAGTGTCACTTCTTTTTCAAACTCTTTTCTCAATTCCATCGTTGGTGCGGGTGGCGTCAAAAATGCGTTGTTACTGTCTTCCACAGGAACAGGGTTTTCACAAACAGCATCCTTATTGTCACCTTCCGCACCCTTCTTTCTGGACACATATCTTGCCCGGTGCATCATCGCGACGGCGATATCCAAGTAGTTCATACGCTCAACAGGAACAGGAGTTCCTTGGGAAAGAATCAAGACGGCTGGGCGGCGAGACTTGGCAATTTCTTTTGGTATTTGAACAATTGTTTGTTTCCGCAAGTCGACATCTCCAAGTTTCACAAGCAAGTCACCACTTCGGATGATTCGAGAAGCCTCGGCTTGGCCTCCTGCTACTAGATAGTCCACATAGACACCGTGATTTTTCAGGTAACATTGTTTCAAGTTTGTCCCGAGCATTCCACGCCCCAGTAGCATTGCGAACTGATGCGGTTCCAAATTGTCTATTATTTCTTGCATGTGTTCCCCTACTCGACTTTTCAGGATCAATTCAGTTTGCGATTCAGGAAGAGTTCGAGAGGGATGTGATAGAACTTTCTCCTCTTCTTGTTTTTCTTCTGCTTCTTCCGACTTTCCAGCATTATAACGCCCACGAAAGTTGGTAGTCACTGTTTCTGCCACTACTGAAGCAGCTACGGTTGCTTTGGTCGCAGCCTTGGATGCCTGGGAAATAGCTTTGCCCACCTTGCCTTCAATATTGAGCAGATCTTCAAAATCATCACTTTGAGGACCCCCCGGTGCTTTGTCATCAGTTGTCATGACATCTGTCTCGTTTCCAGCGCTATTTGCGGTGCCTTCTGTTTTCTCCTTGTCAGGCGCATCAGTGGACATGTTAACAAACATCTTTGCCGCATCTTCTGATTTCGAAGGTGTCGTTCTGGGTACGGGAGGAAATCTAGGAATGGATGGAGCCTGTTTCCATACACGATTGGCCTTTTCCTGAATCGTTGGTCCTTGTTCTTTCAAAAATTCTTGACCCTTCTGCTTCGTCGTTTCTTTCCAATTGGAAAAGCGATTCAAAAGGATTTTAGCACCTTTCGAATTTCCGATGTTAACATCTGGCGAAGCTCCAGGTTCCTGTGTATTTTGTTCACTTTCGCCTTGAGGGTCTACAATTGACGAAGCATCAGATGGTCTCTTTTCATCGGCTTGGCTGGAAGCATCTGGAGCAGGTGCTGAGGCAAGATGTGGTGGAGTTTCCTCTGCTGCAGTTTCATCGGCTTTGTTCGTTTCCGGCTTTGTTTCTGTTTCTGTTTCTGTCACCACAGTATTCTCAGTTGGAGACGGAAGGCTGCCATCTTCTATGTTCTCAACGGAGGCCATGGTTATATTCTCACTCAATTGATGCTTCGTTCCCACCAACCACAGCGTTTATCTTCAACGAATGCTGTTTTCAAATTTCAACAACGCGCGTGCCGACGTGCGTTTTCCCTCCACTTCTCACCACTGGAAGATACTGATGAAAATGCAACTAAAATACATTAGCTTTAGCTCTAGATTGATTTACGTTGAGAAGAACTTCTCAAATGCGGAAGAAATAGCTTCAAAGTCAAGGAATCCTTCAGTGCCAAGGAGAGCATCCAAACCGATAGATGCAGCAATTCCTGCTTCTCCGACAACTCCAGCAGTGACAAGCAAAATGAAACCTCCAATTACGAGGAAAGTAAGTGCGGCTACGAGATCAACTTCCATCTCACTTCTGAATCCATCATACAAGAAGTTGAATTGAACGTTGAAGAAAACGGGGAGAATTGGCTGCAACATTCTGGTGACAATTCCAGCATAGTTGAAGTTCTCAAATCGTGGCATGAATTCGCCATCCTTTTTCACAATCTTGGCTGGGGTATCGAAACCTCTGATGATGATATCAGATGCAAATCGAGATAATCCTTGGACCGCAGCTGATCGCATCAAACGCCGTCTTTGGTAGGACTTCAAAAGACCTGTGACCTGTGTTCGTGACTTGGCTTTTCCCAACTCTTTCGAAATGACATAGGCATCCTCAATAGCTTGACATCCACCTTGTCCAAGATTTGGCATCATAGCGTGGATTCCATCACCAAGCAGAGCGACATGACCATCGCACCAAGGCTTCCGGACACTTGGTGGACGATCATACAAGTCACGTTGTTCGATTTCGTCTTCTTGGGTGACAGTCAGAATGGCATGTATTTCACTGGACCATCCGGCAAATATGTCTTGTAAATACTTGGAAGATCCCTCTGGCTTGGGGTCACTGATAGATCCTGGGTCACGGGCAAGGAAAGCATACCACTGATAACGGCCGTTTCCAATGTCAGTGATAACGAAGTATTGTCCAGGTCCAATGTAAACCTTGTATCCAACCTGTCCATGATCAGGTGAGGCATAGTTCAACTCCCCAGCAAAAACAGTGTATCCAGAGTACGAAGCCCCAGATCCTTCTCCTCGAGCAGGTTCATTACGCATAGTAGCTCGGACAGTACTCCAGATTCCGTCAGCTCCAATCAAAACATCTCCATAGACAGTCTTTCCAGAGTCCAGTTCCACCGTAACAGCACCAGTCTTTTTATCTGTGGTGTAAGACTTTACACCGTCCCCATTCTGAACACATCCCTCAGGTAGACTCTTAAGGTAGATCTCTTGCAGGTCAGGTCGTTCAATGACACCAGTATAAGGCATTTTGCGGCTTTCCGCAGGGTTTTTCAAATCGAACTTAGCATACCACTCGGTACGAATACCATCCTTGATTCCATTCTCTTTGTCACCTGTAAAAGTAAACTTTTCCATAATTTGGTCGAAAACTTCAACGTCCATCTCCTTCAAAACCTCCAGGGCATTACTGGCAAGTTGGATAGGTCCACCGAATCGCTTGAATGCATCAGTTCGCTCCAAAACGGTGACATCAATATTTGGGTTCTTGGAAAGAACCTTGGCCAACGCGCATCCACCAACTCCAGCACCAGCCACCAGAACCTTGAGTGGGTTTTCTTCCGAGATTTCAGCGACATAGCCCGAATTGTCTCCAGAATTAGGGACAGGAGGAAAAGTTGCAACGTTCAATGCAGTTGAAAAGCCAGCAGTTCTAGTATATTCAAAACCAAAAGGACATGAGATTCAATAACGAAATGATGATTGATTCGAAAACACATCATCTACGAAATGAGAACGGTGTTGACATACCTGTCTTGGGGCAAGACGAACGCATTGACTGCCAAAATAAAAGAGGCAAGTAATGTTATTATCAAACGAACCATTTTCAATCGTTTCTTTTCAATCATTTTATGGTGTCACCAACGACGACGTGAAAGGTGCAGGGAATGTCGGGGAGTTCGTGTCTGATGCGTCTGACAGCTGTCTTTTTCTGCAGTCCCGTTCCGGTCAGACGCATCGGATACGAACCCGCAACAAAATGCAAAAATGCAAAAAGAATGCACAGTTTTCCGATCAAGCGTAAATTACGATTATGATGAGTCTACTATGTTAATGTTTCACCCGCTGTTGTCGAAGCGCGAAACGCCTGTGGAACCTGCATCCAGATGTGGCGTGCCACTTCCAAACCGGACAAGGAAGCAGCTTCCAACCCAGGGTTGCGATGCGAACAAAAGTCGCCCGCATAGTAGAGACCCAATGCATCATCGGCCACAAAATCGATTTCACCACAAGAAGAAGGGGGTGGCCGTGGAAACACCATGGATAGCGTCTTCAGTTCGGAAACGTAAGTGGTCCCACAAATGTCCACAGTCGACTTGACTATTGATTCGGGTGCGGGCAAGCCAGATCCCCATCTTTGGGCTTGCAAATAGACAATCTTGGGCATTTCGATTGTTGCTGCTGATTTTTCCACAAATGGTCGAATGTTATCCAAAAAGATTTGGGCTAGTGCTGGACCTGGAATAGTATTCAAATACGAATTCTCTTGTGGCTTGAACTCGCCAGTTTTCTCATCTCGCATTGTGGTTGACTGGATTTCTTGAACCGCAAAAGACGGTGTAGAAATCAAAGTCCAGCACTCTGGACTGATATCATTGCCATTGGATTTCTCGTTTTCATACATTCCCGGTTTGGATTGGGAAACGGAAGCAAACCATAACTTGTCATTCTGGTTAGTTGCAATAGTAAAGGCATCGTAGGGCAGCAATTGTCGAACGGGCGCACTCAGCGCAATCATGCACGAAAAGAGTGGGATTCGAATCTTTGTTGGAAGCCTGGCTCGAAAAGAATCGGGTATTCCAGCGCTTGCCCGATGCCAAGCATCAAAGGACGAACTAATGTCCGTGAATAACACAGCATCAAAACTCCCATGAATCGTCGGTTCGTTGTTGCTTATTGTTTGTGACTTGGAATGAGTAGTAGTGGTACTAGGCGCCTTGGTGTCGTGATAGGCTGCAGTGCCACCAATCGTCTCCAAATCCCATTTACCAGTCTCACTGTTGCGAGAAACTCCCTGGACCCGATTGCCTCTATGAACGACAAGCGGATGATGCGGCCTGTTGTTGGAACTGCTGTCAACGTGTTGCTGTGTTGTGTCAGATGATGATTCGTCCAAGATCCGTCGTGGTAGTAGATGCATTCCACCAACTCCAATATAAACATTTTCATCTATAGAAGCATTCGATGATTCGCCGTTGGATAATGCTGTCGGGACTCCAAAGAAATCCGAATCACCATTCTCAGTGTTTGTTTTGTCATCAGAGGCCATTGTCAAACATCCAAATCGAGCATTCCACGGTTCCGCCCATCCCTTTTCCAGCCAGGTTTCCAAAAGATCCTTTTGCATCAATGAACTATCCGCTCGAAAGAATTGGCAACCGTGATCGAATTGGTAGGTTTTCATGTCGTTATTGCCGTCTTCGTTGTTTTTGCGCGTGTATTCTTGAATGTTTTTCAAATCATCCGCGAGGACTTGTCCAGTAGAAGTCGAGACGGAACGATGCGATGCTCGTCCACCAGGACCACGACGACCTTGATCGAATACAACTACTTGTAGATTTTCGGTTGTATCTTGGGGTCGGCCACTATTGCTTGTGGTGTTGCCACTCGCAAAAGCTTCGTTCTTAGCAATACCTCTGTCGTCACAATGAATGGCTGACGATTGGCTGGCAAGTTTAGCCAATTCGGAAGCAGCAACAGCGCCAGTAATGCCAGCACCAACCACAGCAACGCGATATTTATCAGGAGGGTTAACAGAAGTTGACATTGTTTAATTTTGGCACCAAGATCATTGAAGATCCTCGAACAGCATCATTCTTTCGACGCAAGATCAGATGGATGAGTCACTTTTTCCGGACAGTACTCCGATTTGTGTCCGTTAACGTCTTTGACTACAGTAACTTTTGCCTGGAAACTTTTGGTAACCGGGAACTCATCGAAGGTGAAGACTAGATCTACTATTCGAGAAAGCACCTCTATAGAGTACAATACATCATTCTTATCATTCTTAAGTATTTGGATGTATTCCTCTGCAGTAGCCTATCAAGGATCGAAAATTCAACACTGTGTCCAAGATGAGGTTCTGCAAATTTTGTGCCGTCAACAAAAAGTCATTCCAGGTAATACAGTAGTAGTCTGGTCACTACCATGGATCAACAACCCCACTCAAATTTCATGCAACCAGAGTTCCGCGTAGAAGAGTCTTGCTGCTTACGCATTCCAAGGGAAAGGGAAAAGTGTTCCGGGCTTCAGGACCATCACTGAATAGAGCGCCAAAACAAAGAAACATGATACCACGTTGCTCACATGACGATCTAGCACCACCTTGGGGGTGTCCAAGTCTTCCTCACCACCTTGGAATTCATCGTACATTTCGTTCACGGCTTGGAGAGCGGTTCCTTGAGTGGTCAAGTCGGTTACGGCCCACCATACCATGAAAGCAATCAACGTCCAAAAAATGGCATCCACGTGGGGAGGGGCGATATTCAATCCTCCGTATCTTACAATGGTCAATCCGGTTCCCGAAATCATTGAAACAGTCAACGCAGGGACAACAATCAAACCATCCAACAAAGGAACCTTATCAAACCAGAATTGTAGGACAGGAGCATTTGCACTCTTGGCAACAAGCCGTTCGATGCTGAAGGATAATTGAAAGAAAAGGGTGAGACGCGGCGAGATACATGGAATCTCGCGTTTTGCGAATGAGAGTACTGTAATTTACCATGTTCTGTAAAATTAAAACGACTGTGTGAGAATTCAGAAGACCACAGAGAAATAATTCATTTAACTCTTTCTTTCTGATACTTACGTCAAAATAATTCCACCACCAAAAAGCATACCGCCGACCATGTGGCTCAAAAAGAAGACTCTCTCCGGTACCGTCTTCATAACCGCAGGCCAGGGACCGACAGAGTTATTGATCAAGATGAATGCGCTGAGTGAAACCATCCAAACGGTGAGCAAGATGATCTCCACCTTTTTGGACTCGTCCACCCAGTCACCCTCCAGGGAAAGTCTGGAAGACTGCTCCACTAGCGTTGGCAAAGTTGCTTCCTTTTCCTCGGCTTCCTTATCTTCAAAAACTTTGAACAGGTTCAGGGGTGTCGAAGACCCAGAGGTTGAAGCTCTCTCAAGAGGCGAAACCTGAATCGTAGAAGGAAACGACAAGCCAGTGCGCACCGGCGAAGACGGAGCAAAGGCAGCTGCCCCCGAAAGAGAGGACAGAACAAGTAGACTTCGAAGATTCATATCTATTATTGGGTTCCAAGGAGCGGTGAAAACTTCACGGAAAATGCAAAGCTCAGGATGAGAAAAGAAGGGAGGCAAAAGTGACGCAAGCAAGCGTCTGACAAAAAATCGAGTTCATCGTCAGCTTTCTCTGATCTGAAGGATTTTGGTGGTGCAAAACGTGTCTTTCAAGATTCTTGATTTAACGTATTAAAAGAGGCAATAAGTACAATGCGTTCTCTATTGTTCTTCCAAGGGAAAAGCACTTAATCATTTCTGACGTAAGCTTGGGTCATTACATGAAAAAATGATGTGTGCGTGTTGGTTGTCGACTTTTTGGAATGATCTCAGCAGGCAACGAGTCCAATCAATACTCCCTGATCCAAACAAGCTACTGTACCGACCAATATTTCCAATTCATTTGAGAATCTCGTACTCATCTTTGTTAATCCATTGGACATCTCCTTCGACCGTATAATCCTATCATCCATATCCAGAATAATGAAATTTTCGAATCTTTCGGTGGTTGCCTTGGCTGGCCTCATTCATTCGACGACCGCTTTCGCTCCCCTCTTCCCCGCAAATGTTGAGGTGTCTCAGATTGTGGCCCCAGGGTCTTCCATGCTGATCTCAAAATCGGAAACCAAACCTGTTTCTGCCATTGCTGTCGATAGCGTAATGCTCAAGACTTTGGAGGACGAAACCAAGGCGGCCGAGCAAGAAGCCAAGGCAGATGAAAAAAAAGCGAAACTCGAGAGGAAGCGCGAGGCATTTTTCGAGTACGAAGCAAAAGCGGCAGCCGAAAAGGAAGCACAAATTGAAGCAGCAGAGCGAAAGGCACTGGCAGAAGCCTTGAACGATAAAGAACAAGCGCAGAGACTGAAGGAGTTGGAGGAAAAGGCCGAAGTAGATGAAGCTCGTGCTCTATCGAAACAGGAAAAGATTGCAAAGCAAAAGCTAATCAAGGTAGGTGGTTGATTAGTCGCCAAGCAACTGAATACTTGGGTAGATGAATACGGAAGAGGAATGTGGACGATGATCTCACACAGCCAACTATGCATAATTTCGCTTGTTTCTAGAAACTTTTGGCCGAAGAAAAAGAGATCGAACGGAAAGAGCGCAAGGCCGAGAAACTCGAAAGAATATATCTCGCGGAAGAAACTCAAGAGAAGAAGATTCTGCAGCAAAAATTGGACGCTGCTCGTGCTGTAAGTATTTTCCTAATATTGACTATAACGGCTACAGTCGTGCCTGTTGGTGCAGACTCTCAACCGTTGTCGTTTTTTGAATACAGGAGGAAGAGAAATATGCAACTATTGAAAAGGAATACGAAAAAGCGGTGGAACTTGCAAAGGAAGATGAGGAAGAGCTCAGGTTAGTACCTGATGTGGCAGAGGATTGAGGTTTTGTTATTTGTTTCTGGGCTGAATTTCTCACTCTCCTTCTCTTGAATTCTCTCTGTATGTGTAGTTTGGTCAAGAAATTCTTTATGAACTAAGGCATACCTACTGTATGACGAAGTATTGCTCGAATGACCAAGTGCATCCACGCTCTCCATTTCATTTGACTTTGCTTTTCAGAAAGAAGGATGGGTGGGCTTTCCTGTAGTTCTATAAGCAAAGTCACATGTATTTTGAGTTGGAACTTCTTGTAGTGGTTTGATTGTTTTCAAACCTTTGCAGCTTTCATTCAATTGCCGACTTGTTCCTACAAATACTGTACGATAGAATAGTACTTGTGGCCCTGGTGTATCAATCTTCAATACTCTTTTTGAGGGAGACGACCCCGACTTTGACAAGCATTCGTGACATCCGTGACTTGTTCTTTCGTAAAGGGGGACATAAGTTTGCGCACGTGGTAAGCGCAGCGGAATCTTTCTCCGTCTACGCACGTGGTTTTCAATGATTTGCATTTATGACGTCATTCATCAATGATTTGGACTCGCTGCTGATGGAGAAGCTGTCTGACGAAGGCGACTTGGAACACATCACGATCTTCATCCAAGGGGCGAACGAATCAAGCGCAAAGGAAAACTATAATATCATCTACCATACCAATAATCGGTTGCAATCAAGTTTGTGAACTTATAGCAAAGCCAAGATGTATCGCGTTTCAATACTGTTGATGGCTTTGACTGCCAACAACTTCAAATCTGCAGAGTCTCTCCTGCCTCAAAAGCATCATCGGCACACACGTCACAACGATCGTGATTTGGCTCCAGGGAATGGATTCCAATTGCCTCTTCTATCAGCAATCCAGGAAGAAGGCTTTGTGAAGAACATGGAAAACTGTGTGAAAGCATCAATATTGGCATTGGGCCTTACCGCAGCCACTTTGACAACCCCACTTCCGGCCATGGCTTCGGACTCCGCTGCTATTGTTTCGTGCTTATTCTCCAAGTGTCAGTTACCTTTAGCAAAGTGTATTGCGAATCCAAAATGTCTAGCGAATGTGGTTTGTATCAATACCTGTAATGGAAAGGAGGACGAGATTGGATGTCAGATAAAATGCGGTGACCTGTTCGAAAATGAAGTTGTCGGCGAGTTCAACAAATGTGTGGTTTCAGATATGGGGTGCGTCCCACAAAAGCCGGATGATGGCTCCTATCCAGTTCCAGAACCGTCCAAACTGGTGCAGACATTCGACACCAAGCTATGGAATGGAAGGTGGTATATCACTGCTGGTCAAAATAAGTTGTTTGATGTCTTCCCATGCCAGGTTCATTTCTTCACCGAAAGTTCCCCAGGTACTTTCTACGGCAAGCTTAATTGGAGAGTGGAAGAACCAGATGGCGAATTCTTCACCAGAGATGCCTTGCAACAGTTTGTTCAAGATCCCAAAGAGCCAGCCCACTTGGTCAACCATGACAACGAGTATTTGCACTACAAGGATGACTGGTATATTGTGGATTACGAATATGACGACAACAAGGATGGAGTTCCTCCCTTTGCTTTCGTCTACTACCGAGGATCCAACGACGCCTGGGATGGGTATGGAGGTGCTGTTGTTTATACACGGGACTCTAAGCTACCAGAATCATTGATCCCCCGCCTTAGAGTTGCCGCCGAAAAAGTAGGGTTTGATTTCGACAAGAACTTTGATCTCGTGGATAACACATGCAAGGCTATTGACAAGGATGAGTCACTGGTTCTTCGAGAAAAGTTTGCTGGAAAGGTCCTTCTACAAACCGAGGATCTGGTGCAAGCACAAGCAACCAAGGTTCGAGGAAACGCTTTGAACAGTCAAAAGGCACAAAAGGTTTTCTTTTCCAATGAGGGAGCTGCTGCTTCTAAGGCATTCCAAGACCTGTCCGACCAAGTGAAGCAATTCGAAAAAGAGGCCGTATCCGAAGTGAAGCAGTTTGAGAATGTAGTCGTCGACGACGTGAAGCAATTGGAAAAGGCGGTAACTGGGCAATAAGCCATTGGATGTATCGTCAAACGATAGGAGCGTGGTGGACAAGAGGCTTTCTACCATAGCTATTAATTAAAAAACAAATCTAGAAATCCTATCCACTTAGACTTATGACGAAACCAAGCTCATACCTTGAACACTTGTCGATCGAACAGTGTTCTAAATTCCACTGAAGCACCAGTTTGCATGACAATGCCTCATCGGTCTACCGGTAGCACACCTCCAAATGTTGGCTTTCGTGACTCGAAAAATCGGAATGGGAGTGGCTCTGATCTTCTGCAAGCAGTTTGTCCTTACTGCCGGATTTTGTCATAGTTTTCAGGAAGTTTCGGAGATTCTGATTGGTGGGAAGATGGCGTATCTTTCAAACGCCTTCCGTCATTCTTTCATTTTTCATTATCTCCTACCGAACAACAACAAACAAGCACCATGGCAACCGCAAACGAACAAGCCGCTCACCTCATTACCAATAGCTATTTTCTCACGGAATCAGCAGCCAACCTGGATCCCAAGATTGCTGAGCAAAACAGAATCATTGCAGAACAAAAGAAAGCCTTTGAAGAGAGACAGGCTGCTGAGAATTCCAAGACTCCAAGTGAGCTTGTTGTCGAAACTTGGGCAACCGTCACCAAGATTCCCGACTACCAAAAGGTCGCTGGGGAAATTCTTTTCCGTAGAATCTTTGAACTCAATGGAGACGCCCTTGCCATTTTCTCCTTCGCCCAGGACTACAAACCTGACGACGACGCCCTGTACAAGGATCCCAAGTTCACAGCCCATTCCGCTGGCGTTGTTGGAACCGTCACAGCTGCAGTCGGTCTTTTGGAATCTGGGGACATGACTACATTAGTCTCTGTCCTCAAGGATCTTGGAGGCAAGCATGCCAAATTTAACTTTACAAAGGTTCACTATGATTTGGTTGGAGGATCTTTGTTGTATACTCTAGAGAAAGCTCTTGGTGATGCGTTCACACCCAAGGTCAAAGAGTCGTGGGTCGGTGTATATGATGTGATCTCGCAACAAATGATGGTCGGTGCTGCAGAGGCCAAGTAAGTATATTTTTATTTTACCATATCACAAATTTGTTTCCATTTTGACGACGACTGTCTCACATTTACTTTGTCATCTCCAGAGCTCTCAGCCATTTGTCTGAAGAAGAGAAGGCCGAGAAAAAAGTAGCTGAAGCTATTGTATCTGGAAGTTATTTGCTCACTGAGGCTGCTGCCAATAAGGATAAGGAAATCGCCGAGCAAAACCGCCTCATTGCGGAGCAAAGGAAAAGGTTCGAACAGACGGGAACTTCCAAAACTCCAAATGAGCTTGTTGTCGAAACTTGGGCAACCGTCACCAAGATTCCTGACTACCAAAAGGTCGCTGGGGAAATTCTTTTCCGCAGAATCTTTGAACTCAATGGAGACGCCCTTGCCATTTTTTCCTTCGCACAGGACTACAAACCCGACGATGACGCTTTATACAAGGATCCCAAGTTCACAGCCCACGCATCTGCCGTTGTTGGAACTGTCACAGCTGCAGTCGGTCTTTTGAAAGCTGAAGATATGACTACATTAGTCTCTGTCCTCAAGGATCTTGGAGGCAAGCATGCCAAATTTAACTTTACAAAGGTTCAGTATGATTTGGTTGGAGGATCTCTGTTGTATACTCTAGAGAAAGCCCTGGGTGATGCGTTCACGCCCGGGGTCAAAGAGTCTTGGGTCGGTGTCTACGGTGTAATCTCGGAACAAATGATGGCTGGGGCTGCCGAGGCCAAGTGAGTATTTGCTTTGTTTCAGTATCACAAATTTGTTTCCCATTTGACGACGACCTCCTTACATTTGCATTTATCATCCCTAGAGCTAACAGCCTGGCCGAGAAAGACGAAGACGTCCTTTGGGTCTAGGCACGAAAAGGGTTGTCCATGTCCTATCGAAATTATCATTTTGTAAACTTGAATTTTGTATTTTCCACACATCATCTAAGTCTATATATTCATATTACCTCTGGAACGGCCGGGAAATGTTGTAGGTGTACCGGGGTACCGGTGGTACATGACGATAATGGAAATAAAAATGAAAGAGCCCCAAAATCATCTCCTAACTTCAATGTTGGACCGAAGCACAGACGGTCGAGTAGGATGTTCTGACGTATTTCCCGCCCTAAAATCGCGGAAGTTGTACCTACCGGTAGTACAGTGTACTGGATGTCCATTTGACCGCTAAATCGCTAATTCGACAGTATTGTGACTTGTGACTCGCCACGTATCACCGCCGTGACGTAATGTACTAAGTTCCGAACCTAAAAGCGCGGAAATATGTCCGATAAAAGAAAGACGTATGCAATTTGAACTTTTTCTTTCTATCTCATCTTCACGACAGGCATGTCATAAAATTCTTATCAAGGTTTGAATCGTAACCAGCACATTACAATGGCAACCACAACCGCAAATGCTACCGACGTCATGAGTGAGGCAAACAAAGTAATTCTCGCACAAAAGGAAGCCTTTGAAGCGCGTCTTCAGGCAAAGAAAGAGAAGACTCCTGCTCAGCTTGTTGTTGAATCTTGGACAGCAGTCATGAATATCGTTGACTACGAAAAGGTAGCCGGCGAAATTCTCCTACGAAGAGTCTTTGAATTGAGTTACGATGCCTTTCGTCTCTTTCCATATGCCAAGAAGTATCCTTATAACGACGAGGCATTGTTTGAAGATGAAGAGTTCGTGGACAGTTCCACTGCCGTAATTGGAACGATCACAGCTGCTGTTGGTCTTTTGGAAAGTGGAGACACTGATACACTGGACCTTGTATTGAAGGATATTGGTTTCAGACATTTCAGATTCAATGAGTCACACTACGCCGTTGTCGCGGAATCCCTACTGTTCACCTTGGAAATGGCGCTGGACACCGACTTTACAAACAAGGTGAAAGAAGCTTGGGAAAGTGTTTTTGCAGTCGTCCAAAAGCAGCTAAAGAAGGGTGCTATGGAAGCCAAGTAAGATTTCACCCGACACCTTGATTCTTTCTTGATCAAATGTACATACAATGACTCACTGACTGGCGTCCCTTTTTTTCAATTTCCAGAGCCATTGAAAAGGCCCAGATGCTTGAAGCTGTCATTTCGACCGACGAAGTCGAAGAGCCAGAGGAGGAGGTCAAGCCAGATGTCAAGCCGGATGTCAAGACGGAAATCAAGCCTGCCGTAGTCAAGCCTATCGCCGAGAAGAAGTTGCCAATTGAAGAACCGGTCAAGAAGGAATTGAAAAGTTCAATCACATGGGTGCTCAAGAAGAGCAAGAAGACCAGCAAGAGCGGACTTACATTTGCTTCCAAGAATGGAGTTGTCGCATTGAAGGCAGTCGAAGGAAGAGCAGCTGCAAAGACAAACCTTTCTGTCGGCCTTCAAGTGTTGAAGGTTGATGGCAAAGAGGTCAAATCTGCATCAGAAGCTGTCAAGGCCTTCGCCAGTGCCCCTGCTGGACCGGTCAAGATCATGACCAACGGTTCGCACCACACTGCAAAGAAAATGACAAGTAAAGACAAGGCTGGTTTCGCCATCCAACCCTACCACTTAGACAAGAGCTTGATTGAAATCTACAAAGTAAACGAATTTGGAATGTTCCCTGACCTTGAGCCTGGACATTTGTTGTGGAGTATCAACGGAAAGCGAATTGTTAACGTTCAACAAGGAATCAAGCTTATGGCCAGCAAGAAGGTGTTGATGCTGGTCATTGTGGATCCAGCTGACCTGAACGGTATCAAGGCATCTGATGCCAAGGAAGCAGATTTCAGTCCGAAGAAGACATCTGTTGTAAAGGAGCCCACTGTCAAGGTCACTCCAGTCAAGGAAGAGCCCGTCAAGGAATCCAATCCAGCCGAAGAACCTCAATCTGGAGGCGTGATTTGGACCTAGGCCATGTATGGATATTAGTTTGAGTGTGTGTTCAGAACAAAAGGCAGCCAAAAGATGGCTGCGGAATCGAGCACGCATTGGGCTACAAAGATGGAGTACGATACTACGTCCATCCTGCCGACTTGTATTTCTGAATTTTTTTGCACTGTGCATTTGGCAACATGATTCAGACTTTGCTTTTATATAGAGAGAACTTAAGAACAATAGTGTTTACAATTATAAATAATGGCACCAACAATAGAAGAAACATGCACCATGATGCAAAAGGAGCAACTAATTTTCGACCGAAGACACGAGGCTTGTTTGTGCCGGTAGTTTAGACTGAGTTTTCAAAAAAAACTCAATGGGGCAAAAGTAACCCCGGGGGGAATCGAACCCCCAACCTTCTGTTCCGAAGACAGATGCTCTACCATTGAGCCACGAGATCAGTTTTTGATTGGTCGAGGATTCTGGATACAATATAATTTCAAAAATTTTCTACTCGCGCACCATCGAATGTTCTTAGAAACACAGCAAAATGCATTGAAGTTCGCAAGATTACAAAATGAAGAAAAAATTCTGTTTCGTTCGTACTGTATGTACAGGCACCAGTAGGTAGGTACCGAACCGTTGATAATATTTTTAAAAAACAGTATGCCGTATTCCTGCCAGCGGTACCGGTACAATACACCTACGAACTATTATTTTATCCAAGTCACACTTTATCTGTGATTGCGTGCTGGTTACAGTCCCGGCATCCGCCACGAAATCCAAAAGATCCTTCCATAAATTCAAGAGACGATGAAATTCTTATCAATACCCAAATCTACCACTCTCCTCCTCCTCTCTCTACACCAAATGGACCTTACATTGGCACAAGGTGGTGGAGGCGGCGGCGGCGGCGGAGGCGGTGGAGGAGCTGGTGGAGGAGGAGCAACGACATGTTCGGGTGTGAGAACTCGATTTGGTGCTCCTAGTGAAGGCACCTGTTTGCCTTGGGAAAATCAACGCTTGGTTACCAAAAGCTACCCAGGTGACTTTGGAGGCATCACGAACAAGGTTGAAATCTACCAATGTCCAAGTAGTGGCAAGCGAGTTATTATTTCCAATGGTATTCCAGATCATGAAGTGACGCTTCAAAATCGACTGGCTCCTTGTGAAGTCAAATGGGCGGTCGAAATGCCGCTGTTTCCAGAAGTATCTTCATCGAAAACTGAAGTTCCAGTCAGAGGAATGATTGCGATGGCAATCAATGGAGTTCCTGCCTATGGTCCGCAAGAATCAGATGATGCCAATGCTGTTGATGGCGATGGAGCAGTTCCTGGTGCACGATTTTGGTATGGTCATACTGGTGGCAATCTGGTCTGGCATTTTCACAATCCTCAAATGGGAAAGGAAACATTTCCATCATCTACTACTTTATTGGGATATGCCATGGATGGATTTCCAATCTATGGTCCTTTAGATGATTCGAATATCGGACAGCTTGACGGCTGCAACGGATTGGTGAATGGCGACGGCGACTATCAATATCACGTCCGTGCAATTTCTCAAGTGGATAGCAGTTTGGAATATTGCAATGGAGACAGTCCAGAGACAAACTGGAACTATATCCTGGGCTGCTATTCTGGATCGGTTTCCAACTCGAATGTCTTGGATTCCACCAGCTACAATCTTTCCAGCGACTGTGTCTTGGATCCAAATCCTACTACCGATACGGGAGACAACCTTGTAAGCAATCCAATCGAAAACCCAACCGACTCTCCAGTCTCGTCTTCTATTCCAACGGATGTGAACATCATCATTATGCAACCCGACGACTTGCTATTTTTCGACGAATGGGGAGCACCGCCCAACAATCCTACTCAATCCAATCAAAACACCAATATGCCCAGCGCTGGTATGCCGAACATCGAGCGTTTGCGATTGAATGGACTGCAAATGATGGAAGCTTATGCGGCATCTCCAATGTGTGGAACATCTCGGTATTCGACCATTACTGGAAAGTACCCTTCACGAGCCGAAACCAACAGCGGAAATCCATCTTCGGTCACCATTCCAAATACCAAGCTTCAGGGTGACGATTGCACACGTGAAAACGTGGCTGCTGAATTTCAAGCAAACGGATACCGCACAGCAATGATTGGCAAATGGCATCTGTCGCGAATTTCCGACGCCGACTATACCTATGAAAGTGCCGTGGATACAGTCAAGCAATGTGGATTTGACACCGTTGGCGGTCTTTATATTGAAAACCTTGCAGCGAACGCCAACAGTTTCAACAGTTTCAGCGATGGAACATTCAGTCATAACATGGAGTGGATTACCCATGAAGCCATCAACGTCATCAATGAAGACAGTGACAAGGTAAGTTGGTCGTTGTATTGTCTGATTGCTGTACAATATGTGGTTGCAATTTCACTCAATTTACTCGTCACAATCCTTCATTATTGCAGCCATTCTTCATGTACTTTAATCCCACCGTACCTCACGCTTCAAATTCAATCGACGTGGCATTGAACGATTTCACGTGTCAAGACACTGCAGGTGGTACCTTGATGTTTGAACCAATGATTCCTGGAATGACGCAGGAATATGGTAATTGCGCTGATTACCGCCAAAGTGTCATCGATCGATCCAATAGTGAAGATGATTATGGATCAATCTGGCTCGATGATAGTGTCGGGGCAATCTTGCAAGCACTGGAAAGCAAGGGGATTTTAGAGAATACCATCTTCTTGTTTCAAATAGATCATGGAATGGACGTCAAAGGGGCGATTCTCGAAGGTGGAACTCGGATTCCACAATTCGTTCATTATCCTGCAGGCATTAGCGGTGGGACAAAGTTGAATGTTCCAGTCTCGACCATCGATATCGGTGCTACAATGTTTGATTTTGCAGGAATCACTCCCTCCTACACTCTCGATGGGCTATCTTGGAAGAAGGCATTAGAAAGCTCCAGCCAGGAAGCCTTTTTCAATGACGGGAGGTGTCTTTTCTTTGAGATTGACCAAGATAGAGCTGTTAGATGTGGATGCTATAAGTATCTTTCCATCAATGACATCAATGACAGCACAACAGCTTCTCGAGGAAGCCAACGTGGCCTGGACGTTGACGATTTAAATTTGTATGATTTATGTGGTGGAACTTCCGATTATGTAAGCGCGAAGGACGATAATCAAGAGGCTTTGAATCTTTTGGCCTCTGACCCCAACAACGAGAGTGTAAGTGTCATTGCAATGAAATCAGAATCATTCTTGAATTGCTGCCACAATGTTCCATGACTGACTAAAATTCAATCACTCGCAGGCTTCCAAGTTGCGCGATGCACTGGATTGTCATTTAGAAAGGACGGATGGTACAAACCAAGGCTTTCGAGATTGTAACTTGTTCGATGCGCCTGCAGATGAACCCGCTGAAAGTCCTTCTGGTGAGTCTTCTGCAGTGTGTATTTCCGCTCTGCTGTCTCTCTTGACGGTATGGTTCGGCTATGGTCTGTTCGCAATATGATAAATCCATTCAATGTGAGAACTCTACCGCACAATGGTGTCAATAACGCTCTACTAACTAGATCATGGCTCACTTGGATTTTCTACTTTTTGTACCATTGAACACAATAGAGTGTCTCGAAAAGAGTTCTGAGTGCACTTCGAGTGACGAATGTTGCACTGGATCTTGCAAGATGGGCAAATGTGTTAGCCAACCACCAACAGTGAGCAAGGATGAACTGAAACTTAGCCGCAACCGACTCGAGACAACCTTTGGCCGCAGACGTATCCGTGGTGCGAAACAGAACTGAACGACTAATTTTTTACCCTTTCTTCTTTACAGCAACTCCTGGTCCCACACCTGATCCAACACGAAATCCAACACCTAGCCCGACACCTGATCCGACACCAGGCCCAACGCCTGCCCCAACCCCACGCCTAACTTTTAGCCCAGTAGTGGGCACAACACCTGTTCCAACGCCGGATCCTACTCCCAACCCAACGGAGACAGAAACCGTTATTTCTCCTGTCAATAGCGGGGCTCCAATGTTATCACCCATCACTGAAGTACCTTTGATGAATCCAACTACAACGCCCACTGACGAGCCAACACCGACCATGGCTACCAATCCCACTCCTCTTCCTCCGACACTTGCGCCACAAGCTCAACCGACTCGTCCACCAAGAGATGCAGATTCTGCGGGTGCTGCGGTGGGACTATATGTTTCAATCTTCTCATCTTTGGTAGCATCTTGGAGTCTTTGATAAAATAGCATGCATTAAAATGCAGTGGAATCGAAATGATTCGTACTACCGGGACAGTAACTATTACACATTACACTGCATCCATTGTGATGTCCACAAAGGACTTTTTCTGCACCTTTACTACTGTTGAAACGTGCTTCGACGATCAGAAACCCAAACAAATCAAGTCAAACGTTTATTGTGATCAACTGCGCCTGCATCAAAAGATCTCATATTCATTCATATGGAGAGCGATGACGTCCATCAAGAAAGTCTTAAGCAGCCATACCCCTGCTCTAGAGCAGGAAGTTGTGGAATACCTTGAAGGATTGATCAAGAATGCGATTGAAGACGATGAGGACCCTGCAATCGTTGCAGAAACACTGGTGGAGTTCCTATCACAAGATGAATGTGAGAGTATCTTGTCGTTGTTTCCGTCAAAATCAACAAAAAAGAAACCAAAGTCGCCTGCGGCTATATCGCAGTTGATTTCTCCGCTGTCTCTCCAAGAGGAAGAGCCAGTGGAGATGCAGGCTTCAGGCCCAGAAACCACGAAAAAGGAACCTTCAGCCCAAGTATCCAAGAAGGCTCAACGAAAAGAACGCCGACTTGCAAAGAAAACCGGTCGTAAAGCTAAAGTGGCGCCTGACGTTCAGGAGGAAAAAGAACTCTTGGATGACCACGCATCTGCCTGGGAAGAATGCAAAAAGGAGGGAGCGCTTTGGGGTGGCAGAGGACATGGAGGCCGAGGACTGAGAATTACTGGTGACAATTTGCAATCCATCCATTTGCCTTCCGTATCTCTTGTGTATTTGGGCAATGAGCTATTGGCTGATTCGCCAATGTATATTGTCCAAGGAAAGCGATATGGGATACTTGGCAGAAATGGAGTGGGGAAGAGTACACTGCTCAAACAGCTGGCAGCTGGAGCAATTCCAGGAATGCCTCGAAATATGCGAATCTTGCTAGTACAGCAACAAATACAAGGGAGAGTAGATCAAACCACGCTAGAGGCGCTGGTAGAAGCTGATGTGGATAGGCAAATGTTGTTAGAAGAGCAAGAAAAAGTGGAACAAGACTTGGAAGCAGGAATCGATTTGGAGAAGAATGCCGAACGATTAGGTGATATCGTGGCCGAATTGGATGCAATTGATGCAGACAGTGCTGATGAAAGAGCACTTGAGATCTTGAAGGGTCTATCATTTACTAAACCTATGGTTGAAGGGCCAACCGCGAGTTTGTCGGGAGGATGGCGCATGCGACTAGCATTGGCTCAAGCTTTGTTTGTGCGCAATTCTGATTTGATTTTACTGGACGAATGTACAAATCACTTGGACTTGCATGGTATGGATTGGTTGATCCAATACCTGACAACGAAATCGAATCACACGCTGCTCATTGTTTCACACGACCGAGGCTTTCTCGATGCGGTTTGCACTGATGTAAGTTAGTTCGACCATTGCGAAGTATCCGTTTGGATTTATGATGCAAAACAACTCATCTCCTCTGCTATTACCATGCATCATAGATGATCGTCATGGAACATCAAAAGTTGGCGTATCATGTTGGAAATTACTCCGAGTATAGAAGGCAGATGGATGAAAAAGCAGCTAGACAAGCACAGATTCTGGATGCATCGGAGCGGCAAAGGGCCAAGGCTGTGGCGTTTGTCCAAAAGCAGTCAAACAACAAGAAATCAACTGATCCGAACAAGCAACGGCAGGCCAAAATGATTAAGGAAAAGAAGATGGATCGAATTGGCATGTATCGGGAGTAAGTGTTGCATTCGTTCTTTCGATTGTCTTAGGGTAATATATACTTTGAGCACTCATTGAGACATGCTTTGAAAACAGAGATGGGAAAAAGTTCAAGAACTTTTCTCTGAGTAAAATGTCTGCGGACGCCGTTCGGCTTGCAGAGAAGGTACACATCGAACGAGATGACCCCACTTTGAAGCTTAGGTTTCCCAATCCGACCTTTCCACCAAGTCTAGCCTCCGAGAATAGTACGCTTGTCCGAATGGAAAATGTAAACTTTGGTTATGAGAAGGATGCCGATTTCCTCTTGGAAAATTTTACGCTGTACTTGACGAGGGCGAGCAAGGTTGCGGTCGTGGGAAAAAATGGAGCAGGAAAGAGTGAGTAATGAGATTCTAGATGACCGCTGCAATTTTGGAATATACACAATCTCATCATCTCTCTTGCTTTTCGCCCTGTATTTCTTCCTCTCCTCGGTCTACAGCAACTTTGGTTAGGCTAATTACTGGAGAGATCGAAAAGGCTGGGAGATTAGACGGGGAAATATGGCGTTACCCAGGTCTCCGAGTTGGACACATCTCTCAGTACTCTGTTGAGGAATTGGAGGAATTTAAGACAATGACAGTGGTTCAGTATGCCGAAAAGAAATTTGCGTCGGGCAGGGCTTCGTCAAAAATTATTGCGGAAGCCTCTGGCAACGTGAGAAAGTACCTCGGTTCATTTGGGCTCGGAGGAACGCATGCCCACCGAGCGATTGGAACGCTATCGGGAGGAGAACGGATGCGACTTTGCTTTGCCACTGCCATGGCAGACGAACCACAATTGCTTTTGCTCGATGAATCCACAAATCATGTTGATTTGGAAACACTAGATTCAATGTCACAAGCCCTTGCAGACTATACAGGGGCAGTGTTGATGGTGAGTCACAACCAAGCTTTCCTCAGCGGCTTTTGCAACGAGCTTTGGGTTGTCGAAGATGGCAAGCTTGAAATCAACCACAGTGACACAGAAAGCTTTGATGATCTATTCTCGAACTATCGGAGCCATATTCTATCTGGCTCCTCGGCCAGTGCTCGTATGCAACAGCGAAAGGTCAGGGCAACAATGGCAAGACAGGCCAAGCAGCACAGTACCAACGCTCGTGCCAATACAACCATGCTTACCTAACACTTGTAGATGGCTCAATGTTCCTAACGATAAAGCAACATTCTTAGCGACTGGAAGATGATGTTAGTAGCATCGCAAATCTATATCCTTATTCTGCCTAAACTGAGTCAAAGCTGTCGCCGGATATTCTTTTCCCGTTCGCCATTCCAACTGGGGTAGCAACTTTGGACTTCGATGATAAGGTAGGGAGATCTACCATATCTGGATGCTTCGACATCAATCTCGAAGCATAGTCATCTACCGAGTCATTAGAACCGTCGAATGATTCCCCAGATGCCATTCGCTGCAAGCCAGATGATGTCGGTGATATTTCTCGCATCTCAACATCACCTGTTGATGCTGCAATGTCATCGTCATCAAAATTATCAGGCAGATCAAAGTCATCATGAGGCGAAGAGTGGCCGCGATATCCGGCTGTTGCAAACGTTCTCTTTCCACCCATTGTGATTGGAACGGCGTCTTCGCCGAGTTCGACAGAATCAGACACCAGCATATCGCCTTCGTAATCATGTTCCGTTGGATTGAAGAACCAGCGCTGCAGGTAGTAATATCGGTGCAATATCTTTATGTTCATTTGATGAATAATCATTACGATTCCCACCAGAACCGTCCCCATGACAAGTAGGGCAAGGACCCAATCGATAAAATCTCCACCTTGACCGTCGCTTGAAAGATCCGAAGGCTTTGGTAGCGGACGCTTGACTCTCTCGACAGTGAAATAAGGGTGCACAAGGTTGAGCTGCCAATAAAGTGATCCATCGCGATACAAGTAAACCTGAGAAGTAACGTTCCCATCTTCGTCTATCGATGCTATACCATATTGAGGATCCATGAGGCAACTGGAAGTGATCACCAATGCCATTGAATCTCCATCTCCACTCAATAGGCCATCCATAGCGGCTTGAGCCACCATTGCGTTTTCTGCCTCATGCATCTTACTAGTCGCTTCTTTTACTGCATGTGCTGCTGCCTCGTCGTCGATTTCCATTAGTATTGTTGTTGGCGTCGAAGACGGGAAGTTTGACGGAGCTACAGAATTCGATGGTTGCAGACTAGGCTCAACATCCTCCAATTCCTCATCTTCATCAATGACCTCAAAATCGTCATTTTTAGTTTCCTCAATAGAAGTGATTGGATCTAGTTCTTCGTCCATCCTTCTCCGCCTGGTATGGTTTCCAGCATCAAGGTCGCCAACGTCGTTCTCATCTTCGTCTCTATCCATATCATTGTCATGCCTGTCTCCATCATCATCACCGTCGCCATCAACATCATCATCATCATCGCCATCATCATCGTCACCATTATCTTCCTCCCCGTCCTGATTGACAACAGTTTCCCCACCGTCGACGTTGGATTCACCACCACCACTATCTTCCTCACCGCCAATCGTGGAGTTGAGAGGATTATTATGTGTAGCACTATTGCTTCCGTCGCTTGTGGAATTGTTGTTGTTGTCGTTGTTGTTGTTGTTGGAAGGCAAAGCAGATGGTTGGTCCGATCTACTGGGGTTCACGGAGGGCTGTTCCGACGTACTGGGACTCAAAGTGGGCGCGTTCGAAGGCATAATCGAGGGTCCTTCCGATATCGACGGCTGAGCAGTGGGAATGTACGGCGTGTAGTCGTTGAAGGCAATGGCTGTCAAGCATTGATACAGTTGCGAATAAAACATGGCCGCATCGTATCCGACTTTGCCTTCTGGACTAATTTTGGTCACCGATTTGGCCCAAAGTCGAGGTTCGTACATGGGTGGAGGCAAAATGGGAGCAATCTCCACCCCAAGAGACGCCAATTCCCTCCAGATAAAGCTGGTAAAGTCTTGACTGGAAGAGGATTTCAATAGTTTGTCGTTTTCGGGAGAATATACCGAAAAGGGTTGATACTTTCGTCGTTGTTCGGCAAATTCGACAGCCTTGGCCAGCATTTTTTCCAAAACGGTTCCTGTCATACTGGCCATATAATAGGAACTCATGTATCGTCCTGAAACAATTTTGGTAGTATAGTAGATTCTGGCTTCATTATCCCAAGTCAGAATCGCACTCCCATCTTTTACTTGGGCCAGTGGAGTGGCATCGCGATCTAAAGCAGTCCCCACCCGTTGAGGTCCATATTCCAAGGTGATTTCGACCGGCTTGGTGAGCATGGCCGTCCCCGTGCCGCCCAGCGGTCGATATCGAAATCCCAAGGCAGGCTTTTGAATGTGCAAAGTAGAATTGGCCATTCCGTGAAGAGGGACGCTGCGCAACAGGGTATAGCATTCCAACACGTCACTGGCATCCAATCCTTGGGTAATAGTCGGTATTAAACTTTTTGCCAGGACTCTTGGTTTGGCAGCCTTTGCAAGCTCATCGTCACTATCGTTGTTGTCATCATTAAAGCTTGGATTGTCAAATGTATTGTCGTGAATATCTGCAGGATCTATCATATCTGAAGAATAATAGTAATAATAGTCCTAATAGTTCTCTTCATGCCACAAAACTGAAAATTTCAAAATTAGTGCCAACTTTGTGGTTCACTGGAAGAAGGATTTTCGTCCGAAACGTCAGTCCAACAATCTTGTTTCGTTCAAGTCCAAGTACGTGATTTAGACTCCACTCAATGCTGCTGATGATGTGAAAGTCTACAGATTGTGCGCTGCTATGGATGATGATAGTTCGTTGCCTTTGTTGTATGCAATGTTTCGCCGATGACCGATGACGCCGCCGAGGAAGTACAGTAATCTTGGACGCTTTGAAAATCTGTCGAACAACCTCCGTGCGTAGAAGAATGTACTTAGCGTCGGTTGAATGGGATGGTACCGGTAGGTAGGCCAGACAACGATTCTCATTAGACCCCTTCGATTGTTTTTTCGAGTACCACTCATTTTTTGGACACCATCCAAAAACATCAGATCTTTTGTGTGATCCACACACACGCAACATCACTTCTCTTCTCTTCTCTTCTCTACCTACGCTTGCAGATATGTTACAACGATTAAACATATCATTATACCAATCTCATATTGCCAGGAGACAGCAACAACGATTGCTAAATTCAGCTCTTTCTTATGCGAGGAATCATCTCCATAATTCGTGTCAATCGTCAACATCACGACGTCCGGCATCATCACCAACAGACCATGTTCTTGCCAAGATAACACATCAGCAATCACGATTTCTCGTTTCTTCTTCCCAAACGAACTTTGACAATCATCAAAAGTCGTCCGAAATTACTACCATTCCGCCATCATCTTATATTCGATTGTCCAAACGCATGAGTGAACTGGACATTTGCAGTCGACGGGAAGCCGATCGACTGATTAGGAATGGCAAAGTAGTGGTGGATGGACAAGTTGCCATGTTGGCCGAAAAGGTTCCTCCCGATCTGGAGAAGGGTCAAATATCGATTCGAATGTTTTCGGGGAATGACCATGAGGATGAGGATGATTCGGTGGATGAGGAACACAATCATCATCATGCTAGCACTAGCAACACGATGACGACAACAATTGTCATGAACAAACCACTTGGATACGTTTCAGGCCAGGCCGAACATGGACATCCTCCGGCTATTAGACTCCTTACAAGGGACCGATTGTGGGAGTCCAACAAGGAGGATGATATAACAACGACAACTACAACTGCAACAACAACAACAACTACTACTACTACTACCAACGATGACAATGGCAATCCTCCTCTTTTACTTCCATCTACCTGGAGAGGGTTTGCACCCGCCGGACGATTGGATTTGCACAGCACCGGCCTTCTAGTACTTTCTTCCTCTGGAGTTGTGGCCAAGAAATTGATTCATCACCATTCCAACGTATCCAAAGAATACATTGTGGATGTAGAACCAGCCTACCAAGTATCAAAACGAGAAAGGGACTTGGATCCCAACTTTGATTTGCCCAAACCACCGTCGAACGATTTGACGCCCTTGTTGGAGGGTGGAAGGACGCTGCTTGGAAGTGACCACAAACCACTCTTGCCTTGTGTGGATGCTGAATGGACGGAGAAAGGAAAGACATTGCGTCTCGTATTGGTGGAGGGGAGGAAACACCACATTCGCCGACTGTGTCGAGAGATTTTGGGATACCACGTGGTCAAACTACAACGAGTACGTATTGGTCCTATTGAGCTAGGAGATCTGCCAGAAGGGTGTTGGAGACCAGTTTCACAAGAAGAACTAGACGGCATTATGGAATGAAATTATTGAATGATGAGTTTCATTCAAATTCTAGGATTTTCCAGTCATCCACCGGTCAATCAATCGTAGAGCAAGAAATCAAAGTGATGGTCTGGAATGCCGGTCAGAAAGAGGCAGAGATCGTATCCCAATCCACTTTCATAGAAATCAACAGCTTGCCATCCAGCATACGCCACTTGTTTGGCATGGTTGAAGAAATCATAATGGAGGGCTTTGTGCACAATCCATTCAACGCAATAATCCGAGACTCGTTGGACGGTTCTTTCAGGATAAAGATGCTTGGACGAGTCGGCAATGGAATCGCGTTGGAGGACAAAAGCAATTGTCCCTTCCAGTAAACCAAAATACTGGTGCATTCGATACTGGTTGGGTGGCTGGTGGCCCAACTGACGATAGAAGGATGCCGCTTGTTTGGGATAGTGCCAAATGGCTTTGGCTTTTTCGTACCGGCTCAAATATTCAAAATCGGCAGTCCGACGTGGATCCAAGAGCACGGGGCACTTGCAGTAGATGTGTAATGGACTGGTACAATGATTTACGAGGTCTTCAGTAGTGTGTAGTTTGACCCCACAATCCTCACAAAGTACTGGATATTCTCGTCTTGACCACTGAGAGGAGTTTCCGGAAGGAGAATCTAGTAAGTTCCCATATTCGTCCACTCTCCAGTGGCAATAGACCCCATGGTCCATGAAATAGATGGGACAATCGTCCTTGTCATCCTCGTACATATCAATTGTTTCGACATCATTTGAATATTCCAATGCGGTTGGCAGGCATTTGGAGCAATCGCCGCCAGTATTGTCGATATTGGCATCATTTTCGTCATGGCAATATCGACGAGGTTGACGAGCTTGTAGTGACAATACTGTACTTTGATAATAATTGACATCGTGACAATCATCATGACCAATACCGTCATCTCCATTAGCACTTTCGCCAATCGTTCGCCATCGACGAGGACGAAGAGGAATCCGCATTTCGATTCGAACAAAATTATCCGGATCGTAAAAATCGTCTTGGGTCAAGACTCGCAACGGCGCCAATCGATATTTTCGATTCCAATGCTCGTAAGTCGATGCCCACAAGGTATCATGATTCATCACCAACTGAAAAAAGTGTCGATTGGTTCTGGCAACGGAGGCCAATTCCGGCGCGTGGAGAAATGGCAAGACATGTTCGAGAACCGTGTCGTCCAGCAAGCATTGCTTCAAGCTGCCTGTATCGTCTTGTGTACTTGTCATGGTATTATTGATGATTATTGATTGTACCATGGTCCTCCCACGCTTCCTGGCACCGTTCGAACACTCGGTGTGAGATCTTTGAGAAAGATGTTGCCAAAACTAACGTTGTTTTGATTTTCGAAATCAAGTCCCGCCAAGACCCTGTCACGAGTTCGCGCTATTCTTTTCGAAACCTCCTCTTACTATACAGTACATCATCCGTGAAAGGTATCGTATCGCAGGGTGCTAGTGTGAGACGAGCCTTAAGATACCTCATCAAGTCTATACCTATAAAAGACTTGGCAATCCAATCGCAATCAACATCATTTCTATTTCTCTATAATCATTACTGATTTCTTTCTAATCTACCAATCTCAATTTACACAGTTCTTTTCACAACACCATACAGTAGTCCTACACACAAGGACAACAAAACCGAGCATTGATCGTGTCGTCCCATTCCTTTGATGATTCTGTGTCACCTTTCCACTATATTCATCTTCCATTTATTGTTGTTGTTGTTGTTTGACATTTGCATACAACAATGCCTTTGGATTGCGAAAATATCCACCTCGCTCTTGCACATTGCAGGTCCACTGTTTGGGCAAAGTGCTTTTCGAGTACCCTTGAATCAATTCCTTGTATTCCTCCACGCTGGTGGTGGCTTCCCTCAATCTATTGAGAACCATGTTTCCCACCATGCCGGCGTCACAAGCCTTTTGAAAGAAATGACGAGTCCACTTGGTTCGTTCGGGACTACCAGCTGGCAACAAGCGAGCACAGGCCTTGAGCATGGTACCGTAGGTAATGTGGTTGGCCTTGCCAAAGGCAGGATTCTTTTCCAACGCTTGAATGTTCGACAACGCGACGTTAAACGCCTTGGCGCGTTCGCTCTTTTTGGGTTCCGACGCGCAACTGGACAATACCGAAGTGAATCCAATCACATCTGGTTTGCAGTCTTGGCAGCCAGCATAGTACAGATTCAATTGCCGATCCAAAATAGATTGGGCCTTGCGATAGGCTCCTGGAACATCGCTGTGGGCCCATGCCGAAATGACAGTATTGAAGAGAATGGCATCCGGATCCCAGGAAATTTCATCATTTTTATAGTGAGTTTCAATGCTTCTCAAAATAGTGTCGGCCTGTTTGGCCGTTTCGGGTGAGCACCCCTTGGCCAAGGCGCAAAGGACAGTATTGTAAGTGCACCGATCTGGTTCAACTCGAGTGTTGGCCATTTCAAAATACAAATGTTCCATGAGGGCCAATAGAGCCACCATCTTTTTGTGTTTGTGAGGAGACTCTTTGGTAATCGTCTTGGCCCACGCAAACAAGACGGCATTGAAACTGAGAGTAGTTGGTTTCAGCTTGTGCGAGTGGACAATTTGAGATAGTTTATCTTGTGTCAAGAGCAATTGTTCGGCCTTGTGGGCAGCTCGTGGGTCATTGTCACTTTTGGACCAGATTTGCAAACAAATGTCAAAACAGTCCGAGTCAGGGAGAACGTCATTCTCTCCCGATTCGTAGAGTCGAATCATCCATTCCAAGAGTCGTTGGGCACGAATGGCGGCAAAGGGGACTCTTGAATTCTTCCAAGCGAGTAAAGCGCTCTTGAAAGTTTCCAAATTGGGTTGAATGGAAAAGTCATTGGTTTCCTGGTGCAGCTTTTGCATGGTAGTCAAGATTTGTTCGCATCGCTCAGCGGCAAAGACACCTCCTTGCGATTTGACCCACAAGTTGAGAATAATGTTGTAATCCAACGTGGTGGGATTGACGTTGCGAATTCCCGCTTTGGATTCTTCCACGAGTCGTTTGAAGAGGGATTCCACGGACATGGCGTTTTCCACAGTGGCCTCCTTGGACATGGACCATCCTCTCAAGACTTCCGGAGCGGAATCAATCAATCGAGAGCCAGTGGGAGAATCACAAATGTCTCCTGTTAGTTGAGTGAGCCATTGACGTTGCCGAGTGGGAGGAATGTAAGTCTTGAAGGTGATGTAAGACTCGGTTGTAGGAAGACTGACAAGTGCCAATAAAAGGAAACAAGAAAGAACCAAAGACGATTCTGCTATTCTTGACATGCTTGTGGCTTTTATGATTCTCTTGAGTGATAGATACTTCTCTTGTTGTTGTTGCTGTCACTGTCACTGGCACTGTCACTGTCACTGTTTTGCTTTCAGAATAGGTATGTGATACAAGACTTGTCAGTGTTATTTTTTTTGTTAGTTCTTGAAAGAATATGAAGCTTTGCAGACAGATGGAAAACAGAAGACGGTCGTCTGAGACCTGCGAACAAAATTGTCGGCGTCAGCATGGTCGCGGATGTGTAAGAATTGTACCAGCCAAAATCTGACTCAACACATGTTTCTACCACTCTTCGATGATTCCAACTGAATTCTGGGTTCTGACTGGTGTTCCGACGTCATGCGTGACGTCGACGATGATTCATCCGGATACCCCGGCATCATCTTTGGCATTGACTCAGAGATTTTCATTCATCATATTCTGTTGACTCAGATTTTATTTTCCAGGTGTAAAAATAATACAATTGCAAGGACGGAAGAAGAAGTCGAACTGACTCGGAACTTCCGGAAGAAAAAGAAGCAGAGGCTTGAGGTAGTAACAAAGATTCCTAGGTACTACTGTAGGTACACTACTAGGTCCTAGTTTTTAAAATTAAAACTCTCCATCTATCATAGTATCTTTCATTTATTGCTTCCAGTCCATGGCCCTTCCAGTTGCAGCTTGACAGCAATCGGTGCCTTGTCCGAACAAACACAGGTCACTCGCACTCGACGAAAGAACTTGATTTCCAACTCTTTCCATTGTTCTCCCTTGTGTTTGGTGATTCTAGTCAACTTGATGCGCTTGTCGGGGAGTTGGTCACCACTACCAACGCCCTCCTTGCCAAATGTGTAATCCTTGAATTCAATCCAATCCTTGTGTTCCTCCAAAAATACCAAGGCCGAAATACCCAAGGAAGGCAAAAAGACGGTAAAGGTTTTTTGACCGACCGACAAGACGATGCCCAATTGGCCTTTCAAGGGATGCTTTTTCAAATAGAGTGCCAAAAAGACAGTATCGCTGCGTTCTTGGGCTTTGCGGGAGCCTTCCTTTTTGTCATTGCAACGTTCGCAAATGTTGCCAATGCGCTTTTCGGTCCACTCGAAATCTTCCACAGTCTCATCCAGGGTGGCTTGCAAGAGACGGTGTACAATGACGTCGGCATATCGCCGAATGGGACTGGTAAAGTGGGTATAATACGGAATGTTCAAGGCAAAATGGGCCCATTCGTGGGGGGACAAGTTGCCGGCGGCAATGTATTGAGCAGGTTTCATGGGAACTTTGAGCATTTCCGTCACGCACTTTAGAACTAATTCGTCTTGACATTCTTGAGCCAGTCGACTCAGTGATCGTTGGAGTCCTTCCGAACTATCAATGTCAACCTTGAAACCAATGGCCGCTTGCGCCACGGCAGCTACCTTCTCCAAACCATCGTACAAGGGCACTTCGTGATTCCGCAAACAGGCTAGGCCACCTGCGTGCGTAATCAGGCGTTGGGCCACTAGATAATTGGCAAGCAACATGTACTCTTCGACCAAACGATTGGAATCGCGAATTTCATACGGTTTGCAAAGCAACGGGGTTTCGCCATCACCATCGAGTTGAAAGGTCAATTTGACCGAGTTGAGTCCCAAGGCTCCATTGCGAAATCGCATTTGGCGGCGGGCTTGGGCGATTTCATTCATCAATCGGACATCTCCCGCTACCTCTTCAATGGTATGACCACCTGTCGGGCGTCGGCTCTTGGGCCACAGCTCTTCCTCGATCTCTGCGTTTTCATGCGCCGCTACTTTGTTGTCGATAATGTTTTGCGCCGTGGCATAATCCAAACGGGCACACGATTTAATGACAGTTCGTCCATACCAAACTTTGTGGCCCTTGACGACACTTCCATCTTTGTTCATTCTCCAGACACATGAAAATGCCAATCGTTCGACGTTTTCATTCAAACTGCAGGCAATTTCACACAGTGGACGAGGAAGCATGGGTATGACTCGGTCCACCAGATAGACAGTGGTACAACGACGTTGGGCTTCCACGTCCAATAAGGAATCTGGTTCCATGAAATAAGAAACGTCTGCAATGTGCACACCAAGTTCCACTTGACCATTCCCAAGGTCGGTAATGTGCAAGGCATCGTCCAAATCTTTGGCGGTAGTAGGATCAATGGTAAAAATTCGTTGTTTTCGATAATCTCTTCGGCCCTCATGCATCTCTGGTGTTGGTTTCCAACCGGAGTCGGCACCGTTGGAATATTCTCCCGAGGCCACCACAGTTTGACATTCCTCCAGGACTTCTGGCGGATGCTCACCATGATCCACTTGATTTTCAATCAACAGCGCAGCAGTCTCATCTTCAATGTTACAGGATTCTCCAAATTGCACAACATTGGAACACGGTGGCCATCTATGGTTCTCCATCCAAGCCCCATAGTCGTATCTAGCTTGAAAGATGGCAGTGTTAGGTGCTGCCTTGAATTTCTTGGCATCTGGGTTGGAAAGCCGAAATTGTGGCAACGACTTGTTGGAACAAGTCAACAGCGTCGTCCCACTCTGCAATCGTTTCAAGGTTCCCACAATCTTGCGAAAGGATGCCTTGGTTTCCTGTGACGGATTGATTTCCGAAGCATAGGCCTTTGGTGGGACGACGTACACCACACGACCTCGCCGTTGTTGGTCTTCTTCATTGGAAGATGCCCGTTTGGAGATTCCCTTGCTCCGCTGAATGGGAACGAGTGGGTCCCACAAGTCTACTTGTACGGAATCATCTTGCCACCAGGATTCTTCTCCTTCTTCTTCGTCCCCATATTCGCTTCCATCCGACTGGGAACCATCCTCGTCTCCCATGATTTCGTCTTCTACTTCTCCTCCTTCGTCGCGACCGCTACCATCATCCGAATCCGAGTCTAAATCGCCAACAACTTCTTCTTCTACCATTCCTTCTACTTCTTCTTGGTCCTCCATCGTTTCGTCTACTTCCTCACCTGGCGGTAATAGTTCGACAAAGACAGTATCTCCATCCAAAGACCGGTTCCGTTCCAGTGGACCTGCTAGCATGACATCCATTTGTTGAGAGCCTCGATCACAGGTACAAAATGCCATGGCATCTTTCATGGGCAACACACGAATGGTTCCCCGAATAATGTTGGGATCTTTGGCATTGTACTTTGTAAGACAGTCCTCCAATGTCCAGTAGGTAGGATAAATGATATTCGTGTCATTCGATTTGTTGCCTCGTGATCCGGAATTGTTGTTGCGAGGATTGCCTCCTCTTCCTCGATTGTTGTTTGCATTTTTCTTGGAAGGACTCGACGCCTTGCTTTGGTTCGTACCTGTATTCGCTTCCTTGGTGTTGGAATCATCCTTGGTGGATTTGGGAGCTGCTTTTCTCGGATGGTTCCTTCTTCTTCGGTTGTTGTTTCCCTTTGCAGGACTACCTTTGTTGTTGTTGCTCTTGCTGCTGCTGTTGTTGGCACCTCCACCGTCAGCCGCAGCTTTGTTCCCATCATTCGGCTCACCTTGTGAATTCTGTTTCTCCTTATTCTTTTTATTCGAATTGCCACTGTTCTTTGGACTTGGACTCTTGGAGTTGTCATTCGTTTTTTTTCTCTGCTGGCCATTATTCGTGTTCTTCGTACCGCCTGTTTTCGTTTGCTTTCCCTTCTTTTTATTGTTGGATCCTCGTGGTTGTGGAGGCTGCTTTGGTCCACCGCTGTCGTTCTTTGTTTCATTCTCTGCAGCCACCATCTTCCTTACAAATTAATTACCACTGCAACAATTCGGTTGACTATATTCTTCTTCTATCTATGCAATATAAATAATTATGTTGGCAACATGCGTGTTTGTGATTAAATTCCTTTGATGGCTGTCTACCGGTACGAGTACAGTTCGAAACGTGTCTCTTGTGGTATGCTCGTTCGTCGTCGGTATCATACGTGTATCCATTTTGATCTCGTGCTCTCCATTCTCCAATATTTCCATCTATCGCGCATTTCAACACGAAAAAAAAGCCGAGGTTCGAGTTTTCGTCTATATTTTTATTGTCCAATCATTGTGATGCAGGATTTAACAAAGCGTTGTTGACCTAACCTAATTAACGAGGCACTAGCCCGTTACATATGGCTTTTCCAAAATGCACGAGGTTTGTCGCTTCGTCTTTCCAAAACGCTCGTTCAAAAACAAAAACACAGAAACACAAAAAGCAAACACCAAAAAACAACGATGGAGCGAAGAAAGAGTGCCTTAGAAGAAGCCCAAGAAGCGGCTCTCAACTTTGCGTTGGATGACGACGATGATGTCTCCGTCATTAGCTTCGAGTCTGCCAGTGGTGGTGCCGAAGACGTGGAGCTGACGTTCCAAGAATTCACCAGCAATGCCGCCAATTCTATTCCAAGAACAAGCTGTGGTACAGATTCTACGTATCAAGCACACACACGATCTTCCTTGACCTCGCCACCACCGGCTTCCACTTCCTCCATCAAGGCTCCAAATCGCAATTCTTCTCCGTCAAACCCCTCGAATGAAGACAAAGAGAACAACAGCAACAGCAACAGCTACCAATGGGCTCGTGCTCGTGCTCAAGCTTTGGCTTCCATCCTCCAACCAGGACTGGAATCAGAAGACGATGGCTTTTCTCTTGACAGCTCCCAAAGCGAAAGCTCTGCCTCCAAAATGGGACCGAAACCACCCAAGAGAAAGGACAGCAGCCCCGACAGCAGCAGCAATGCAAAAGCAGATGAAATCTTCTTACAAATGCAAATTCAGTCAGGCGAATTCAGCGTTTCCAGGCGCTCGTTGCCTCCAAATTTGACCCGATACAGTTCTGGTGAATCCACCTCCACCGCAAAGAGTGCTCAAACTATCAAGTCCTTTCCTCCTACTGTCAAGCGCACTCTATCCCAGTCCTCCTATCGAGATCCAAGACATCGCAAGAACTATGGGGGCCAATCCTATCGTTCTTTGATTCGCCCGACTCCAAGACCCGCAAGAGTGGCGACCCGAGCTGCGTCCGTTGGGACGACTACTGGCAGCACCATTTCCTCTAAGTCTTCCTCTAGTTTCAAGGCCAGTAGTCATGCTGCTGTAGTAGCTACCAAAGCGACTGCTACTAATGAAAAGAATCAAGAGAAACGGGCAATTTCCCAGTTCCGCCAAAGCTTTCTTCGTACCATGGAAGAACGGCTTCAAATGCGCGTGGAAACCAAGGAACGCCGATACGACGAAGAGAATCAACAACAACAACACCATCAGCGTTTCCAAGAAAATGGGGAGGAACAGGAGGAAGAAGAAGACAAACCTCCTTCCGATACTGAAATTCTCACGGCGGAAACTAGGGTCGTTCCAACCTCTGTTGATTTGAATGAGACCCAGCACAGTCTTGCGGAAAGCACCATCCCTGGTCGCAAATTGGTGCATTCTGTCTTGATTTATTCCCTCTTGGGAACAATTGCCATTGCCACCATTTCCATCTTGATTGTCGTTCTTTTGCAAAAAGGAGATAACGAAGGAAAAGTTCCGTTGATGGAACAAGATTCTCCTGTTGCTCCCGTATCTCCTCCTACTATAGCTCCTGAAGTGGTTCCAGACCAAGTCCTAGCGGTCGTTCCCAAAACCATCTGCATGGAACAGGTGCCTGGTGACGGTTGGTCGACCCAATGCTCTCCAGAACAATCCAATCTTCAAGGTGGGGGTGTCTGCAATCTCGTGGCCCAGAGCTTCTTGCATCAAGTCGAAGGGGCAGACATTGCGTTTCAATCTTCTACATCTTGCTTGGGAGATATTGTCATTGGTAACTTCACCGTGGCCGATGCCTACCAAATTCTTCCCTACAATGAGCGACTCTGGAAAATTGAAGTGACAGGGTTTGATATTCTAACGGTTCTGGAGCAAGTCTTGGAAGCCACATTTGGAATCAACAAGGGCAAGCGAGACTACCCATATGCCGCTGGGTTGCGCTTTGCGATCAATGCTTCGGCTCCCTATATGCACCGTATCTCGGACCTTGAGATCAATCGTCGATTGGAACAATATGCATGGGAACCATTGGACATGGACGGAAAGTATACTGTTGTTGCCAGTCGGAATCTCTTGATTGGTGGATCAATCATTCGGGATACACCCTACGCAGCCTTTGAACAGGCTTACAAGGATCAATTTCCAAAGGGTAAAACTTGGAGGCAAACCACCACTACCTTCATTGAGTATGCGGAAAAGGAAAGAGTGCTGCGTGATCCACCATTGGATACCTATTCCACTGCATTGTTTGTTCCATAAAAAAATGCTTGGGACGGGTTCAAGACCGACATGGGATGTGTCTTGGGGAAGGGGGAATGAACCCGTCGTCGCTTGTGGTAAAGGTAGTCAGCAAGATTCGATTGGTTACACCCTTCGTATTCAAACATTCACACCAACCGAAGTTCTTGAAGCCACAAGGGGAAGTAGTCTATCTAGGGAAAGAACCATTGGCAAAGATTGTAGGGATAAGATATAGTAGGTGTCATAGCGTGATACTCTAGTAGAGTAGTTGATTTCTTGATGTTGATTTGGCGAAAAGAGTTCACATTGCCATACACATGTTTCGATCCCGCTGTGTTCAGGTTTTTCGGAAGCACAGGTAGTATGACTTGAACAACGCTCATGAAATAACGCCTATCTCGGAAGTACGACTCATTTCGTAGTATTGAATCTACCTGACGACCGTTCCGTCGGGCGGCAGGAACGCGCACCGCAAGTGAGATTCAAATGATCACGATTTGTTGGCGAGTCGTAACCAAAATTGCAACCAAGTCACATTCCATCAAACCGAAGCATTCATTTCCAGCAGAAAGACCACCACCCATTATATTGCATCGATCGAGGCACATATTTTCCAAAAATACACAAATTGACTCGAATGATGAAGGAAGCCTCGATGCATACACCACCCCCTTCTACCTTTGGTTCACTTTGTCCAAAACAACAAGCTGAAACCACCATGGCATCATCTTGGCAACCCAATGACCGCTTTGACTATCTGAAGGATCGACTGGATAAAATAGACAGAGCGCAATCTGCAATAGAAGCAGAAGAACCAATGCATAATTTTACATGTTCATTGCTGCAATTGAAAGATGTCCGACTTCAAGAAGCAGTCGTCTTCAAGAAAGGTAACGAGACGCTACTATGCCAACTCGAAGAAATAGGAGCTATCCCAACACTCTTGAATGCAATTGAGCGATTCAATGGAGAGTCCTCACCCGAGTTCAATAACAGTGCATGTATTGCCATAGTTCACTTTGCGTTCCAAAGCAAAGAGAGATCATGTGAGATTTTCCAAATCGGAGGATTCCAAACGATTGTCCAAATGATGGAAACCTACCGAGCAATCGACTTTATCCAGATCATTGCAATTGCTGCTCTCATGGTGGTTGGGAAAAATTCTGGCATCGAGAAATATGATTTGGAGTGGACGATACTACACGAAATTGTTGTCGCAATGGAATACCACCAAGAATCATCACATCTCTATATAGTTGCTTGTTCGGCATTGGGGTCACTTTTCGGACCAAACAGTATGACCATGGTGCCAGAAACGGACGCTGGGGTCGAATTATACTATCGTGCGATAGATGCAATATGCTTTGGCTTGGTAATACTTCATCTTGATGATCGAGTAGCACAAAAACTTGGAAAGGACCTGTTATTTTGCTTGGTGGGTCAACAGGTAGCAGAAGAAATGATGTTTTACGTTGAGAGCTCATATGGGGTATATACTGCTGCCGCTGCCTGACCAGTATAACTTTGAACAGAGATACAAATAATTCCGGAGAGAAACGTAGCTACGACGTGTAGCTGCTCCCCACAATAATAAGCTACTGTAGCAATTTTGATTTGTTTCATCGTTGGTGCTTGTTTTCGTATCATATATGCTGTTGTGTTTCAGTAATGAGCTGCTCCACCAACTCAGTGAAATTGTCGCCTTTGTGCATGATACTAGCAATATGCCCATCAGGTCGAATCATCACCCATGTTTCTTTCTCGTTATCGCCCAAACCATACCAATCGTTTTCCTTCAAGTGTAGATTCAAGCAAGTTCTTTCAGAAGTACTGCATTCTATTGATTCGCCGATTGCCACTTTCAAATTGACTTGGCGAATGTAAATTCCTAGCTCGCTTTGTAATACTGTCAGCAAATCTTCCGCTTGAATTCCTTCTCCACTCGAAGAGGATGATATGCGAACGAGGCAAAAGGGGCACGGGCATTCATCATTTGCTAGTTGTGCTGGCAAATCCCTTGTTGTAATAGTATTTTCTCCAAGTTCGCAGAGCCTAGGGAATGCTGACTTTGCACTTCCATCGACCACAACAGGCATATGCGGGAATAATCCTCCTATGGCGATCTTCGGTAGATTGGCCAAAGTGTCACTGGTTTCATCGATCAAAGCTTCTTCAGGGTCACCATATCGAAATCCAATCTCGTGGTTGGGGAAAAGAAGCGGCAGCCCCTGTCCCAACTTGAGAAGAGATCGAAGGTTCTTCGTCACATGTCGCGAGAAAACTCCATCGAATGAACTCTTAAGTTGGCCCAATGGCCACAGTGCAGTCTCTAGTGCCATTTGAAACGTTTTTTGTCGGACTTGCATGGGAACAAAGAAAGAAGATGCATCTAGCCCTTGAATGAGTACCTTTGGGTGTTGGTGATTCAGATAGCAGGAATTCATCACATCCAATACTCTCTCATAGTTCCGCACACTAAGGGCAGCATTCCGACTAGCAACCTCTTGGCGTTCGTTCTGATAGGATTGGCCAATCTTCTTCAAATTATTGCTGGTGTTGCCGTCTTGGTGCTTCTTGAGTGCCAATCTCCAAGCTAGATTGTGTGCATCCTGAAGTCCAGTATTCATTCCAAAGCCACCGGCAGGTGGAAAAACATGCGCAGCATCACCCACCAAGAAAACGTTCTGTCGAAAGTACTCCTCCGCAACCAACGACCCCATGCTCCACGGTCCGATACTTTGAATTTCGAAATCATGGGAGCCTCCCATGGCTGCTGTCACCATCTCATGCACCTTTGACGCAGTAAAATTCTCTTTCAATGTCTGATAGGGATGGAAATATGGAATCTGCATTACATACTCCTTGGGTGAATGTCGTACGACCATGGCCAGAACTTGTGGAGAGAATATGGTGTACAACATGGCTGGTGGAAAAGGATCTTCTTCCGAGGTTAATGTAAAGTGGACGTTGATCAAATGCTGGATTGTTGTTTCCCCATGCATCGGAATGTTAAGAAGGTTCCGCCACCAAGATTTGGCACCATCGGCGGCAAGGACAACAGGAGTATGAAACTCTTTTCCTTGTTTTGTGCGAATCCTCCATGAACCATCGTCGGTTTGCCAGTCGGCGTGAGTGACCTCATCACTGTACAAGAGATTGCTATTTTGACTATTGCTTTGACAGTTCTCTGCAGCAGCATCGTGCAGTATTCGGCAGAATGTGTGTTGTGCAAGATGCCCAACAGAACAATCGCTAAGTTCCAATACCTCCCCATTTCCAAAAGCCGGTTCTTTTCCGTCTTCCAAAAGGATCCCATTGGAATCTGTATGAGCATGTAAAGGTCTATCGACAGGGTGAATGACTTCTGCCATGGTTGCAGCAGACGTCATATCTGGACCAAAACGAAAGGATTTCCATTCGTCCACAGGTGGCATTGCCCCTCGAATTTCAGAATACACATCTGACGGCAGACTGTGGCGCAAGAGCTCCATCGTTCTTGTGTTCAGAAAATGGGCTTGTGGATGTCTGAACCTTTGCTTTGTAGACTGAGCTTCCAACAGGGTGAAAGGGACGCCATAGCTTTGTAGGAGATTGGCTAAAAACAATCCGGTTGGACCACCACCCACAATCAAGATTGGAGTTTCTGTTGCAAAGCATCTCTGCTGCCGCTTTAAGGAGAGACTCCGTTTCAATTTGCTAGAGAATCTGGCCATTCTACTACCGTAGATGTACTGTATTAATATTATATCATGTTCGTTTGGGATCGCATTTGTTCGTGTCCATCAAAAAATCATTGCAATTATGTTTGCAAGTTTGATGAGGTGGTGATCTCCCATGAGCTCGAAGTAGTCGACAATGTCTCTGAAACATGAATCGAATGCGACACGACAAAAAAAACTTGCATGACTTTTTTAAAAGACTGATGCAGGACGACAGTTTGTCCACAACAGTATTTAAAAAATCGCTCCACACTCCCAACAGAAAGTTTTGTTGCAATGAGACAAGTTGATGCCAAGTTGATAGCCGCAGGGTTCGGAGTCTTGCTGGTATTGAATACTGTCTTCGTTTCAAACAAAGATTGGACACGATATTCGGACAAAGTTGCTTATAATAGTACATTCGTCGTCAGCAGCAGCCTCAGCAGCCTTGACAGCGTTGTCGAGTCCTCAGTCACCAGGACACCCCGTCTTGCGGATGGATGCTACCACATATATCTAGATGTTGGTGCAAATATAGGGATTCATGGTCGCTTTCTATATGAACCTGAAAAGTATCCAAAATCGCGAAAAGCAGTTCCCTTATTCGAAGAGATGTATGGCAAAAATCGTTCCAACGAGGACTTTTGTGTTTTTGAAATCGAAGCGAATCCAAGTCATTGGGAAAGACTTGATAGTGTTAGTACAGCGTACAAAAATGTCGGATGGCGTTACCAAATTGTAAAGGCGGCAGCCTTTGACAAACCCGGCACCATGACATTCTATCACCAAGGTACGGATAGGCGTCGCAGCGAGTTTGGATTTTCGATCAAGTCTATGGGGAATACAGACAATGAGCACTTTTCGAAAGTGGAAGTTCCTACACTTCGACTTGCTGATTGGATTCAAACGGAATTGCTAGAACGTCAAATCCCTGCAACGCCTCCGTCTGGGACCACTTATGAGAAACCGATATTTGGAATGAAGTTTGACATTGAAGCATCAGAACTTGTTGTACTCCCAGATATGCTGATGACCGGTGTTATGTGCAAAATTGATTTCATGTTTGGCGAGTATCATACGTTTCTAGTGCCCATGGAATTTGAGAATCCAAATGTCACTGTGAAAAACGAAGGGCAAGTGAGATTTCTGAGAAATGCGATGAAAGGAATCTTGGGAACCGCAAGAAATTGCCAGACTTCCTTCATTATAATGGACGATGAGGAATATTTGCATGATGGGAAGCCACTCCCCGGGGATCAACAATAGAAAATCGTGATAGATTAAATTCCGAAGAAACAGAAGCAACTCACTACGCTTCACCATGATGCTGATTTATTGAAATCAGTGAAGAACACCTTCTACATTACATATTCATAGTAATAGAACAGTTTCAAATATAATAGTCAACACGAAACACAGTGTTTCCGATATACCATCATTTCTTCTGTAGCCTCACGATAGGCTAACATTCGTAGAGTCCATCAAAGAGACGGTCGGTGATCATCAGCTCCCATTCGCTCAAGCTGTTCTGGACGAGTTTACGATTTGTTGTCAAATCCTCACAGAATGGTAGCAATGCTTCGACCATGTTGGCTCGGAAAAACTCAGATGTCCTTTTGATCACTTCTGCACAATGAGCACACGTAAAGGCTTGATCATAAGACATTTGGCGAGCCATGAGCCTGGCAACTTTCACTTGGTGGTTCATGTTTACATGAGACATGATAATTCCCAATTCGAGCGCTGTTAGAGTGGGAAATAGTTGCCGATACTCTGGATGACTAGCATAAGTAACAATGACTTCATAGTCGTGAATGGATCCTCGGAGTTCATGGATCAGCCGGTTCAATCGATGCCTCGATCCCGCATCTCGGCTTGGATGAGTCTTCTTTGTTAATCGTGTCTGAGGTTCTGGATCGTTCACTTTAGCATTAGCATTTGGATGAATATCAGCAAGAGGTCTGCGTTTGGAAGCAAATCGAGCAGGCGAAGGCTCGTCCTCTTTCCCTTGAAAGGTTGATGCATCACTATCCTCGAAAGTGTATAGCATTGGTCGTTGCGGTTGTGCAGTATACATGCGATAAGGAGAGTGATAGATGTTTTCACCTGAAGACTTGCCATTAGACTTTGCTGGTTTTGGTGGGCGAGGAGGAGTCTTTGGAGCGTGACTAGTTGAAAGCCCGTCAAAGTCGCGGATGTGGCTTCCAAATTTTGTTGGTTTGTGATCCTTCAACATAGCCTCATCGGGCGCGGTGGGTGACGGTGCAACACGTGGTGGATATGATGCCTTTTTGAGGTCAAGTAATCTATCTGGGTGATCCTTTTCTTCAGCGAGCATCGGTGGATAAATCGGGACAGTATCGAGGAGGCTGGTGGTTTGCGCCTCATCCAAAAAGATAGCATCGGCAAATGGCAAGCCACTGGCTCCAGTGCCAACTGTGATTGTCGACTCATCGCATGGGTCGTCGGGCATCTCAGGGATCTCTTCATCCACAAGAATGGTCGAAACAGGTGTTCCAGGTGTCCTTTGGCGTCTCTCTTTCGCTCTTTTCGGGGGAGCATTGCCGACAACAATGGGGATTTTCAGCGTTGGATTGTCAATCATTGCTTTGGTGACAAAAGTGACCTTCACATAATGTGATATAGTCATCAAGTTTCCATTGTACGAATCCCTTGCCTCGCTTGGGACAATCAGGTCAATCTGACTCTTGCTAGACACCAAATCCGTGTAAATTGAACGATACGTTGTTTCCATCTTCTCGGCAAAACCATCCTTGCTGAACTTTAAGTTTTCGCCTTTTTGTTTTTCGAGACTTGGCAAGTCAATGTCTTTTAGCTTTTCCAAGTCTTGCTTGGATGTCGCTTCTTCTCCACGAGATCGATACTCAATCAACTCCACCAGCTTTAGTTGAACTCTAACAATTTTGTTGCTTGTATCATTACGAGAAGCAAGTGAGATACCCAGTGGCTGACCACGTCCAACTCTTGAATTCTCCAAACTAGCAGCAATGGACAAACAACCAGTATTCAAAAAGCCCAGCCTTTTCAGTTCGTATGTCTGGGGCTTGAGCATACAAGGAACGATATCCGACGGTAGAGGAGCAGATTCGACAGTAAATAATCGTTCGACAAATGAATCTCCGAGTTGAGCTCGTAAGCGATACTGAGCACAAGAGGAAAGGATGGCATGAGTCAAAACTTGGAACCTGCTGCGAAGTTCAGAAGTGCCGAACCTACCTCAATTTTTCCGTTAAAACTTCTGGAATCAACTTTCGGAAACTGTTCGCTTGATGGTAACGATGCCGGCAACATGAACGAAAATGGTATCGTGTGGATACCTTTTGAAATATTTTCTTTACCGGGATCTAATAAGGTTGTCATTGCCCGAGCGATAACTTTGTAATCACGTATCCTCGTTCCTTTTGTGGCCTTGGTTATGATTGTGTTTTCCTTCCCAATCAAGTATAGCACAAGGTTGTTGGGATGGAGCCTTCTGTTGGCTTTCAGTATGACGTTTCCCTTCAAAGTTTTGCCTGCAACGGCAGCTAGAATACCAGTGAGAATGTATTGTGAGACGACGACGGTGCATATGTTTCGAAAGTTTGGATCAGGCTGCTCCTGTCTGTAAAACTACTCACGTCGGTCGCCATTGTCAAGGGTGATAGTGATACTGTACTTGTTACCCATGATTGCTGTCTTGTTGTCGCTTTTGAATGATGGCACATTAGCCGAGGACTCAAAACTGATATTCTCTTTGGTTCGAACAAATGGTTTCGCACAACTCACAACCCGCTTCTTCTCAAATTTTTCCCACGCCGACTCTCTACACTACAAGTTATGCGTTGATCAAAGTCACGCAAGTTGGTGTGGGTTCACAGCGAAACCTCTGCTTGTCACGATACCGGTACAAGATACTCGAATGAATATGTGGCCGCGAGTCGTGATTTTGATGATACACATGAGATGCGGAAGCACGATGGAGGAAACGATTAAATAAATAATTCGAAGTAACGATATCCGTTTTTGTCCGCGTAACCTGACACGCGTGGGTGGTCGATTCCACAATACTGTTGTATCTCACTAATGTGCGTGGTGACCAACACCATTTGTATCCACGGAGCTCAGGTCCGTTGCCACAAACAAGAATACCCAAGGACTTCACTACATTTCGCATCCCTTGTGCAACATAAGACCATGCTGTGGAATTATGCAGAGCTTGAGGCGCCACCAGCATTGTCGTTGACTTTCTTCAGTTAGTCTTCCACAAGGCCTTCTGGGTGGTCTGAGATTGAGGGCATATACCGGTACTATTGATTGTGAGAAATATGAATTTAGTTTATGGGAAAATTGATTGTATGAAATGATATGAAATAAAATGCAATGAAATGAAAGGGGTATGGTGGTGATGCAGGAACTCGAAAGCAGACGACGGAAGACAACAATTTCTGTTGCTCAAACCGCAACCATCTCAAGTGAAGCAAAGGAGGCTTCTGCCTTCCTCCCGTTCCTCGCCTTCTTCGCTTCGTCCCGAAACATATGGGAAATCTTGTCCCTCCCAGCTTCATCCTTCATTTCCTTCCATTCTCGCTCTCTTTTATCGAGCCTCACGAGGAATCTTCCTCCTCCAGATTTCACTCCATCAAAGATATGATTGATCATTTCAGTCTTTTTCTTCCTGCTGTTGAGGTCTTTGTAAATCTTCAGAGCACCCCTCACCTTCGCAATAAGCTCCTTGTTGCTGGGGTTTTCATTACCGAAGCTACCAGGCTCGCAAACAACATCCCTTTTGGGACGAAGATCACAAATTGGGCCAAACGGGTCCTTCATCTTCTTTTGAATATCCTCTTTCTTTTCCTCGGTGGTCTTCTCCTTGCGCTTGGTTGTCTTGATTGTCTTGATCTCACCCTGCTGAATTTTCTTCGCCTTGTCCTGCTGAGTGAGAGTCTTCTTAGGCTTCTGAACGAGACTCGCTTTACTCGGTTTCTTGCTCTTACTATACACCTTTTTCTTGCTCTTACCCCGCTTGTTCTTGATCATCTTTTCAATGAGCTTGGTGGGGATCGCATTGTTCTCATTTTGTTCCTCGGTGATGTGCGATTGAGTAAAATGCTCACTGATGATGGCTGTTATTTCCGTGTCGGGGGTTTCGGTGTCGACACAGTCTTCGAGGACATCGCAAAAGTAAGCATTGAAAATCTCGAAGCCATCAAGGGGATGCTGAGTTGTTTTGTCGCTCATGGTCTGATGGAGTTTTGCAGCTTGTTTACAGTGCACCTCTTTCTGAAATTGTGAGCTTTCGAAAATGATTCAAAAATCTTCTGATGCCGTGTTTGAGAGTTTGCGTTTCTAAAAATTAAAATATTGCATCCCTTCGTAGAAATGTACCACAACTTCTACGTGGATAAATATGCACTTTTAGAAATATTTCTCGATGGATTTCACGCGCGTTTGGATTCATTCTTTGAAATAATATTTTTATCTCGCAAGGAAAGATTTTTTAGAAACGAATTATGCCGCTTCGGGGAGCGGAGTTTTGGGAGTAGAAATAAAAATGAGCATAGAAATATTTTTTTCTCGAAACGAGTTGGGACCACGTCTTTTTTTAAAAAGAAGAAGAGAAGATTGTGTTCACAATCAGATAGTGTTATAGTAGAGCTTTCTCATATATGCTCTGTGTCTTTTGTGAACACAATGGAAGTGGGAAATACTGTGGGAAATATGAAATTAGTTTATGGAAAGAAATTGAATGTATTATATGATCATATAATATGAAATGGGAAAAATGTTGTAGGGACTTGAAAGCAGATGCTGATGGAAGACCACTATTTTTGTTGCTCAAATCGCAACCATCTCAAGGGCAGCAAAGAAGGTTTCGGCCTTCCTTGCCTTCCTCGCTTCGTCCCTAAACAGATGTGAAATCTTCTCCCTTCCAGCTTTATCCTTTATTTCCCTCCATTCTTGCTTTGTTTTATCGATCCTCGCGAGGAATCTTCCACCTCTAGCTTTTACTTCAGTAAAGAAATCAGTGAACATTGCACCCCTTCCCTTCCTCGGGCTGGCACTGTTGTATTCGGGCAGAGCACTCTTGATCTTCAAGACGAGAACCTTGTTGCAGGGGTTTTCGTTACCGAAGTCACCCCTCTCGCAAACAATATCCATTTCTGGACGCAGAACACAAACTGGGCCAGACTGGTCCTTCATCTTCTTTCGAATGTCCTCTCTTTTTTCCTCGTCGGTCTTCTCCTTGCGCTTAGTTGTCTTGATCTTACTGTGCTGAATTTTCTTCGCTCTGTCCTGCTGAGTCTTTTTAGGCTTCTCAACAAGACGCGTTTTACTCGGTTTCTTGCTCTTGCTATGCACCGTTTTCTTGCTCATGCCCCTTTTGCTCTTGATCATCTTTTCAATGAGCTTGAGCTTGGTGGGGATCGCATTGTTCTCATTTTGTTCCTCGGTGATGTGGGATTGAGTGGAATGCCCTTCGATAATGGGTGGTAGCTCTGTGTTGGGGTGATTATCAACGCAGGATAAGTCAAAGGAGAAGTCATCAAGGGGATGCTGGTTTGCTTTGTCGCTCATGGTCTGATGGAGTTTTGCAGCTTGTTCAAATGCACCTCTTTCTGAAATTGTGAGCTTTCGAAATGATCGAAGAATCTTCGTTTGCGGTATGTATTTTAGGTTTTATTTTTAAAAAATGCGTAGAAATATTTTTCTCTACTGGTTTACGTTTGGATTCTCTGAAAACAATATTTTTAAAGGCCGGGAATAAAATGGATCCTGATTTACTTAAGAAACGAGTTTGCAATCTTTTGGTGCCGCTTTGGGGAGCGGAGTTTTGGGATTAGAAATAAAAAGGGGCACAGGAATATTTTTTCTCGCTATCAGATAGTGCTGTAGTAGAGTTTTCTCACATGTGCGCTGTCTCTTTTGTGAACACAATGGAAGTGGGAAATACTGTGGGAAATATGAAATTAGTTTATAATATATGGAAAGAAATTGAATGTATGATCATGTGAAATGGGTAAAGAAATGTTGTACAGTAGGGACTCGGAAGCAGATGCTGATGGAAGGCAACTATTTTTGTTGCTCAAACCGCAACATTCTCGAGGGCAGCAAAGGAGGCTTCAACGTTCCTCGCCTTCCTCGCTTCGTCCCTAAACAGATATGAAATCTTGTCCCTTCTAGCTTTATCATTGATTTCTTTCCATTCTTGCGTTGTTTCATGGATCCTCATAAGGAATCTTCCACCTCCAGATGTAACTTGTGTAAAGAAATCAGTGATCATTGCACCCCTTCCCTTCAAATGGAGGCTGGCACTGTCATAATCGGGCAGAGCCCTCCTGATCTTGTCGATGAGGACCTGGTTGCGAGGGTTTTCATTAGCGAATGTACCCCTCTCACAAACAATATCCATTTCTGGACGCAGAGCATAAATTGGGCCAAATAGGTCCTTCGTCTTATTCATAATGTCCTGCTGTCTAATTTCCGCAAGTGTAATCATCTTATACTGCTGAGTCTTCTTCTTAGGCTGGCGTGGAGTTTTTAGATGCTCCTTTCTCGGAAATTGTGAGCTTTTTGCAAAAACGAAGAATCTTCCAAAAATCAGGTTTCTGCACATAGTCGGACAAACGTAGATGTGTACACGTACATGTACTGTACCAGGACTCCACATGCATGAAAATACAGTTTTTAAAAAAAAAAATAGAAATATTTTCTCTGTGGGTTTCCACGTTTGGTATGAAACGAGTTAGTAATCGTTTAGTGCCGCCTTCAACAGCGGAGTTTGGGAAGTAAAGTATTGGACATCAAAGAGTTTTTCTCCATATTTCTATTCTTCTGGCACGTCTAAATTCCCCATGTATTGTAAAAATATATTTATGACGAAGAAATATTTTTTATTTCTACGAGCATAATACCAAATACTGTAGTGCCGAAACATTTTCACGTGTGGTTTACGTGGCAGATTGTATACCCTATCTAAGATAGCCTACTGCCGTCCTCCGTGTGTGTGTTAGTAGTATTTTGTCTTGGTGTGTAGCTGGTGGGTTGTGGTGTGAAGCGGGTCGAACTGATATACTCGATTTGTTCGACCAATCTCAGAAATCCCGTGTGCGGTATTACTGAGATCTGCTTTCCTACCAGGCACCGCCGATATGGTAAAATGGAGGCGGTGCCCAACAGGGCGGGTGAGGTTTGGGAGAGAAAAATTGAATTACCACAACACAAGTGGGTGAATTCAATCTCAGTCGATAAACTGGGCATCATTGCCTCGGCGCATCGACAACAACTTTTGACGGTCGAAGGCCGTTCGGCCTTTGTCCGTCTGTAACACAATGTAGTCAAAGAGATCGAACATTGTGCCTGCGGTCTACGTTGGATACAGTACAGTACAGCAGTAATCGGCATGGGCTGACCAACCCTTGGCGGGGCTGACGCAAGACTTCTCACAGGTCGCATGTCCGTTACCCGTAATTTGTTCATATCACAGTCTGAACTACAGTCAGTCAGTACCAGGTACCGGTACCTATCAAAATCATGACCAACAATGCTACAGTGCTGAGATGGAGCAAGCCGAGAGTAATGATGCTGCGATGGACGCAAATACACCAATCCACGAAAAACAGATCTCATCGAATATTCATGCCGAAGATAACAACGAAAGCGATGGTGATGATTCTTCAATCGGAGTCCCCCTAATCTCAGTGGCTCATGACGAGATGCTACCTGCCATGAAAGAGAAAGTGGAGCGCCCTCCTGATGGCTTGCAATGGAACGACTCGGCGATTGTGGACTGCTGGAATGTTGCTATTCAAGGCCACGATAATCCTGAGCCTGCAGAATGGCGGGCTCCGTCCCTCGTCAATCAACAGGACATGGAATTGCTGACCAACTGGAGGCCCAAATCGTTATCCATTCCGATATGGGCAGTCGATCCATTTTCACATTCGGAGACATCATACCGGTAGCACATAAAGGAGAAAGAAGATAAAAGTGCTAGCAATATATGCCATCTCGTGACTCGACTATTTCTTGCTATTTTTCCATGGCCACATCATCATCTACACCCAAAACGGATCGGAAGAACTCGTAAAATAAGAAAAAGAAGGCATTGGCGGGTACCTTGTGTATCAATCGTGGAACACTCCCCCGTAGGAATGCAGCTGCTCCACCTTCTTGCAGCGTAATTGAGAAGCATGCTCGGACCGACCCGCCATACAGCTCGCTGGATGTCTGTAGCCGCGTCTTGATCACATCAAATGGATTGGTTACGTAGGAACCAATTCCCCCGGCGAGACCGCCCACCAGCAGATCCCAGGACCGAAGCGGAACTTGAGGATACTTTGATTGTGCCCTTGGTTTCCATACCGACTTCAAGTGCTCGTATGTCATTAGCGTCACTACTGCATATGGGATATCTCGGAGCATTTGACTGGCAATGCCCCCCATTGGAAATAACGTTCGAAGCGACATATCCCTTATCGCCTCTCCAATGTTGGCATATACTTGCGTTTGTAACTTTTGTTTCATGACCTCGTAAGGGACCCGTGATGCCGAGGCAATGGTATTTCCAATGGCCGCCGACAAGGCAATATACGCCACGCGACGTTTCTCATTTGGATCAAACTTGGCAAACCGCTTCTTGCAAAACGAATAAATTCCAAAATACAAGGCAACAGAGGGCATCGAACCTACCACAGCAACCCCAATACCAGACTGTAGATTGAAAGGTGACAGATTCGAGTTAGCATACTTGTTGCATAATACATAAATGCAACCTACAGCCGTCGTCGTTACATCTGTCATCATCCAACACAATACTTTGTGTGCATTTGCTGTCTGTATAATCACTCACATAAAGTTCCAAGAACCCACGAGGCCTCTTCATTACAACTTGGGCAGCCTCGATTAAAGAAAGAGGATCTCCAACTGTTGATCTGGAATGTTGTTGCAGCGTCTTGATGGTGTCGAATGGAGCCAAAATGATCTTGGAAGAGGCTGCCGCGAGAGAACTGGCGAGACTGTTTTTGAGGCCTGACAACCATGCCGTCTCGGAAGGCTTTGGAGGACCCTGGATCACAGCAAGCTTTTGATTCCGTATTCTTTTGGCATTTGCCAGCTTTGGTTTATTGGATCTGATTGCCGATACGGTCTTGGCAATGACAGGTGTTGTTGTTGCCAAACACGTAAGCAATAGCAAGAGTAATATGTGGACAAATCTTGCCATATTCTCTGGCAATTTCAGATACGGATACGAATCTGAGTGGGTGGTATGTTTCAAAAAGCTATGATTGACTTTTCTATGCCTTGAGAATGGAGTTGCACTTTGGGTGTGTGGATGTCGTCAGTTCTGGTCGGAACTGGGTGAGGTCGATTTTGGGTGATGAGGAGTCGAATGAATCAATCCGTCTTTTGTCTTGAGGGGCGGGACGTCACATGACATTGCATCGGCATGAATTTTGGCCCCATTTTAGAAGAGTCGATCCAAGAGTATAGTCGATCTGTGGTATGTGAATAAACGCTAGGCATCGGAAACTCTAGATTTGGTCTGAAGCATGAGGAGCTTCTTCATTCGCGTTTGTTGGGATTCATTGGCATGCTCGGAAAAGTAGAAAGTGTATGCGAGAAAAAGTACACTAGGCAACTACAACTAACAATATAAAATAAAAAGTCTACATATGATTATACTCTCGAGAGTACTAGAGCTGATACACCCAGCCCGATACCGGATTTGTAACACGACATACAAAGAGACTATGCCCCTCAGGTTTGTTGACTATACTTGAAGGACTTATTCGTTGAATTTTTGTGCTGCCATCATGGCATTCATCATGGTGGGATTCGAGACTGCCTTTTTCGCAATCTTCATCATCTCTGGATCTTCCATTAACTTTGCACCTGAATCTTTGGACATAGCCTTCTTGGCCATGAGCATCATGTCAGGATCACCCAACAGTTTTCTTGCTTCTTCACCGATCGGTATGGGGGCTGTTTCATTTTTTTGCTGAGCAAGTTTGAGTTCAGCCTTCGCTAGATATGATCGCGCAGCTTCGTTGCTTGGATCAATTTGAATTGCTGCCTTGTAGGACTTGATGGAGCCTTCAAAATCATTCAAAAAGAATCGTGCCAATCCAAGGCGGGAATGGGCTTTGCCATATGTGGGTTTCATACGCAAACTCTGCTCGGCATCCTTAGCTGCTTCTGAGTAACGTTCTAGATAACACAGCGCAGCAGATCTGTTGGCAAAGTATACATGCGCTTGCGGTCCATCTCGACTTAGTTTGATGGCAGTGCTGTATGCATCGAGTGCTTTGCTGTATTCGCGGTTAGCCATGAATGAGTTTCCTCGAATCTTGTTCTTTTCTGCCTCCTTCTGTTCCCTAAGGGTAGAATCTGAGGGCGCAGTGGAAGGCTTTGAAGCCTTGGAGGACTTGTCCCACTCTGATACGACTGAAAAACTTGCTCCATTGTGGTTCGAGCCCTGTGTTAGATGATCGTCTTCGGAAGCGGCGAGTTTTCGTGCAGCCTTTTCCAAGTAAGCCTTGGATGACTTGTTGTCGGGTTCGTACTTTAGTGCAACCGTGTATGCTTCCATAGCTTGGCGATAGTCTTGACGCAAGTAGTGAGCCAAGCCAAGACGTGCATGTGCCTTGGCGTAGTCTGGTACCAACGCAAGGGCGCGTTCGCTATCGGCGATGGCGTCCTTGAACATTTTCATACTCAACAGAGCTGCTGCACGATTGCTGAAGTAAACATGTGAGCTAGGTCCAGCTGGACAGATCTTAAGGGCCTTGGTGTAACAGTCAGCCGCTGAATCGTATTCCTTCTTCTGCATGTATGCATTTCCAAGGGCCTTATACCGCTCTGCCTCGTCCAGATCAACAGGGTTGTTCTTTGTAGGCGTTTTTGGTCCGTATCGATCAACTTGCTTCGAAAGGTGAGTGACAATGGTATCAGGATCTGTTGTAGAATTATTTCCATTGCTTCTGTCCTTTCGAACAGCAAGGCATCGTCTGATTCTGCGAGAATGATGGTGATCTGACAATGTAGTATCAGGGAGTTGAGCTTGTGCTTTTGCAGCCAGTTTGGTTCTAAATTTGGCAACAGCTTTTTGGTAGCGCTCGTTGTAGAGCTGCTTCTTCTTCAAAATACGTTCCTTTTCCTCCACAGGATCATCACGAGGGATGTCATTTCCAGTTTCAAAGAAACCCTTGGACTTCACTGTCTCCACGAATTGTTCAAATAACGGGGATGCAATCATGTCTTTTTCGGCAGCTTGACGGGGACGAGCCTGCATGTGGGACAATCCAGCAGCTGCAATCTCCCCAAGCATCAGTGGTCCAGCTGCTCCACTCGCGAGACCATTAAGCGCATAGAATCGATGGGCATTGGCTGGGTTGCTGTCATCATAATCATACCAAGCGTACGACTCCAATTCTGCGTCGTAAGGTCGGCCTTCTTCGTCTTCATCTTCAGCATAAGGGTTTTCGGTATGGCAAATCTCGCTTGTCATCTTTTCAATGGGTGGCAATTTTGTTGTATCGAGAGCTTTGGCGGCGTATGGAAGTCCTTCTGGGTCTTTCCAGGCATCATTCTGCTTCGCCAAAGAGGCTGGGTTGGCAAAAGATCTATTAAGTGCGTAAATGGCGAGCGTTAACCAGTCGGCATGTAAGCCTTCTGACTCTAGCAAGTCCTTAGGGCTAGCATAAGCACGGCGAAGATCTCTGAGGTAGTCTAACGAAAGAAGCACCAGCTGACTTTCCGAAGGAATTTCATGCTTCAAGGACTCTACATCCATGATCGCTGGTGCAGGTTGTCTCGCTTCCATCAAGCTTCCTATCCCAATAGACGACTGATCATCACCGCGTCGTTCTGGCATGGTGAGTAAGTAGAGCGTAATGAAGAGACAGTTCGAGGCTCCTCCTTGTCGCTTTTCTTCGGGAGGTATTTTTCGTTGGATTCGAAAATCGTTAGTTTCGAAAATCAAACGACCTCAAAAAGTGGCCGTTAGTAATGCTATCTTCGTTTACGTAGTTAGAGTTACTCGGCTGGCGCGTCACTAAATTTTCTATGTCTGATTGATTCATTCGAATTAGTTGCTTGCAGCCATATCACAGCCGAGACAACACTGATGTAGGTGGTAGGTACCGGTATTGAAGACTACCGTATATGGTATTGTATAATATGGTGTACCGGTATGTTATACCGATAATAGTATTATTATTATTATTATTGTTATTATTATTATTATATTTTAATAATAATTATTAGTGCAATTTGTTTTTAAAACTTTTGGTGGGACGAAATTACCAAGAAGCTGGAAGGTCTTGTGCCTTCGGAACTTTCAAGTGATCAAGTTCATCATTAACATTGTCAAAATAGTTTGGGTCCGGCCATCCAAAGGAACCTCCGGCCAAGACCGTCTTGTGGTGAATCGATGCCCAAACGACCGAGTTTGATAAGCCACTTGTCAGGGAAGTGCCAACTCGAAACGTCATCCCGCGACGAAAGGCATAACACAGTCGTAAAACGAGGTTGCGTCCGTGTACAGTGGCAGGAACATAAGCAAGACGTACGGTACCCCGGAACTTGACACCTGGATTTTCGTGCTCCGCCGTCTGTCTTCCGGCTGGGACATTATACACGATCTCGTAGGTCGGGATGCTTGGAAACCCACCACAATGTTTGTCGCATCTTAAATTTACTGTCATTGTTGCTGGTGGACAACAACCAAAAGGCTCATCAACAACGTTGCGACAGACAGGACATTGTGCTTTGTGCTGAAGAGCTTGCCTCGCGCATTGTTTATGGAAGATATGAGTACAATTGGAGAGTCTGACAGTGTCCGACTTGAGCTTTTCAAAGCAAATGGAGCACTCTTGCTTGGGCAGTGGTACGCATGGAAGAAAGTTGTCTTTCTTTTCGGCTTTCAATGCATGTGGCACACATACCTCAATTACTAGCTGCACACGTTGCTGTTCTGGGACTGGAGAAAGTTTTGGGTATCGCACTAAAGGAGCTGTCACAAATTTATATTGTGTTGTTGTTTTCCGGGTGTGGAAAGGAGCTGGAATGATGGGAGAGCCGTTGCTGGGAGTGGCGATAGAGACGCTGAGCTTGTGTTCCATTATCAAGTCCTCAACGCATGGTATTGGGCGCTTCACCATGGTTCGAGGGAGGCCGGGTCGAAAGACCGAGTCTACCCACGCTTGAAGGGCACAGTGGAATTGCCAAGTCAGTTCCGAGTTGTTGACCATGTCACGGTCGTACCAAAAAAGGGGAAGCAGCTGCTCGTCGCTACGGAGAACCGTCTCATCAAAGTATGAACTTCTATTGAAGCGGCCATTCTTGGCCATTTTGTCAAAGACTTTGTTGCCTGAAAATGTGTCAACATCAGCTTCTCCAAACGATCCATCTGTAGCGTCGCTGTTCAAGCACCATCGCTGGACTCCCTTCATTACTAGGACAACGAGTCCAGCGTCGCCATAGCCTCTAAAAGCTATTGGATTATTGGCGACATAGAGTCCCTTTCCAAAGAAACGTCTCCTTCCTTTGTGACATTTTAGTCCAACCAATTGAATGGACTTCATGTTCTCGTATTTCGTGTAGTGATAACCGATTTCCACAAGGCTTGGTTTTCCTTGAGACTCCAAAGATGATTTCTTTTGAAGGAATTCTTTCACCCAATGACCAAGAAGGTGTTCATTGAGTGGAACAAACTTGTAATCAGGCGAAAGAGTAATGGCTGCAAATTTCTGGAAACCCAATATGGATTCAACGAGTTGTGATACCTCTTGTCTTGGCGATGGCTTCGCATGGTGACGCGATGTATAAGGAGGAGATGAAACACTCGTCATCGCCCTCGTTGCGCTTTTTTATTGTGGACGTTCAACAGCAACACCTCCTCGTTCTCGTGTTAAAACGAAAACCGCTGTTGTTGTATGTGCAAAAGAAAACCTGAAGATCAACTGTGGAAATTGAAAATAAACACGACACGGTTTTTGCAGCAGCTGGCGCGGCCAGCTCGTGCGATCTTTATTTGGGAATCCAAAACCCACAGTAAAACATGGATTGTCCGTTGTCAGGTAGCGGGCCCAAAATAAGATTCAGTATCGTTCACCATCAACAAAACCAACCAATGCACGTCTTCGTTCCCGCAATGGATGCACGTTTCAGCCTACCGGTAGACATCTCTTTCTAGAAAATCATAAAAAAATATAAGCAGTGAGACTATTCTACCATGAGTGCCGAGTTTGACAATGCCCTAAACAGTCTCATGGGTGGTTTGAGTCGCCCCAAGAAGGATGAAGACATTAAAGCTCTGGAATCCTTTATGGATTCGGTGGTAGAGCTTTGTGGTGATGACGAATCCAAATGGAAGTCTCTGGTGCTTGCCTTGACGTACAAGCGGTACCATCTCAAGGCACCCGAGGCCAAGATATCCTTGAAGGAAGCGCTTGCTGACAAAAAGTCGGACACCAAGACTACTGTGGGAAACGGAGAACGACGAATTTTCTACGTTGCCATTACCCACTTATTCCAGAAGCTACTGAACGACGCGGAAGCAAATGATCTAGTTTCTTGGGCAATTGATTGTTTGATTCAAATTGCTCCCCTCGCAGGAGGGAGCCGCGATGTATGTTCGTTAATTGAAGCATTTGTTGGAGCTGTTATGCACAGTAATGAATCGTTTTTGGTGAAAAGGCAGCAATGCATTGATTTATTCGGAAAAGAGTCCTTGTCACTATTGGTGCCGTCCGGAGTAAAGCTTTGCATGGACGGAATCCAGAATGACAAAGCACAGGTAGCCCTCAATAATCTACTACAAGTTGCAGCCGATACATTGGACGAAGACAAGAGTATCCTACTACAAGCTCGAGCCAAAGGTGATGGTGATAAAGACGAGAAAGATACCACATTGCCAAGTACGCTGCATATGTTTGTGCCGCATCGTGACAGAGGCAAACCAAGAAATAAGAAGACAGCTACCAACGCCAAAACAATCCCTAATCGACAACTACACAACACTGTGGCTGAACTTTTGATATGGTCTCGGACATCCCTCATGTCATCAAACAAGGCGTTTGCTGGTAGTTATAATTGTCTCTTGGAGTCGTCATCAGAAAGCATCTCTAATGATATCAAGGTAAGGGCGAAGAGAGCCTTACAATGCTTGCATACCATAATCCGAAAGGAGAGAAAACAGTTCAACGATTTTGCCCGCAAAGAGGGTTTCATGCTTAGTGACTTGTTCCCACAGGATCACGGAGCCCTCAAGTACCAGCAAATTGTCAGAGGAAAGGACGGTGATATCAACAAATTGACCAAGCTGGCCACCAAAGGTGGCGCCACGAATGTCCTAACGATGATCACTACCAGGTTTGCATCGAATCCCTCCAAGATTACTCATTTTGAGTCTGTGCAGTCCCTTGTACAAGATTGGTCCAATGCTACTAAATTATGTGATGATGAGCAGGTAGCAAAGAAGCTAAAGGAAATTCAGCTTGCTCGATTGAAGGCAACCATTCGGCAGCTTCGTCAAGCCTACAAGCGAAGTGAACGTGAGATTGTCTTGGCATCTTTGGACAGCACGGTCGAAAGCCATGCCGCTGCATTGCTAATAGCTGCGGCACTGGGAAAGTGGGAAATCGATAGCGACAGTGATGTCCCGATGCCAGATACTAGCGCACCTGTGGTTCCTGTGGGATGTAATCTTCATTTGCCAGGTGGGGTTGTCCATACTGTGGACTGCTTTCAAGAAGTGTGTGACCTATTAATGTCGATCGTCAGTTCAGACCCTTTGACATTCCCCTCCATGACAGATGACGATGGCAGTGCGACCATTAAAGCTGTAGTGAACATGGTGGAGAGGTACCTAAAAGAGAACCAAACTCTTCTTGCCGTCTCCTCAAACGACCTGAAGCTCCCTCCCGAAACCATCGAGACTATTGTGAAGCGTAACTGCTCCATCCACAGGCACGATGTGGATGACCTTCAAGAAAGGCTCAACCGCGAAGGGGCCAAGAATGGTGACATTACAATATCTCTGTCTTGGGACACACATGACGATCTCGATCTACATGTCTTCGTTCCCTGTGGAGAAGAGGTCTCCTACGCAAACCGGGTTTGTGACAAGGGAAAGGCCAACCTTGATGTTGATATGAACGCCAGTGGGCCATATTCCAATGCTCCAGTCGAGAATGTCTTCGTTGGGGATCTAGACAAGCACGAAGAGGCTCCGCATGGAAAATATAGAGTAGTTGTTCAAAACTACAGCTATCACGCTAAAGGTGCCAAAAATACCACGGAAATCCCCTGGCAGGTAGTCGTTGACAAGAATGGAGTAAAGGAGAAGTTCACGGGGAACTGTGTTGGCACCAGTAAAGAATCGGATGTGATCGCTTGTGAATTTGAGTACACTGGCAGGACTGTTCCTTACGAAGAGAAAGAACAGCCAGCTGAACTGGCTGCCAGGACTGTGAATATCACTACATCGGTTGGGCGGACACTAGAGGCCTTAACTCAAGCCATAAAGGCCGTTGGGCAGCAGGAGCATATGGACCAGGTCCGACAGCTCGTAATTGAGGATGAACACGGAGAACAAACAGTGGAACGGCTAGCTTTGAGTGCTACTTATGAAGTTACCAACCGTGATCGCAACAACATGCTGATATTCCACCTACCAGCTCGTTTTCAGGCGATCGTCAACAAGGTATTTGGAGGAGGGGACCTGTCGGATAATTGCGCCGAAAGTATTGCCAAACGCATGGTCGAGGACAAGATCCCAATCTCGGAGCTCAAACGGGCAGGATACCCTGATGATATCGTAGAGTCAGTTCGTGAAAAGATGAAGGTGGTGTAGGAAAAGGGCAAAAATATAGAGTAAACTGAAAAGCAACTGCTTTCATGCATAGTACCTTAGAGTATTAGTCTGTCTCGTGCGCGTGCGTGCAGTCCCCTTAGTTTGATCGATTCATTCGACTCAAAATCCAACCGTGACTTCAAAACTAAGAAGCAGTCCAACCAACACTGGCATGAGATGGCACTCTTTCAATCATGGATGTGGAAGTGTAATATCCTTGTGGGACTGGCCCTTGTTTGCCATGAATGCGATGCTCTGATTCCGCGATCAGAGTTTCTACAGCAGAGTCTGCTCGCATTCACCACATCCAACATTATTACAACTTCAAGTCAATGGATTGCGGTCGAGGAAGACGCTTTGCTGTGCAGGAATGGTGCTCTTACTCCAGAACAAGCTGTGCCTGGAGCTTATAGTAACTCTTGTATGACGTTGCCCCGTCGAATTGTTCCTCTTCAAATACCAACGAAAAAAAGCGCGACCTCTTCCAGCACTGAAACCACCACCTTGATTATTTCCCAAGAAGCCAGTGGGAGTGGGAAGACAGGGCTGGCTGTTTGGAATTCTGGTTTATTGTTGACACGGGTATTGCAGTCATTGGCACTACAGATTCCTCTTTGGTTTGCACAACAAGAACGAATTTTGGAATTGGGCTGTGGAACAGCTGTCGTAAGTATTGCTTGCCATCGGCTCGGTGCTCCTCATGTCTTAGCTACAGATGGCAATCCGGACGTCGTTCGCCTAGCCAACCAAAATATTGAGACCAACCAACAACCGAAGCCAATATCCGGGAAAAGTTCGGGTGATGCAAACGCTGACACATCTCCGAAGATGAGCTCAATTGAGGCAAAGCTGCTGCAATGGGGCTTGTTGAATGCAATGGACTATAGCGAAGCGGCAGACTTGTTGCTGGGATCCGATTTAACGTATAACTCTGGCACCTGGAGAGTACTAGCGGAAACAATGGAAGCGATTTTGAGTCCAACAGGGACAATATTGTATCTAAGTTTGGGCCATGAAGGCTTCAATGTCAATGCTGAAGTCGAAGGCTTTGTATCAGTGGCAAAGGAAATGGGATTGGTCCCGGTATCAGAAATCGGCGGAGACGCTGGTGAAAAGGTTATTCCAGTCTCTAGCCTCGTTTCTTCCGCCATATCATCGCAAGAGGACTTCAAGCAACTGCAGGTTAGTGGAGGGGCCAAGATCATTGCCTTGCAACGAAAGCAACTGCGAAGGAACTCATGACAGCATGAATCTAAACAAGTGCTACGATATCGATATCCGATGGTACTGTCGATGCATGTATGCTGAAAGAGCGAGTGACAGGAGGACATTCGTCTCGAAGCTTTTCATGCCCTCGGCAGCGACTCAGTTGAGTTCGGTTCGTCCTCGATGTTTACCCTCGATGTTGTACGCTTCGTCGACCTTGGTTTCTACCACTTCCTCAACGGTCATCGTTTTCCTTTCGATTCAAGTTTATCAAATGACTAATGCCTATTGCAATCGGAGAGGATTCTTCGGTTCATGCGTTGTCCAGAGACGAGCTGCTCTGTTCATTCAGAAACCAGGTTTATGTTGAAGCAATGAAATTATTTTCCCTAAAACAGTCTCATTGAGTTCCATCATGATTGATTTTGTATTTCAGAGTGAGCCCTGCGCGATTTGATGTAGGTGCTTTTCTATTGCAATCTCGTTCACATCAGCACCTCGAACATACTGTAGATCGATCTTCTCACCAACAGTGACATGTTACAATCCTTCGTGCCATCCTTGGTAATGGTGACGCATCTCACGGATTGTCGTCGAATCCTTACTAAAAGAATTGTTTTTATTATCCTTGATGTATTTTAATAATACATCGTATTTTAGTTGGTTTATGCGGTAGCACTATACAACAAATACTGTATTAATAGGATTTAGTTTATATTAACCGGAACCCGGAGATGCGTTGGATCTTACTTTTCCACATACGCGTACACGTGCTCGTATGTACGGTATGGTACTGTATTGAATAATAGGTACCATACCAGTATCGCTTGGACCCTCTTGAAGCTCCTGCATGCATGCAGTCTTTTAGAGGATTATTTTTATAACTACAGAGTTTCTGAGTACCGAGGCCTGATCCGGTGGTTTCTGTCAGAAACCCCGCGAATGAATGAATCCCCTCGTGATTCAGAAACCAGCTCCACTTTGTGTACAGTACAATTCATGAAATTATGTACCTCGTACACGTACCAGGTACCGGTACCAGATACCAGTACCCAAAAACGGCCATCTTTGAAAGTGAGCTCCGCGTGACTTGATGTAAGTCGTATCTCGTTCAGATACTGTACCAAGTGGGTCGGTCTACGACGGAGAAGTGAAAGACTCCATGCCAACTTTCATAACGGGTACTGGTAACACGGAGATGCGTTGGATTTGCGAGCAAATCATGGCTACAGAGTTTCTGAGTACCGTGTAGTATTCCGGTGGACATACTGAACGGTACAGTACGTCTCTTCCGAGTTACCATGGGCAGTTTCAGGTCATAAATTTCGAATCGAAAGGGAAACAATGACTGTCACAGAAGTGGTAGAGACCAAGCTTGATGAAGAGCACTACGTCGACGAAGATGGTACTGAGCCAGTCGAAGGTACTGAAGGAGAAGAAACTGAAACCAAAAGCGGTCATACAGTCCCAAAGGGAGTTGCCGTTGAGGAACTAAAGAGCTACCGAGGACATAAAAAGCTTCGAGATGAATGCCCTCCTGCCGTTCAAGAACTTTTGACCGCAAAGGGTGCCTTCGATGTTTATGACAAGTTTGTTTCCACAATGGCCAGTGAGAAATCCACTCGTGGACCACTAGGCAAGTGGAGAGATAAACAATTCATTTCTGTATTGGATTTGTTCCAAGATGAGTTTATTGACAAAGGAGTTAAAGTTTCCTTGTGCAAGCGCTCGTCTGGAAAGGGAACCTACCGCTGGCTTGAATTCATTGACGTTGAAGCACTTGAGGAACCATACGTCCCTCAGTATGATGTGTCCAACCTTTCAGGACAAATCCTCGAGACCTGCTACTCAAAACTTCAGTTTCCCAATGGCGTGGCCGTTGAAGAACTCAAGTCGTGGAAAGGTCGCAAAAAGCTCAAGGAAAAGATCCCAATTTATCTTGAAAAGCTTCTTAAGAAGAATGATTTGATGGCTGAATACGACCAACTGATTGACCATGTCATTGAGTCCGGAGTGTCTGCTAATATGAAAAACTGGGAGACAGAAAAACTACAGGCTATTCTTGAGGAATACAAGCCCATGTTTGCTGCCAAGGGTGTCGATGTCTTTGTTTCCCACAAACAGGAATACGTCTCACACGGTCAATATGGTGGCCACACTGAATTCTTCAGATGGATTGAGTATGTGGATCGTGCTGAACAGCCCAGTTACACTCCCCAGCGTAACGCTGACGAGAAGGATGAGGCATGCACCATCATGTAACTTTTTTTGGTAATCGATGACTTGGTTTTCCATCTCCGTTTTGTGTGTCGTTTTTTGGATGGATGAATTTTCTGCCTATCTCAGTTTTGTGGGGTGGCCCTCTAAAGTTTAGACGTCTCAATTTTACATGTGATACCTATTGCTTTTCTATGTGGCATGATAGAATTCTGTCGACGCCGTTGTAGTTAGCCAGTCATTTCTTCTACCCTTCGTCGATAGCATACCTCCAATAACTGGACAATTGCTCGGGAGGGCTTTACCTCATACTCCTTCATAAGTTGCAAGAGCCGATCTGCATACTTTGGTTTGTCGTGTACATTGCTGGCTGCCAACACCTTGAGAATGGCATGAAATAAAAACTTGTCAGGGATCACCAAAGTTTTGGTTCCTCTACTATTCTCCTCAATTTTTTTCTGCTGTTGATTGTATTGCAACAGTAGATGGAGAATTTCATCGGCCTTGTAAATCGCATTCGGGTCTCCCGAGTTGCCCCACGCACGTATAGTGCTCGTAAATTCGAAAGCTCTTAGGTTTTCATTGACTCTGCCAGAGGAAACCTTTCCTATTAGTTCTCGCAGATAAGCTTCGGCTTTCTCGCCTGACTCAGGAGCATGGCTACGAGACCACACATTGATGATCGCACCGTAGGTCTTGCCATCGGGATCATAGTGGCCCTTCATTTCTTCCAAAATGGATTCTGCTTGCAATGCTGGGTCAATAGAAGGGGAGACGTCGTTTTCAGAAAGGTCATCCCCACTGATTCCATCACCTGCTGTTTCATCTAAACTTCGATCATTGCTGTACATTAATCCACATGTTGAGATTAGTGTGTTGAATGTCACCGGGTCTGGCTTGAGTGTCATGTATCCCTCTTGGCGCATCTCATGCATTATTGCAACCAACTTTTCACACCGCTGAAATGCTTTGGGCGATCTTGATCGCACCCATGCTCCCATAACCGAGTTGAAGGAAATCACATCCGGTCGAACCCGGCCTCCAATTTCAATCATTCTCTCCAGAATCGCCTCTGCTCGCTGTGGAGCTTCGGGGTCCGTGCTGTGTGCCCACGCTGAAATGACGGTGTTGAAACTAATGGAATCAGGTCTGACTCTCGATCCATCTCCACACATTTCGTCCAGTAGCGACTGTGCCTGTTCTCCGTAACCGCGCCTTGTGTAAGAGTGCAGCAATGTATTATAGGTCACCAAATCAGGTTCAAGACGCTCATGTTTTTTTAGTACGCGAAATAAACTTCGAATGCGAGCAGTTGCTTGCCTCAGAGTAGACTTGCTCCACGCGTCCAAAAGTGTATTGTACGATGTTATGTCTGGTTCGACTCCAGCATCCATCATCGTTTTCAAAACACCCTCTGCCTCCGCTATCTTTCTGGCTCTGGCAAATGAACGGATTAAAATATTGTATGAATAGACGTCTGGTTTGATACCATCACTTTCCATGGTTCGTATCAATGCCTGAGCTCTGCTCATCGCATCACGTGACCTCGATTTTGCCCAACAGTCCAGCACTGCGTTGTATGCCACAATATCAGGTGGACTATCTAGCTCCCCAGAATTTGCCAGATCCCTCATCAAGCGCAGCAGTCGTTCTCCTCTTTCTCCGGCATCGGAAGATCTGAGTTTCGACCAACCTGATAGCACAACTGTGTAGGTTTGAACCGTCGGTCGTACTTCTATATTCCCCTGCAGAAAGCTCTGATGCATTTCCCCCAGTAGCTCCTCTGCCCGTTCAATGTTCCGTGAATTGACGTATGCGTTGATTACGGAGTTGTAAGAGATGACATTTGGCGATATATCTTGGTCAATCATACGTCGCAGGATCGATTCGGCGACTTCTGGTTCGGTCTTTGATTTGGCAAATGCACTCAATACAGTGCTATAGGAAATGACCGATGGCTGCTCATTCAATTCTCCGGATTCATAAAGGCGTTCCATTTGATCCAAGACAGATTGTGCTTTGTCCACGTCTCCAGCCTTGGCAAGCGCCACGAGGTACCCATTGAAGCAAGCAAGTGCAGGTTTCAATTCCTCGTTCCCATTCCTAGATTCTTCATACATTTCTTGCAAAAGAAATTCAACCCGATCTGGTCGACCCTTTTGCGCCCAACAATCAATAGCAGTAGCATAGGTCACTTGATTTGGTGCCACATCCCATTCAGGTTCCTCAAATGAAAGTTCGTGCATTTGCTCCAAAAGTTCCTCTACTTTGTCAGGAGCCTCAGCTCGTCCCGACTTGACCCAACTGTTCATTAGCGTTGAGAACGTGTAAACATTCGGACGGAGACGAGGATGATTCGTTGCATGTATTCGAAGGTATTGGAGAATGTCATGTCCAACTATCACAGATTGACGGGAATCGTGGATGGCTCCATCCATAATCATGCTAAATGTGTGAACATCAGGTTTCAGAATTGTCGAGCTACTTGCTTCAAGCGCCTTGATTCTCTCGAATAAAGAAGACGCACTCAATTCGGGATCCCCTCCAAACAGAAGAGGCTTTTCTGCAGCAGCTTTTCTCCAATTGTTGACTACCAAGTTGAGAAGATCAGTTGTGAACAAGTCTTCGGTCGCCTCGCCGGCAATCCAGTCCAAGCTCTCTTTGTTTTGTCGCAAAGTTTGATCGTCTTTCTGTATTCTTTCCAAGAGACGAATTGCCATGGATGTTCCTTCGTCCGCCGGGGCATCGTTCAGCCACCAAAGTACTGCCATGTGACATTCTGTGCGAGTTTTGGGATCGTCAAAGCTTCCGATGGGTGTCTCCAGGAGTCTCGTAGAGGTATGTCTCCAGACGCTATCCATATCAGAGGAGAGCGAACGTTTTGATATCAATCGAAATTTGTTTCCTTCGTTTTCGATTTGAATTGGTACATCTTTCCTCACAAATCGATTTCTACAAGTGTGATGACGCCGCAAATGAATTCGCCTAGAGGTTCTGGAGTGCCCGATCGCAGTATTGCTACTTGAATGAGGGAGAACCGATCTTATTCTTGACCTTAGTTGTCGCTTCATGATGTTGTTTTGGAGCAAAGAGAATGATTTTTTGTGATCTCGGTCGTCGAAGAATTAAAGGGTGGTTATGCGCCGGTGACCAGACAGACGTCACAGATTTCCAACCAACACATCTCATCTTGATCTCAATCTTGATCTTGTTCTGAATCGTGATCGCCAACAGATACTGTATAGTAGCCTGTAAACTTTCAGAGGAAAACAAGCACTCAAGAGGAAACCAAACCCTGTAATGCGAGAAAGTAAAATTACAAGTTATTGTCAATAATTTTTTTTAAGATGTAGCGAAGTCTGATTACTCCCCATTCTGATCCAGAAGCAGCATCGCTTACATCGAACTAGTAGCCAATTAGCATTAATATTATTACAGGTGAAATTCTAGCAAGCACACGACTCGTCGATCATCCTTCTTCCATAGCCAAGCGATTATAGATCCAGCTTTTGTCTATTTATTCACTCACTGCTGGTCCCATCTCGCTCTTGCCAAAGCTGGGGGCTTGCAAATGTGCTGGAATCGTTGCTCCAAACGAGACCCTTTTACTAGAAGACAAAGAAGAAGATGGACACTTCAGGATACTCGGGGAGGTTAAAGGTGGACTCATCGTCCAACTCGACCGATTTCCCAGTTCTTTTTCATCAAGAACCTTTGGATGAGTAATTGTGGGTGAGTGGTGAGAGTTCTCATCATTCTCGTTGTTGTTATCATCCTTTTCATCAACAGGTCTACACGCTAGATACAGCTGGATGATGTCTTGAGCACTTCCATTGTCTTCCTTCTGAAAGTCAAGGAGATCTTGAATGCTAGTCTTTCCAAGCTCATTTTCAGAGAACACTTTGTCAGGTAGGTTTTCTAATTTCATGACACACTGGATTTCTGAGGAGTTCGCTTCAAGTTGTTGAGATTGTTCTGAAGGCCATTTGACGACTTCCTCGGCGGCGGGAGTTTCGTAAATCTTCTCGAGGACCGAATCATCAAAGTCTTTCTCCGACAATCGAAAGTTCTTCGATCGATTGGTAACACTATTCGCGAGTCGTATGCGGATGCACTGACGGGTAAGAGATGTTCTTGGATACTCTTGTGGCATGGTTGCTGCGGTTCGCTGTATTTTTTTGTTGGTCGATGCAGTGAAAGACGCAAACCTGAAGTACTGCTTATTGTGGATAGGAAATTTCTATGGAAGAAGATGAATCAACATACCGGTAGCGGTGTCCCGGTATTGGTGATTGATTGATCCTGTCAAATCGCTATAAAAAAAACTGTTGGGAGCTTTTTCGCATAAACGCAAGCCGAATTCATGTGTTCTTTGCGACACACATGCAGTAACTACGGGGCGAAAGTCGACCCGATGGACAATATTTGCGCGATAGGGTTGCGCGGAGCAAGCTTCGGCCAACGAAGTTTCCCATCACTTTTGTTATTTCTTCCAAACATTACAGTAGCGAACATCAACTTGACTTTGAACAAGAATTACTAGCTGGAGCAACCGCTGCATTTAATTTCAAAGAAAGACAACAATGATGTCAACTAATATTTCAATATGTTCGCTGATATCTGTGGGATTAATCCTTTCATTACCATTGTCGGATGCCTTTCAAGGAATGGAAGTTGGACCAAGACAATACAGCACCACCGCCACCAGACTGTACAATTCACAAAAGAAAAAGCCACGATTTTCACAGCAAGCTCATATTCAAAAGAAGGAATCAATATCACGGAGCAAACCTAAACCTTGGGATTCTGGAAAGTCCATTGACGAGCTCGAATCGAAATTGATGTCAAGGTGGGGAACTTTGGAAGACCAGCAAGCACCTACGTCCAATGGCAAAACGAAGAAAAAGCAAACGTCCCGGTCCACGCCAGACCTCAGAGCGCCTGTATTTGATCCTTGGGATGACGACGAACAGCCTAAGCGACAAGTTGTCCGTGAATATTACGATGAGGATGATGAAGGATTTGAGTATGTTGAATTGGAAGATGACGAAGAATTCGACATAAGCGAAATACAGTTTGACGATACCGATACCGTATTCTCCGGGCAATCGTCCAAGTTTGAATCTAGAAAAATGAGAGTTGGAGACTTGATTTCACCCAAACCAGTGGGTGGGAGAGGGACTTTTAAGTCGGACGATGAAGCAGGCGGCTACTTTTTCAATCCCAAGAGCACCACCACAGCTCCCATAGACAACAAGAAGAAAAGCCAATCGGCACAGACAAAAGAGAAGAAGGAAGAAGCAGAACCGAAGAAAAAAGAACCAAAGGAATCCGCGAAAGAGATCATGGGAGAGAATGGAAAGCCACTTTTGTTGTGTGTAGAAGAAGCTATGTCACGGTTCGAATCGACAGTGGAAGAAGGTGTGATGGACACTATTGATGCCACGGAAGAATCTCCCATTGTCGCTCTCGCAAAAAAGAAATCGTGGGAAGACTTGGGAATCACATCGCCCATTCTGCTGGAGAACCTTGACTACATGAATTGTCTGGCGCCTTTGGATGTTCAGGTCAAGACAGTGCCAGCTGCCCTGACAGGCAATGATGTGTTGGTGGGAACCTACACAGGTAGTGGAAAGACTCTAAGCTTTTTGGCACCCTTGATACAGAGACTGCTATGGGATGGCGACAATGTTGATTTCAAGAATCTCGGCCTTGCCATTTTGATCATTGCCCCAGGACGTGAATTGGCGAGTCAAATTACCAGTGTTACTCGTGAACTGATTCAGGATACCGGTTTGACAGTACAACTTGCGATTGGAGGAACTACCTTCTCTAGAAATTTGGAACAAATTCGAAAACGAAAACCCAACATTATCGTTGGAACACCTGGTCGTATCGCCGAACTGGTAGTTGGGAAACCTGGAGAAAAGTATGTGTGCTTTGGACGGATGAAATGATCGTTGCTTGATGCTGCTGTTGATTTTGCTGTTAGTTTGCTTGCACCACCACAAATCTCACATTGTTGATCAATCTTTGAAATCTATTGTAGGAGCGGACGACTTAAGATTGCCTCTTTGCAGTCCTTGGTCATGGATGAATTCGATGCTTTGTTGGAGTACAAGCCACACCGTGAACCCACCCGCGCCATTATGACGACCTTGAAAAGGCGGCATCGGGACTCCATGCAATCCATTCTATGTTCCGCCACAGCTTCCGACATTATGGAATCCTCCAAGGTGGTAGACTTTTTGCGACCTGGATTTGAAACTGCCATGGCCGACGAGACGGATGTCCTTGTCTCACGCAAAAACAAAAAGTCGACCATGGTCAGCAAGACCGCCTTGCACGGTGTTATGCACGTACCACACCGCCGATTTGCCTTGGACACTCTTCGACGAGTCTTGCACACAGATCCAAACCCGCAGCAGATCCTTATCTTTGTAGAGAACTCTCGCAAGGTAGACATTGTCGTTGAAAAGTTGGGGAATATGGGAATTGTGGCAGCACCGCTTCACGGTGGTATGAATAGTGACAAGATGGACCGTGCTGAAGTAAGCAAAGCACTCCGGGAAGGATACGTGGGCATTGTGGTGGCTACTGAACTTGCGGCTCGTGGATTGGACGCTCCTCTACTTACGCATGTCATCAACTTGGATCTTCCAACCGACGCCTCGCACTATGCCCATAGATCGGGTCGATGCGGTAGAGGAGGACGACCGGGTGTAGTCATCAACTTTACCACTGGTCCAAAGGAACGAAACGTACCCCAACGATTCGCCGATTCTTTGGGAATTGAAATGCACAGTGTCGAAGCAAGGAGTGGGAAACTGGTCATGGTTGATCCAACAACCCAAAAATTGGATGAATAAATCATCACATACGAAATGTGAAAAAGCAATATTTTTAAAAGATGCTAATACCTGTAATTCTTTCATTATCATTCACACTGCCTTACACCTACAGTACCTGGTACGGTGTGTTGGTGTCAAGTGAGCAACCTGTTTTTGCACACGTCATCCTCATCAATCATGACTAAAGGGGCTCATAACCAAATTTTCGGATTGAATCTGGATTGACGCGAACCGACCGGTCCATCTGTTGGTCTGTTCTCTGTTCTGCTTCGCTGTCGTTCCTTTTCTCACATCGTCACAATATTGGCAGTTGGCTTTCTCATCAAGATCTTCTCCCCCCACGTCGCTTTCCACAACGCAAACTACAGGTCTAACCAAAGATAAATCATGTTTGGAGGTGGTCGAAAAAACGAAAAGCCATCAGATGCGATAAAGCCGGAAAATGCTCCCAAAAAAGGAGGCGGCGGTTCTGTCACTGGTTTCGATCCAGAAGGTTTGGAGCGTGCGGCCAAGGCGGCTCGAGAATTGGATGGCAGTCGCAATGCTTCCGCTGCCATTGAATTGATCAAATCACAAGAAGCTACCAAGCAGGTTAGTCTAGGTTGGGCGCTCTTGGAATCATGTTCTGCAGATGGATCCATTGGATCGATTTTTGATTCGTGGATTTTCTAGTTTGTCGCGGATTTTTCATGCTTTCTCATGTTTGCCCATCTTTTCCTTATTCATAGCACGAGCATGCTGCCAAGCGAGCTGAAATGGATGCCTATGCCCAACAAACTCGGGCCCAAAACATTGAACGAGAAGCTGAAGAAGCCCGAAAAACATTGGATGCCCAAACACAACATGAGAGACATCGTGCCGAGTACATGGACGAACTTGAACGCAAGCGACAAGTCGATATGTTGAATGCTCAAAAGTACATGCAGGAGTGAGTACAGTATATCTTATCTTGACGTTATTGATTTCACTGCACTTGTCCCATATTGAATCTTGGATGCTAAATTTCGTATCTTTCTGTATCTCCTCCACCTTCAGAGAGCAATTGAAAAAGCAAGAAGAAATGGTGGCCCGACAGGAAGAAATGCGTCGCAAGACGGCTGATCACGAAGCTGCCCTTCGTACCAAGACCGAATTGGCCAAGGCCAAAGCAGAAGCCGACGGTAGAATTCGTCAAGAGCGCGAGAATCATGACTTGATAGTGGCAAAGCTAAAGGCAGAAGCAATTGAAAAACGCGACACTGTTCTCAAGGGAATTGCCGATGCGGGAAAAATGGTTGGGGAAGGTCTGCAGACGTATCTAGATGATACGACCAAATTGCGCAATACCGCGTTTACCGTCACAGGAATTGCTGTCGGTGTCTACACGGCGAGGACATCGATCGGAATTGCTGGACGATTTGTTGAGAGCCGCTTAGGAAAGCCCAGTCTGGTCCGAGAAACCAGCCGATTCACGGCGAGTCAACTCGTGAGAGAGCCAGTCAAGACATTCAAGCACACCTTTGGCATTGGCAGATCTGAAACTGACGCCCTGAATGGAATTGTCTTGGAGAACAGCTTGGAGTCCCAACTTCGAAAGATTGCCGTTTCAACGGCGAATACGAAAAAGAATCGAGCTCCCTTCCGTCATTTATTGTTGCACGGTCCTCCAGGTACCGGTAAGACTATGTTTGCTAGAGGTTTGGCCCAGCACTCGGGTCTCGATTATGCCGTATTGACGGGAGGTGATATCGCGCCCTTGGGACGAGATGCCGTCACTGAATTGCACAAACTCTTTGACTGGGCCAAAACCTCACGCAAGGGTCTTTTGTTATTTGTCGACGAAGCCGATGCCTTTCTCCAATCCCGTGAAACCACTAAGATTTCCGAAGATCAACGGAATGCCCTTAACGCCTTTCTTTTCCGTACTGGTACCGAATCCGATCAATTCATGATGGTGTACGCTAGTAACCAGCCTTCCCAATTCGACCCTGCCATTATGGATCGTATCGATGAAATGGTCGAATTTGGACTGCCAAGTACCGAAGAACGCCGAAAAATGATTGCCATGTACATTGACAAGTATCTACTCAAGCCACCCACGTGGGCCAAGGCCGTCCAGACCGAAGATATTGGCGAAGTTGAAATTGAAAAGGTGGTCCAAGAAACGGAGGGTTTTTCGGGTCGTGCTATTTCCAAGTTGGCCATTGCATGGCAAGCAGCTGCCTACGGAACCGAAGGTGCCGTGTTGGACAAAGCCACGTTTTTCCAAACAGTGGAGCAGCATAAGCGCAGTATGTCCACCAAGGAAGTATGGTTGAAGGATGCTGAATTTAGAGCAGAACAACTTACAATCGATGCTTGAATATTATAATACTCAAACTATTATGTATAGACAAGGGATTATTGCTACTCTGTTCTCTGTTTCTACAGTGGAGAACCCAGCCATCAAAGCCGACTGACTTCTAACATCTAGCATACTCGCCGCAAACTAACGCTTAGCAAAGCCATTCGTAGTCAACAAAATTTTTAGATGAATAAATTGTACAATATGCAGTGCCCAACTGATCCCTAGTCTGCTGCGAAGGTTTTCCCGGCCGCCTTCCTCTCAACCTCTTTCCAGTAAGCTTGTATCCTCTTCAAACTTACGGGTTTGGCTAACACGCTGTCGGCGCCGTGTCGGACGAAGAAATCTATGTCTTCCGATAGGACATTACCACTGACACCAACAATAATACCTTGATAGCCATTGCGCCGAATCTCTGCTGATGCTTCAGGACCTCGAAGCAATGGCATTTCGTAGTCCATAAGGACACTATCGATTGGAATATGACTCGGATCAGCCTTCGACTTTTCCATGTCTTCCTTGATGGCATCGACAGCTTCCTGACCATTCCCAGCGGGAACACATTTGTGTCCCGCTCTCTCGAGGAGGCGTATCAGCATCTTTCGACTGGATGCCGAATCCTCTGCCACCAGCACACGTCTACTTGACGGTGCAGCCTTCGCGGCCACACCTCCCTCTGAGCTGCTGTCCACATTTCCAATGGTACTTTGACTCTCTTCTGTAGGTTCCGTATGACTATCCTTGTCAGACCAATGGACTGCCTCGAGCTCGGATTGTCCAAATTCATACAAAGGTAGCTCAATCGAAAAGATGGTTCCTTTGCCGAATCCCTCAGAGTCAGCAGAAATTGTTCCCCTGTGTTGCTCAACTAAGCCCTTTGCAATGCTCAGACCAAGACCACTGCCACCGCCATGTTGCAATCGGTTCGCATCGAACTGAACGCCCTCACTGAAGAGCCTGCTTAGCTGCTCACGGCTAAGTCCAACTCCAGTATCTTTCACGCTCAGCCTTACGGAGCCCGCCCGCTGACGTATGGCGCCTTCTTCGCCTGGTGCGAGCATTGGTTGGGCATGTGGCAAGCCATTCGGAATATAGGTGGCAGTGACATCAATGGAGCCCTTGACTGGAGTGAATTTCAATGCATTCGATATCACATTCCGAATCACTTGGCTTAGTCGGCAACGGTCACCAACCACATTGTACGGGTCGAAGCTTTCTTTTCCAGCTTCAATATCCTGGACAGTATTGGCAGTCGCTGCAGGTTTTTCCATATGAAGCTTGAGCTCGACTCCGCGATTCACAGCCTGAATTCCAAACTGATGTATTGTCTGCTCGATCAAGTCCCAGATCAATACAGGCTCCGTTTCAAGTTCTAGAGTGCCTGTTTCCAGTTTGTCATAATTCAACAGATCATTAAGGATTTCGACTGCAATATGTGCATTTTCGTTCGTGTCTTGGGTCACGTTCAGCAAGAAACCAAGGTCTTCGTCAGAGCACGGTACAGTTGGGGAGCCAGTTCCTAGGCCCGGTGGACTTTTTAGTTCTGATTGAAGCAGCTCTAGACCCATGCACACTGTATTGAGTGGCGTTCGAATCTCGTGAGAGATAAAGCGGACGAATCTGCGCTTCATCTCCAAAATTTCCTGGCGTTTCTGAGCTTCGCGACGCACTAGGTAGTCATATAAAAAGAAAAGAAACGCCACGGCTGCAATCACCCCAGCAAAACCGAGTGCAACAGTTAGGGGACTCGTGGTAGTGAACGCATCAAGCATCTGCGTCGTAGGGTAAACAGTTAGCTTGTATTTCGCTGAGGTCAAAGCCCCAGTTTCAATATCGTTGAGAACCACGGTCTGGCCGTAGCTGTCGAATGCGGGATCGTGTAGATCTCCTTTACCAACAATCATTGGCTTGCCGTTTCGGATCTCGAAGGTATAAGCAGCAGTGTCTGTGGAGATAACACAAGTAAGACCATCGACATAGTCAGGAACAACGTTTGTTAGGACCTCTTCAAAATGAATGGATGAGGCAGCAATCCCAACGACATTGGTTGGATCGTTCGCAGGATAAATTGGGAGATACAGTAAGGCCGCTGGGCCATCCCTGGACTGTAATGAAAAGATTATTTAGTACACCTGAACAAATGGAACCAAGCAAAAAAAATTGATCTTGTGCTTTACCTTGAGTTCAACCATATCTGTGATGACACCACATTGGGGACTTGTTGTGGCGTCCTCGTGTAATTCGGCACAATCGAAAGCATCATCAAGATAAGGAGCACGATCCGCTTCCGAATAAGGGTTATAAAGGTGAGTCGATGCCCCGAGCATATTATGCATCATCAAAGGGGTCATAATCTTGCGTTTCCCGCCCCATTCGTTCTCTCCACTGATGTCGTGAAGTCGCCCATCCGCATAGGTTTTGTTTTCGCTCCTGTCTGGTTTCCAAATACCATATCCAAAGTCGCTGTAGCCAGTACTGTTTGGTCGGTTCTGAGCTTTATATACTTCCTTGGTATGATTCTCAAATGCTTCTGCTTCTTCTGGCCTTACCACTACAACAAGCGCCTGCAGCCAAGTAGCTGAGAGTGCAGCAATCGATTGAGCTATTGGAATGTAACCGTCCATCGAAATCATTGGCCAATCTTCAGAATTCGGGAACACCTGACCCATTAGTGTGCCCATCACTTCCGAGCCTTTAACCTTTCGTTGGGTGATTTCCTGAGCTCCTCTCGTCGCACTCGACGCAATCGAGCGATATGTCTCCAACCCAACGTTTCTTTCAGTGCTTTTAAGTTGTGTGTATGCTAATGAAGCACATATCGCAGCTGCAGCAAATAAGCTAAAGATGAGCATCGCTCGCAAAGCGACAGTCCTTTGAACTCGGGACGGAAGTCCACGACGGCGCCCGTTTGGAACCCCTCTCGAATCATTGGTCCTGGCTGTTTGTTCACTATATGAGGTCTTTGAAACTACCATGGTAGCTGACTGTTGTGATATATTAAAACTGAGTTTTGCTTTTGTGCCTTGTGCCAAGCACACACGGAGTTATTGCACCAAGTGTCGGTGTTTCCATGCGGGAACCTTGAACCTGAGCTGAGAGCCCTCCGATTCATTCAGGGAACTACGGTGTAAGAGAATACACCGGGACAATAGGTTCTCGTTTTTTATTTAGAGTTAACTGACTGGATGACTACGAAAAGGCTCAAATGTGTTGACGTCTATTGTATTTCTCCGCATTTCACTCAATGAGAATTCGTTTTACTTATGATGTTCTGTTCCATCTGTTCTGTTCGCTAAGCCAATGGAGGCGACTCCTTCCGGTGAGACGAAAAAGCACAGCTGACGGACTAGATTTTATGTCTCGATTTATTTCGATTTTATCAATTGATCCGTTGTGGCCAGTGTCGTGAAGACATTCTACTTCTGATCAAACGCCTTATGAACTTGGTATGAAATCTGTTCCTGGTTTCAATTTTGTGAGAAATGGGCCTGATTGATGATGCTGCTCTCTTGCTTGTTTTTCCAATGGGGGCTTTCTCTTGTGTTGGTTGTTGCATAGTATTGAAAGAAATTAGAGAGAGAGAGAGAGAGAAGGAGGGAAGGTTTTAACCATAGGAAAACTGTGAAGCAAAATACAAACAACCAAGTTTGAGTCTTAGGGCTTAGCCGTTTCACTGCTATGGACCCCAAAATCCAACGGAACAATATGACGACAAGTACAGTAATGCCTGCCTTGTCTCTCGACCTGCGAAAAATGATGCGATCACTGCTTTAAACATCGATCTGATAATGCGCAAATTTATTGTTACTACTCAGACGATGAATGGGACGATATCTTTTGCCGCCTCGTAATCAAACTCGGTCAATCTAGAAGTATCATCGCACTGTCGAATCCTCGTAAATATTTGATTTCCTTTTCATGGTTCCACAAAGTCGGAAGTCTATCAACAGTCTACTAATGGAAACTCCTTAGCCCGATAGCTGTTCGCGGGAAGAGGAATCGGAATCACACCATCAGTGCCATATTGGTATCGCCTTCAGGAGAACGGTACGTCCCAGCCTTCCTTGCACCCATCAGCTTATGGATCACAGCGCTGATGTACTGTTTTGAAGCTGACAATGATTCATTCCATTTTTCGATGGATTTAGATTGTTGCATTTCAGTGCAATTGATCAGCTGAAGACTATTTCCAACGGCCTATTGTCTGCCACCAATCCAGTTGATCTCCAAATTTTTTCGGTTCCTTTTTATTCTTGTTCTCCTTCTCCATGGCATCATTGTCTTCATCTCCTTCGGGTGGTTCATAAAGCGGCTCCCCGATAGGGAACTTCTCCATGACATACTTGTGATTTCCTGAATAACGGACAGGAGGAGCATGATTGAGTGAATATCGCATTGTTCAACCGAAAAAAAGACACCAAACGAAATAGTCAACAGAGAACCTACCAACTGTAAATCCAACTGCTTGTCGATGCACAATCAATTCCCACCTATAGTGGTGCGCTTGTTTTCGATAAAAGTTGTACTTTTTGGCAATCTCCACTACCTCTGGAGACGTCATATCGTAACCCTTTTCTTCGTCTTCCAACAACGCTTCGTACTTATTGTACTCGTCATTCATTTGCCTCCAGGCTGCCACAATCTTTTGTGCCTGTTTTCCCAATGCCCTGCCGATAGTACCCTTGAGCTCATCTTCAATGGTTTTCAGATGCAAGGAAGGATCGTGAATGTCTCGAATATGTTCCATATATTCATTCTTTATTTTTGGATTTTTAACCATCCGCGCGCCACTTTCCCATGATTTCAGTGGATTTGCATTAGGAACTTTGATGGATGTTGGCGAGTTTGAGGAGGACGTTGCCATGCATCGTTTGATGAAGCCGTATGTGGATGGAAGATTGCGTCTCATGATTTACAATGGTGATACGAAGTCGAGGTTGACGCTAATTGGGATTATTCAGATGTTTGCTGATGCAGACACTGACTCATGCAACAAACGAAGGTGGTGCTGAGGTCCGCACCACGTTTGTGGAAGAACAATGAAGCTATGGTACTGTTCCGGTACCTTGTACTCGTACGATAGGTTTGGTGAGCGTTACTGTAGCTTTGTTTTCGTCATTGTTGACTCATTCGAGCGATGTGTTCATTGTACGACTACTTCGAACACAAGCCCGAGCGGCGTGCAGACAACAGTGGAAACATTCAACACAAATTGAGTGTGGGTGAGAAGACCACATGAAAGAACAAGCAACCCTCATAGACATCTTCACACCAGACTCATCAGCCGCCGGCAAGCTATTGACCGAATCATCTACTTTATCTTCCACCTTATCTTCGCTTTTCATAGTTAGGATAGCGTAAAGAGAAACATAAACAAGAGGAACACCTTACAAAGCAAACTGAAACGGAACCGAAAGATGTCATCCTCGTCAACTCCAGTATCATTTGATGCCTTGTTGGATTTCCATCAAAAGGAAGAATCATTGTCACCCTACTTCCCAACTACTGTCGAGGAAAAGGAAGCGGACCTGAAAATCGTAGAAAAGGTCCTCGAAACATCGGATCTTCGTGGATTTGGTATTCTCATTCATCGGGAGCATGGACTGGTCATGTTGCAGTGCAGCAAACCGAAAAAGGGCAAGCCCGTCCCTCACTTTCAAATTCCAGGTGGACACGTAGACAAGTTTGAGATCGAAGAGCAACAAAAGAAGCAACCTAGCAATCCATGGGCACCTATTTACGAGGCCGCCAAACGAGGATGTGTTCGTGAGATTTGGGAAGAAACTGGAATGGATTTGAGAGAATCTCTGGATAGAGTGCGACCTTTATGGTTGGGTGCTATCAAAACCAACAAGGGAATGCGCAATGAACACAAGGATCGTATATTTTTCGTTCTGGAAGTCTCTGATTCTGATTTTTTGGTATGTCCATGTCGTACAACTGCGGCGTGATTTGATCAAGAATATCCTAATGATTTATTCATTCCCAATCTGACACGCCATGTTTTGCACCCTAGACCAAAGCACCCGAGGCATCAGTCTCACACGGTGAAGCAAAAGGACCTGGACTCGTGGGTCCCTTGAACTTATCCAGTGAGACGGAAGGGCTAAAGTTGAACATTTCGTTTGAGCATACCGGGTTTCAGTTTGAAAAGAATCCTGAAGTCGCCATTGAAGCAGTTCAGCATCACAGTGGTGGCAAGGTCTCTGAAGCACTTCGGAGAGCATTTCGATCATTAGAAGCTAGTACTAAGGAACCCTGAGATGCTGAATTTCCCGTGTTGAAGTGTCGGAGTGGTGTGATAATGATGAATATGGTGAAGCATGGACATGTGTAGCCAGGGCCATGGAGGTTTCATGTACATAATACTTCCTTTTGTGTCAACTATTTATTTGAAGCTATACAGACCGTGGTCAGCTTTTTCTAGGTTGATTGTTGTACAATTATGATATGTTCAAGCGTTTTGTTGTAGCAGGCGAAATTCATCTACGCACTCTCCTAAAGAATAAAGAAACATGGGAACGATGGTGTCTGGCATTGTAGAAACCTGAAGTTACTGTATTCGTAGATATTTTGTTCCTGTTAAAATTGCTCAAATCATTTTCCTTCTCAAAATAAAGCACTGACTCTACAGGTACCAGTACGTTCCTGGTAGTGTAGCTACACCGTTGGATGCAGGTGTCGATTCTAAGAGAACCCCGCGCGATCAAAGTGTCAGCCCAAATATTTGATGACTTCTGTGCGATCATTAAAATAAATCAGCCTCTACAGGTTGAAGTACCAGTTTCGTACGATCGAGGTGTCAAGCTTTCCGAAAATAAGAGAACCCCGCGATCAAAAGATCAACCCAAATCCAATCAAAATATATGTTGACTTCTGCGCGAGCATCGAATATCAGTGTCAAATTGCTCGCCACGTTTGCAGAAGGAGGAACAGCGTCATCGCCGTTGACCAAATCACCAACTGCCTCAACTTTTCTTCTTCTCGTGGAACGGGAAGAAGTTTTGACCGCCAAAGAATTTCACAAAACTCACTCCATCACTTTCCCATCACATTCTGGGCAAAGACACGACACACTTCCCAAACCCATCACTGTATCACGCGATACAGAATACACAAGTTAGAACTTCAGCTTATTGCACATACAAGAAAGACCACAGAATGAGCTTTGCCAGTAGTATTTTGCTGCTATGTTGCTTGGCATTTTTTGCTGAACCTGGCGAAGCCTTTCAATCTAGCTCCTGGAAGGCCCAATGTAGTAATCTGAGAATACAGCCGCCAGCTACGAATGTCGCCCTGCCTTCTAAGCAGTCCATATGTTCAACCGCCGCAACAACAATACCTGTCACTCGCTGTTACTATTATAGCACAGATTCGAGTGCAGATGGAGATTCATCACAGCAGGCTACCATTCGCCAGAATGACTCTCACCTTCAGAGCTCTATCATCGCGCACGACTGGCAAACAGGTTCTGGTTCTAGTACTTTCTTGCAATTGTCCTCATCACCCATGCCATCCCCATTCCCGCTGGCGTCTGAGATTCAGTTCCGTTCGAAACCTTCTTCCCTAAAGACATCCCAGCAAGAAGAATACCAAAAGAGGATACAGGATTGGGCCGATCTCTATACCTCTGTCGAAGGTCTTCGCAATCATTTTGGACGAAACGCAAACCGTCTCTGGGGTGACTTGGACGCAGTCACCGCTCGTCGAATCTATCAGACACTGCTTCCAACTGCTCTTTTGTGGCTGGCTCAAACCGGAGTTCAACCTCAAGACCTGGCGCCACTGGCCTATCAGGCCCGCAAGGCAGCAAAATTATACATTCGAGAGAGAAGTCAGTTGCCCGCTCGAGTAGGAGCTCATCTGATCGATGGGATTCGACAATTTCGCAAGCACGGAAAGTTCCAAACGCAAGGGATGACATATGAACAGATCTGGCAAAAGTACCGTAAGGTTATCATGGACGAACAAAACATAGAAGAGTTTCCATCTAGTGACAGCTTAGAGGAAGAAGATGTGGTGGTACAAATCTGCTACAAGATTCTGGAAAAGAGTTGCACCACCAACAGCTATATTGATGAGCTCTTCGCTTCTTCTAACGACGAGGGATTGGGAAAGGAGCTTCAACAAATCTCTGCAATCCTCGAAACCGATGTCCATCGATTGCTGGATCCCGTTGTTGGAATTCCTTTTCCATCAGCTGTGGTGAATATGCCAACAGCTAGTGCAACCAAGAACACATCACAAGAACAGCGGCACTTGATTAGGCGCTACCACATGTTGAAACGCATTGCTCGAGTCAAGCAACGACTCTTGCTTCAGCACCGATCCAAAAAACACAAGGCAGCTACTGTACATACATGAGACGTAGTCTGAAAAAGAATTTAAAAGGGACCAAGGGCTGCATGAAACCATGAAATGCCGATTCATGAATGAAGAAAAGGAGGAACACGCTACCGCTGCCGAACACAGGTTGCAGGAAAGAATATTATTCAAGCCCTGCATAAGACGTTCGCCACCATGCCAGCATCGATAAAATCGGATACAAAGCTGCTGAAGAAAATACACATATTCTCTGAAGAAAACAGGTAACTACTACTTGATTGCAGCTGGCAAACTATAGATTAGAATAAAGAAGACATAAAGATTGGTCTACTTCTTACCAAACGATATTTTAAACATTATCGAGGAACTTACATGCTTCTAGCAGTTCATCAAGCATCTTACCCGACTATCCCAAATCGCAACGCTGGACCAAGTAGGAGGAAAGAATCGATCGACAGGATCACCGAATTGGCTTCTCAGAGTAGTACTGGAACAACTTTCGTCCCCACGTTTGCTTCGAACCGGTAGAATCTCATTCGGAACTGAACATTCTACCAACCAAGGAACTGAACCGTTGACTCCTAATGGAGGTTCGGGTTTTGCTCTCGCTCTGCCCTCATCATGGCAGTCATCATCAAAGAACAACGAAACAGAGGAGCAAGAGAACGTAGGTGACACGACAGAAGAAATGAAGGGGGTTCTCGATTTCAATGGAAACACGAGTCGTCGTGGAGGTTCGGTGTATCAAATTCCAAAGGGCCACCACAGGTGTGCCAATGAGAGCACCTTGCAAAACCCTGAAAAGAACCGTCGTTGTCAACGACTCATTCGATTCCCTTCTTTTGCTGACATCTTCAATTTCTGGTTCTCGATTGACCAGAACACTGATTTACGTCAACAAAGGATACCATGGACTCACAAAACAGCAAAACAGCAAATACAAATCGCTCAAACCAAACGCAAGCAATAGACACTGCCTCGATCTTTTTATCCAGGCAACTCTCAATAAAAAACAACCTACCTACCAAACCTTCCGAATTTTCCTTCCATCTATCAATTTTTCCCAAATCAAGATGATGAAAGCTATCCTTCTTTTCGCAATGATTTCTACCGTCATGGGTCTCCGCCGCGCACCTCAAATGCCAAAACAAGCGCATGTTAATACAATGGGTACGTCTTCTGGATCTTTTTCTATAAAGACAACTATCTTCTTGGCGAGCACACACGTGCTTGCATTGCAACACAGTCATTCTGTTTCTAACACCATGTGTTCTTGCCCTCGTCTTTGACATTATCACTACCATCTCTCTACTATACAGCCTGGGCTGGAGTAGATGATATCGATGCCGACATGGAATACGAACTCCTGGATACCAAATACAAGGAGGGCGTAATTCCCGTAAAGCGTGTTCTTGTCAAACCAGCCAAGAAGCAAGAGGAGCACCTCGAGTGGGCTGGAGTAGACGATGTCGATGCCGACATGGAATACGAGCTCTTGGATACCAAATACAGGGAGGGCGTAGCCCCCGTCAAGCGTGTCGTCAAACCAAACAAGAAGCTTGAAGAGAAGCACCTCAAGTGTGTCCCTGCCAAGGGGGTCCTATTTGGAATTTCACATGTGGATGAACTTGATCAAATCTGCTTTCTCGAATAGAGCGGTATTCTGATATCATATCTTTTTTTTTTCAATTCGAAGAAAGAAGACGCTATAAACACAACCACCAAGGCAATTGAACTCAAAACTCTCATGCTACGAACTTCAATAAGAACTACTTTCAATACTGCGTACCAATCCGATAAATAATGTTTAAAAAAGAGAAAAATAGAAACAATATGAATGCTATAACTACTGATGCAAACAATATGCGTGTCATATGACTGCTGAATCATCCTCCACAACTATCATCGGCGGCATAAAATGGCCCCACAGATTTGAGCGCATGGAATGCATGATGTGAGACGCAGATTCAAGCAAGATTCAAGATAAACTGCCACTTTGACGACTCGTGCGATTAGTTAATCGATTTCGTTCGAACATCTCGAATATTCTGGAGCAACACAACAAACAACTCTTTTCTCGCAAACAGCAAGGATATTTCCGTGGTACCATATCAACACTTGAAACCTTTGCCTATCTCTTCCATTGCAATAGATTGGGGTGTGAACACGACATCAACGGTCTGAGAAGCAACATAGCTACAAAAAGCTCGGAATCGCATAAGTCTAGTCAGCCACTACCAGGAGTATGCGAACTACCAAAGCAAGTGCTCCGGGCAAAGCACTGTTGGTAGGTGGCTACCTTGTCCTGGAACGTCGAAACGCTGGTCTGGTGATAGCTACTGATAAGAGATTCTACGCGACTGTACGCGATGATCCGACCTTAAACGAAGAAGCAAATATCATAGTTGAGAGCCCTCAATTTCATAGCACTTGGAAATACAAATACACAAATGATACACTGCTTCCGTGTGTGGAAAATGCCACCATTAACGATTTTGTGGAAAAAACGCTACGAGTATGCTTAATGTATTTGCAGCCGAGTGCACCTATCAATCTGAAAATTATCATTCAAGCCGACAATGAATTTTACAGTTTGTTACCACATTTGGAGGCACAATCGTTGGAACGAACTCCTCAAGCTGTCCAAACGTTGGAACCATTCCTGCCGTGCCCAAAAGATAAGGATGGAAAAGCGATCATCAATAAGACTGGATTAGGATCATCCGCAGCGCTTGTTACTAGTTTGGTGGGAGCTCTAGTCCACCACTTTCCACCAAAAATATTTGACATACAGCATCAAGAGGAACCAAAAGAGAAAATTGGTGGCAACGAAACATATAATGACGATGCGAACGAAAACGTGGATATCACCGAGTCTATTCATAACTTGGCACAAATCTCGCACTGCTATGCTCAAGGAAAGGTTGGGTCTGGATTTGATGTATCCGCAGCTTGTCACGGTACCCATGTTTATCGAAGGTTTCCAATATGCTTGTTACCAGACTTGTTGCAGCAGCTGGACGTGTTGGATAGTCATAGTGACAGTACCAAAGAAGCCTTGCACAATATTGTTGAAACCACGCCATGGGCGGAGAACATGGTGCGACCACCACGAGATTTGCCATCGCCGCTTCAAATCGTTCTGGCCGATATTCGTGGTGGATCGGAATCACCAGGTATGGCGAAAAAGGTGCAAGCATGGAAACAAAAACAATACATGAAAAATCCGACGGGAAAAATTACACATTGGGATGATTTGAAGGCACTGAATGCCCAGGCCATTGCCCTCTTCCAAAAGATGCAGGCAGTCAGTGGTTCAGGTGACCACAACACTACTGAATACGATACCCTGGCAACGCAAGTGGCATCAGAGTGGCCCAAAGATTCAACACTGGCTGAGCTGAGTGCAACGTTTGCAGAAATTCGAACGCACATGAAGGAAATGGGAAAAGCCGCCAATGTACCAATTGAGCCAGACGAACAAACAGACTTGTGCAATGCAACAATGAAAGTTCCTGGAGTTGTGACAGCGCTCGTTCCAGGTGCTGGTGGATATGATGCCATAGCATGTGTCTACATTAATCGACCCCATGTCTTGGAAAGTATTGGAGTTGTCTGGGCGAACTACGAGGACAAGATTGTTTGCCCATTGGGTTTGAAAGCCTCCGATTGTGGTTTCCGATTAGACGAGAAATTAGAATAAGTTATTGCATTTTTAAAATCTAATTATTATACCGGTAGGGGATTTGTGAATATCGTAATTCATTCATTCATTCATTCATTCATTCATGCGTTGATGAATCTTACGGTATTGGTATGTATTTATTTGAGTTGAAATGACTGACATAATTGCTATCCCAAAATTCTAAACCTAAAGCAGGACTCAATCAGCCGTTTTTCTCGCCGAAATCGGAGGCGGAAAGCTTTGCGGGCGCGATTTTCTTTTGAACGTCGTTAATTATCGGAGGACATGTACGCGCGCGAGAAAGTAACGGATTTATTTTTGAACCTGTTGCACGTAACGTAACTCGAAACCTAATCAATCCCGGTCCAAGCTTCCATGACAAGATAAGAAAACGCTGCCTCAATTCCAATACATCCACCATGAGGCACCTAATACAGAAATTAACGCTGATAATAACGATACAACTATGCTCTTGTCATGGGCGGACTATCAGAGGAGGTTCGGTTAATATTACACCTCCCAGCTATTTTCACTCGGAAGTGGTAGAAGCTTCCATGGAAACAGAAAGGAAGCTGCAAGACGATGAGCTCAGGTTTTGCTATAATGCCCTCTTCGCAGCAGACTCAAACGATGATAGAAAGCTAGATAGAAGCGAATACATCACATTCATCGATTTGATTGGTGGTCCTAGAGTGGATGTCTACAGTGAGCTTCCAATTGTTTTTCGAAGTTCGTTTTCAATTCTGGCATGTCGGTGTCTAGAAGAACCAAATGCTGCCCCAGATTGCTGTGTTGGAAGCAAAGGAAGGGTGAGTAATGCTGGAGCTGGTCCAAACGAAAGACCCTCCAAGAGAGAAGAACAGAACCTCTATCATGTTTGTTTTCTGAGCGAATCATCTGTGGAGAAGTTCATGTCTGAACGGGAGCCCACTGCGCCGCCCACAAAAGCACCCACAAAGACGCCGACTCCACCCCCAACTGGTGGACCAACTGAGGAAGTGATTGTGACTGTTGCACCAACACCAGCTCCCACACCGAATCCCACAGTTGAACCCACGGAAACGCCTACCATCAGACCCACATTTGCACCTAATCCGTTTCCTACTACACCTCTTCCGACTGTGGCACCAACATTCAGACCTACCCAAATTCCAACCCCAACACCAACAATCGCTTCATCCGGTTCTCCTACGGCGATGGGTTCTGGTGCCCCTACTGTCGTCAGCTCTGGTACTCCCAGTGTATCACCAACAACAGCCTCGCCATCTGGAGCACCTTCGCTAGAGCCATCAGTAGAACCATCATTTGCTCCTTCTGGGGTTCCGTCTGGTTTGCCTAGTATTGGTCCATCTCAAGGACCTACTGGTATCCCAAGCGATCTTCCAACTATATCGCCATCGATTTCTTCTGCTCCATCAACTTCAGCAGCTCCTACAAATGCTCCATCTGCGGTACCATCCCTGTCTCCTTCGCGTACACCACCAGATGAGACCACGGAAACATCCTACGTGATTGCGGTCCGTGGGAGTGCACTGCTCAGCGAGTACGAAAGCGATCTGATTGAGAGTATGAACCTTCTGGCTCAACAAGTCGCAGATGATGTAGCTGATGGCACAACTGAAAGAAGGCGACTTGTTTCAGTGTCAATTTTCAACCCCACTTCGATTGCTTCCATCGATCCAACCAGTAAGTTTGACTGTCGGCTGGTGATTGACATTGCATTCTTTGCTTTCTAATCCAACTTCACTTCACTTTCCTTTCTTCAGGCTGCCCAGATAATGTAGAGTCGGACGATGACAGGTGTGAAAGCGTAACAGCTAGCGTTGGCTTGTATGTTGACGAAGAGGAAGTGGAAGGCAGCATAGTCACTCAGTTCAAGGAATCGTTGGAAGCTTCGATTGAGAATGGAGAGCTACAAGAAGCTCTCGACTTTGTAAACGAAGAGTCTCCAGTGTATGTTGTGACTGGACGAGACGAACCTATTATTCCCAGGGGTACTGAACCAGAGTCCAAACTTTCTACCGGTGTGATTTCTGGAATTGTTATAGCAGGAGTGGTTGGACTGGCTATTTCGTTCTTGATAATGCAAAAACGCAAGGACAAAGAAGATGATGAGAAGCCAGAAGACTATGAGTTGGATGGTATGGAGCCCGGACAACCAATCATGGTTGATACCAGCGAAGTGGACAACAAATCTCAGAAGAAAAAGAGATCTCCAAAATCAGATGAGTCATCCAATGCTGGAGACTCCGGGTGGTCATCACATGGTGGTATGTCGTCACTTGATACATCAAGTGTAGACGACGATTCAAGGTATCCAACAGCTGCCCTTGGGGGAACAGCGTTGGCAGGTGGCGCAGCTGCTGCAGGAGCTCTAGATAAAGAGGAACCAACCAGCCCCACTGACGGCAACAACGACCTTAAGATGACATATTCAGAGCTCGATGATGCCATCCAAAAAGGTGACTGGGCAGCCGTTGGAGTTACAGCGGCTCTTCTTGCCTCTCAATCTTACGAAACTGGGGAAAGCAGCGACACTCACCGGTTGTCAATCGATAACGCTACCCTCAATCCTTCCAGAGCAGCTGAACTTGACCGTTTGGTGGAGGCTGGAGACTGGGAAGGAGTTGTTGCAGCTGCTGCTAAATTCGATGCGCAAGAAGCAACCACAAGAACTGACCGAAGTGAGTCTGCTTCAAGAGCATCCTCATCAGACGCCACCTCCCATGCCTCTGGCTCCGTTGCATCTTCAGGATCTCCATCCAACTCGGAAGGTGTCACAGCTGGAGCTACTAGCACTAGTGAGTCGGGATCTGCCAGAAAGCTCGATGAAATCCGAAAGGAAGTTGAGGAGTTGGTGCGTCAAGTAGTCCCAGAAGAGCAAGACAATGTGGACGAAATGATGTTGCAGTTCCAGGGACGAGAAGAAGAATTGGTGGAAACGTTGCGATCAATGCAAGAAAGGCAAGTTGTCCACAAGGCACGAATAGAAGGCCAGAAGAAAGCCAAGCGAGACGCTCGAGAGCAGGTGGAGAGTAGTAAAAAACAAACCGATGAAACTGGAACAGGTGAAGAGCAAACAAGAACTGAAACTGACATTGCAGAAAGTCTCAACACCTTGAGCAACACAAATCAGGATGATGATCATTTTGAAGATGACGACGATGAGGGAAGCGTATAATATTTGTCAAGCACCGTTCAATGATGCTGATTGGTTTGCCAACATTGGCCATCTCCCCTCAAATGAAACCCACCGTATATGTTATTATTGTCCGTCAATCTAAGTAGCAAAGAATTATATATTTAATAACTATCGACTGCTACTAGAATGCTGCTATTCTGTTTTGTCTTTGCTCTACTCCTGCTGTAGTTGGACGAAACCTTCTTGTACCATGATCCGAACGTCAATTTTTTCCTGGGTTGTCGCACATTGAGCTCTAAAAAAATTGGTAGTGGAGTCAATATTGATAATGGTGATGGGCGAAGGAAATATGTTAGCGCCATTCGCTGACGTCCCAGATGCTCTGTTGCATCTGTCGACATTACAACCCGATGTCTGCAGGGTGGATACAACCTTCGTAGTTGGCGGACTTTTTCGTTTTTGCTGACATTGTCGCCTACTTGCATGATTCTCGCAAATGCTGACCCAATCATAACAGTGGCAACCCCATGTCCATGATACGGCGGCTCATTCCATTCGATGGAAATTCCACTGTCAGTTCGTGGACCATCCAGCTTTTGGGAGTATTGCAATCCCCAACCTCCTGGCTCAAGTGTCGGTGAGTCATGAACCACCACCGACAAGATGGATGGATCCGTGTGAACGCCCAACGCCAGGTCGCCGTCGTCATGACCAGCACTAGCAGAGTACCGCTTCAAATGCCATTGGCTACTATGCGCAAGAGAGACATCTTTTCCGTAGGTATCTTGAATGTAGTTTGCTGGTAGCCCAAGAGTTGATTCTACCTCCGCCACTGCTTTCATGGCCAATGAATGAAGGACTGATCCTGTTTCGCGCATGGTATCCCCAAAGTGGTCGTTTGAATCAGTCTGTAGATCAAATATTTCACCATTCGAGAAAACGAATCCTTCTCTGTACTTGTTGTATTTGGACGATAGCGTTCCACCAAGAGGGTGATAACCAGAGCAACTGTAGGAATCTTGATTTGGATCAATCAGATGTTCACATAGATTTGGGGCTACGATTTCATCCAACGTTTTGGAAGCGCAATGAAAAGCTTTCTTTACTATCGAGATCTCCTCCGATGTCAAACTAAGTTGTCTTATTCCATCTCTTGACAACTCCATTGATGATTCATTCTTCATTGGTTTGATTTTCAACGTTGAAAATCGAAACCTAAATTGAAAAGGAATCAGATGAGTCAGTACACGATCGAATTGCATTGGCTTGGTTGCTTGGAGGGGCGACTCAATCAGCGGAATGCTACGATATCTGGTACCTACATACCTGGTACTGTACATCGATACAAAGAGGATACTAATAGATTTCTTGTTATTACACATAGGTACTGTATATGTTCTTACAAGTGCTCTTCAACCAAAGCAATTCGACGAAGAATGGGCTCACGTAGCCCATTTAGCTCTCACAAATAGAGCTGAATGAATACTAGTCTATGTTTGGATCTGTAGTTGTCGCTCAAACTCCCCGTTGTCAACATCGCTTAGATGATCGTCATCAAGCGAAGTGGATTCACAAGAGGTAGACGAAGTAGAGAGGGACCTTCGGAGTCCACTCTTTTTCACAGAGTTCTGCGGTGATAGGTATGGAAGGAGCAATTCCCTTTCTTTTTGTTTCTTCTTCCGCCGAAGAGTCTTATTCAAAATTCCGCGCTTCAAACCTTCAATATATTCTTCTTTCTCACTGTCGCGACTAGAAGCTTTCCTGCGTTCACGATCTGCTTCTACTTTTTGCAGTGTCTTCATAATCTCACATCTTGTGTACAACTTGGTGCGTTGAAGCATCTCAAATCGTTTGTGTGGTGGAATGGCTATTGTTTCACTTGGCTCGCCACGACATTCCTCGTATTCATCCAAACCCAAAGAGATTTCTTCCGTGTGTTTCCAATCCATCGAAATGGGGACCTACAATACGTACAAATAATAAAATAAAGAATGAGGTTGATGCTTCCATGAAATCGCCAAAGCAAATACTCTTCTCAACTTACACCTCTCAGACATCCAGGATTATCACCCATGCATAGCGGATACTGTCGAATTTCAATAGAAGAAAAGGAAACACTCCTTTCATGGGAAATACTCGAAGGCTTTGCAATCGGATTTGCATCGGAATTGTCTTCGTTGGCAAACATTTTTTCAAATTCCTGTTTTGATGTTCTTCTTTTTCTCGACTCGATATCTTATTTGAAATTACAAAAACTTCAGAAGAGATTATTATGACCTTGTTGTTCCTTGCTGGTTGCGATGATTGAATCCAGGACTGTAGTGTACATGTACTGCCCCAAGTGTTGTAAGCGTCAACCGAAAGAGTGTGGAAATTCAAAAGGATGTCTTGTTTGTTGTGATCGCTAGCCAATTTTTCATCGCGCAAGCCTGCGCTGCCTATCAATCCGATCTCAGGCCGCGAAAAGAAACACCTTACCGTTCGTGTGTCAGTGTGTCAGTGCGTGAGGCTTTAACTCGGATTAGTCAACCGTGGAAAACTGAAAACCCGTCCAAACAAACAAAGAAAGGAACGAATGAATGAATGAATGGCGGGAGGTAATAGTCCATCAATCGAAATGTCAACATGCAAGGGCCTTCGAATGATTGAATTCTTCTCTGGGATTGGGGGAATGAGATTTTCTGCTGAAAGAGGCATTCAAGAATCCCAAGAAACCTCCATTGAAACTTGTCAAGCATACGACATTTCCTTGCATGCCAACAACTCCTACAAACACAATTTTCCGAACGATTCAGTCCGGACAAAGCTGGTGGAGCAGCTCAAGCCTAAAGATCTGGATGGTAAGGCAGATTTGTGGACCATGTCACCTCCTTGTCAACCCTTCACGACCACCCGCGGCGCAAAAAGTCTGGATTCCGAGGACAAGAGGTGCAACGGCCTAAAAGGTATCATGGATCTCTTGACACAAATCCTAGAAAAGCCAAAGTACATCTTCCTGGAAAACGTCAAGGGCTTTTCCGGTAGTCAAATGATTGGGGAGTGGTACAAATGTCTAAAGGAAAACGGATACACCTACAAACAGTACTTGGTGAGCCCGGTGCAGATTGGAGTTCCAAATCATCGGCAACGATATTACATCCTATGTGAACGTAGTGATCGCTGGAATGATGAGACGATAATACACCAAGAAATAAAAATGGGGAAGGATGACGTGGAAAAGCACATTGTGGGCGACTATATCGATGACTCTTTGACTGCTGAGGATCGGAATACATTTCTTGTTCCCGATGAGATATTGCAAAAGGACTGGGCACGACAAGTAGGGGTAGTTTCCAAAGCTGACACTGCTACGCATTGCTTCACCGCTGGTTATGGAAGAATATTTCACAGGGCGACTGGCAGTCTGTTGTTGACTCGGGATTCAGAGGATTCGGTAGAAGACAATCCCATTGATCGATCGAACATGATGGAATACTCTGGGCAATTACGGCGGTTCACTCCCAAAGAATTGCTTTGCTTGTTTGGCTTTCCCCATAGCTTCGAGTTTCCAGATAGCATCAATTTAGAGCATCAATACAAATTAATCGGAAACTCCATCAATGTCAACATTGTGGCGCTCTTGCTGAAAGAGTTGCTAGTGGGGGATGTGGACGTTGTAAGAGGAAGCAAGGAAAGATTACAGGTCGGTGGAACCAAAGGTCATGTTGTCGAAGAGATTGATGGGAATCTGATGCAACTCTATCATGGCTATCGTTGGAAAATGATCCCCAACTGCACTGGACGTCACACCTGTCGGGATCCTGCCAAGGTTTCTTCTGTTGCTCCGTTGGAAATCCTAAAGGAAATTGGAATTGCCAAAAAGAGCGCTTCCGAGTTCTCGGAAAGTGTCAATGATGCTGACATGGAATTGAAGGAGTATCATTTTGAACTTCCTGGAAGAGCCGACAAGATTCATGTGATTCCTTTGGACACCAACAACGACACGGGTATGATTACTTTCGCCAAGGAAGAGCGCGGAGCCTATGTGCACACTCTCAACACATCCTCTGGTTTTCGAAGAAAATTGGCCTGCATTGGTATTGAAGTGACCTCGAATGATGTTCGGCTCGACGAGAATTTTCCACATCCAACTAGTTGAACCCTCTGGAAAAGCGGATTGTTGAGCATTGAAAAGTCGGAACTAATGGATACTACAGCACAATAACCCTGAGCCCAAACGACAACAATTTGTGTCGTTTTGACTAACGTCCCCCACATTCGCAGGAATAGAGAAGATTGGATGGCCAAAGGCGAGCCACACTCATCTGACGCTACAAGCTCATTGATGTGAGGAAGCCAAGATACACGTCTAGTTGCGTTTCAAAAAATTAATCGGGAGCAAATCAGGGCAAGTCAACCATGCAGCTAACTCCAACTCATAGACACATCGACACACACAGTCGATATTATATCAATTCAAAAGAATTTAGACTGCAACTTGCAATTTTAAAATTAACTATAAGAAGAAGATGCTACAATACATGATGACAATAAGCGCATAGATCCTCAATACTCGTATCGTCGGTTCTGTGGTGGGCGTTGTGGTGCCCGGAAGGATGAATTGGATGGCTGAGGCACTCGATAGGATGACTGGCGAGGTGGTTCTTCCGGTTGATAGGAAGGTTGTGGTGGTTGCGCACCCCTATAAGACCTCTGTTGTGGTGGTGGCGGAGGAGGCTGTCCTCGGTAGGGTTCTTCTTGAGCATAGGGTTGTGGTGCATCACGATAGGACTGCTGCGGGTCCTCATAATATTGCTCTTCTGGATAGAAGGCACCGTTCTCTTCTCTCATTCTTTGTTCCTTAACAAATTGCCGTCTTTCTTCTCGCTCCTTGTCGTCTTCCAACATTTCTCGAATCATGCAAGGAATCGTCAAACACATGCAACAACAGCAGCACAAGAGAATCAGGAGGAAAAGGATCATCAAAATCTTGAACCAATCTGGGTATTGGCACCACCACCAAGGATCGCACTTCTTTTGGATGCTTTCGGACCCAGGGATTCCGAGAATGGCTCCCGGTGGTGGAGCAACTCGTTTCACCAAGAATGTTAGACCAACCGCAATGTCTGTATCTGCCAAACCGTACAATGCAAAAGATTCGTCAATGTATTCCATTGTCACCTGCAAGAAAGAAAGGAAATAAAGAAGGACGCATGCAAGCAAGGGAAGGGAATGGTTAGAATGCATGTTTGTACTAGGCAATCAAACTCCAATGAATCAAACTCCCCATAAATGTAAATCAAACGTACCAAAGCCACTCCCGTAATATTCACTTCATCGCCCTCCAAACCCCAAAATAGTTCCTCCCTCAACTTTGTTTTGAAAGAACAGACCAATTGTCCTGGTATACACAATGCCAAAGTAGTAAATGCTTCCTTCTTGAACTCAATGACCTTTTGGGAAATCCCCGAGGATTCCCCAATAAAGTTCATGGTATCGACCGCTCGCATGACAATTCCACGATTCTCCGTTCTGATTTCTGGTTTGACGCAGACTTTGATGACATCTCCTGGTACATATCTACGAACTTTGGGCAAATCTAGCGGAAAATCATTGTCATTGCACTCGTAGGCAATTCCTGTGACTCGATTGTTGTTGGATTGGAGCGTACGATGGTTGTTTGGATCGTTTTGGTTTTGACTAGGATTATCAATCGGAACGTAGCGACTACGTTTTTCCTTGGCTCCCACTGCAGCTATCAAGGCAAAGAGCCATAATAGGGTAAGGTACTTCATAGTGTTAAATGTATGCTGATGGTTAGCTCAGATGTGTGTACGTGTACCACTATCAATAATCAACAATCGCCTTAGGCAAGATCTCACTCCAAAAACTTTTACGTATGTCCAGGAAAGTACCAGGAAAGGTCATTGAGACTTTTCCAGTCCTAATTGAATTGATCAATTCGAATGATGCACGGAAAGCAACTGGCGGAAAACAAGGCAAAGTGCAAAGATTCTTTGACACCACTATGACTGTAATTCAATTTTAATTTATGTGGCACTTTAGTTATCGCGCTACCGTCTTCTTGACGACAAGCAGAACGCAGCAGCAGCCAGCTTGTTCTTGTTCTTCTGGGCAGCAGCAGCCAGCATCCACGCAAACACCACCGCCCAGCAAGACCCCCAATAAATTCTCATTGTCCACGCACGACCGGGCCTTTTCCGCAAACTCTTCGCCTTCTTCCTCAAATCTTGCAAACTACTCAATTAGTTTGTCATTCACATTGCAAGGATTGATTTGTGTGATACGGTACTACGGTACTGTACATACGGTATGTACAATGACTGTCCGTCTTGCGTTTTGCCCTACCTCCGGAGTCAGAATTTTTCGGTGTCCGGAATCATCCGTTGACTGCGGTTGCGCGTGTGCCGTGCGGAAGCACATGGTTTTGCTCGTGGGAGAACCAATTTCAAGGACGGCTTGGCGACAGAGCAACGTTCCCCAGTGATTATTGTAGTGGTAGCAATACCTACCGGAACACAAAGAGTATCATTGTTGATTGCCCTACAAGTACGAGTACCTCCTACTCCCATCCCTGACAGCGCCAACCCGCAAAGAGCCTGAAGTAGCGGCCCGTTTCTACAACTTCAGTCAGTGCCAACATAACATAACACAGCACAACACAACACAGGACAGCACAACACAGCACAGCAGAACAGAACACAACCGTCATTACAATGACATTCCGAATACCCCAAAATATCAACAGGCTTTGGATCTCATGGATCTTAACCGCTATATTTGCAATTCGGATGGCACAAGCCCAAAATGTTTTGACCCAAGACACGGCCAAATGCTTCACAAGTCTCGTGGATGCAGATGCCAATGGTGACTCGCAATTGGACAAGACGGAATACGTTGCCTTTTTAAAATTGTACGGAGTTCCCAACATTGGAGACTCGTATCAATCGTTGCCGTTGGTCCTGCAATCTACCTTCTTTTCCATTTCCTGCTTTTGCACGACCAATGGATTGGCGACGGGCTCCTGCTGCGATGGCGCAACTCCCTACATTCCAACCGATGGGGCTGCGGCAGAAGTGCCCACAACTGCGCAAGAGACCTATCTCGGCAGACTCTGTGGATTGACGGATTCGGCCGTCGGTCAAATCGGTCCGGCAACGACACCAGCTCCTTCTTCCGCCAGTCCTTCCTCGAATCCTTCCGCCAGTCCTTCCTCGAGTCCTTCCGCCATCTCCCAGAGTCCTTCCATGAATCCAACGGGATCCGCGGCTCCTACCAACATACCTTCCGGAGTTCCAACCGGTCTTCCAACCATGACTGCAAGCCAAAACCCAACCACGTTGCCGTTGACACCTAGTCCGACGGCAGTTCCCATGGTGACCAAGATTCAAACCCAATACTCGATTGGCATTACCAATGGCAAGGCAGAACAAATCGATCCCGAGTGGTTTGCCCGGGACTTGATTGATGCCATGAATGTGCTGGCGACCGAAGTGGGGGTTCTGGTAGAGGACAGTGGTGGCAACAACAATCGACGGAGATTGACCGTGACAGTGGGATTACCGACGGAGATTATTGGATTTGAAGAACAAGAGTGGTCCAATGACAGTTCTGCAGGTGAGTTTGATTGTTGTTGTTGCTGCAATACATTTTGAATCTAGTGGCTGCCTGAAAGGATCTTGTTTTGGTTCTCACATATGTTTTGCACAAATTCCTGTTTTTTTAGCTTGTCCCGCAACTCTAGCAAACCCAGAGACAGATTCCTGTCAACAAGTTACAGCTTCCGTAGAGTTGTTTGTGGATGAAAACCAAAGCGACGTAACAGCGTTGTTTGGAACGACTTTGGAAGATGAAATTGAAGCGGGTCGATTGGAAGAAGCTCTCTTGTTGATTGATCCAGAGACTCCTGTGAAAATTTTGGCTGGCAAGGGACAACGAAGTGGTCCAACTGAGGCTCCTGCTGTTGCCAAATCAGAAGGCTTGTCCACTGGTGCACTGATTGGGCTCGGTGCTGCCGGAGTGGCGTTGTTGGCGGTCCTTGTTGTTACTTGTTGCAAATCCAAGCGAGGGAATGAACCATCCTCGACTCCTCGTAGTAGACAAGACGATGGCAAATTTGTGGAAGCGACTCCTTCTGAAGAATTGAAAATGGCACAAAAGGAAGTGGGATCTGGTCTGGAGTGGCAGCCTCCAAAACCAGCAGTAGACGAAGAAAATGGCAGTGCTTTGAATGACAATCCATGGGTCAACAAGAAGAAACGAGACGATGGATCGGTAGTATCAGATGCAGGATGGTCCGATGCTTATTCGTCATCGATGGGTACCAATGAAAGTGACGACGAGCGAGACATGGCGTCGCCTAATAAAAATATAGCAGATCACATTGAAGGAACGAAACATATGGGCGATGCTGGGTCGAGCAGTTTGGGAGAATTGGAAGCGGCCATTCAATCGGAGAATTGGGCTGCAGTTGGAGCTTCGGCGGCGGTACTCGCTGCCAATCAATACGAATCAGAATCGCAAACCAATTCAAAGTCGTCTTCCAAGGGTACCGGCATGGACAGTTCGGTACAATCTTCACTCAATAGAAGAGAATTGGATACGGAAAAGACACAAGAGCTTGATAATTTGATCCAATCGGGTGATTGGGAGGGTGTGATTCAAGCGGCGGCACGCTATGAAGCAGAAATTGGACAAGGGGATCAGTCAGCGACTGTCTTTGAAGATAGTGATTCGCGTTCAGACTCCAAATCGGATTCTCGGTCGGGTTCCTTTACCATCGGCTCACAATTCTCCTCCATTCAACAGTCATCTGCAGCTTCGGGTGCTGGATCTAAGGCTACACCCAACCAAGCTGAATTCAAAAAGGAAGTAGAGGATCTTGTAGCCAAGGTGATCCCAGAGGAGGCCGACCATGTGGACGATATGATTGAGCAATTCAAGGGAAGGGAAAATGAATTGCTTGAGACTCTTCGAACAATGCAAGAGCGCAACATTGCGCAAAAAGCGAGGAAGGCAGAGCAACAAAGGGCCAAGATTGAAGCCAAACAAATGGTGGCGCAAGCGAGACAAGAGCAAACGAGTGCGGATCCAGGAGAAAGAGTTCCAGCAACTGGAGCACCTGCAGCGGCAACGCTTCCTGCACCTGAGCCTCCTGCCACAGCAGCAGCTCCAACGCCTGGAGAAGGTGCGGCAGCTCCAGTGGCTACAACACGAACATCAATGGCTCCACCTCCTTCAACGGATGGAGTCGCACCGATGACAGCAGTTCCAACACCGTTCCCAGCACCAGTAGTCTCTCCTGCTCCAGAAGCACCGGACAATACAGAGGATCCCGCGGCAGCTGCCGCTGCAGACTGGGCCATTGCGCAAGCCCTGTCCAACCTGGAAAGGGAACGTTCATCTCTAGAAGAGGGGTCATATGTTGTTCCAGATGAAGATTTCGATGATGAAGGCAGCCTGTAGCTGAACGCAGGCTGTGTTGGCTTTTGCATCAATGTATCATACTCTGTCGCATCAACAACTTTACTGTGCCAACTTCTGGGAAGAAGGCATCAGATGATATAATTCTAATTCCACTACAAAGTGTGCATTTAGTGTTTAGTGTGACTCTTCGTGTGCGAAAGGCTGCACCATTGGTGCCATACCGGTACGGGTGGTTTAGTTATCAAACTAATTTGACAGTCATTTCATGATATCGCAAGTAAGGCCTTTTGTAGTACCATGACGTGGAAGAAGTGCAAAGCTTTTATTTGATCATGGAAAATGTACCAATTGGTTTTGAGAAGATCAGCGAAGAAGTTCGGTCCTCATCAAATATGTCCATGTGCGAAGGTTTTGCACGGTTTTGCACCTCCACCCAAGTCTCAGAAGGCGCTCACATTTCTCTTTGCAAACCAATCCAATGTGCAGACCTGACATTCCGCCACGAACCAGCTCCAACCTCCAACTTCAAGAAGAAAAGACTTATGTTCCTCTCATGAACTTCGAAGTTGGTTGGTCAATTTTGATCCAGCTTGGAGTTACCTCGATCAGCTTCTTTCCGACCGAGGACGGCGTGGACTTTGAGACGTCGGTGCTGAAGCTCAAGAGTCGCCTCAGAGAGATCTGTGAGGCCAACCCCTGGTTGGTAGGCAAGATCGTCAAGGATAAGAAAAGGCACGAAAGGCTCATGTGTTCATTTCCCAATGTCATTAGAGATGAAGATGTTGATGCAATATTTTCGGCTGATACCCTTGATTGCATGCAAGCTATTGGGCGATCTAGCTCTTACAAAGACGTTGCCAAAGCAGTTCGAAAGTCTGGAGCGATTTGCAAAGCAGGGCACGAATTGATCAACAACTCTGATAGAGTAACCAAGGTTTCATTGCTGCCCATCAACGACGGCAGAGAGATTGCGTTTGTCTTTTCCCTTGCTCACGTGGTTGCGGATGGGCAAACATACTACCAGCTGTTGAATATGTTTGTTGACGATAGTGCTATCGAGTCACTCAAGGTTGAACGAGTCGAGAACTTTGATAAAATTGTCGTTCGAAGCATTGGACAAAAGGAGAAAGGGCTTCTGGAATCTTCCTCTCTTCTTGTGAATCTAGCTAGCCGCAAACTATTCGGTGCCCCTATATCCAAGGCATCGGCCAACTACATTGATCAAACCAAGATTGCCAAAGCAAAACTAGAAGCAAAGGAGGAGTACAGCAAGGATCCAAACTTTTTTGTTTCTACAAACGATGTCATTACTTCTGCATTTGCCAATGCGGCAGATAGTAGTGTCCTGCTGATGACGTTGGACCTTCGAGGTCGTGTTCCAGAAGCCGACAAAAAGCATGCAGGTAACTATCAGACGGTCCTTTGGTACGACCGAGAAAGCTATGATGCGCCAGCCAAGATTCGACAAAGTCTCAACCAAGGACCACCTTTCAAGCGAGTCTCCGCCAGTGGCCCACTGACTCGTTGGCAAAGAACCACCGCTAGTGTCTCCTTCATCTCCAGCTGGGCATTTCCGTCTTTTGATGCAGACATCCATCTTTGGAAAGAGGATGGCAGCCCTTCAGCTCCTGTCTCGCTCCATCTCCCTCTATATGAATTGGGCGAACAGCTTCCAGTTCCTTCAGCCATTGTGTTCAAACCCTGCAAGGGAAAAATTGCCATGTTGTCCTTGTACCAGAAAAGGAACGACTTTTACAAGCGACTCATCGCCAGTGAAAATCTGTTGGGAGAGTCGATCAATGAGGACATGTTTGTTTCGTAAGAGTTGATTTTTGGTTGATGGTATTCTCGTCGTTGCGCTTTCAATAATAGCGACCAAGAAATTTAATTTGAAATTGGACACAGGATAATACTCTCGCTACCACTCTTGGATTTCACTCTTACGTCGTCGTCGTCAAGAGAAAGTCTACTTTTGTGGTGAATACTAATACATTCTTACTCGTCTTCAAGGCTACAAGCAACATTCCTTCATCACTGCCTGAATATTCCCATTCTTCGAATCTTCAAAGTACTGTAGATTTTTACCTATGTACTAATATTGTGTCCTTTCAAGACGATTCAACATCACAAATCATGCAAGAGTCTTCACGTTGGCACAAAGAGCGTTTTGTCGATCTCGACAGCTGTTATCGTAACATCTGTGCCGGCGGCAGCATCTGGTAGAACAGGAGGCTCGAGAAAACCGCATGCTTCCACGGATTCCATATTGGCTAAATCTTTGTTCGATTTGAACTTTTCGTCCGTTCGCGACGAGGATATTTAACGACCCAAATTCATGTCCTGTTCTCTCGGTGCACCTGCAGCTGCTGTTGATTTCGGCCATATTTTGCGGATGCGAATGCATTACTTTTTCACCGTGACAAGAAAGATACCAAAATCGCTACGAGAGGTAGCCGTAGGATTTGTACCACATCGTGTTCACATTTAGCAGGCGGTTGATTTTTGGTAGAAAAGATCCGCGGCGAAAAAATCTCAGAGTGCACACATCTCATAACCCATCAGTAGGATTGCTACGCAAACATCACGTGGCAAACCGCTTCGATTGGATGTGTCTTCCACAACCGAAACTATCTACTGTTCTCGTCCTATTGCATTCTGCACTCTTCACAACACAAAATATTGGCAAACAAGAAGCTACAACATCACAAAAAGCTCTAGAAAAGTCTCGCATAATCGCTACTATGCCTCCCCGAGCCTCCTTGTTGAACCACGAAGACACCTCGCTCGAAGATTTCCGAACGTCGGATGTGATTTTCGGAACCCGAGGCAATGGTGGCAACTCTTCTTTCCTCCTCCGGTTGGAAGAAACCGCTGATCATTACAGCCGTCTTTCCAAGTACGAAAAGATGGAATGTATCAAGACCATCATCGCTGACTGGCACGGCCGCTTCTTCATCATTACTCCTGATGGAAGCTGTTCGCAAGTTTACGACTTTGAAGCACCCCCTTCGAGCAAACTGTACACATCTGTACGACGCATGATGAACTATGTCATCAAGAAGAAGTCTGCGACTTCAACGTCTCAAGGAAGGCAACGAGTGACCAACTCAAGAGAACGCAAGCGATTGCGACGCATCAAGGTGTTGGAACGAGTTCCAGTCCATCATGTGCAAGTACAAGATTACAGCGAGGACGAAGCCTCGGACATTTCTGTTGGCTATGAAGAACAGACCCATGATCTTCGGCCACAACCATCCTTTGCTGTCCGGCGAATTGCCAAGCTAGAGGATTCGGCAGTTCATGCGCTTGTATCCTTGCTCCGCTGCGCGCAAGACTGACGAACGACTGACTCGGACTCCCCTGCTAAAGACATCATTAGCATTTTAAAAATAACGTTGTACAATATCTGCATAATATCATAACAAGAATAAACTAAGGGAAGCTTTTTATTGGGAACCATGATATTAGTGATCTTATTATATATATTAATATGTGATATGATTCAATGCCGCTTGGATGCTCTGGCAAGTCATTTGTAGTACCAGCTGGAACCAGTCGCGTGTCAAGGAGAAACCGTTTTGTTGGGTCACATCTCACAACTTTAAAAATGTCCAAATATCATAATACAACTCTCTCTATGTTCTATATCTAAGTTTTGGACTGGTGAAACCACTATCAATCTGATCACTTGGTAGGAAACATGCCTGCACTCACTGTCTCGCCAAACAGTTCACCATCGCCTCTTGGTAGTTATTATTTTCTTGGTAAGAGCATATTACACCAAACTTTCCCTTGCAAGGTTTGAACACGAGGATCTAGTAGGAATTGGAGCCGCGTCTCCCGTTATGCACACCGGCAAATGCAGCATGACTGAAGAAGAGGGGGCTCCATCCTTTTGCCCAAGGTGATTGTCTGCAGCAAAAGATGGAAATACCCAGCTGGAAATGAAGGCAACGGTGGTTGTCACTTCTTGCCAACGAGTCATGGGGGCTTTGCCAGACACTAGCTCGAAAGGGGTGCTTGACTCAGACTTTGTCGTATCTTGGGCGGGGTATGGAAACCATCGGTATCATACGATAACAGTGTTTCGTAGTTTCCAGCAAGGCTTTTACTCACTTCTTGCGTGCGACCTCTCAAGTTAAGAGCCATGACAAGCACCCACAATCTACTGCTTTTCCAAAAGCAGAGGTAATTATGTCATTGGTAGAAACAAAAAAGTTTGGATAATTGGGATGCTCCTCTTTTGCCTTCTGTTTGGCTTTGTCAATCTTGGCTATATCGATATAGTTGGCGGATGATGCAGAAATAGGCCGATCAAACAGCTTGCGGCCAACTAGATTGCCGACAATGTAACCTGATTTCCAGCCTTTCTTTCTCCGCCTTCCAAATGATCCGTACGACAATATCACCAAAGTCGTCCACTCTCCTTTGTGCTGTGAGTGACTCGATGGTCGAACCATCGGCAAGCACACTGAGCAGTTTGTACTATGTATGCCCATCCGCCAGCAAGTGAGATAGCGAAAAGACATCAGCAACCTCCTTGTTACCGTTGATAGGAAACAAGGATACTCTCAAGACCCGATCTAGACCCGATCTGATTTGTTCACTACGTTGTATCCTGATTTGCATATCGTACCTGATTTCTGGATAAGTTTGGCCATCGCTTCGTAGGAAGTAGAGCTTCTAATAGTATCAAAACTACCAGACGCTTCGGTAGAGAAAATGCCATCGATATTTTCATCTGTGGTTGTATTCGGAAAGGAACACATCAGTCTCTTGTGACGCTTCTTGTCCTTGATTATCGTGCCCACCAACCAAGGGTTTGCTCCACAGATATTCTTGAGCAGGCTTCTCAGCTTTTGCTTGGACATATGAAAATCCACATCTTCAGTTGGAAAGAAATTGATTGTGGTAATGCCCAGTTGAATCATCATTGCATAACCGACTTCAAAGTCCATGAGTGGAAGGAAACTTGTGTCACCTTCAACTTGAATCTTGCTGCTGGAACGTGCTGTTGACATGTCCGGTTTGCATACTATTCGGATGAGTAGATGAGTTGTCAGTAAGAGGAAAGTGACAATATCCGGAGCCGTAAAGTCATGAGCCGTCCCATCTAGCATGGTATCCTTTTGCTGACGATGAGTGTCATTTTAGGACTGTTCGAAGGACTTTATAATACCCCAACAAAATAAGGACGAAGGCTGTCAATTGTGGGATGAAAGTTCGTATTTCCTTCCATTCCTTCAGGACGATAATTACCGTAGGTCAACATTTATCTGCTTGCAAAAAGCATGATTTGAACCTGATTGAGGGACTTGATTACTAAAGAGCATTGGATCGTCAGAAAAGTAGCGGACGTATCACAAGAAGAAAGCTCCATGTGACCCAGAGCATCTATTAGTCAGAGAAAATTCTATCTAAATGGTACTGTACTATTTACGCCTTGTATTTGATAGATTCTCTCTCGAATGCCCCCTCGACAGTCGCTAGACCACTGGCCAGGAAATGGCCGGGGTAGCTGGATTTGAGTTCGGCAACCAGAGGTGCTGTAGGCTTCGATTGGTATTGGTATGCCACAATCAAGTTGGCCAAGGTATCTGCGTCAGATGCGGCGAATTCTTGTCTGGCTTGCATCAGTCTTTCTTCAGCTAGTGAGAAGTTTCCTGCTTGCAAACAGGCACAAGCCATCAAATTCAACAAAAAGACAGAAGGTCCGTATTGTTCCGACAATTGGTTCAAAGTGTGGATTGCATCCTTCGCCATTGAGCTTCCGGTAGCCAAGGCAATCTGAACACCCGCTAGTTGAGTCAAAACTGCTTCTTCATCAGCACGCTTCAAGAGTGCCAATTGTTGTTGTGCCAAATCAATTCGGTCCAATTGCAAGTAAATTTGAATGGAGACACTAACGTGTTCCATGAGAGCTCCCTGATGAACACATTGCAAGGCTTCTTTCTTCATTCCTTCCATCAAAAAGACGTGAGCAGCAGTCAATTGAACACTGGGCGAAACACCGTCTCCCAACATGGTTTGCATTTGCTGGACAATGGCTGGCTTCGCCTCAGCGGCGGCTGATTCATATTGAGCCTTCAACTGCAAGGCCTTGATGCCTGTAGTTTTTGTTTGAATAAAAAGCGAACATTGGAATATTAATTTGAAGGAAACACAGAAGATACAAACAGCGAAACGACAGGACAAAAGATCATTGTTGATGATGTTGTGAAAAAGACGACACAGTTGACTCAGTACATTTCTACACAAATTGTACGTACCTGGTGAATCGGGGCTTGCAGAAATGACTTTGTCATATTGTCCCAGAGCCAACTGGCAACGTAGACTGAATTCCTCTCTTTCTGCCTTCAAAGCAGGGCTCATTGGCCGCCTCATGACAGACTTGGCTTCATCTAGTGCAAGTTGGTAATGACCCAGCCAGTATTGGGCTCTCAGGGTGTACAGTTCATCGGGTTCCGACATGGTTGATTTTGTTTTGGCTTTTGTAAGATAGGACTAGTCTGTTTGTCAACGTTTTGTTTTGAATCCGAGTGATCCAAACCGACCAAGTGGACTAAAAGCAAAACGTTCCATCCACCATCACTAATGAGAAGAATGAAGACTTTTGCACTGTAGAAAGAGAACTGTAATAAGATATGCCTCAGAAACGCCATTGGGATTCTGGATCTATTTCATTACCATGGCTTTGAGTATGCTGTGAGGAATGAGGCTGAGGAGTAGAATATCAGAATTGCAACCCTAACTAAAAGGATGAAGTAGCCCGAAGAAGTCCAAAAAGGATGAAGTAGCCCTACTATTATATGGGACGCACAAGTAGCAATTTTTTCTTTGATCAACAAGGCGGTGGGTCGTCCGTGCTGGGAAGTGCTGCCCACCGTAGAGTACCAGCTGCCCTTGTCCTATAATCTACCATGTATGTGTTTTCGAGTGAAGGGTAGAAGTGGTATTTACTCTAGCTCTGTAAGTTACAATTGTTTATTTCGTATTCAAAATTGTTATCCTCTCGTATCGGTGTCACTGGTGTTATAGCACGGAAAGCGAGAGGGGTTACCGAGACTTGGATGGACTGTTATGTGGTTGGTGCTGCATTGTTAGGGGAATCGCTTCGCCTTGCTCCATCTTTGCTAGTACCCGTTTGTCTTCGGACATTAGTCCGGGGCTCCTGTCATCTTTGCTGCATCGAGAAATGATATTACCAATGAACATAGATATAACATTCCAGAATGACCATAAAAGCATAAGGTCCAGCAAGCCAAACAGCGACTTCAGTATGGTCGGATTTGATTCTTCATTGTGTTGTTGTCGTTGTTCTTGTTGTGATTGCTGTGGAGACGAAACTTGTCTCTTTTGTACCAATGAAGCACTTTCCTCGTTTTCATCTAGATTCCAGCTGCCAATTTCTGTTTCAGTATTGGTTGAATCATCTTGGAGTAGATCTACGTCGGTCTTTAGATCATTCAATGCTTGATCGAGAATCACGTCGTTCGTTTTCAGGGGTGGGCTAGAAGGGAAAACTTTGTCTACTTTCAGGGAAGCCATCATCAGCATTGGCGAGTTGGGAGAGTACCTTCTCTTTGGTGGGGAATGTATGATCGAATCACTGTTGTTTCGGCCCACACGCCATCTATCTCCTCCTGAAGACAGCAGTCGCTTCGGGGCCTTTAGTGGCGCAGTAGAAGAAGTTGATGCTTCAGAATTCCATCGCGCGGTCGCTTTGCATTCCGTGTCAGATCGTTTTCGCATTATTGGTTGTGAATGGTGTCGGCGTATTGGGGTTCGGTGATCGGTTGATGCCCATCGATCAACTTCAATAGAGCTGTGAAGTCGTGCATTATCTTCCACAATATGGAATCTAACCCTCTTCTTGTGCTCATTGCGTAAACTATTCAGATATTTATCCATTGTCGCTTTGTTTTTGACTGTTCCTTCAGGCAATGCTTGAAAGGTCTATCAGTTTTTTGAATGTATGTGCCAGGACCGCAACGCGCTTCTTCAAACGTTTGAAACGGTGAAACATCAAACATTACGACCAAAAAAGCAAAGCGGATGACCAAAGTTGATGGATGCTGTTCGCACCGGTTCTGACTGGAACATGTGGGTTGATAAGTAATGATTATGACTATGCCAGTCGCGGGTCATAATATGACCCAGAACATTTAGGCGGCGGCCAACATCCTTTTCTTATATATATCCAACTTCGTGCAGGTCAACGGTTCCTGTGCCGGTGCGTTTCTGACTAATTTGATCGAAAGATGGAGGCGTCTTGCAGTCCCCCGCAAAGGTTCATGCAGTCCAACCAGCTTTTTTGGAATCTGGAGAAAACCACATCAAAACGTGCAACTACTCTATAATAGCAAAGAAAAACGTGAAACCAATCGAAAAATGGCCCCAACCCAGGAGCAGAAACGGTCGAACAAAGCAAAAGTGCTTGCCGGGGGGAAGCCTGCTAAGGCAAGGATTCAGCGATACCTCAAGTCGATTGAACCAAGACTGAAAGAAACTGGAAAGAAGACTCTTTTACTAAAGGGTATCAAATGCAGTCAAGCCATGGGGAATCTATTGAAGGACATGCGGGCAATGCAAGCTCCAAATGTTAAACATCTGACAAAGAAGAACGCTATTGTTGCTTTTGAAACGGAGGGTCAGCAGTCTTTGGAGTTTCTGACCACCAAGAACGACTGTGCGTTGTTTGCACTTGCCAGTACCAACAAGAAACGACCAAACAATTTGGTATTGGGCCGAACGTTTGATCATCAAATCTTGGATATGGTGGAAGTGGGTATTCTTCGATTCAAGAGTATCCATGATTATGGAGGTTCCATTCCCAAGAAGCGACTCGGATCCAAACCACTGATGCTATTTCTCGGAGATTTGTGGCAACAAGATTCTAGCTGCCAAAAGATGCAAAACCTGTTGATTGATTTCTACCGTGGTGATGTCATCGATAAGTTGATGGTCGCTGGATTAGATCATTTAATTGTGTTTGTAGCTGCCCAACACCCAAAGACGGAACAGTTGATTGTCCACCAGCACACATATTTCTGCAAGCTCAAGAAGGATCCTAACAACCCTGCCAGCAAGGTCCCTGTTCCTTACTTGCTTCCATGTGGCCCTGACATGACAATGGCGATTCGAAGAACACAGTTTGCTTCTCCAGATATGTGGAAGGAAGCGTTGAAACAGCCACAGGCACTCCAGAAGAAGAAGGTCAAGAATCACTCAACAAACATTTTTGGAGAAACCATTGGAAGGTTGCACGTGGAGAAGCAAGACGTCGACAAGATGGGAGGACGCAAGGTCAAGGCTCTTCGTCGGGCCGAGAAGGCTGCAAAGCTGGAAGAGATGGAAGCGTTGGAGAACGAACTAGAAAAGGAAGGAAACGAACTGGGTCAAGAGTTCAAACAAACGTTTGGTTTCAAACAGACTTAGACGAAGATAATATGAAAAATCTTCAAACTGCTACCAGTACTGGTACGACTAAAGGAATTGTAACAAGCATTTTTATAAAATATATTGATATACCATTGCAGTATGCGCAAGTGTGGCTAGACGAGGACGTCGACAAGACGACCTTAGTGTGTATCTCCTTGCAATCATTAACAATAAAGCTCCAAAAGGAAGAATACTATGTAGCAGCAAAGGATCCTCATACTGTCAATGGTGTACCAACTGGATGTCCAGTCTTGGTCAAGAATTTTCCTGGATAGGTTTCGTATTCTCCGGTATGACGCGCCATTTGAGCAAGCACACAGCACGTGCAGCAGCAGGCACATACAACATCCTCGTAACCATGGCATTGCTGTTCTGGAATTGAATATTGAATTCTAACACTTCTCCGAGTATTGCAAAGACTAAAAATGCTGTAAACCGAAAATGCTGTGCTTCCAAGAGATTTCAACGCCCAAAGTACTGGAGGGAGATTCTCTGGATCATATGGCATCGATGCCAACTCCAAGGAAGTAGAATATACGACGTAAGCCGCAAGGATCATCAAAACAACTTTGAATGTATTCTTTGTTGCAATTTGCGGTCCGGGAAGTCCCAGCCAAGTCAGGTGAAGCCTTGTCATGATTTGAGCCATGGAAATTGTGGAGCAGCAGCAAGCGCAAAGAAACGAGGGATGGAAGCATCCTAATGACAGAAAATCGAAAAGGCCATCCTTCCATCTTCCTGTTGGTGCGGAAATTCTGTTTGTTTCAATATCCAAAGGCAATGGAACCCAAAATGTTTGGCCCTCTTCCACTCCTCCTTCTGGCTGCAAAACAAGGAAAGAGCAAGGAACAGAAAGATAATGTGAGACGAACTCTCAATCATTGGTTGACATAATGTTTTCCGTCAGCCAATGACGGGTGCAAATGCTAAAGGTAAATCAATTCCGCAGGAGTCAATCAATTGTGGAAATGCTCGTTGACTCTCCGTTGTGATGTTGAATACTCTTTATAACAAAATCCACAACCTCTCCTTCCCACTTCAAATTTCCCTCATTCCTAGATCCAAAACCGACGCTGATCTTGGCATTTCCTTCAGCGAATTGTAGATTGATTCACGGCTGATTCCGTAGATTGATTGCACCTTTGATGGATTGACTTCAATTGAATTATACATGCAATAAATAGTACCTACCACTTTGCAACTGAACGGTGTTCCGTCTGCTAGAACCGCTTCAAATGAATAGCCTTCTGGAAGGGACGTGGGTGCCGTAACATGCACCATAAGAGGGTGCGACCCCTCTACGTCGTGAGCTTCGTATTCCTTGTTATCAGCCATTGTTGTTTTGTTGTTGTATGAATTGAGCGCGAGATGTGTGTTCTTTGACGATGGCAATAACACTCCAACTCCAAGACGAAAGAATGTGGTGGGAGCCAAAGCTGGGTTTTCCGTTGAAAGACAAATACCCGCCAGAAAACGCACCAATGTTGCAGTGAGCCAATCCAATATTTCGTTATCTACAGATACATATGTTTTTAATATTTACTTTTTCATTTGGTGCGTGTGCTACTTCCAGAAAAAAGGCATCTTCGTATCTGTTTACCCCCTACCGCTACTGTACGTGTACTTAGACCTCGTTCGATACCACGTGTATGTACTGCAGAGGTTTTGATCATGATTTTGTTTTTAAAATTTTAATAGGACATAGTATCTCCATCCATGTTATTCAGGATAAAGTTCATTGGGTCTTTGCAATCTGGGTATTTATCGCCAGCCACTGTCACAAGCTCGACAATGTTGGCTGCAAACATGGGCTTGTAATTGTCTGGAATACATATCTGCTTGAGAACAAGACAGGCTCGTTTTTGGACTTCAGCATCTTCGGAATGCAGAACCATTGTGAGCACAATGGCATCCAAAGCTTCCTCGTCGACAATTTGCATTCGGTTGTCATCCGAGACGTCCCCAAGATTGTACAGGACACCGCAAGCAACATCTTGAATGCCTGCAGCATCTGGATGAGCCTGCATCACAGTGACAATAGCGTTGATACCGCCGACTTCAATAACAATTCCAGCATTGTGAGCATCGAGAGATAGATTGTACAAGGCTCGAAGACTCTTTTCTAGCACTTGTCTTTCTTCTGAATGAACCCAAAGGGCTCGCACAACAACATCAATTCCACCACAATCACCAATTACTTCCTTGTTTTCTTCCGTTGTGGCCAAGTTGGCCAGTGTCCACGCTCCTTCCAGTTGGACTGCAGCTACATCCCGTTGAACTTGCATCGCACTAATGATGGAGTCCACGCCACCGTTGTTGGCAATTTCGGTCTTGTTTTCATCATTGCCGGAAGACAAATGTCGCAATGCCCGCAGAGCAGCCTCTAATAGTCCAACATGATTAGGATTCATGACCATGGCAATGACAATGGTTCCTCCAGCACTTTCCATTAGCTTTTTCTTAAGTGAAGATTCATGGGACGCCATGTTGGCAACTGCTTGACAAGCCTTGACTAAAATCTTTGGATTCGCAGTGTGCGCATTCATAGCTTCTATCATTCTCTCCAGTGCGCCCTTGTTGACTAGAGTATTAAGATTCTTCTTGGCGACTGCCAAGTTGGCAATGGTTGACAATGCTTGTTCTTGAAATCCAGCATCGTTTGTGTTCTTCTCCATTGTGGTCAAAATGGGTTCCATGATACCACCCTTGACAAAATATTCTTGGCACCGCGTCGTTCCAGCTAGATTGAAGACGGCACTGCATCCCCACTTTTGGATGTGGATATTGTCCAGATTGGCATTCATGGCCTTGGAAATGGTGCGTGGAACTCGTTGATCAATCATGTAGCTGTGATCCTCTTTGATCAGTTTCATGGTAGCGAATTCTTCCATACATTTTTCAATTTCCTCGGGTTTGTCTGTGGCACTATCGAGCTTTTTCACCGCCTTTTGTAATTTTTCTTTTGTATGCGTGGCGTCTGAAGACGAATTGGAGGCTACAGTGGCATGATTTCCTTGTAGAATCGTGGACGTTTCCGGTTCTCTGGAAGGAGGAATCGGAGGCAAGTTGGATGGTGGACGGTCGTCATAGTTGGATTGACCTCCATCACCAAGGCCAGCACTAGCACTGCCAAATCCAATACTCGCGCTTCCAAAGGCAGCGCTGGCACCACCATCATAGTCTGCACCATAATCGTCGTACAAGGCAGCCTCTGCTACCGGTGGCGGTGCAGCGGCAGCGGGTGCCGAAACCGCAGCCGCAACAGGTGCCGGCGCCACAGTGGCCTGTACAGTCATGGCTCGACTGGCCGACGAGCCACCACGAGAATTGGATCCAGTACTGTGCAAGGATCGATTGGAATTCGAACGAGTAGGGTTGCTAGCGCCCATTGATCTGACGGGAAGGCTATTGGTGCGAGGTGCCGCCACAGCAGCAGAGACTGGTGGCATGGATGCTGGCCGATTGGCCCGAGTGGCGGCCAAGGCAGAAGATCCAGCGCCCACAGTTGCCGAAGCAGCCAATGGTCCCGTGGAACGTCCCGAGGTGGAAAGACTTGGACCTCCCCCAGGGCCTCCTGGTCTTGTGGAACCACTTGCAGGGCGCACTGGAGCTGGACCTCCTCCTCCTCCTTCACCACTACACTTTAAGCACCTTCCATTCTTTACCTTTCCTGGAACATCCAAAGGAATCATTTTGAAGACCTTCTTTTTGAAACACTTTTGGCCACAGGAAACGCATTCACCCCGCTTCTTACGCATGGCCGCAAGCTCTTGCGGCGTCATGACCGAACCGGTCTGGTTGAAGTCGCTTCCGAGATTTTCCATTAAATTCATCTTGGCGGCGGTGTTTTTGTTTTATGAATAATGTACTAATCAAATGGAACGAAAGATAGTTGATTGGAATGATTGGATTGGATTGGATTGATTGATTGATCGACTCAAAAGAAAGGTTTCTCTTGGTTCAACAATTATCAATCTTGATGGACAGCGAAAACACCAGCGCAGTGATGATGATTCGACACTGTGAAGGATTCTTCTTGTCTGATGAAACCAGCCTTGTTTGTTGCGTGGAAGCAGAAGGAAGGTAGGAAGGAAGGTGGGTTTCGAAGCAAAGGATTGATTGCTGAGGAGGGGAAGGGATGCCTGAAGACGAACGAACACATTGAAACCAAAAAGACCCTGGCACAAGAAGGCGGGCGGACTCTTTATTGTTTGGGACAGTACTACACTGTGCACATATCTACGGCCAACACAATCTCGCGCGAGTCTTTTTTATATATCAAAGTGTGATTTGATGGATTCCATATAAAAAGGGATCGAAGGATTCAAGGATCCATAACGAGAAAGTGTGCTTGCGTGAGTGTGAGAGAAAGTGACTAACAATTGATGGATGGTGATACAGTACCAGGTACCAGGTACCAGTTGCCGGTACCATTGGTACCATACTCCTATGTACCGTACCTGTGGAAAGTAGTCAGTTTAGTTTTCTAGTACCGGTATGTTGATTTCTAAAATAACATTATAATAGAATTCTAAATAGTATCCAATATTCTCGCTGGGGGCAGAAATCGTCATAAGATACTATCATCAAAGCATAATTCTTGCCTCTTGCTAGTTGGTGCTGTCGTTTTCCCCAATCCATCTTCTTTTTCTTTTCGTTGCTTTTCGACCAACCATGCGGGTAGATTCGACACCCCTCGTCCTCTTCCACGTCCTGCTCCTCTAAGTGTGTTGGTTCTTTGGTCCTCCATTATCATCATTGAGGCCGCACCATAATCGTCGCTCTGCTGTTCCTCGTCCGGCACTAGAGATTTTCGTTCTTGTTGCAACTTTTCCCGTAGCAGGCGTTGATCTTCCAGAGCTTGACGTTGTTGGTCTTCCATGACTTTTCGTTTTTCCAGTAGCGTTTTGCGTTCCAAATATTGCAACAAATCATTGGGAACATAGGGATCGTATACATCTAAAATCTCAGGTGTTATGACATTGTTGTTGTTGTGATTGTTGTTGAAGGAATTTTCATTCTCGTCATTATCATCATCATCGTCATCATTATGGAATTGAGAATGGGGTTGGTAATGCGATGATGATGATGATTGATGCTGCTGCTGCTCCGATTGTAGGGATTGGTGAATATCAATGACTTTTGGATTGTGGGATGGTTTATGCTGTTGTTGGTGGGGTTTCGTAACGACAGATGCCGTTGTGGTTGTAGTCGTATACACGGATGCTTGAAATTGAGATGTTGTTGTTGTTGTTCTTGTTGTTCTTGTTGTTGTTTCTGTAGTTGTCTCGCTTTTATCCAAAGCTGGCGTGGAAGCGGTTAACGAATCATCCATGGGTGGTGGATGATTTGCCTTGGTGGTGGTAGTGGTTGCTGGAGTCGGCCGCGGTCGTTTCTTTCGTCTGGCTGCAGCTGGGACAAACGCCATGCTGGTGCCGGCAGATCCGACAGTCTTTAGGAAGGAGCTCTGGACGGCTGGAGCAGCCGCTGATGTTGACGTAGATGTTGACGTTGCTCCTTCCACCTTTGATGTAGCTGGACCTTTCAAAGAAGAAGCTGACATTACCCCCGCTGCTTCCACGTTGTTGGTGGAGGAACTAGCACCGTTCTGTTCTACCTGCTGTGTTTCATTTTGATTACTATTACTTCCACCCTTTTTTGCCGCTGGAAGATCGCCAAACAGACCTCCAGATTGATTCTTTGTCGATGAAGAAGACGGCGGTTCTTTCTTTGTTGTCTTCTTCTTTGCTGTTGGAAGATCACCAAATAAATCTCCGTACATGATGATGATGATGAAAGGTTGTGTGCGAAATATGCATTTGTGTATTTGTGTATTTGTGTATTTGTGTATTTTCAATTTATGGTACCTGGTACCTATACTAGGGGTTGTCAATGAACCCAACCCAACTATTTTTGGTTTATTTTTATTGACCAATAGAAGGGCAGTATTTTTCCCGATATTTGACCACCCCCTTTGAAGCCACGAACCAACTATTTTTGGGGAAAAGCCGGTAGTTTAGGGAGACGTACGATATCTCGTAGATATATTTGCCTACTTATTTTTCGTCGAAAAATAGCATGACCCAACTATTCTTTGTTTAAGTTTGGGCTACGTTTACTCAAAATTGAACTGTTCCACACGATAAATCTAAAACATTGGACAAGAATTGTAAAACTTTCATGATAGTATATAAATATGACTAATATGAGCCTTCGAAAATGAATGAGTATATAAAAAACATATATATTCCGGATCGCTGAGTTCCGCTTTCTGTGTAGGCACACGTGGAATTTTGTACGAGGAACAATCGCTCGAGTACGCTTTCCGAAAAGTATATCTATTTCCGGGTTTCTTCATATACTAAATTCACGCGGTGTTTCTACGTATTTCGTACGTTGATTTTGTACCAATTTGACACAATTCCGATCACAACGAATTTGTTGTTCATCAAAAAAGACAGAAAATCATGAACCATCAATCGACGACGATGAAACATGCATTTACTTTTATTCAAGGTATTTCCTACAAGTATCTTCCACCGGGAAGATTCTTTTTGCACTGATCACTACAAAAACACATTTCCTCACCATTCTTTTGCATGTACCAATTTCGATCCATCGCACAGTTATTGTGAATGACGATGTTGCATCGGGCACATCGGTGTCGCCCAAGTTCCAACTCTTTGGAGCAACCGGCACAAGCACATGGTCCTAGTGGTCCTGGAACTGATATTGGCGGATATGGATGCCTGATTCCAAATCTGTCAATGAGTTCTTGAAGATATGTGGGTGATGTTTGGTCGTGATGTCCGATGGCAACAGCTGGAGGCCCAGTTGGACCACGACCAACACCATACTCTTCCATCATTCGATCCTGTTCTGCATTTGCTTCAATTGAATATCGAGTCGAATTCAAGACACGAGGTGAGTGGTCTATCGGCTCAAGCAAGATACCCGCTCCTGCATGAATTGTTGCCTGTTGCAATCTTGCTGGATTCGTTGCATTTGCTGTTGTCTTTTGCTTTCCTCTTCTGAGGTACTTTGGATTTTTAGCCAGCGGTCGGACTCGATTTTTATACTGTCGTGCGGCAGGTTTTGCCTTCTGCCTCGATTCCAAGTAAGTTTTATCTGACGGATTTCCATTCTTAACAATTTCTGACGGCGATACCTTCCTTGCGAAAGTAGAAAGACAGTGGCTTTTTGCATTCTTTCTTGTGAATGCATAGGAAACCTTTTTTTCCAAAAGGTCCCACATCTCATCGGTAGTACGTTCCAATTGTGCTTCAGTCACTTCTTCGCTCGTGTTACTAGGCATTTCTAACCCATTGTTCTCGAGATACTTGAAAAATTTCTGCCATTCAACTCGCATCTGTGACTGGAGTGCTGTGGTTGGGAGGTCCTTTGGTCGTAGCTGGCGAAATGGTTTCACATAATTGTTGCCATACCTTATACCCTTGAGCCAGCATCGAAGCGCTTGGGGAAGGTTTGGCTTTGGAGGGAACTCAAAGTCTTCCGGAACGGACCAGAACCTTTCGGTGTAAAAGTATTTTCCTTGATCAGGCTTTTGAAGCAACAATCCACCCCCTTGCTGAACTTGATTTCCAGGTGGCGGAATCTGAGCTGGCTGACCACCTTGGAACTGAGGAGGCAGGCTCCTAAGCATTGCTTGCAAATGTTCGGTAAGTTGTTTATTTGTTGCGTCTTGGTGCTTTTGAATGATGTCATTGATACCTTTTGCAGTAATGTTGCCGTTCGAAATTGCATTCTGCTCTATTCCATGGTGAACAGCCGCAACAAGGTCTGCCTTCAATTGCTCGTCGCGCTGCTTCTGGTTGTCCTCACTGATTCTTGTTTGTGCAAGTAACTGTATTAAGTTGTCATGAATTGCCTTCATTTGGCAAGTTGTTTCAATGTGTGGCGGGACGCCAGTAACAGTGGTCATGACATCGGGAGTTGGTTCAACAGTGATAAGCTGTTGCAATGCGTCAATTTCTGATCCTCTCATGTTGTAGAATGGAACCTTGACAAGTTCGTTGCTTGGGTTATGGGCAATGTACTCCTGGAACGACTTGGCATGCCATACCATGCATGCTAGGCAACGCAACAACAAACCTGTAGGATCATAGTCCGCTTCACTATGTGTTTTTAAGATGGGACCAAAGTTGGCGTTCATGACTTCGCGGATCAGTGGGTGGCCCATCGGATTTGCCATTTTCCAATGTGGAGGTAAGGTCTTGAATGATGGTTTCATTGGGTCCTTTCCTGATAGTATCTGGCCCAAGTAATGATCGCCAACTGGCAAAAATCTCCAGTATATGTCAAAGACCGAGCCCATTGACCAATCACCACGGTGTGCAATAGAAGAAAGGAACGGGGCACATGTGGTTCCTGAGCTTGCATAGCTTGCGGCTCCTTTCCGCAAACCGTAAGCATTGAAGTGCCCTTTTTGACAATGAGAACTAACAATGTTTCTCCTTTCCTCAGTTTTATTCACAAGAGCTTTCAGCTGTTCTTGATATTTCTTTGCAGCACTGCCGTCCTTGGTATTCCACATGAAAAGTTTCTGAGTTTGTCCAAGCTTGTTTTTGTACAAGGCACAGTAGTTACCCATGGCTGTCCACTGGCACAAATAGTGATACTCATGATTTGCATAAATGTGTTTAGCAAAACATCTATCGCCATCTTTATCCTTTTTTGCAGTGTCATGTGTAATAGCATGTGCATCCAAAACAATTCTGAAGTTGCTGAATCCAAGGTAGTCAATGTTGCCACAACGGCTCATGCAATTCCACTGGGTCTTTGTCCAAAAGTCTACCATTGTATTGCCATCTTCAGACGCCCACTTGCAAATTAATATGTAAAGCTCTTTTGTGATTGGGTCTGCCTCCTTTGTTTGGACATCCCCATTCCCCTTCCCAGCTGCAACCTGTCGCTTGTAGGAGAAAAGATAAAGATCCAATTTGTCCCAGCACTCTTGGGACAGTGCTTCGCCACGGATTTGGGCACCCCACTTGATAGCATCTCAAAACTTTTGCATGTCTGCCTTGGTGCGCAGATTGCCTGCTGCAGTTCTCTCTTGATCCATGAGAAACTTGAGAACATAATCTACGTTTAGACCTGCATAAATAAGATCATACTCGTACTTATCATAAAAGTACATTGCAGGATCATTCATTTCTGCAGATGTGTTTTTGCGAACACCAACTTCAAAGTATCTGAAGCACTTCTGTTGAAAATACTTTGTCATTCTTAGAATTCGATTGCGGTAGTCTCTCCTGGTCTTGTCCGTTTTTTCATGTGACAAAGTTTTTTGAAGTCTTTGCTTGAAGTCATGTCCAAGCTCGTCTTCAGCATTGGTGGCACCATCTCCCAGAATAGCAGTCGTATTATCGACTGTTCTACTGTTCAGGTGCTTCTTCACGATACTGCTACCACTTCTGTTCATGTTTCGTTTAGTGTAGTGAGATGATGAAATCTGATGGGAAATCACAAAACAAACAACTTTGTGACATTCGCGCCATATCCTCCGTCTCACCCATGTGTCGGTTGGAGCATAGACCACTACAATCGTATTAGACATACAGACAGTATATATTTTTATATACTTTTCCGCGAGTGACTAAAATCTTTTATCCCGCGAATCAATTATCTCCGGGTCATTGAAGACCCAACTATAATATAGTTGGGTCTCTTTTCGGCACAACTATTTTTTTCTTTCTGACCCAAACCAACTATTTTTTTTTTTGGCTCGACCAATCACAGCTGCCCAAAAAAAAGAAAAAGAGTTGGGTTGGGTTCATTGACAACCCCTACTGTATGTTTCAGGCCGGTTTTTCATCATCTTTTCCCATCTATTAATATGTCTGTACTTCGACCGATACCGCATCATCGGAGGGCTGCTGGAAACAAACGCCTCGCAACTGAAAGTCAACTACGTAACCAAACCAAAGCATGTCATTTTTTACCACGGATGATTCAGTGGATGCCATTGTGGCCGACATTGGTTCGTATGCCACCAAAGTAGGACATGCTGGAGAAGATCATCCGCGTGCATACTTTCGATCGGTAGGTTCATGAATGGCGTACATGAAGACGGTCGCAGCAGTGCAACTGTCTTTGTCGTTTTGTGTGTGTGTATGTGTTCGTATGTGTGCTCATTGTACAACATCCACCACCGTTTACAGCTTCACGGCAGCGTGTCTTACTTTCGGTTTTTTTTTTCTTTCCCCTCTTGAAACAATCTATGGTCATCATACAGAATACAGCAATTCTCAGAGAAGGACAAGAGGAAGTGAACGAAGGATCCCCATCGTCCACCACCACCACCACTACCGCCAACGAGAATGCACCAGGCCGCCGTCGCCGCAGACGGCGTCCAATTAAAGATGTCAATTACGATGCCTTGAACCGTCCAGCTGTATACAGCCACAATAGCGGCGATATTGATGGAGATGCATTGGATGGAAATTGGAACGTGGGAAATCCTGTGGATCCCACAACCGGTCTATGGTACGATCCCATAACGGAATCCAATAGTCATTGTTTGGAAAACAAGGGTGGAGATAGTGCCGATTGGGCTGATTTGATTCCCATCTATCTACGACACGGCTATTCTTCGGCCTTGGGAATTGACAGCATGTCCGCCAATCCTCTCTTGTTGATTGAACGATCATACAACCCACCACCACTGCGACAGCAAACGCTGGAGATCCTCATGGAAGAATGTGAAGTTCCCGCTGTCTTTTTTGGAAGAGATGCCATTCTCTCATGCTATGCTTGTGGTAAGACCACCAGTACGGTTGTGGACATTGGATACTCGGGAACTACCGTCACTCCAGTCTACGAAGGATACGTGGAATCCAAAGGGATCCGCCGTTGTCCCATTGGGACCTATCACATGGATGACATGGCCTTGCAACAACTCCAACAAGTGGTCAAGGAAACTGCAGCATCTGCTCTATCCAATGGCGAGAGTAATACCAAGGAGGATGTCAAGAAGGAGCTTCGAGAACGGCAAGAACGTGGCGAGTTGATTCCGTGGTACCAAGCGTACAACCCCAGCCTTCAACAACGCCGCGAAGTCTTTCATCGATTGTCCATGTTGGACGTTGGAAGGGAATGTCGAGCATCAGGAGCGGGACAATCCATCAATACCTTGGCCAGCAAGGGATTGCAAGTTCCGTCCTTGAGCTATGACTTGCCAGATGGACAAACGGTTGATATTCCATCCGATAATCGCTTTGCCGTCGCCGAACTGGTGGTGGGAACTGCCAACAGCGCTAGTGGAACGGAGGAAGCGCCATCGTCGACTACGCTCACCAGCAACGACTCGACCACTTCACGTCGGAAACAAGCGTTGGAATCCTTGCAAAAGGATTGGACAGCAATTGTGGAATCAGCGGAAAGTGATGATATGGAGGAAGATGATCAAATGGACGTGGATGGTGGGGACGACAAGGAAGAAAAAGAACGACAAGCCCAAAAGTACAACGAGGCTTCGGCGGTTGGGGTCATGTCTCGACGTACCACACGAAAACGAAGACGAGAAGCAGCCAGTAAGAAAGAACAAGCGGACAAGGCCAAAGCAAACGACAATGCCAAACAGGCTGCGAAACAAAAGTCAAAGGTCCGATTTTACAACAACATTTTGAACCGCGCTTGTGCGCCATACTTGAAGACTCTGTCCGAACAACTAACGGCGGAACCCATTGCCAACATGGTCTGCGATGCTGCCTTTCGCTGTAATCGCGATCAACAGGCTAGCGTTTTGGGTAATGTTGTCTTGTCTGGTGGCGGATCGTGCATTGGACCCACTGACCAAGCACTCCCCGATTTGTTGCGAGAGCAAATGGAAAGCATCATTCACGCACACACTCCTGGATGGAGGGTCAAGGTGATAAGTCCCAATATTCCGGAGCGACATATTGCTAGTTGGTTGGGAGGCAGTATTTTGGGAAGTCTGGGAGGCTTTCATGAAATGTGGATCACCAAGGCAGAGTACGAAGAATGGGGGTCTGCCATTGTCAATCGAAAGTGTCCCTAGGTACTGTATCACTGCGAGAGGTTCATTACAATTGAAGGTTTCAGGATCTTTAGTACGTAAAAAGTCATAAATAGTTACTTTGTTAAAAAAAACAATAGCGAAGGCATTGGTGGCATGGTAGATGAAATGATTTGTGGCATTATACTGACGGACGGACGTCCGTCGAACACAAAAGAGGAAACCCATCAAAAATCCGACGAGATCCAATCTATAATTTTCAAATTCCATCTCCTGGTTTGTCACTTACAGCTTTTATTATATTGGACATTGGACATCGTATGCAATAGAGCAAAAAATAAGAAAAAGAAAGGAATAGGAAACAATGATGGTGATAAAACTGATCTTTAACCATTTGTTACTGGCTTTTTTGGCTTTGGAGTTGGTGCAATCGTTCACAACGACCACCATCCAATGGCAACCGTCAATAGTTTCACTTTCTGCAACACCTGAATATGATTCCAAAGATTATTTCGTTGATCCCAACAATGTGGGATTGTATCGTCGATTTTGCGACCATGTCCAAGAGAAGCTACAAGAATCTGGAATGTTTGAAAGCATCGATGATCTTCCGTCGCAGTTGTCGTTGAATCAAGCAACACAAAACCGAGGAGGTACAAGCAGCATGGTGCAAATCCAGAATTTTGCCATGAAACCTACCGGAAGCTTCAAAGACGTTGTCCGATATTCCCGTGTTGCGTTGTTGGAAACCATTGATTTGTCCAATTCTAGCAGTGGTGATGATGGCACGGTTGTCACACATACAGAAGGAATCCAGGTCCTAAACTTCATCATTGTGCCTTCTGCCCAAACAGACCTTCCAGTATTGGGAATCGATTTGGTACGATTGCCAGGAGACAAGAACCTGCTGTTGCTCGATGCCCAGCCAATGGTCGACCCCAACCCATATCAAGAAAATTGGAAGGCATGGTATGCTGAACATGTGGGTGGTGATGCTCCAGTCTTTTCTTGGGGTGGAGACTTCCCACCACCTGTTCAGCAGTATGTCTCACCATATGCTCTTTGGACGCGATTGCAGCCACCACAAGAAGTATCAGGCAGTGAAGACAAGTGGGATCCCACTTCTATCATTCAAAATGAACTTTGGGATGCTTTCACTTCTCACTTGGATATTTACTTGGACCTTTTGAGGCAGCAACAACAACAACAACAACTGCAAACAGATAGCAGCAAAACGAATAACCAAGCGGGATATTTGGAATATAGACGGACTACCGATCCAGCGAAACCCATGCTGAAGGCTTTGTATGGCGAGGAGTGGACGCAACAAGTCCTCGATGAAGTCTTGTTCCCAACTTGGATGGAGTAGAAGAAAGGAGATATGACGATTCTTGTGTTTTTCGTTCTACCCACAAGTAGACTTACGATGAAGGCAAGGCAAGGAAAGGAGAAGAACAATTCAAACTCTGAAATACCATGCAGTAAAACGAGTGGTGAAACTTTTGATCGTTGCCAAGGTTTTGCTATTAGGCTTTTTTTTCCTTCCTGTTTTTAAATTAAAACATGCTTGATCCGACAGCAAAACAGTTGACCATCGCTTGCAGATCATATGGTGATGAACAGTGCCTCTAGTTTGAGTTTTTTTCTCATGATTATAGTTCTTTGCTGTGATGCCGTTTTGGAGGATAAAAAAGTGGGAAAGGGCCCGTCTTCAACAAAATATACCCCTGGTCTTTTGTGAAAGCTTTACCTGCTCATGGCAACTCGAAAAAGAGCGCCACAGCTGCATTGGATGCAACACCAGGTCGCTGTAGTGCATCCTCCAAAAACTCCTCGAGTTGGTCACTTCGGTTTTTGGCAAACTTTTCGTCTTGAGGCAATAAGAAGCAGGTTTTGGGAGGCATGACGAGTGGAAGGTCGTGTGCTGGATTGCCGCTGTTGGTGGCAGCAAAGTGAGGTGCCAACTGTTTATGCAACCAACAAAACTGACTAAAGCGCCTATACACAATCTTCCGGTCGTGACCCATGGAAACTTCAATTGTGTAGTAATAGGCGGGATGATTCTTCTTTCCAGGGACCGAGAACGATGCACTTTCAGGCGCCACTGAGTGAGACTCTGCGGCGATGATTCGAACGGTGAAGAAATGGTTTTCAAATCGAGGAGACCATTGGTCATGAGCCAGGAACATCAAGGGTGAGGTAGAAGATCTCATTGCTGTGATTGCAACTGTGGTTGTCGCTGTTTCTTGGTTGAAGGTGCTTGAGAACAGTTGCTTGTAAGATTGTCATTTTTTGATGGAGAAACTAATTCTGTCCACTCAGCGACTAATACTGTAACAAGTATTGAAAAGGTATCGTACCGGTATTGCATACCAGGTTCGTAAACGGTACACATTCCATTGATTCCATTCGAATGATTCTACAGTTACTACAAGTACTGTTTCCTTTTTTAATTTTTTAAATAGTTAGTTGTGTGACTGATTTGTTTTAAAAAATGAGAAGTGATTTAGTCAGCAGAGGGACGGTCCTCAAGGAACTTTCTTCCGAGGTGAAGATCATTCTTCAGTGATACTCCTTTCGTTGATGGGTGCCAAGTGAGATCCGCATTATTTTCCGCCCATGGCATATATTGCGTAACAGAATGATGCAATCGCGCAATTTTACCATTCAAGTAAGAACAAAAATGAGCTTTGTTTGGTGCTGCATTGGATTGATTCTTATATTCACTTCAAAAGAACAATTCAGCTGATCATGATGAGCCGAAAGTCGACTCGGAGCTCGTTGATTCCTTAACTTGGGCATCGCAACACTTGTGGCGACGCGAGACAGAGCCGGATATGAATGGACAAGTGATAAAAAAGAATGACCACGTGGAGCACCCATTGAATACAACGGAAGATACGGCATCCACATCGGCCGCAACGCTATCCATGACCAATACTTTGGATGAAAGCCAAAAGAGAAACATCGCGAATCTCTCCAACAGTCTTTCGACGACTATCGGCAGTGATGACAGCCGCACCAAATCATGGATAACCAAGAACAATTGTAGGGAACTTGTGCCATCTTTATCGTCCCGTGAAATCAAATCGGATCTCCTTTCGTCTTTCTATCATCTTGCGGACATGTTCGTTTGTGGTTCGCTGGAAGATGATGTGGATCATCGGCACACTGTGCTAAAAGAAACCACGAAAACGATTGACATCATCCGTGTGCGTGCACCAGAAGCAACGCAGGAGCTGGTGGATGCACTTTTCTCCATGTTGACGATTCGAAACAACCTTCTCGATGTTGCAGCAGAGTCGGCAATTTCCATTGCAACCTTTCTCGAACAGGGATTGACACCAAAGGACCGCACATATATTGTCCAAAAGGCGGAAGAAAACTCGAGCAGCCTCATATCAGTTTTGAGCACAGCCTATCTGACGTCGGTGAAATCGCTCTCCAACAAAGACCCGATGGAAAGCTTATTTACCATTGCATCTGCGTCCAAGTTCATCCAACGCAAAATGGTCAAGCGACGAGGAGCTAACCTAGCCGTCGCTCGCTGTCTGCGTGAGTCAGATTATTGGAAGAGAGCAGGAGCCTTGGACTTTTGTGGACTGGTCTTCGAGGATGATGCATCTGTACAAAGTTTGATCTCAATGGGGGAAGGAGAAAACCTTGAAATCCTTGTCGATGGATTGATCAAAAGAGTGTATGATGACACAGTGGTTCAAGATCAGCTGGCAGCCATTTCCATTGTCTCTAAAGTTCTTTCACTGAATTGTCACGTGGAAAAGACGCTTCAAGCATTTCATTCGGTAGCGTTCCATAGTACGTCGAGAGATGCAGTTATCGTCGCGGCGGATGCTTTCTGTAGCTACGTTAAAAAGAATGGAGACCTTTCCTTGGAGCATCAACTGGCTCTTATCGGCTTTGCAACACTTCCACAGAAAGAAATCCGCCGCGTGGCTTTGGTCACCCTTCAGTCCCATACGAACAATGCTTGCAGTGTTGAATTGCTCAACAAATCAGATACAATAGACGCCTTACTTTCAATCATTCTCCATTCACCTGTACATGGAGACGGTATCATTGCATTGGATATTGTACGTCAAATGGCTCGGTCAAGAGTTCACCACACCAACTTGTGCCGCCACCCAACATTCCTCAGCACTATTGTTTCGATGGCGGATTCGACAGACACACCAAATCCACTCGCAATCGAAATTCTCGTTGCCCTCGTGTTGAACCAAGAGAACAAGGATGCATTTTTGCGAACCCCAGGCCTTTTTAAGTGGCTGGCAAAGTTTGTTACAGCCCATCCAACAGGTGGCAATGTTCAAGAGCAATTCCTGTCCGTTATTCTTTTCCTCACGCTGAGTGGGACATGACGGGAATTAGTCCAACATATAACGAAAAATAAAACTCGTATCTCTCGAAATTTCCTTATTCAGTCTCTGCATCTTCGTCATCTTCTACATCGTCACATGACTCATCGCCATCGCCATTCCCGTTATCACTTGGAAGAAAACTCGATCCAAACCATACTCTTGATGCAAACGTCCCAAGAATATGCAATACCAAGGCTCCAAATACGATACTAGCCATGATTGTATACATCCTACGGGAGCCATATTTGTGCATGGCCCAACCTCCAAGGACTGAACCTAAGGAACTTCCCACAGCAGAGTATAGCATATTCACCGAGGTTGGAATGACAGTGCTCCAGTATCCAGACTTTCGATTATTTCTGATCTCATTGGAGTTGACGTCATTTCTTTGGGTTGCCGTTGTTTGATGGACTAGAATTTTGGCGATGTCGGTCGCAACTGTCCAATAGCAGGCAAACGTGATACCATGCAAAACTTCCAATGGGAGAATCCACAATTTGGTCGAAGGTGTGAGTAAAGTGTAGCCCCAGACTCGAAATGAAAAGCATGCCATGGCCACAATCATGAGTCCATCATGTCCCAAGAGTGCCATGAATTGCGAGGCGTACAAGAAGATTGGCAACTCAAACAGGACATTCACAAAGACACTGAGTCCACAGATGAATGTGCTGGCCTGCAAATCGTTTATGAGGTAAAGAAAGAGCAAACGTTCCACCGTGGCCATGGCGGCTCCCATAATGATTACTTCCAGAAGAAATAGCAGCGTCTGGGGGCGAACGATGATTGCAACAAGTTCCATCAATGTTCCCTCTTCAGCAACAGGGTCTTCTTCAATATGGACGCGTTCCTCGTCATCCTCACAGACCGATTCCTGACCACCAACAGTTTCCTGGCCAGCTTGATCGTCTTCCTCTTGGTTGACCGTTGCTGTGTTCGTTCCAGTCTCGGGGATGTACCAAGCAACAAGGAAAACCATCAAGCCTGATAGCAAGGCGAAAAGTATAAAGTTCGGTTCAAAACCGTATCGATCGGTAATCCAGCCTATGACCATAGAGCCAACTCCCCATGAAAGTGATGCATACAATCGATACCGCCCATAATACAGCTTGTTTTCTTGCCCCAGGAGATCCAGTGTGTATGCATCTAAAAGACCATCTGAAACAAAAAGTTGAGCCACAGCCGATGCAAACAGAATTCTCCAAAACGACTGATAAATTAATGGTAGCGCCAGGGCTAGCAGGCTAATCGTGCTGCAAACTTTTGTCAACAACCATACTGATTTACGGGATTGCCACTTGTCGGCCGTGATCCCCCAAGCCACTTGAGAGATGGTTGGAATAACAGTTCGAATTCCTTCAATGCATCCAATTTGAGCACTCTGCAGATTGTGTAAGTTGTAATATACAGCACTGAACCTCCCCCACGTTGAACTTCCCAATGCATCCAAAAAGTAAAGGGACTTGATCAAGAGAGATGTCTTGTATGGGAGCCCATCAACGAAGAACTCGGATCGATCACTGTCATCTCTTCGTCGCTCATTGGAGGTAAGGAGTGGTACTTCCAGTGTAGAGCCATTGTCGTCGCCAGCACTGTTACTCTCGAGTTCCATTGTTGATTTTCGTTAGGTGGGAGGCTTGATTGGCAGTGGACGGCAATAGGATGTAGAGTGCCTCTGTATGTTAACTTCACCAATAAAGCTTGTGCATATTTTTACTTCTTCTCGAGCAGTAGGATCCACTCTTACGACTACGAGTAATTTTAAAAGTAATTAAGTACTTCGTATCGTGTTTCGGTATCACACAGGTACACGTACCGGTACACCGGTTACACGTAACACGTACCTGAGGTAGAGAACGCATAATATTTCAAGCTGTAAGAGCTGATGATTGCCAGCATATGGTAGATCGATCTAGCGTGGCTGGTGGTATTATTGGTGGTTGTACAGTAGGCCTAGCTAGTACTCCTCTCGGTGTCAAGGTTCTTCATTGTTCGTACCAGGAAATGTGGAGGCAAACTTCGATGGTTCTACATTCTGCACCAGCTGAGGCATGCAAATATTGAGTTCCTATTCAGTTGGTCATAGGGGGTATCTTTTGAGACATGATGCTCGTGTTTGTTTCGTCATATAATTTATTTGCGGCATGGTACCAGCCAGCAGCTAATGCCAACATCTATATATATAATATATATATAGATATATATATATTATGGAAGTACAGCACCCGGGACTTCATAATTTCTTCTTGGTTATATAACGCGACAGAAAGCAAAAAGCTGGACGTGTCAAAGTGAAACTGGCATTTTACTTGAAAATACTGTACTACCCGCCAATTGTGAACCTTATCATCATTTAAAACGACGACATATCACAAGTCGTGCTTTGGAGGCCACAAAGTTCAAAGTGTCCACGACACAGTGAAAACTCCCATCTTAACTTCTTCAATTTCCATCGAGGCATTTGCGCTATTTGCCTACTTATATATCGTGTCATAATTGATGACTCCTGACCAGTGTATGGTCGGTGAATCTTGATTGATATCGACATGTACCATGTGATCACTTTCGATTTCCCTCACAATTTCAAATCGTCCTACTAAATTGGAAACAAACATGAAGCTTTCTTTCATCGCGATCTCTTTCTACCTTCTTGCTGTCGACGCTGCTAGCCTACGCGGTGTCCGCAAGTTGTCTTCTGGCTCCCTTCCGTCTCTCTCCGGTGCATCTGATGCTTCTGGTGATTCGGTCTCGGTTTCAAGTGGGAGCAACTCTCGCAAGTTGTCTTCTGCCTCCGTTGCTTCTGTTTCTGGTGATTCAGTCTCGGTGTCAAGTGGAAACTCTCGCAAGCTGTCCTCTGCTTCTGTCGCTTCTGTTTCTGGTGACTCGATCTCGGTTTCCAGTAGCAGCTCTAGACGCAAGCTGTCCTCTGCCTCTGTCGCTTCGATGACGTCTGGTGAATCTGCATCATCCTCGACTGATAACTCTCGCAGAGAGTAAATGGCCACTTAGGTTCTTGGATCGTGGGGTTTAGGTTGCAGGCAGAATACTACATCATAGAAGCTATAATGTGCAGTTCTTAAATGATACCATTTTCCCCTTGAAGTGTTGTGCTCCAACAGTACATTTAGTTTCATTTGTGGCACGGTGAATTGTCAACCTAGCTTGTCGGGTTTGTTCACGATGGTTGCTTGATCATTGTGTCGTTTTACATAAAAAAGATCAACGTCTCCCATGCCACTTTGCGTAGCTTGTGGTAAGTGTACGCGTACACTACAGTACAGACCGTCCGCCGCTCAACAGCTCATTTTTGTAGTAGTTTGTCGAAAAAGTGATGATCCAAGCTTTTATACCTCATACAGACCTACAATCAAATTGTTCTGCTTGCCAACGTTTTACTCTGGGTCCTTAGCTTTCATCCCATTGGGTGAGCACCTCTCTGCTATGCTCTAGAGAGTTGCTGTAGCGCAAAATGTCAATAGATCCTTTGGATACGACTAGCAATCAAAAGGAGCTGATAACATTGTGCTAAATCGACTCAGTAGAGCATAACGGAGAGGTGCTCACCCAATAGGATGAAAGTCAAGGACCTAAGCTAAGACATTTGTATGGGGAAAATTTTGACTTTGGGTCCGTATGGGGTTTTGGATCATCAGTCTTCCACCTACAGATGTCTTGTTGAATACCGGTAGACGTGTAAAGTATGCGCGAAGACGTTGATTGGTTGTGGTAGCGGGCTACCAAATCACATAACAACGTTTGATTAATTTAGTGAAATCTCGTGACACTTTTAGATAAAAGTACCTGGTACGTGTACGAGAAAAGCATACGAAACATCAAAATCCCAATTCAAAACTTACTTCAACCTGTTATCATTATCGATCAACGGCACTCTCCAGTCAAGAGATCTGCGGTTTTGACACAATTTAACAAGTTGAGCGTGAAACTGGTTTGGGTTCACGCTTTAATGACATCATGATGTCGACATCTCCTTCCTTGACTTCGCAATCCTTGCGTTCTCAAAGCTCCTTGAGCATTGATGTTCAATCTTGCGAACAGGCCCGAATTTCGCATGAACAAGCCTTTGAATTGTCCAAAAGACCAGACCTGTCGTTGAAATACCCACACATATCCCCATCAAGTGTCAAGCGAGGTAAAATCTTGGGACAAGGAGGCTTTGCTAAGGTATATGAAATCTCTGGGTTGGAAATCCACAATGATTTCAATCCTGCCTCGATCGAGCAAAGCTGCAGCTCTGCAATATGCGAATCCAAGATCTGCTCATTAGGATCTATCAGTTGTGGTCCTGAGGATCAAAGCACAAGTTATGCACTGAAGACTCTCATTACCGATCCTGGAGGTGAGATCAATTGTCAAGCTCTCAGCGACTTGGTAACCGAGGCCCGGATTCTAGCCGAGGTAAAGCACTCTAACATTGTCAAGCTTCGGGCGGTTGCGAGTGGCGATAGATTCCATAAAGATTTCTTCATTGTCGTCGAGAAACTTTTCGATCCGTTGGATATACGCATTGACCAGTGGCGACAGCAAGACACACGATTGAAGGGTTTGTCAGGTCGGGTGCGCGACTGGACTGGAAAGAAACGAGCTGATCTCTTTCTTGACCGCCTCGTAGCAGGGTATCAATTGGGATCCGCGTTGGAACATCTTCATAGAAATCGCTTTGTCTACCGCGACTTGAAGCTAGAAAATGCTGCATTCGATATGGTAAGTCACTCGACGAGGTCTGAAGCATCCTACAATTCTTCATCCTGCTGACCACTAAGCGTGCGCAACAGCATGGGGAACTGAAACTGTTTGATTTTGGACTGGCAAAGGAGCTTCCCGACGAATGCCCAAGCCGAGATGGCCTACACAAATTGACGGGAAAGACGGGAACCCTGCGATACCAAGCACCAGAAGTAGCACTTGGGCTCCCGTACAATGAATCTTGTGACGTCTACTCCTTTTCCATTCTACTCTGGGAAATCTTGATCATGAAACGAGCATTCAAAGATTACACTTCAGAACACATCATGACGATGGTCTTGGAAAAGCCGTACAAGCGCCCACCAAAAAGCACAAAGTGGAATGCTGCTCTCAGAGAGAACATGCATCATGCCTGGTCTCCAGTTATCCGTCAAAGACCTAGTATGAGTGCTATGGTCAACATGCTAGAGGATGAGTGTACCAAGTGTCCCGGATACAATGAGAAACTTGGACTATGTGGCAGTCCTCGTTCCGACTGCACCTATGCCGATCCAACAAAACATCTCTGCTGCAAGAATCAGAAGCTTCGGCGCTCAAATACCGAGCAGTCAAGCTTGTTTTCCGATTAGATGGGACGTTGTCATTATCCTCACCATTACCTGGGATGCAAACAAACTACAACAAAATAACTCATCCTCCCTATAGAGCCAGGAAGTAGAGGAAGAAACGTCCATCATTAATAAACTAGAATAGATTAGTATCATCATGTGCATCTATGCGTTTATGGTTCACCAATAACTCTTATAAAAATCGTTTAAAAATGTCGAAGACTCGAGGCCTCTACCAAAGTGATGCCATGCTTCTTTCATACTTCCTGAGCGACCACGTCATGCCTAGTTAAAGTAATCCAAGACGGAAGAGCCATCGACAGCATCCTTCTTCTTTCCGCTTGCAGCATCGTACTTGCCACCACATTCCACCTTCTTGCTTATGCCCTTAACAGACTTTTCGTAAGTAACCTTGCATCCCCAATCAACCTTCATGGTTCCACCAAACTCCATTGTCTTGGTAAGTGGGGCGTCGTCCTCCTCTTCCTCATCATCGAAAAGCAAGTGGGCTTCCATTTCCTCATCGGAGACGCCAATGAGCATTTCAGGTTCTGACATAAAGTCTTGCAATTGCTTCATGAGCTCTTGAGACAATTCGCCCTTCACATCAGAAGTGGTCCAAGACATGGAAAACTCCTTCTCCATTCCTCCTTCGCAGTGCTTCATCATGCCCTTCTTGGCATCGAATCCCCCGTCGCACTTCATACCCTTCTTCATTCCAAAGGTACCCTTTCCAATGTCCAAGCTGTTGTCTTCCTCGTCTTCTTGGACAGGAGCAAACTCCTTTGGCTCAACAATCAGGAGAGGAATTCCGGGTGCAGAATCAGCTTGGGGTTCCTCTTGTGTTTGTGTTTGGGCGCTTGTGGTGCGAAGCATTTGAGGCTCGACGGCCAAAGCTACCGAAGCAAGAGCAAAGAGGACAGTGGTGGTGCAGAACATCATGATGGTAAGGAACAAGAACAATCAAAAGATGTTTGTGTGATATTCATATGATAACGAGAGCGAATTCGCACAGTATGACTGAAGTTTTGCGCGCAACAAATACGACCGACTGACTCGGTGGATTTGTTCTTTCGACTTCTGTGAAAAATATCCAAATCGTGCAATCTTGGATCCTCTGGGTATCTTGCGACTGATACCAAGGATAATACCGTTGAGCGAAGAGCCTAACAAAACCTAATTGTCTTTCGCTGCTGCCACATACAGCAAACATACATACATACATACATCTGAGATATCGATTAGATTACTGTAGATAGATATATTTAGAAAAAGATATCGATTGACCCATTCGACTACATGTTTTCACTATTGTTGAATTTGTCGACGACGGAACACTCTGCCCATCGTTGGAGCATGATTGTGTCTCGTCGCTTGAAATCATTATCTTCGATTGCTAGCTTTCTTGTGGTAATATTCACACTCTTACTGAGTTCCTCTATAGCCGGCTTTGCCGCCAATCCAAGTACGCAGCATCTTGTTGGTCCCTCATTACAATCAAGAAAGCGACAACACTCTTGGCATCCTCTGAAACTATCTCCGAGATCCATATTTGAATCATTTGCACATCAAAAGAGATTAAGAAGAAGGCTACAACGTATACGGAGCCTTTTCCACAGCTGCAAACAATCAATACGTCCTATTGTCCTAAGTGCTCTTTGTGTGTCACTGGTTTGTACCGCTCTTCTTCCAACAACAGGCACCGCAAGAATGGCACAAAATGCGGCGTCAACGGCTGCGACAAACAGTGGCGCTACTACTGGAGGGGTCATGCCAATATCAATGCCCAAACTATTGCTCTCCATGGCGCCCCTCCTCGTCGTCGTTGGGCTGGCTTCCAGAACAATGGGATTACAACTGGAACAAACCATGGTAACAAGTGCTCTTCGGACCCTGCTTCAACTGAGTCTTCTCGGCGGTATTCTTCGACCGATCTTTCAAATACAAAATTTCTGGTTAGTACTGGGACACTGTCTATTCATGATGATTCTAGCAGTTCAAGTGGCCTGTGGAAAATCCAACTACATTTTCCCTGGCCAATTCGATTCCATTTTGACCTCAATTCTTCTCAGTGTCGGTGGTACAGGTCTCTTTGCGTTTGGTGTCATTATCAAGCCGAAACCTTTGTGGAATCCTCAATACGTCATTCCCATGGTGGGAATGTTGCTGGGCAACTCGCTGAACGGAATGGCTCTGGCCATGAATACGCTATGTCGTGGGCTCATGGAACAAGGACGTGAAATCGAGTTGTACCAAACTTTTGGAGCCAATCAATCCGAAGCCATGGCACGGTTGGTCAAGGATTCCATTCGAGCCGGGACACTTCCCTTACTCAATAATATGGCCGTGATTGGATTGGTTTCCATTCCTGGCATGATGACCGGACAAATTTTGGGAGGTTCACCAGTTGGTCAAGCAGCGAGGTACCAAGCCATGATTATGTACTTTATTGCACTAGCAACCTTTGGAGCAATTCTATTGCAAGTCCGGGCCATTTCCAATGTGGGGTTGGATCCTCACACGCAAATCCTACAGACGGACCATTTTGAAAAGATGCCAGAGGAGGGTGTCTCCTTTTGGTCGTTGGTGAAGGGCTCCATGTTGCTGTCCATGTTGACTACTCGTGGCATTGGAAAACAAACTACACCTACACTTAACGAAATCTACCAAAAAGACGTCTTTGATAAAGACTACAAGGAACTATTGCAAATACAACAATTGAAACAAACGGAAAAAGACAGCTGTGTCGACGCCGAAGTTGCAGACAGTGGCGTGTGTGCGGGCACGAGTAGCGTACTGGAGATGGTTGGCTTGACACAATCCATTTCACTACTTTCTAAAAGTGGTAAAGGCGACTCTAATGATCATGGAATAGCGAAATCCAAGATACTCTTTCAAGAGTTATCCTTTCGACTGAATTCTGGAGACATTTATCAAGTTGGTGGACCGAGTGGGAGCGGCAAATCTCAGCTCTTGCGAGGCATTGGACTACTTACACCCCTGACAAGTGGAACGATTCGTCTGGAGAACAAGCACCAAGATGTCGTGAACCCAAGTGAGTGGCGGAAACAAGTTCGATATGTGACCCAATACAAGGTTGAAATACCGGGTACACCACGAGAGTTTGTGCGCAAGATTAGCCACTTTGAGTCTTGGAAGCATGCCAACGAACCAATATCGGAAGATGATATGATTGACACCATTCGCTCCTTCTTGCAAGAGTGGGGACTGACGGATACTGCATTGGATCAAGAGTGGTCTACGCTATCGGGAGGAGAAGCTCAGCGAATGATTCTGGCAATCGCCTTGGCGTCCAAGCCAAGAGTAGTGCTATTGGACGAATCCACTTCGGCATTGGATCTGAAATCCAAGCTTGCCGTGGAACAAAGTGTGGCTAGATATGCCCACAGTCATGGAATTCCAACGATATGGGTGAGTCATGATCCAGGCATGGCCGAACGATACTCTTCTAGAGACTCATTATGACGGGCAGTCACAAATGGATGGTATACTACTATTATAGTTTAGGGTAGACAGCAGTTTTGAAATCTTTCGCATACGGTATCTATGTATGGTAGGAATACTGCGAAGGAGAAACTACTAGAAACAACAATCGATGATTCAATGATTGATGAGTTTGTTGACGGCATCCACTGCTTGTGGTGACACCAGTAGAAGAGGTTTGCAAAGACTTGTACAGTGTAGCAACCACGACTACGAGACACAGTAGAACTTCAAACATCTAGAATTTTCTACACTGTCGGTAGGAGAAGCTCACAGCCTAGAATGACGACAAGGAGTGGCCATGAGAACATTCTGAAGATTGATGATTCTTCTAATACGAATGACAAAGCAAAGATTTTTAAAAACAACATAACATTCCGGTGATTCTTTTGATACGAAGAAAGCAAAGCTAAGAAGAATGAAACCACTGTCATTCTTGTATTGAGTATGGATTCCCGACGGTTGGGTCACTTGACCTTGACATGACTCTTTTTAATTTCAAAAAACTTCCTTCCAATGTAACAGTTTCCCAACGTCTATCTTCCAATAGCTCGAAGTCCCGTTTCAATTTCCCGCCATTTGAGCGCGGTTTGAAATGGTTTGGAAAAATCGAATAACGTCGTGCGCTGGCCCATTTAGATAGTCGTCCTTATGTAACTTGTAACACTTAGCAAGTTTGGTGGGTAACCACAACCTAAAAGACATAGAGCGTTGTTTCAACTTCGATAATTTTTTACGTTGAGGCATTTCTTCTTGTGACTTTGAGACGCCCAGCTTGGCTATAATTTTCACGGACAATATCTCAATGACTTGCGACATCCTACCAATGTCATTCATTGCTGTGACTTCTACACAAATGTACTATCAATTTTTATCAACTCGAAAGTCGTACCCCATAATTATTTTTTTGTCCTTCCGTTCCAAATTTTTTCCCAAGAAATTTATCTGTCGAGTCAGCTCGCTTGACGCTTGACCCAAATCTGAAAAATACTCTTTCCCACAACAATTTGAATTACACAACCTTGTTGGCATTCTTGGCCATTGTTTTGGATCAGCTGCAGTATTACATTTGCACATTATCCAAATAGAAACAGAAACAACAATCACTAGACTCATAATCAATACGCAATGAGCAGAACCAAGGGAAACTCGCACAGAGTAATTATCGTTGATTGGGATGACACGATTCTTCCATCAACCTTTGTGGATCGGTACAAGATCGATAGTTCCAAGGAGCTTCCTCTTCACGTAAGTGAATCATCAACCAATTAAGAATTGACATGACAATGGAGTTGGAATGCAGCTATTTCAATCCATTCTATTCTGTGTGATGGATGTAAAATGCACGATCAAAATGTCTTACTGATTGTTACTTGCTTTCTTTCCCACCACAGTTTCAAAACCTTCTCAAAGAATTGAGCCGTTGTGCCGACAAGTTTCTTTATGAAGCATCCAAATACGGAGAGGTAAGCACTATTCTATTGTTACTATCATGACTGTTGTTGGCTCTTGCGAGGTTGGAGGTTGCATTGGAATCGTGCCCTTGGCGGTTTTCAAAATTCACCACAGTGATGCAGACCGTTAATTGCGGTTATAGTCGCGTCGAGAAAATTGGCGCCACCAGTAGTCAATTTCGTTCAATGCACCGACAACTGGCCGAACCCTCCAATCCCTCCGCGTCCAACCTACCACCAACGGAAACATTTTGACCCACCCAAATCCATTGTTTCTCACATCTTTTCCTTGTTTTCAATTTCTTTACAGGTGATTATCATTACCAACTCGGATGAAGGCTGGGTGAAATACTCTGCTGAAAAGTACTGTCCATCCTTGATTCCAGTGGTGGCCAAGTACCGTGTCGTATCTGCTCGCACACGCTATGAGAAATTTTATCCGGGACAACCCTTGTGCTGGAAGGCGGCTGCCTTTGCCCATGAGGTCAATGAAATTTACGAAAAGCTAAAGGACGACTCTTCTTCCTGTGCTAGTTTGGAAGGAACCGATGTCTCGTCTGCATCATCGCTAGAGTCCATGGACGAGGATATCGTGCTAGACCGTCGCCAAATCATTTCCTTTGGGGACTCGACGGAGGAACGAACGGCTGTGAATATTGTCTCGGGACAATTGGATGCGGTTCCAAAGAGTGTCATGTTTATGAACTCGCCCTCACCTGCACAAATCATTGGACAACTTCACATGCTAACTCATCACATGGACTATGTCTGTGATGGAAAATCCTCGCTCGACTTGCAAATCAGTGTTGAACAGGCAGACCGATTTGCAGAGACTTATCTCAACCTGCAAGATGATACACCCTAAAGTATTTGCTTTATATTCATAACTGGGGCCACACGCAAACACATTATGCAGAACCAGCACACCAGAACGGGGAGAGGAGGCTGCATATGAGACAGCCTCATAGACTGGGTTACATACCTGGTGTGCATACAGTTCTGTTCTATTGCAATACATGCAACGAAGCAAAACAGTACACTTAAATTATAGACTAAACTGTACAAGTATTATTTTAAAATGAACAATGTCCAAAAGGCATACATGAATATCCGTTGTAAAATTATTATTTGCCGTATTACATTATAACCACCTACAACGGAGATCAGTTCGCTGCTTCGAGCTTCAGAAAGGAAGGCGCAAATCGACTATGGTCTGACTCGTCTGCGATCAACCCCATTGGCTTTTCTCCATGGATCGTCGAACCAAGGAGGAGTGTCGACATTTCCAACCTGTCTATTGGATTGATGTTGTCCTCTACTATAGTCGCCATGATATCCTTCTCGAAACAATGGGTCACACAAACGATCACATGCAAGTCCGAGTAGGCAATGGGCAATGAACCACTTCGACTGATGGCATCCAGGAGATCATAAGCCTTGTTGGACTCGGACTTGACATCCGATTCGTAAAGATTGTTTGTCGTGGGCTTGGAAAGTAGATCGGGTTGGCGTTTGCGAGACCAAATATCACCTGCCTTGATCTTGGTGGATCGCAGAGTGCTGTCCTTGTCGAATTGTGCGATGGTTGCGTCCAGCATTTTAGGGATTTGCGTGAAATCAATGTTTTCCTTAGATGGCGCCCTTGCACTCGATGGGGTATCTGAAGTTTCAGGCGTTGTATCAGCTTCGCCGTTTTCCTGGTTTGACACTTCTTCGGGCATCCCATCCATTCCTTCATCATCATCATCATCATCATATGCAAATGGCTCATCACACAATCCATCGGCGCTACTCTCAGCAAACATGTCCAAAGCGCAGTCTTCTTCATATTCTTCTTCACACTCCTCCGCTTCAACCTCCTTGCTTCTCAGCCAGTCGAGAGCGCTAGTTCCCGCAGATTCAAATCTCTCTTCAGCCGAGTTCTCTGCAAACCAAGCTGTTTCGGCCGCTTTCTGTGCTTCTTCCTTCATCAGAGTCGCCTCCAGCTGCTTCTCTTTTGTACCTTCGATTACGTCCATCACCGCCTTCACATTCTGTCGGACGACTTCAACCTTGTCGCTTGCACTTATTGAGCTATTACAGACCTCATCGAAAGAGAGCAAATCGGATGGAATCTGGTGCTCCACAAACAACTCCATCAGGTCTTCGGTCAGTTTGATCTCCTTTGCCAACGAGTCCTCTGACAATCCCAGCAACGCCTCCAGTTGAGGCTTGATCTGGACCACGGCAACACCAAACACTGAAGACTCCAATTGCATTCCGCGGAATGCTTGAGCAAAGCGCTGCTGCTCTGGCGACAAGGATTCAATCGCGTTCTTGAACTCCTTTGCAGACGGAATCTCTTCCAATAGCAGAGGGATAAATACTTCGTCCTTGTTTTGCAAAATGATAGCATCCTTAGGATTGAGTTTGTTTGGACCTGCCATGGTACCAATCACCAACATGAACGAAGAAAATTGACGTGCTCGAGCTGACAGTTGGAATGCCTTTCTGCCTCCTTCTTGTTCTGAGCGATGGCGCATCCAGCCATGCAAATACGCATTACCAGTCAACTGTAGAGTGGTTGCTGCGTTAAGTGCAATTTCAAGAGGCGATGCCATGTAAACTTGTCGCAGGAGCGTCTCAATTGGGGTGCAGTTTTCTCCGTCGCTTTTGTCCTCGATACTCAAGACACCGTAGGGAAATCGCTTGGGACGACCAATTGCATGGCAGAATGGCTTGGGAGGTTTCGACAAGAACTTGGCATTATGGAACCTAACAAATTCTTCTAGATCCGTAGTGGTCACTCGCTTTCCAATAGCTGCAGTGAGCTGTTTCTCAAGCATATTTTCCAAGTATCCAATGGCATGCTGATACTGAATGCTGAGACTATCGGAATGATCCAACGACAAGAAAAGAGTTGCCTCCGTAATGGAGAATAATTCGGTCACATTCGCTGCAGGGAATACTTGCTGAAGACGTTCCACCGTGGTATCAATCGATTTGATTTGAGCATTCAACAACTGGATGGTATCATTTCCTGACAACAGGCTTGATACTTTCTGTTGGCCACCTATTTGGTTATCACTGAGAGTAGTTAAAGGTAGAGAAAGAGTCGAAACAGATTCTGGAGTGGCAGCGTCTTGTCCCCCATCCAAGATAAGAGCTTCAGCACCCGCGCCTTCTTCATCCATTTCCTCGAGCAAAGGTAAAATGGGTCGAAACAGATCTTCTGCCGAACATTGGCTAGACAAAACTTGTGGGTGAGATGGTGCTGGGACAGCGGGGTTGTGAATATTACTCATGATACGTTGCAAGTCTTGTCCAAAATGATGTTTCACACCCTTCGCCCAGTGATTCATGCGAGAACAGAAAAATTGCAGGGCAGCATCCACTTGTTCATTGCGCCGAGGAGTCTTGGATCTGCTTGTATTAATGGCGAAGCTAGTAGTACGGGTATCCATGTTGACTTGCTGAAGGAGCCAAGTCAAGTTGAGGTCTAAAGGCGAATGGTTTTCTACCTTTTCCATTGGTGCATTCGCAGACTGTGTTATAACAACAGTAGACGAATCTCGACTTTGCAGTACGGCCTTCTTTTCGACTTCGGTCCCTGAGAATATCGAAATTTCCCAGTGTGCCTTGACAGCCCAGTGATATTCCTTGACCTTCTTGATAACCTTATGAATGGTCGAAGAACTGGAAGTGAAATGGGAAGATCCAATTGAAGTGGATGATTCCCTTACAGTTTCTGTAGAATACGGAGACGGGACATCGACCGTTTGTTCGTGGAGGAAGGTACAAGTCTCACCGGCTTCAAAACGTAGTGTAGTTGTCTTGGTAGTCGCGAGGTTTCGAATGATTTTGGGAGACAATCCTAATCGTTCTAGAGCATTCATTTGAGCCACAATGGCAATATTGGTCATGTGATTGGCAAGTTCATATTTGTTCTCATACTTGTGATGAATTTCTTCAGCCAGAAGAGGTTGACGATTTGCTTCAAGGATTTGTTCAACACTCTGGAGTGCCTTTTTCACTGTTGTGAGTTGAGCGAAGTGAATTGAGATGTTCATATTCTTAATCAATCAATCGACGATTAAATAAAACGAACGACGATGTCCTTACCATGAGATCGAAAAACTGTTTCGTTGAAGCCATAATACGACACCATTGTTTCGTTTTTGTTTTATATCTCAGTCAATGTTTCTGTTTGATTAATATATGTGTGAGGTGTGTCTCGAAGAATGGTGGTTTATAGACTGAGACGTGCTTTGTGGAACGTCAAAATCCTTTGGCATGTTATGAGTGCTGAGTCCTGTTTACACGAAACACGAATGGTTTTAGTAATGCTCAACAGCATTTCAATAAAAGAGGTGGTGTAGGTATGTCAATAATACTGTGCAATAGTGATCCATTATATATTGTTACTTCTTACAGAAGTTGATGCACACAGAGATAGATTGCATCAGTTAGCAATTGACACTTCCCTCTGCTTCCAGCAAACGCGGAAACGAAGACTCAAATCGAACACGGTCTGTCTCCTCAGCAATCAACTCCAAAGGCTCTGCTCCATGGACAGCCGATCCCAGCAATAATGTCGAAATTTCGAGCTTTTCGATAGGGTTCACGTTATCTTCTACCACAGTCGCCATCACATCCTTCTCAAAACAATGCGTCACACAAACGACCACATGCAAGTCAGAGTAGGCAATGGGCAACGAACCACTTCGACTGATGGCATCCAGGAGATCATAAGCCTTGTTGGACTCGGATTTGACATCCTTTGCCGCTAGCGTATTTGTTGTTGGCTTTGTGAGCAGATCTGGCTGTCGCTTGCGTGACCATGTGTCCATTGTTTTGAGTTTTGTGGATCGAAGAGTGCTGTCCTTGTCGAATTTTTCGATGGTTGCGTCCAGCGTTTTGGGAATACTGGTGAAATCGACTGCTTGGAAAGGCAAAACGTTTGAATCCGACGAAGAGTCGGGTACCGGTGGCTGTACTTTGTTTAATGGCTTGGCAACTTCTGTAGGTCGTGCAGAACTGCTTTGTTGAACTGAGGGCATTGGTGCAGAAGACACTGACATCTGTGCCGACAGCATTGGTGGCGCTGAAGGTATTGCCCCAAAGGACATTGTACCCCTTGGTGCAGCAGCACCTGAGGGGGGTGGAGGAGGTGGGCTACTACGCGATGGTCCACTACGCGATGGTCCACTACGCAATGGTGCAGCCATCTCTTTTTGTTTCCGCCTGAAGCTTTCACCGGAGCCTTTACGTAGGGAGGCAAGATCCAAGCTCGCCTCTTCGAGTCCTGAAGAAAGGACCATATCAGCTACCATCACCTTATCTTCCAATTGCTTCTCTTTTGTGCCTTCGACCACACTCATCACTGCCTTCACATTTTGACGTACGATGTCCACCTTCTCGCTCGTACTCACTGCCACAGCAAGTTCGTCGTAGGACAGCAAATCAGATGGAACCTGGTACTCCACAAACAGCTCCATCAGATCTTCGGTCAGTTTGATCTCCTTCGCCAACGAGTCTTCAGGTAGTCCTAGTAGAGCCTCTAGTTGAGGCTTGATCTGGATCACAGCAACGCCAAACACTGAAGACTCCAATTGCATCCCGCGGAATGACTTGGCAAATCGCTGTTGCTCTGGTGACAACGACTCGATGGCATCCTTAAACTCCTTTGCAGACGGAATCTCTTCCAATAGTAGTGGAATCAGCACCTCGTCCTTATTTTGCAGAATGATAGCATCCTTGGGATTCAATTTATTGGGACCTGCCATGGTTCCAATCACCAACATAAACGACGAAAACTGACGCGCGCGAGCTGATAGCTGAAATGACTTGTTGGTGCCACCTGATTCTGAGCGCTGGTGCATCCATCCATGCAAATACGTATTGCCAGTCAGTTGCAATGTTGTCGCTGCATTGAGTGGGACCTCGAGGGGAGCTTCCATTTGGACTGGTCGCATCATGGTCTCAATCGGGATGGTATTGTCGCTGTCTCCCTTGCTTTCGATACTCAAGACACCATATGGGAAGCGGTTGGGGCGACCAATGGCATGACAAAATGGCTTTGGCGGAATCGTCAGAAACTTGGCATTGTGGAAGCGGACAAACTCTTCGAGATCATCATTGGTTACACGCTTGCCGATTGCTGCAACGAGTTGGTTCTCCAACATCTTTTCCAGGTATCCAATGGCATGCTGATACTGCAAGCAAAGCTTTTCCGAGTGATCCAACATGAGAAAGACTGTCGCCTCGGCAATGGAGAATAGCTTCATTTGATGTGAGGCGGGAAAGACTTCATTGAGACTCTTCAGCTTGGTATCGATGGATTTGACTTGAGCATTCAACAATTGAATGGTGTCCTTTCCCAACAACAACTGACATTCTTGTTTCTTGGCATGGCTAATTCCAGAAGGTAGCGCCAACGTGGAAACCGATTGTGGAGCATCTGCGTTGTCTCCTCCCTCCAGGATGAGAAGCTCGTCATTCACACTCTCACCGTCTTTGACTTTATTTTCTTCTAGAATAGGCAAGATCGGTTGAAAAAGGCCGCTGGCCGAGCATTGGCGTGCTAGCTTCTCTTGGTGAGATGGTGGTGGAATTGCCGGATTGTGGATGCTGCTAATGATCCTTTGCAAATTCCGTGAGAAGTGACTCTTCACATTGTAAAGCCAGCTATTCATACGAGAGCAGAAAAAATTCATGGACGCTTCCACTTGTTCATTGCGTCGAGGTGTATTGGCCTTCGTGACATCAATGGAAAAGCCAGTAGCTTTGTTCTCCATGTCGATTTGCTTTAACATCCAAGTCAAGTTGAGGTCCACTGGAGTATGCTTCTCTACCTTTTCCATGGGAGCATCCTTGGATTGCGTCACAACAATGGTTGACGAATCCCGACTCTGAAGCATGATCTTCTTATCAACTTCAGTTCCTGAGAATATTGTGATTTCCCAGTGTGCCTTGACTGTCCAGTGATACTCGTTTACTTTCCTGATAACCTTGTGAATAGTCGAAGACTTAGACTTGAATGGGGTAGATCCGAGTACAGATGTCCTTTCTTTTACCGTTTCTACAGCATATGGATCTGGGACGTCGACGGTTTGCTCCTTGAGAAAGGTGCAGATCTCGCTAGCTTCAAATCGCAAAGTAGTGGTCTTTGTCTTGGTATCTTCCAGTTGCTGAATGATCTGAGGGGTGAATCCCAAACGCTCAAGCACATTCATCTGGGCCACAATGGAAATATTGGTCATGTAATTCGCGAGTTCGTACTTGTTTTCATACTTGTGATGGACTTCTTCGGCAGGACGAGGGCGACGATCTGCGTCAAGAATCTTTTCAACAGTTTGGAGAGCATCTTCCACTAAAAGAAAAATTAAAAAAGTGAGTCGGTTGGAACTATCGCAGCAAAAACACCAACACAGATGCCAAAAACACGAGAGGCCTGTGAAAGGTCTACGATTGATTGAAGACCAAGCAAGCAAACGATACTGCACTCATGATGATCCCTTGTGTCATAGTGTCACCATCTCCATGGATACTATGAAGAACTTACCGTCGTCTCGAAAGACATTTTCATCAAAGTTGTAGTATTGTGACATGATGCTTTTAGGCCTTGCTCTTGATATCAGGTGATGACTGAATTATGAGACTGCGATGTATCAAGCTGATTCCTGTCTCTAACGTGCCCTTGGGTCTTGAAAGATTGAGACGTGCTTGTTGTTTGATTTTTATTAGATAGTTAGTTCGGGGTTCAGTCTTCTTCGTCCCCCGCCCCGCCCCGCCCCGCCCCGCCTCGCCGTGAATTCGCATCACATTAGTCCCGTCAAACCATCGAAACACGAATTACTTGGCTCTTCAACTCATTCATTCTACCTTTAATCGGTATTGATGGACACTTTATATACTATCATTGACTGGAATACAATACAGCTGCACTTATAGCTTATAACAATATTTAAACAGCCCCTCCTTCTGTTTCGAGCATAAGCGGAAACGAAGACTGAAATCGAGCACGGTTTGCCTCCTCAGCAATCAACTCTATCGGCTTTGTTCCATGGATAGCCGATCCCAGCAATAATGTCGACATTTCGAGCTTTTCGATAGGGTTCACGTTATCTTCTACCACAGTCGCCATCACATCCTTCGCAAAACAATGCGTCACACAAACGACCACATGCAAGTCAGAGTAGGCAATGGGCAACGAACCACTTCGACTGATGGCATCCAGGAGATCATAAGCCTTGTTGGACTCGGATTTGACATCCTTTGCCGCTAGCGTATTTGTTGTTGGCTTTGTGAGCAGATCTGGCTGTCGCTTGCGTGACCATGTGTCCATTGTTTTGAGTTTTGTGGATCGAAGAGTGCTGTCCTTGTCGAATTTTTCGATGGTTGCGTCCAGCGTTTTGGGAATACTGGTGAAATCAACTGCCTGAGAGGGCGAACGTTTTGTCTTCGAGGTGCTATTTGGGACTATATTATTTTCCACGTTTTGTTTTTTGTATTCACCTGGCTCGTCGTCGTCCCGAGAGGTTGTAGAAAGTGTAACTAAACCATCCGCTGGTCTCTCAAATGGTTGGGCACCAGACCAATCGTAATTCGGCTCCTCCTTTTTCCAAAGGGCATCTTTGGGCTTTTCGCTACTCCAGTCATAGTCAGGCTCCTGCTTTATCCATACGGCATCTGTACTGTTGGGAGGAGGGGGTGCACCCCTGTCGAGCTGCCTATTCTTTGGAATCACATTGCCTTTCGATCTTCCCAGCAACACCTGCGGGGGCGGGGAGCCACAGCCTTCCTCTCTGGAGGGCGCACGAGAAAAGTTTGCTCCCAAGCCTAGTACTTCTGCAAAACCTCGTCGTCCGCCACCTCGTCCACCGCCGCCTCCTCCGCCAGCAGATCTGCGCATGCTTCCACAAGGGGGAGGCGAATAATCCCCATACGAAGCCCCTATAGATGGAATTGTATCTTGTTCAAAACACAATTCTTGAGCAGCTGATGCCACAGCCATTTCAGCCTTCATCGTCTTCGCTTCCAATTGCTTCTCTTTTGTGCCTTCGACCACACTCATCACTGCCTTCACATTTTGACGTACGATGTCCACCTTCTCGCTCGTACTCACTGCCACAGCAAGTTCGTCGTAGGACAGCAAATCAGATGGAACCTGGTACTCCACAAACAGCTCCATCAGATCTTCGGTCAGTTTGATCTCCTTCGCCAACGAGTCTTCAGGTAGTCCTAGTAGAGCCTCTAGTTGAGGCTTGATCTGGATCACAGCAACGCCAAACACTGAAGACTCCAATTGCATCCCGCGGAATGACTTGGCAAATCGCTGTTGCTCTGGTGACAACGACTCGATGGCATCCTTAAACTCCTTTGCAGACGGAATCTCTTCCAATAGTAGTGGAATCAGCACCTCGTCCTTATTTTGCAGAATGATAGCATCCTTGGGATTCAATTTATTGGGACCTGCCATGGTTCCAATCACCAACATAAACGACGAAAACTGACGCGCGCGAGCTGATAGCTGAAATGACTTGTTGGTGCCACCTGATTCTGAGCGCTGGTGCATCCATCCATGCAAATACGTATTGCCAGTCAGTTGCAATGTTGTCGCTGCATTGAGTGGGACCTCGAGGGGAGCTTCCATTTGGACTGGTCGCATCATGGTCTCAATCGGGATGGTATTGTCGCTGTCTCCCTTGCTTTCGATACTCAAGACACCATATGGGAAGCGGTTGGGGCGACCAATGGCATGACAAAATGGCTTTGGCGGAATCGTCAGAAACTTGGCATTGTGGAAGCGGACAAACTCTTCGAGATCATCATTGGTTACACGCTTGCCGATTGCTGCAACGAGTTGGTTCTCCAACATCTTTTCCAGGTATCCAATGGCATGCTGATACTGCAAGCAAAGCTTTTCCGAGTGATCCAACATGAGAAAGACTGTCGCCTCGGCAATGGAGAATAGCTTCATTTGATGTGAGGCGGGAAAGACTTCATTGAGACTCTTCAGCTTGGTATCGATGGATTTGACTTGAGCATTCAACAATTGAATGGTGTCCTTTCCCAACAACAACTGACATTCTTGTTTCTTGGCATGGCTAATTCCAGAAGGTAGCGCCAACGTGGAAACCGATTGTGGAGCATCTGCGTTGTCTCCTCCCTCCAGGATGAGAAGCTCGTCATTCACACTCTCACCGTCTTTGACTTTATTTTCTTCTAGAATAGGCAAGATCGGTTGAAAAAGGCCGCTGGCCGAGCATTGGCGTGCTAGCTTCTCTTGGTGAGATGGTGGTGGAATTGCCGGATTGTGGATGCTGCTAATGATCCTTTGCAAATTCCGTGAGAAGTGACTCTTCACATTGTAAAGCCAGCTATTCATACGAGAGCAGAAAAAATTCATGGACGCTTCCACTTGTTCATTGCGTCGAGGTGTATTGGCCTTCGTGACATCAATGGAAAAGCCAGTAGCTTTGTTCTCCATGTCGATTTGCTTTAACATCCAAGTCAAGTTGAGGTCCACTGGAGTATGCTTCTCTACCTTTTCCATGGGAGCATCCTTGGATTGCGTCACAACAATGGTTGACGAATCCCGACTCTGAAGCATGATCTTCTTATCAACTTCAGTTCCTGAGAATATTGTGATTTCCCAGTGTGCCTTGACTGTCCAGTGATACTCGTTTACTTTCCTGATAACCTTGTGAATAGTCGAAGACTTAGACTTGAATGGGGTAGATCCGAGTACAGATGTCCTTTCTTTTACCGTTTCTACAGCATATGGATCTGGGACGTCGACGGTTTGCTCCTTGAGAAAGGTGCAGATCTCGCTAGCTTCAAATCGCAAAGTAGTGGTCTTTGTCTTGGTATCTTCCAGTTGCTGAATGATCTGAGGGGTGAATCCCAAACGCTCAAGCACATTCATCTGGGCCACAATGGAAATATTGGTCATGTAATTCGCGAGTTCGTACTTGTTTTCATACTTGTGATGGACTTCTTCGGCAGGACGAGGGCGACGATCTGCGTCAAGAATCTTTTCAACAGTTTGGAGAGCATCTTCCACTAAAAGAAAAATTAAAAAAGTGAGTCGGTTGGAACTATCGCAGCAAAAACACCAACACAGATGCCAAAAACACGAGAGGCCTGTGAAAGGTCTACGATTGATTGAAGACCAAGCAAGCAAACGATACTGCACTCATGATGATCCCTTGTGTCATAGTGTCACCATCTCCATGGATACTATGAAGAACTTACCGTCGTCTCGAAAGACATTTTCATCAAAGTTGTAGTATTGTGACATGATGCTTTTAGGCCTTGCTCTTGATATCAGGTGATGACTGAATTATGAGACTGCGATGTATCAAGCTGATTCCTGTCTCTAACGTGCCCTTGGGTCTTGAAAGATTGAGACGTGCTTGTTGTTTGATTTTTATTAGATAGTTAGTTCGGGGTTCAGTCTTCTTCGTCCCCCGCCCCGCCCCGCCCCGCCCCGCCTCGCCGTGAATTCGCATCACATTAGTCCCGTCAAACCATCGAAACACGAATTACTTGGCTCTTCAACTCATTCATTCTACCTTTAATCGGTATTGATGGACACTTTATATACTATCATTGACTGGAATACAATACAGCTGCACTTATAGCTTATAACAATATTTAAACAGCCCCTCCTTCTGTTTCGAGCATAAGCGGAAACGAAGACTGAAATCGAGCACGGTTTGCCTCCTCAGCAATCAACTCTATCGGCTTTGTTCCATGGATAGCCGATCCCAGCAATAATGTCGACATTTCGAGCTTTTCGATAGGGTTCACGTTATCTTCTACCACAGTCGCCATCACATCCTTCGCAAAACAATGCGTCACACAAACGACCACATGCAAGTCAGAGTAGGCAATGGGCAACGAACCACTTCGACTGATGGCATCCAGGAGATCATAAGCCTTGTTGGACTCGGATTTGACATCCTTTGCCGCTAGCGTATTTGTTGTTGGCTTTGTGAGCAGATCTGGCTGTCGCTTGCGTGACCATGTGTCCATTGTTTTGAGTTTTGTGGATCGAAGAGTGCTGTCCTTGTCGAATTTTTCGATGGTTGCGTCCAGCGTTTTGGGAATACTGGTGAAATCAACTGCCTGAGAGGGCGAACGTTTTGTCTTCGAGGTGCTATTTGGGACTATATTATTTTCCACGTTTTGTTTTTTGTATTCACCTGGCTCGTCGTCGTCCCGAGAGGTTGTAGAAAGTGTAACTAAACCATCCGCTGGTCTCTCAAATGGTTGGGCACCAGACCAATCGTAATTCGGCTCCTCCTTTTTCCAAAGGGCATCTTTGGGCTTTTCGCTACTCCAGTCATAGTCAGGCTCCTGCTTTATCCATACGGCATCTGTACTGTTGGGAGGAGGGGGTGCACCCCTGTCGAGCTGCCTATTCTTTGGAATCACATTGCCTTTCGATCTTCCCAGCAACACCTGCGGGGGCGGGGAGCCACAGCCTTCCTCTCTGGAGGGCGCACGAGAAAAGTTTGCTCCCAAGCCTAGTACTTCTGCAAAACCTCGTCGTCCGCCACCTCGTCCACCGCCGCCTCCTCCGCCAGCAGATCTGCGCATGCTTCCACAAGGGGGAGGCGAATAATCCCCATACGAAGCCCCTATAGATGGAATTGTATCTTGTTCAAAACACAATTCTTGAGCAGCTGATGCCACAGCCATTTCAGCCTTCATCGTCTTCGCTTCCAATTGCTTCTCTTTTGTGCCTTCGACCACACTCATCACTGCCTTCACATTTTGACGTACGATGTCCACCTTCTCGCTCGTACTCACTGCCACAGCAAGTTCGTCGTAGGACAGCAAATCAGATGGAACCTGGTACTCCACAAACAGCTCCATCAGATCTTCGGTCAGTTTGATCTCCTTCGCCAACGAGTCTTCAGGTAGTCCTAGTAGAGCCTCTAGTTGAGGCTTGATCTGGATCACAGCAACGCCAAACACTGAAGACTCCAATTGCATCCCGCGGAATGACTTGGCAAATCGCTGTTGCTCTGGTGACAACGACTCGATGGCATCCTTAAACTCCTTTGCAGACGGAATCTCTTCCAATAGTAGTGGAATCAGCACCTCGTCCTTATTTTGCAGAATGATAGCATCCTTGGGATTCAATTTATTGGGACCTGCCATGGTTCCAATCACCAACATAAACGACGAAAACTGACGCGCGCGAGCTGATAGCTGAAATGACTTGTTGGTGCCACCTGATTCTGAGCGCTGGTGCATCCATCCATGCAAATACGTATTGCCAGTCAGTTGCAATGTTGTCGCTGCATTGAGTGGGACCTCGAGGGGAGCTTCCATTTGGACTGGTCGCATCATGGTCTCAATCGGGATGGTATTGTCGCTGTCTCCCTTGCTTTCGATACTCAAGACACCATATGGGAAGCGGTTGGGGCGACCAATGGCATGACAAAATGGCTTTGGCGGAATCGTCAGAAACTTGGCATTGTGGAAGCGGACAAACTCTTCGAGATCATCATTGGTTACACGCTTGCCGATTGCTGCAACGAGTTGGTTCTCCAACATCTTTTCCAGGTATCCAATGGCATGCTGATACTGCAAGCAAAGCTTTTCCGAGTGATCCAACATGAGAAAGACTGTCGCCTCGGCAATGGAGAATAGCTTCATTTGATGTGAGGCGGGAAAGACTTCATTGAGACTCTTCAGCTTGGTATCGATGGATTTGACTTGAGCATTCAACAATTGAATGGTGTCCTTTCCCAACAACAACTGACATTCTTGTTTCTTGGCATGGCTAATTCCAGAAGGTAGCGCCAACGTGGAAACCGATTGTGGAGCATCTGCGTTGTCTCCTCCCTCCAGGATGAGAAGCTCGTCATTCACACTCTCACCGTCTTTGACTTTATTTTCTTCTAGAATAGGCAAGATCGGTTGAAAAAGGCCGCTGGCCGAGCATTGGCGTGCTAGCTTCTCTTGGTGAGATGGTGGTGGAATTGCCGGATTGTGGATGCTGCTAATGATCCTTTGCAAATTCCGTGAGAAGTGACTCTTCACATTGTAAAGCCAGCTATTCATACGAGAGCAGAAAAAATTCATGGACGCTTCCACTTGTTCATTGCGTCGAGGTGTATTGGCCTTCGTGACATCAATGGAAAAGCCAGTAGCTTTGTTCTCCATGTCGATTTGCTTTAACATCCAAGTCAAGTTGAGGTCCACTGGAGTATGCTTCTCTACCTTTTCCATGGGAGCATCCTTGGATTGCGTCACAACAATGGTTGACGAATCCCGACTCTGAAGCATGATCTTCTTATCAACTTCAGTTCCTGAGAATATTGTGATTTCCCAGTGTGCCTTGACTGTCCAGTGATACTCGTTTACTTTCCTGATAACCTTGTGAATAGTCGAAGACTTAGACTTGAATGGGGTAGATCCGAGTACAGATGTCCTTTCTTTTACCGTTTCTACAGCATATGGATCTGGGACGTCGACGGTTTGCTCCTTGAGAAAGGTGCAGATCTCGCTAGCTTCAAATCGCAAAGTAGTGGTCTTTGTCTTGGTATCTTCCAGTTGCTGAATGATCTGAGGGGTGAATCCCAAACGCTCAAGCACATTCATCTGGGCCACAATGGAAATATTGGTCATGTAATTCGCGAGTTCGTACTTGTTTTCATACTTGTGATGGACTTCTTCGGCAGGACGAGGGCGACGATCTGCGTCAAGAATCTTTTCAACAGTTTGGAGAGCATCTTCCACTAAAAGAAAAATTAAAAAAGTGAGTCGGTTGGAACTATCGCAGCAAAAACACCAACACAGATGCCAAAAACACGAGAGGCCTGTGAAAGGTCTACGATTGATTGAAGACCAAGCAAGCAAACGATACTGCACTCATGATGATCCCTTGTGTCATAGTGTCACCATCTCCATGGATACTATGAAGAACTTACCGTCGTCTCGAAAGACATTTTCATCAAAGTTGTAGTATTGTGACATGATGCTTTTAGGCCTTGCTCTTGATATCAGGTGATGACTGAATTATGAGACTGCGATGTATCAAGCTGATTCCTGTCTCTAACGTGCCCTTGGGTCTTGAAAGATTGAGACGTGCTTGTTGTTTGATTTTTATTAGATAGTTAGTTCGGGGTTCAGTCTTCTTCGTCCCCCGCCCCGCCCCGCCCCGCCCCGCCTCGCCGTGAATTCGCATCACATTAGTCCCGTCAAACCATCGAAACACGAATTACTTGGCTCTTCAACTCATTCATTCTACCTTTAATCGGTATTGATGGACACTTTATATACTATCATTGACTGGAATACAATACAGCTGCACTTATAGCTTATAACAATATTTAAACAGCCCCTCCTTCTGTTTCGAGCATAAGCGGAAACGAAGACTGAAATCGAGCACGGTTTGCCTCCTCAGCAATCAACTCTATCGGCTTTGTTCCATGGATAGCCGATCCCAGCAATAATGTCGACATTTCGAGCTTTTCGATAGGGTTCACGTTATCTTCTACCACAGTCGCCATCACATCCTTCGCAAAACAATGCGTCACACAAACGACCACATGCAAGTCAGAGTAGGCAATGGGCAACGAACCACTTCGACTGATGGCATCCAGGAGATCATAAGCCTTGTTGGACTCGGATTTGACATCCTTTGCCGCTAGCGTATTTGTTGTTGGCTTTGTGAGCAGATCTGGCTGTCGCTTGCGTGACCATGTGTCCATTGTTTTGAGTTTTGTGGATCGAAGAGTGCTGTCCTTGTCGAATTTTTCGATGGTTGCGTCCAGCGTTTTGGGAATACTGGTGAAATCAACTGCCTGAGAGGGCGAACGTTTTGTCTTCGAGGTGCTATTTGGGACTATATTATTTTCCACGTTTTGTTTTTTGTATTCACCTGGCTCGTCGTCGTCCCGAGAGGTTGTAGAAAGTGTAACTAAACCATCCGCTGGTCTCTCAAATGGTTGGGCACCAGACCAATCGTAATTCGGCTCCTCCTTTTTCCAAAGGGCATCTTTGGGCTTTTCGCTACTCCAGTCATAGTCAGGCTCCTGCTTTATCCATACGGCATCTGTACTGTTGGGAGGAGGGGGTGCACCCCTGTCGAGCTGCCTATTCTTTGGAATCACATTGCCTTTCGATCTTCCCAGCAACACCTGCGGGGGCGGGGAGCCACAGCCTTCCTCTCTGGAGGGCGCACGAGAAAAGTTTGCTCCCAAGCCTAGTACTTCTGCAAAACCTCGTCGTCCGCCACCTCGTCCACCGCCGCCTCCTCCGCCAGCAGATCTGCGCATGCTTCCACAAGGGGGAGGCGAATAATCCCCATACGAAGCCCCTATAGATGGAATTGTATCTTGTTCAAAACACAATTCTTGAGCAGCTGATGCCACAGCCATTTCAGCCTTCATCGTCTTCGCTTCCAATTGCTTCTCTTTTGTGCCTTCGACCACACTCATCACTGCCTTCACATTTTGACGTACGATGTCCACCTTCTCGCTCGTACTCACTGCCACAGCAAGTTCGTCGTAGGACAGCAAATCAGATGGAACCTGGTACTCCACAAACAGCTCCATCAGATCTTCGGTCAGTTTGATCTCCTTCGCCAACGAGTCTTCAGGTAGTCCTAGTAGAGCCTCTAGTTGAGGCTTGATCTGGATCACAGCAACGCCAAACACTGAAGACTCCAATTGCATCCCGCGGAATGACTTGGCAAATCGCTGTTGCTCTGGTGACAACGACTCGATGGCATCCTTAAACTCCTTTGCAGACGGAATCTCTTCCAATAGTAGTGGAATCAGCACCTCGTCCTTATTTTGCAGAATGATAGCATCCTTGGGATTCAATTTATTGGGACCTGCCATGGTTCCAATCACCAACATAAACGACGAAAACTGACGCGCGCGAGCTGATAGCTGAAATGACTTGTTGGTGCCACCTGATTCTGAGCGCTGGTGCATCCATCCATGCAAATACGTATTGCCAGTCAGTTGCAATGTTGTCGCTGCATTGAGTGGGACCTCGAGGGGAGCTTCCATTTGGACTGGTCGCATCATGGTCTCAATCGGGATGGTATTGTCGCTGTCTCCCTTGCTTTCGATACTCAAGACACCATATGGGAAGCGGTTGGGGCGACCAATGGCATGACAAAATGGCTTTGGCGGAATCGTCAGAAACTTGGCATTGTGGAAGCGGACAAACTCTTCGAGATCATCATTGGTTACACGCTTGCCGATTGCTGCAACGAGTTGGTTCTCCAACATCTTTTCCAGGTATCCAATGGCATGCTGATACTGCAAGCAAAGCTTTTCCGAGTGATCCAACATGAGAAAGACTGTCGCCTCGGCAATGGAAAATAGCTCACCGTCATTAGAAGGAGGGTAAGACTCCTGAAGACTCTGAATCTTGGTAACAATGGATTGGACTTGAGAATTCAACAGCTGGACGGTATCCTTCCCTGACAACACCTGCCATTTTTCGTCTTGGTCAGCCCTACCTCCAGCAGGACGCAGGGACAAAGTAGAAATGGATTCCGGATCATCGCTGTCGTTACTACCATCAAGAATCGACGTTTGTGCACTATCCCCCTTCCTTGTTTCGTGGTCCGTTTCTTCCAACAGAGGTAAGATTGGTCGAAATAGGTCATTTGCCGAGCATAAGACATGCAGTCGTTGTGGGCGTGATGGTGGTGCAACAGCTGGATTGTGAGTCTTGCTAATGATCGGCTGCAAAACATTTGTAAAGTAACGTTTCACATCGCAAAGCCAGCCTTTCATTCGTTTGCAGAAGAATGCCATGGCTGCTTCGACTTGTTGATTGCGACGAGGTGTCTTGGCGATAGTCGTATCAATAGTAAAGTTGGTGGCTCTGGTTTCCATATCAATCTGCTTCAGCACCCACGTCAAGTTGAGATCCATAGGTGTACGCTTCTGCATCGTTGGTATGGGAGCTTCTTTGGATTGAGTGATGACGACAACGGACGCATCTCGGCTTTGAAGCACAATCCTTTTTTCAACTTCTGTACCCGGGAATACTGCAATTTCCCAGTGAGTCTTGATGTTCCAGTGATATTCCTTGACCTTTTTGATGACCTTGTGGATAGTCGAAGAACTAGAATTGAACATTGAAGATCCAATGGAAGTAGACGATTGGCTCACAGTCTGTGTGGAATTGGCATCGTGCACATCAACGGTTTGCTCCATTATGAATTCGCAAGATTCAATTGCATCAAAACGTAGTGTAGTTGTCTTGGTCTTGATGTCGTCTCCAAGTTGTCGAATGATGTCTGGAGTCAATCCCAATCGTTCCAAGACATTCATTTGAGCCACAATGGCAAGGTTGGTCATGCTGTTGGCGAGCTGGAACTTGTTTTCATACTTGTGATGCACTTCTTCGGCAGGCCGAGGGCGACGATCTGCCTCCAGAATCTTCTCTACAGACAAGAGCGCCTTTTTCACTAAAGCGTAAAACAATATCGGTCAGACCCAGCAACAGGAAAAATAGACTGAACGTGTGGTTGTATGCTTCCATAGATACTTACCATCAGATCGAAAGACTTGCTCATTGAAGTGATAGTATGAAGATACGTACGAAGACATTCTAATGAAGGAGATTGATCTGTGGGAACAGTTCGTGTTTGTGTGGATTGTGTATGGGACGTGCCATGTTCATGATTGAGACGTGCTATCCAAGTAACTGATGTTGTCGAGGGATGAGACATTGAACATGGATGAAAATCTTATTTCGGTCCAACCGTCCTTCGCCCGTCCCAAAACGACCGGGAAAACCATCGATGATTTTCGCAGTCCAAGAAGAGTGAATCAATCAATCCAATCCAACAATCCAAGAAGAATCCACAAATCCAACAAACATCTTCCAACCCTCGGCACTAATCCGAAACCAACATAATTCACAGATACGGAAGCGGAAAATCCATCAGAAGTCTATTTATTCCTCTCCACAGCCACCAAAGCATATCCCACCTTCCTTAATATTTTGAAATAACAACAACAACAAGTACAGTACTACTACAATCATAAATCATAATGTCGACCATTCAAATGACACCCACCGTGAAAGACACTACCAAATTGGAGCGTATTGGAGCACATTCCCACATTTCTGGTCTTGGTATCTCCGATTCACTGGATGTTTCTTCCATGTCTGCCAAAACCTGCGGTTTGATTGGCCAAGTCAAGGCCCGAAAGGCCATGGGAATGGTGCACAAACTAATTCAGCAGGGCAAGATTGGGGGACGGGCCATTCTGATTGCCGGTCCACCTTCGACAGGAAAGACGGCCTTGGCCATGGGACTGGCTCAGCAATTGGGAGATGATGTGCCCTTTTGCAGTCTCAGTGCGACCGAAGTCTTTTCGTTGGATATTAGCAAGACTGAGGCACTGACACAAGCCATTCGGCGTTCCATGGGGGTTCGTATTGATGAAGAACAAGAAATTATGGAAGGTGAAGTAGTTGAAATTCAAATTGATACTCATGGCGGTGCCAAGGGAGGCAAGTCTGGGCGATTGACCTTGTGCACGACCGATATGGAAACCATTTACGATTTGGGAACCAAAATGATTGAGCGATTGACTCAAGAACGAATTTCGGCCGGAGATGTCATTAGAATTGACAAGGCTACTGGAAAGGTTACTAAATTGGGACGCAGTGTATCACGATCTAGAGACTATGACGCCATGGGATCCGATACCAGGTTTGTCGCGTGCCCTGAAGGAGAGTTGCAAAAACGTTCCGAGATTACCCATACTGTCTCGTTGCACGAAATTGATGTCATTAACTCGCGACAACAAGGATTCATGGCGCTTTTTGCTGGAGATACGGGGGAGATTGCAGAAACTATTCGGGAGCAGATTGATCAAAAAGTAGCCGAATGGAGAAGTGAGGGTCGGGCCAAGCTCATCCCTGGTGTACTTTTCATTGACGAAGTGCACATGTTGGATATGGACTGTTTTTCCTTTTTGAATCGAGCCTTGGAGTCGGAAATGTGTCCCATTGTCATATTGGCCACCAACCGAGGACAATCCATCATTCGGGGCACCAATTATACCAGTCCGCACGGAGTCCCACTTGATCTATTGGATCGTCTCTTGATCATTCCCACTGCTCCCTACACACAACTCGAATTGAAGGAAATTCTCCAAGTGCGATGTACCGAAGAACAAGTAGACATGACAAGCGAAGCCTTGGAGCTTTTGTCACGGATTGCCAGTGAAACCAGTTTACGATACGCCATTCACATGATCATGACATCATCACTGGTAGCCAAGAAGAAAAAGAGTAAAGAAGTTCAACTGCAGCACATTGAACGGTGTCACAAGTTGTTTTACGACGTCCAACGATCGACAAAATACATTATGGAATACCAAAATCAATTCTTGTTTCACGAATTGGACAGTGCCGAGGCTATCTTGGCCGCCACGACGCTGGCACCTCCAACTCCAAAGCAAGACGACAAGATGGAAGAGTAAAATGTTAAAATGTTAAAATGATTAAACGAATCTTTCAAGTCTTTTAAATCTACAACACAAACAACAAACAACAAACAACTGCAGTCTTTCCTTTGTAAATTATGTATGGTCTCCGGTTCATTCCCATCCGCATCTCCACAACTTGCTCAACATTATTCATTTTTGTTCTCCGAATATAACGTCTGTTCATTTTTGTTCATATTGCTTGACGGCATCCTCCAAACGTTGATACAAGGTGCCCTTTTCCTCCTCGGTCAAGAAACTTGCCTCAATACCATTCTTTGCCAGTTTGACCAACTGTTCCTTGGACAACTTTAATGCATTGGCCACGTTTTTGTAGTTCTCTCCGATGTACCCACCAAAATAGGCTGGATCGTCCGAGTTGATGGTCACACACAAGTCATGCTCTTCCAAGAGTACCTTCAAAGTATGATCTTCCATTTTGTCAAAGACACAAAGTCTGATATTCGAATTGGGACAGACGGTCAATGGCATGCGCAGTTGGCTGAGTCTCTTGACGAGATCCATATCTTCCAAACATCGAACTCCATGATCCACGCGATGGACCTTGAGAAGATCGAGGGATTCGGTAATGTACGAGGGCGGTCCCTCTTCTCCAGCATGACTCACCGCCTTCAATCCATGATCCCGTGCCTTGGCAAAAATGTCTTGGAACAAGTTTGGAGGCCGATTCTTTTCGCTAGAGTCCAGGCCGATGCCCACGATGGGTGCTGTGGGATGCTGCTTTAGGTATTCCAATGTTTGGTCAAGCATTTCCATTCCCATTTCGGGTGACAAGTGCCTTAAGACACAAACAATAATCTTGGATGTCATGCCCCAGTTCTCTTGCGCCTCTTTCATGGCTTGCCAAATCCCATTGATGACTACTTCGTAAGCAACCCCTCGATCTGTGTGAGACTGTGGATCCACAAAGAGCTCCAGGTGTACCAAGTTGTCTTGATGCACACGAGTCAAGAAGGCCATGGTCATTTGATAAAAGTCATCTTGTGTGACCAATACAGCACAGGCCTGATAATACAAGTCCAAAAATTGTTGCAGATTTTCAAACTGATAAGCACTCCGCAAATCTTCGACGGACGCATGAGAGAGCGTGACATTGTTCTTTTGGGCTAGTTGGAAGACCGTTTCGGGTTCCAAGGTGCCTTCAATGTGCAAATGAAGCTCGACTTTTGGAAGAATATCGATAAAGGAGTCCATTTTGCTGCTTGTTGCTAGTTGTGGTTCGGTACACATTCAGTACTACTCGTACTGGTACCTGGTACAGGTATTGCTTCCGATGCGATATCTCAACCTTTGTCAATTTCCAGAATTCAAAAACGTTCCAAAATAAATTGAAAATGAGGAAGGTAGAAGATGCGAGCGTAACAAATGGGGAGGGGAGTAACAACGGGGATCTACATAACATTTAGCGGTTATTGAAGTTTTGGGGCAACCTCGAAAGCGAACCGTCTAATGTCGTAGAATGAATTTTATCAATAGCTGGTTGGCGGAACAGTGTCTCACATTGTGTTCATCGAACGCTTTTTTCTATGTGTGTGTGTGTATCTTGCTTTTTACCGGCGGTACCAGGTACCAGGTACCACCAGTACTCAAAAGATCCGACCCGGCGTTTGCCCAACAGGGAATCCAATTTTTTTTAGTCAGTTCACGGATGGAGAGGGTCATTTGGGTCTTCCTGGTAGAAGTCTACGTCTGACGAGTACGTAAAATTGGTACGTTGGCGTGACAAACGAGTGGCACAATGAGGCGGGAATCCTTGTGCTTTTTTGCTCTCTCTGGTTTCCTCTGTATTATAACCCCTTAGAAAATGGCGGAGGGGGACGCATCTAGTGGTGATAGTGGTATAGCAGAAACAACCGTAAAACAAGAGGATAGTGTTAATTCTAATCCATCTCCACCAGTTGAGAACCCAAGTCAAGGAGCAACAGCAGAAAAGGATTTGCAAGTTGGAACAGAAGATCCAACAGAATCTTTGGATCAGAACTTAAGTGAATCTTCTGGATCCGACGACGGCAACCAAGAAGACGGTCCAAAGACAGAAGTAGTACTGGATCCTAACGTAATTAGCGAGAATCCAGCAAAGACAATGGACGATAGTGACAGTGCAGCCACCGAGAAAGCCAAGGGAAGTATTTCTCCACCTAAAACAAATGGCAAAACTGTGACTGGGGCTCTGTCGGGCTCTCTGTTGATCCAACAAACCAACGTTTGCAAGGTCATCAAGGGAGAAATCCACAATGTCCTTAACGTTATGCGAACTGATGCTCGTTATGTCTCTCCTCTAAGGTTTATGGAAGAGCTTCCTACGGATGAGCATCATCCCCTTTTGACTCAATTGAGGGATTTGCATCGTACACTCAGTGAATGGGAATTGAACCATCACAACGAACAACCAAAGGCAAAACTGTATTTGCCACCATTTTGTGCTGCCGTTCAAGGCCGTGACATTTCTGCTAGTGTTACCGGTGCTGCCTTGCACTCCATTCACAAATTCATGTTGTATGGCTTTTTGGCGAACGAAGGTGCGGGACCTTACACCAACATTGCCAAAACATTGCTGAATTGTACTTTCGAGGAATCAGTGGTCGACCCAGAGGAAGAGGAGTTGAATGGATCCGCTACTTCACAAAATCACGATGATGAGCAGGTGGTTCTCAAGTTGTTGGATCTTTCGGCTTTGGTGGTCCGTTGTTCCTCTCTCGAACTGGAACCAGATATTATCGTGGGACTCTTGGATACCTGTTTGCACGTGTCTCATCGTGCCAAGCGGGCTTCTTCCTTGCTCAAGAGTGCGGCGGCAGATGCTCTCAGACACATTGTTTTAGAAGTCTTCTCCCAACCAGATCTCATGAAAGCTCGAGTGGCCATCCTTAACAAGCTGGCATCGCTACTCAATCCACAAAAGAACGCAGAATCCTACGTCGTGAATTCTCTCACTTTGGTCAATATTGCCTTGGAAACCATGAATGGAGACCCCTCGCAAGAGGAAATCAACATTTTGCAAAACGATATGTGCAAGTTCTTGCTGGCTTGGAGTACAACTCACGATTTGGTCATTTTGAGTTTGACCATGAGAGTCATTTTCAATCTCTTTCAAACGATTCGCAACCATCTCAAGATTCCTCTTGAGGTGTTTTTAACTTCCGTTCACCTTCGAATCTTGGAGCACTCATCCAACCACGAGGAGCGAGAGGTCGCATTGGAGTCCCTGTTGGAATTTTGTCAGGAACCCGCTCTCATCAAGGATTTGTATCTGAACTACGATTGCGATGTTAACTGTACCAACTTGTACGCCAGCATCTGTACCACTTTGGGGAATTCGGCGGCACCAGGAACTTTCACCGAGAGAAGTGTTGCAGTCGAATTGGACAATACCTTGTCGGCAAACAGCAACCCCAAAGGAAGCCTGGCCCAAAAGGCAGCCATTGCTGCAGCAGAGGTCCCAGTGAATGCCTTGAATACCTTGGCATTGGAAGGTTTGCTCACCATTGTCGATTCGATTGCTCGGCGATGCAAAAATACACCTAAGGGTGGAAAGACTGAGAAGCGATCTTCGCAAAAGCTGAATCCAGAATATACAGAAGAAGTGGAGGAAGCGGGCATCGAAAAACTAACTGAAGAACAAGTGCAAGAGCGGAAGAAACAAAAAGCTAATCTCAGTAAGATTGCTACAACATTCAATACTGGAAAGACGAAGGATTGGATGAAGACTGGCAGAGAACTCAAGCTTCTGGATGGAACTCCCGAGAGTGTGGCTCGCTTGTTGTACAAGGCACCTGGTTTGGACAAGAACAAGTTGGGAGCCTACCTCGGAAAGGGTCCCGAGGATGCCTATCCCTTTGAACACAAGGTTCGATTGGCATTTGTCAAGTACTTTGACTTTACCAAAGAGTCTGCCTTTGCACAGAACTTGAGATTGTTTTTGCACAAGTTCCGCATGCCTGGTGAAGCTCAAATGATTGATCGATTCATGGAAACCTTCTCCAAGGAGCTGTACTTGCAGCAAACTGGGGTCGGCTCGTGTGTTTTTAAAAATGCCGATGCTGTCTTTATTTTGGCCTTTTCTACAATCATGCTGAATACTGATTTGCACAACCCACGGTACAAGGGAAAGCGAATGACTTGTGATCAATTCATTAAGAACAACAAGGGAATCAACAGCGGAGAAGATCTTCCCGAAGATTTGCTCACACAAGTCTACACACAGATCAAGGAGACCGAGCTGCAAGTCCAACGTGAAATTGGTGACTTGATGACCCATGCTGATGCCCAAGATGCCGAGAACTTCCGTTCGGCATGGTCTGATCTCTTGTCCCGCAAGGATGTTGCTGAAGCAGCTTTTACCACACCTGAGGACGCCCGCAAGACCATGTTCCAAGCTGGAGTTCATGAGAAGGACATGTTCATTGTTATTGCCAGACCCGCACTCAAGGCAATATCAAGCTCCTTCGTCCGTTCGTGGGATGATACCTGTGTGCTGCAAGCACTCCAAGGTCTTGAGCAAATATCCAGAATCAGCATCTACTTTGGGTTGGATCGAATCTTGAACGATGTCATTTCCTTCTTGCTTCATCAAGGTCGCGAGTTCATCACTGGATGCATATCCTTGGAGTATGCTGGAATTGATAGTGGTGCTCCCATATCTCCGAATCCCGATTCCGAAGACGACGAGACTATGAGTCTGGTGGACACGGAATCTCCGATACCACATGCCTTGCTTAAGGTCAGAGACTACTCGATGCTTCCCAAGAAGATAGACTTGGCCGGTACAGCGGCGTACCGAGGACTCTTGACACTGAACATGGGTCTGAGAATTGTCCGAATGCTCTTTCCTCGCGTCAAGGATGCTTGGCCCAAGTTGGTTGGTGTTCTGGCCTCTTTGCGGGATCTCAGAGCACTACCTCCCGGTCTTTCAGATCTGGATGACTTTGCTGATAGCGATGGCAACGTTCTGCCGTTGTCAGAATTTGCACAAGAATCTCAAAGGAAGCTAGACGAGTACTACCGAGGGGTCACCTCTCGCGGGTCGGGCGGGGACCAGCAAGCCCAAAGTTGGTTCAGTCTGGGTATTTTCGGTGAGGAAGATGAGAATGGAAACAAGCCAGAACCAAAATTGATGAACCAAAGCCCGAATGGTGTCAGATTAGAGAACTCGGCAAATGCCAAGCTGTTGCGAGAGATTGGACAGAAGAACGAGATCGAAAAGCTAATGGTATTTGGTCCCAACGTGAAACTACCACTCTTGAAGCAAAGTATTTCAGGTATTCTCGATTCGATTGGAAAGTATCCTGTTCCTGGATCACCAACCTACGAGCAACATTCCGCCTTTGCTTTGGAGCTTGCAGTGCGGGCTCTCTTTGCTAACCGCGAGCGCGCAGGAGAAATCTTTCCACTCTTCTTTGCCAAGTTTGCATCAGTGGCCGAGGATATCAATATGGAATCACAAGTGGAGGGTCCATTCCTTGTGGAGCGAATTGCGATCACCATTCTTCGGTCTGTGATCCATTTGTATTCTGTGGCAGCGGTACGTGTAATATGCAGGCATTTTCGTTTTGTAAGATTTTCGCTTGGAACTGACATTGAATTGACCATCTTGCAGCTTCGTCCTAAGTTGAAGGCTTCATTGTTCTTCATCCCTGCGTTCCCAACGGATCAGTTCATTGGAAAGATTGCCGATCGAATGGCTTGTGGTTTGGCAATCATTTTGCGGTCGATGTATTTCCTATTCAAGTCACCAGAGGAATGGAAATTCTTTGGAGATTCGTTCGATGTATTGGCACAGTACGCAGAAGGTCGACTATTGGTCTTTGATGGTATGGCATCGACGATCGAGTTTGCAGTTCCTGAACTCCCCAAGGGAGAGAACGAAGATATTGGCATTGAAGAGTACGAAGATCTTATGGAAGAAAAGAAGACTCTCTCGTTCGCAGCTTGCGCTGCTTTGCAGGGCGTGATGTTCAAGTTCATCTACGGCTCTTACAAGAAGGATACTACGTTTGCACTTCCTGCTATGGTTTGCATCGAACGCACCTACAAGCACATGGTCAAATTGTTGCTCATCCGACAGTTCAACAAAGACCCAGATGCCGACCTAGAATCTGTTCCAGACAAGGACTTGTGGTATCGGGTGGCTATGGCTATGTACAGTGTTTGTGCTGCATCTGATCCCAAGACCTCTGAAGAGGGACTGCATACCGCTCGTCGTCATATGATCACTTCCATCTTCATGGAGGAGATTCCCGATGAAAAGTGGAGGACCCTGCTGAACACAATGATTGGGAAGCAACCCCCGCTGACCGATATGTCATCCCGTGTTAACACGTTTTCGTTAATTGGACAGTTGATGATTCGATTGTTCCCCATCATGACGAGAAGAAAGCAGAACTGGAAGGACTTGACCGACATCACAAAGAATATTATCCTCATCGCTGATGAGAATCTCCGGGCTGGCAAAGAAGGTGGAAAGGCAACAAGAAGTATGTTTGTCTTCACGGTGAAGATTGTAACAGAGCTTGCCAACCAACTTTCGTCTCCTGCGTTTGGTGGAGAAAAGAGATATTGTGCTTGGGCAAGCGAAACCTTTGCCAAGGTGCTCGATAAATGGGGAGCAGCCAAGGGCCTTACGAACAGAAAGAAGACGGATCCTGGAGCAGCACCAGAAGCAGCACCAGAAGCAGATGGAGCGTCACCATCAAAAGATGCAACCTTGGTTAAGGGTGAGCGTGACGTGACCCAGCTTTCTGGAGCTGTATAGAGAGGCTGTGTTGATTCGACACTTGAAATCGATGCCTTAGGATGTTAATAAAATGTCAGTTGTGAAATAGAAATAAATCGGCTTTTGCAAAAAACAACAGATTCTGAATAGGTCAAGATAATATTTTAAAAATCAAGTAAAATACTCGAAAGCGAACAGCAACCTGTTCTGTCAAGTGATAGTATTGTTTTGTGTTTCTATGGACTAGTTTTACCTATCTAGATTCACATATGTTGTCATTAACAGGGGGAAACGGGAACTGGTGGTTCGCGCATGTCGTAGTCTGTACCCAGCTTTGGACTATGACAGTCTTGAAACGTGGCATACAGATTCCTTGGTTGTAAGTTGAAAAACGATACGCTGCTTCTATAGGGAATATTTCTTTTGGTCTCGTCACGAAGGCATTGACGCTTTGCTCCTTGGCAATCTTCGTCCAGCAGTATAGGAGCGGATATTTCCTCTGGGTACGCGTGTGTCCATGGAACATTTCGTTTGAAGTCTTCTCTTCTTTGTCGTCGTTCTCTGTCCATTTGTAGAATCAAGACATCATCGTCCTTAGTTCGTGGGGAAGGTTCTGGTGTCAGAGGTGCGTTCGCCATGTTTGATTCGTGCCAGTGCTGACTTTGCGTTGAATTTTTTATGATGTTTTGCTAGATAAAGTTTAATGATGGATTAGATTCTTCGTCTTCCTTCTCAAGTCCCACTCGGGTCAAACGTACGGAAGCAAGATTGGAAACAAATCCCGCCCGGCAGTTTTGAATCATCATCAATCGGATGTTTCTTTGATTGATATTCATTCGGACGGATCAAAAGCGTCCGTATGGCGTATCCCCGGTCCACAACACGTCATTCGGTTTGGTCAAAATTGTGGAGTCAGTTGTCAATACGATTGTCAAAAACATCATCAGCACCTGTGCGTTCAGAGTTTAGAATCATCCTTTCAACACGAGCAAACAATACAAAAACCGCAGAAGATGAAATTCACCGCCACTGTTCTCTCGTTATTTGCCTTCATGCATACTATTGATTCCTTTGGCATCAATCAACAGAAAGTTGCCAAGACATCGGAAATACAAATCAGCCGATCCAACTTTTTGGCTCTGGTCGGTGCTGGGGTCACTGTGGCAGCATGTAGCGTCCCTCCCGCTTTTGCAAAAGATAGTGAAGCTGAATTGAAGGGAACAAAGAAAGACCCAAACTTCGAGACTTGTTTGTCAACTTGCATGTACGAATGCACCAAACCAAAGGGAGTGGAACAGAAATCAAGGAAGGAATGCCTGCCCGAATGCAAGGCCAAGTGCGCAACCAACAAGAACCAGCTACTCCTAGGGGACCCAAAAGCAGCAGAATAAATGAACAGCACACGACTCTTTATCAACGCTTGTTTAGTCAAATTTTGGAAGTTTGAGAAATACATTATGCTTATTGAAGAAATTGACACATGAGATCACGAAGAGTTGAAGGCGTTACGAAACGGCAGTACATTCCATCCCAAGCTACAATATTTATAGACACCTATAATGTATTCCTATTCCAGTATATCAAACATGACATGTCCAATCTACGAAGAGAAAAGACATAATCATCAATCGAATACTATGTTAAGATTCATGAAGCAATGGAAGAAATCCAGTGCTCGTTGTCCCCTTTTCCATTTCTTGCATTTTCTTCATACTTCGTTCTGAATTCTTCAACTAGTTGCTTCCCCTCTCGTTTCCATTCGTCTCGATTGCCTTGTGCATAGTTCAAGTATTCGTCTGATGACACTCCGAACACACCACAGTTATCAAGCTTCTTTGCTAACGGTATCACATAAAAGTCAAAAAAACCAATCTCCCCCTCGTACCATTTGATGCTAGGGTCAGCTTCAGCTCGACCAGCCTTGAAGGCTCCATAGCATTCCATGAAGAACTTCTCATTCCAACTCTTGTATATGTGCCAGTGCTGCATCGTATGAGAGACATCCGATGCTTGAATCAAGTGCTCAATCACAATGGTTGCCTTGCGATCATCGTTGAGAGTACTATTATCATTCTCCACTGCACCAGAAAAGGCTGTCTCCCATCTGTTCTTTCGAAGTGCTTGGAGCTCCTTGTCAACAATGTCCGTCGCCAACACTGTATTCACCACCAGCTGGCGGAAGCGCTTCAGCTCTTCTTCAGAGTGGTATATGCATGCTCTCAAAGTAGCGTATTCCTTTTGCATGAGCAGGTCCCATGCCAAATCGACGCTGTTTTGTTCCGCTACCGACTTTTTGTAGATCTGTGCATTTCTGGTATTTTCCTTGACCAGTTGAGTGTTTGGCACACCGGGGTGATCCACGTCGTGAATAATCGCAGAAAATACCACAGCAAACTGCGTCAGTGGATCCGAAGTGATACCATACGAATGACCTGCAAGATCGATCATGTTGACACTTGGCCTCCTATTTGTTCGGCCTAGGCCATTGCCATCACCAGTGTTGACGATGCGTGATAGGAGTTTTTTCACTGAAGCAGTAACGTGGCTAGCGTGTGCAAAGTTGTGAAATGGATTTCCTCGGTACATGCCGGCGATTCCTAAAAGATAATTCCTCAGTTGGAGCTTGACATTCTCCCCGATGCCCATCGAACTCGGATTCTGCCGCAGTTTCAGTTCTTCTTCGTTGAGTCTCTTCAAAGGAATGATAGGAATGAATTCGTCAAGGACATTTCCATCTCGCCCCAACGAGGTCTCTGAAGGAGCAAGATTATCGATCGTTTTGGTGTTGCCCCCTCGCGAAGCTATAATCTGTTCCAAGAGAGTGGACAGTACCTCAATATGCCATTCAACCAGACGCTCGTTCTTGGACATGCCTTGAAAGTTTTCGATTTCGAGATCAAAGTCCTCACTCTTTTCTTCCACAGTTTCCGCCGTTTCGTACACTTTCTTCACTCCATCAGATTCACCCAACTCCACCCTAGCTCCAGTACGCATCCAATAAGTTTGCATCTCTCCCTTGCCCTTCACAAATGTCTTGCCTTTTCTTGCCACAATCCATTTCGAAAAGCCGTCCTCACGTAGCAGATTTGCGGTGGCTTGAGATAGTTGAATGCGATTCCGCTCTCCACTACTCTCCATTCGAGCAGCTGTGTTCATAGTGTCACCAAAGAGCTGGAATCGGCTACGCTCACCTCGCAACACACCTGCTGTCACTTGCCCACTACAGTCGATTATAAGAGCCATTGGTGAGGTACCAGCTCAAACATACTCAATTCTATCGATTTGAAATAGAAACGGAAGTAGTGCGTACCTATGGATTCCTGTCCTCAAGTCTAGCTCAGCAGTATCAGGTCCTAATGATACCTCCAGCTTAACAGTTATTTGCTTCATCTTTCTCAAGCAGTCCCGGGCAAATTTACATGCAACAACTATATGGTTTCGACAAGCAACAACATGTTCAGTATGAGTTCATCATGACTAGATGAGTACCAATGAGTACCATCACGAATACTCATTTCAGGATTGATAGAGAATATATATATAATATAGAGAGAAGAGGTTTTGACAAAGGTCAAATAAAAAACGGACTCACCTGCGTGTTCATCAATGGGGTCAGGCAAGCCGGCAACGGATACGTAGCAGTCGCTGCAGTAGTAAAACGAACACAATGCGAGTGAGAGGGGTGAACAAGTGGACAGAGTCGAGTCATCCAAGTCTTGATCCAATTTGCATCCTTACCCAACCGTTTCAACTTTGAAGACTCCATGGCGATAGGCCATCTTGTCGAAGGCTCCGTATATTGATTCTAGAAGTATGAACACTTGGTGCGGCTCACGTGCTGATGACCATGCTGTGAATCCAGCAATATCTGCAAAAACGACTGTCGTGTTTGGGAAAAGGTCAGCCAAAGGAGCGTCGGCTGCGACGCTCGCGGACTCTTGTTCATATCCAAGAAGGTCAAATGCACTTCCTTTCTTATATTGTTTTTCATCTTTTGGATGACCGTACAGTCGGTCTCGGATGGCGGATGGAAAGACATCAGCCACGATTCTGTCCTGTTGAATGATGCGGTCCATGACTTTCTTTTGTCGCTTTTTCACGTAATAATCATAGACGAGGAACACCAAGCTTGTAAACACAAAAACGGCAGCTACAAAACCAGCAAATATGAATGCGTTCGGAGTCTTGTACTCTTTTTCGAGATCACCAGAAGGGTAAAGATGCAGTGTCATTCTTGGAATGCATCCACCTTCAGGAACATTTGCTGGATCAATATCAAGGTCAACAAAAACACCAGATTCTTCCATCCCATTATATTCTGGGTCGTGTGCATCAACCGCTCCCAGAAATGTTGCCTTTGGCCCGTCAATTCTGTACGATAGCACCAGGCCCGCGAAATTTTGCCCTTCTGAGGATTGTCCAAAAGAATAGTCGAATACATCAATGATAGGGCAACTTCCACGGATGACTGCAATAATACCATTGGTGTTTTCTGTCAGAATATTTTGAAGATAGAGTGCCCAGTCCAGTCGGAACCAAACAAATCCAACCACACGCCGATCATTGGCATCAGTATCAATTTCTTCATAGACTGGTTGCAGAATAGCACTAAGTGCTCTTGTTTTTCCGGTGGTAACATCCTCAACCAATGGCGTGAAATCACTTGTGGGAGAGCGAGCTGCAATCGATGTAGCCGCCAAGTTTCCAGCAGTTGGTTCGATAGCAATATCAAAATTTGTGACGAGCAGATCAATCTCGGGAACAATGGCGCCAGTGCGAAGAGGGTAAACTTGCCACACCGGCAGCGAGAAACTGGGCCACGTAATAGGAGTGACTGCAAAGTTGTCGTGGACGTTGTAAAAGTGGATATATGGCACAGTGTTTTCCATGTAATAGTCAACAGTTACATTCCTTCCCTCGTTTTTAATAGAATTCTGGTAATATTTTGGTGCCAATTTGCTTGTGTATGCTGTCCAATTTTCTCTTTGATCGCTTTGGACAATTGGTAAAAACGCCATTGCAGTGTCACTGACATCTGCTTGGTCTATAAGTTTCTTGGCTTTCAAAGACCAGTCGTCGATAGTGACAAACGGCCAACTTTCGTTCTTCGCCTTTGCCGCAGAAGCTACACCCACTGAGAACGCATCCAAAGCTCTGAAAAGTTGAGCTGCCTTCTGCTCAGCGACTTGTATCACCTCGGACCCGTATCCAGCAAACTGGGTTTTGGCAGGGAGAATGCATCGGATGAGTGAATCGTGACGTGACAGAATGACTTGCCCAAACTATCCCGTAGATTTGGGACCCTTCTCTGACTTACATTGTTCTGAAACCCCTCCTGCTCTTGGTCGTTTACAAGAGTGTAAACGCCAACTGCCAAGCCAGCAACACCCAAAACAAGAACAAAAGCTACCGACAGCTTCGCGCGAGCGATTGCTCGATCTTCTTGCTCGGCTACTTCTGGATGATACACTGATGCTGTATCAACACTCACTTCGGAAGTCCCCGACAGGAATTCTGAGGGTTGACTGTTAGTGTACTGACTCCGAGACGCAATCGAATGCCAATCTTCTGCCATTTTACCATCTGTTGTTTTTCTGCTACTACTAAGGGAAGCCGAAACGTTGGTGTAGGCCTGATGAGAACGAAAATGAGGTGTCCCTTCTCGGCATCTTCCAAAGGAGGCAAATTTCCCAGATATCGTCGGAGTTTTGGCGCAAGTTTCTGGTGGCGTCGACTTTTGTCGTTAGATTTTATATCAGCCAAATAATTTTATAAAATATATATTATACATGTGAATATTTGCTTGTGAGGGGGGCAAGGCTGTATTGTCATCATAAAATATATTATGGAAGTTCGGAACAAATAACGCGAACAAATCCACATTTTCGTAAATTAAGAACAAATTAAAAACGACATTTATGCCAACCATATGTAGGATAAATCTGAAATACAATTACTAATTACTATGTAGTCGTCGTTAGACTATCACCTTGGACTACCTGTTACCGTAGGTACGTGTACCGTATTCACAACTCCATGGGGTGTCAAATCCGCTAGCTACTGTAACTTTGTTCCACGGTACCAGTACCAGCAGGCGAAGTACCGGCTACTAACACAAATAAGACCAGTTGCAACCGCTGCTGCTGTCTTTTCTTCATCATCGTCACGCACGCTGATTGATTCATTCATTCTTCATTCTTCTTTCTTCTTGTTTCCTCAGACGATATGGAGGCCGCGATCGAAGTAATAGTATTCAACGTAGTTTTCTGTAAACGAAGATCGAAGTTTGATCAAAGGATGATACACTGCTAGGGGCTGCCGTTGTCTTTGTCGTCTGACATCAATTGTTGCTTTATATAGCTGTCATGAGTGAGTCGAAAGATTGAATAATCAATCGTACCGGTACAGTACCAAAGAGTCGAAATCACACCTGTTCTTGTGGCAGAAAATGACTAACTGGAGTGAATCAAGAATCAATCTTGCACTTCTTTTGATGCATTTCCAAGACCCAACAAGAGCTAACCTTGATTCATCGATTGTGTACGGCTGTTCAACCCTGTCCCGTCAACAGATCTATAAACATTAGCGAAGCGGACGTTCACCAGCTCAATCTATCAGAATGGTAGATAGAACAAGAGTAACGTTGTACCAAACAGAAAGCAATCTTGGTAACTATCAAACTACAAGCATTTCCAAGCTATACGCACTGAATAATAATATTCTGGCTGGCTTTGAGAGTCACTATCAAAATGGACTGCTTGAAGTTGCCTTTTATTTGGGCCTCAAATTTGCCGATTCGGCACTCATTCAAATCCCCAAACATGGTTACTTTTATTCCAGCAAACACAAAAATGAACGAAGTCAGTCTAGCACTGATAGTATTCGAGTGACACAGCTCTTGCAACAAATTGTTGCCTTGGAACCAGAAAGATTGGCCAAGGAGTGCCATAAAGTTGAACGGTTGCATTATCTTGCCCGAGAACAGTTTGAGAGACTGGATACCTACGAAAAAAAGCGGGCAGCGGTGGAAAGGGATCTCTACCACCAGCAGAGAAAAGGCGGTAGTCATAGAGGCAAGGCTTCCTCGTTGAACAAGACACCGAAACACCGCAAATCTCGTTCTCGCCTCTCTTCGGATCAAGATTGCATGTCTTCAACACTATTGGCATGTGGAGATTCCTTTTCCTCCATTTTTTGTCCTTCGGTTGCCTCATCCACGAGTGAAGCGGCCATGGCCATTCGGGAAGAATTTACTGGAAAAAAGAAAAAGGAGGAACTAAACAAAAGCTTTCCGGATGCTCACAAGATACGGCCCGAAAAAGGAAGCAGCAAATCTACTAGGTTTCCAGATGGCGGAAAACGAGAAGGGATATCGTCATTTCCAACCAACCCAGGTGTCAGCAAGAGAAGTTTTCCAAGTGATGCAGCTATAGCGCAACCAGGACTGTTTCCAGCATCTCCTGCCAAACCCGTCTTGGAGCGTAAAGAAAGTGATTACATACCGCCACCGCCACCGGAACATCATAGAACGCAAAGTGACCTTGACTTGGAGCGAGCTTTGTTTTTGAGTGGACTTCAGGTTTTACAAGACAAAAAACGAGCGCAAAATGGAGGAAACTTTGGACAAGAAGATGAAGTGAAACTGGAAATCCTCCGAGAAGAATTGCGAGACATGCCACCAGTTCCTGTGGGTCCACCAGGTGCTAAGAAGCGTCAAGCTTCGGGCGTGACGACAGAATTGTTTACCAATTTTATGCAACAGGATTTTGAACAGCTTTATAAGAAAGGCCGAGTTCGAATAACGCAAATGTCGACATATCAAGGAAAAAATCCATTGTCGACCAACGGTTGTGCTGTCATTGCGCCGCTGATGTGCATTCATCATTTTGTCAACGAATCATCGATTCCAGACCATGGTTTGCCGGATCGTGTAGTGGAGGAGGTCTTGGACGATGAAACACCCAATTTACTTCCCATGATTCGAAGAAAACTGGGTCTCGTTGATAGTGCTTTTCTGATTCCGTCCGATGCACACGAAGCTCTTATGCAAGAAGATCTCTTATCTGAAAAGCAATTCCGAAATGTTTTGGGAGGCAACATACTCGATGAATCCCATTTGATACCTTTGGTGGAAGAATTGTCCAAAATTGGAGAAAAGAAGATTGGTGCTACCTTCTTTTTCCATGAACATGTGGTTTCGATATTGCAGCTCCGACAAGATGAGAGAACTGTCTGGTTTGATCTCATTGATACGTTACCACACGAAGAGACGCTTCTTCGTGGTCCATCCAAGTGGGCTTCGTCACGAAACCATGGAGATGATTCCAAAATAAGCAACGATGATTCCTACAGAATCCTGAGTGACTTTAGCGATGTTGATCTGGCGGCCGGAGTTGTGGTAGATGATGTTCCAGATCAGGAGCCAGCTGCTCGAATACGATGCTTAGATGCTGAAGCGTTGAGAATAGCCTTGCAATGGTATGCTTGTTCCGTATTCTCGATGGAAGACGCTACCTACATTGATACCTATCAATGGGATGACAATTTGGCAGATTTCGACCCACGAGTATTTCAAGCCTTCATCTGGAGTCAGGCATAGTCGAATTTGAAGATATCTAGGCCTTTCACTAATAAAATTAGGGAACTTGTATTATCTACTTCCTATATCAAAACTGATTCTTGCAACTGGTTGCAACAATAGCTGGCAGCACACGGGTCATTATCTGTTCAAACATAGCAAGATCAAAAGTCATCTTGCCAGCGAGGATACAGCCCCTGGATCCGTTTTGATTGCACCAATACGGGTTCTTGCTTGCGTTGCGGTTGAATCCCTTGACAAGTTGCCCGCTCTCCACACTGCTCTTTGCATTCCTGCATCAACCGATCTTTGCTCATTGAGCGATCATTTTTTGCCACGGCTTGGACTTGGCATTCGTACATGCATCCAGTTGTACAAGACGAAGTGCTTTCATCCTGTGCTGCACATGCAGACCTGCCACCTACTGCCAGAGCTATTCCGCAGCCACTGACGAGTGATGAAAGGTATAATCGTCGGTTCATCGCGAATGTCTGATGTCGTATTGAAAAATCCAAGCTGTCAGGTTTTGTATTGAGAGGAAGACCATTAGGAGTAGTTTGGTGTCCTGAAAATGAAAGTGCATATGTTGCAAAGGATGAGATGAAAACTAAAAGCCGGAAGGTGATGCCCATGGTTCGTTCCGTTTGAAATCGATCTGATTTTGTGAACTGTATAAATATTTACCAAAACACAAGACAATTGGATTCTTTTCTTGCTCTGCAGCAGTTTGGGCCACTTTTTAAACAAAACGAAACAGGAGTCAGTCGTCGTCCTATTGTATTAGATGAAAATGGTACAAGTGAATCTTTTTCTTTTTTTATTTTGCTATTAAATGTTTACTCTTCATCATCGGCAGCGGCTCTGGAAGCTGCGCGCTTCTTGGCAACACGGCCTGGTTTCCCTTGTCCATAGGGGGAGTTCACAGAGAAGTCAATGTGCTTTTCAGATGCAGTTCTGACATTGAAAGATGGAACATTGACGAGTTGAGATCCAACACGGATGTGACGTTGGCGGATCAACACACGGGCGTGGTGGATGGACTTGGCAAGGCCTTGCTTGTACACCTTTGTTTGAAGACGACGGTCCAACAACTTTTGGGTGGACAACTGAAGGACAGCATCCAACTCAAGCTCGTCATCCTCAAGAAGACCGTATCGGCTCATACGGCGAAGAAGGGCAGCTCCCTCAAAGATTCTCTTGGGATCCTTAGGATCTAGTGTAAGAAGGGTACGGGCAGTCTTTCTTAGCTTGGCAAGAGCATATTGAACACGCCAGATTTCGCGCTTGCATCGAAGACCGTACTCTCCAACAAGTCTAAGTTCGGCATCCAAACGTTCCTTTTCGTAGGGTCGGCGAGGCGTCTTGAACGTCTTACGGTCTGTAAAAATAAACGAAAAATGTCAGTAATATGACTATAAAACTGGTTGATTTCCGTTGTCGATTGTTTTGTGATTGAGAAAGAAAGAAGCTCGTTCGAAATGTGTTTCATTGAATTTCTTCTTTCCATCTCCAATCGACTCCGGATCTCAATTCCATCAAAACTCTCATCGACTCACAGTTACGGTGCATAGCATTAGTAGGCATGGTGGATTTTCTGTTTTTCTAGCCGGAGCAGTGAAATAAACTAGGATAGATTGATGTTTTGTTTTCTTTCCAACGTCTAGGGGAAAGGGAGGAGCTCTGTGCTGAAGTTGATGAGCAGCTATCTTCAGATTCTGTAAAACTCTGGACCCGCTGGACTGCACGTACTACATGTTTTGCGTAGGTTCTACGTGTTTACCGCAGTCCAGTTACTTGATTTTTTCTGAAAAATTCGGTTTTTCTACCTCTTACTAATAGCACGCAAACCATCATATGACAAACACATATCGAACTCCATTTCGGCGACGTCTCATCGACACGAGCGATCGAATCATATTATGCTTCGGAATTGTACCATTGGGGGAGATGATGATCCTTCCTAGTCTTACTGGGGGAGAATAAAAAAGAATCCCTTTGATGAAACTAAGCAATGTTTGACCACATATCGCTGGATTCTTTCCATATTTTGTCTTTCTTCACGGGCGGAATATCGATTACTTGCATTGACTGTCTGCTTTTGGTAGAGTGCGAACAGAGCAAGAAAGGATAAACTTTTTCTATCTCTATCACAAGAATTGTTCAGTTTTCATTGTGTTTCGAACATATTCTTCCTTCGCCTGTCTGTCGGCCGGCGGAATGAATGAATGAGTCGTGGGATTCAACGCCATTCACCCATCACGAAAAGATATCCTTCGTCATTCAATTGATGATTCAGTCTCTTCGTCAAAGAGTGTCAAAGCTACCATCCCCGACACCCGCATCAGTTTGATTCACTCTGTCAGTAAAAACATGATGAAATCGATACTTCGCGCAAGTCTGCGACGACCCAGATCTCCCCTGTTGTCTGCCGTATCCGCGAGATATTCCTCCTCTCATCATGGCGCCGAGGCTATATCAATCACATCGACGGGATTCCAAGGTTCGGAACATCAGTCGATACATTCCAATTGGTTCGCCTTGTCAGCGGCCATGACTGCTGCCGCTGCTGCCTCTGCTGCCTCCACCGCCACTTTTACTTCACAATGTGAGAGTGAACCACCTCCCACCATCGAAGCCACTGCCAAGACTGAAAACAATGATGATGAACAAGAAGAAGAAGTGGATCCATATGACAACTTACCAGTGGAAGATGAACCAACAAACTGTTCTATATGTTTAACGTATCGTCAAGGTCCATGTCGGCCATACTGGAGAAAGGTAGAAGCTTGCACAAAGGACAATGAATTGAAGAAAGACGATGACAAAGAAAGCGACGATGACAAAAAGTCATCTGAAAGCAACGAAGAAGAGGAAGAAGAAGCCGACCCACCATGTTTGAAGTACATGCTTCCTTGGATTGACTGCGCTTCTGGATTCCGCAACCTCTACAACCTAATTGAACTTGATACCAACTACACCATCGGCATTGCCGATTTGGAAAAAGACGCTTCCAAGAACTTGTGCTGGGCGGCTTCCAGCACTCCTTCTGTTGATTGGTCAGCTTGGGCAGCCTATCGAGAAGAAAATCCGGATTGGAAGCTCCCCGTAACAGAAAACTCCGAATCACCAGAAAATGCATCATTGTGGAAAACCCTTGATCAATCCAAAGATCCTGTTCTTGTCGAAGTGGTGGCTACTGTAAACTTGATGGAAGACGAAGGCATTTTGGAATGTGCGTATGCACAAGACCAAGGCGGACATGTGATTGGCTTTCAATACGGCACCAAACCAAGTGAGGCCTTTGACACCGAAAAGAAGGAGGAAGGGGAGGAAGAAGCCAAACAGGGCCCAACGGCGACATTGAAGATTCGGATTCTCCCAGAACGAACTCAAACCGTCACCATTGCAGCATCCTATACTCAGCCACCTTCGGAAGAGCAGAAAGAATCTAAGGATTTGAAGAAAGATTCGTCCTTCCATTCCTTCATCTTTAAGAGTAAGCCTATTGTCTTGGATCAAGTTGAGCTCCCAAAGACAGAAAAGAATGAAGACGAAGAAGAATCATGAGATTAGTCTGCCAGTACTAGCGAAACTATTATAGCTTTTAGAAATGATATACTGTGGTGCACAGCAGTCAGCTTCGTGAAAGTTAACATTTCCACGTTCCTTCTTGATTTTTAAGAACGAACCAGTGTTCTGTAGCAAGACAAATCGAATGAATGAATTATAATCTTGAACCACTTTCACAATTCACACCTACCATCTAAATTTTTTTCGAACGGGATGCAGAAGAATGAATCCATAATTCTTGTACCTGGTATTGATAGATGTGCCCTTGAGCCTTCTTCAGGCAGCTCCTCCTCGTACAGGTATTTGAATTTTCCAACTATTCGGTGGGTTGACAGACAGACTGTTTGAAGTTTCATCTTGAGTTTTCGGACTTTTGCTTCCGCAAGCAATTTGAAGCGAATGAATCAATCAAATCAATCTACCGATGCATATTGGCATAATTGATGTGAGAAAAGTTATTAAGACAGAAAACTGAAAGCCGTCCGGCTGGCTGTTTTGCAAAAGAAGCTTTCAAGATCAGAAATTTTCACCCACCGCTGCGTTTTGCTCAACCATAAGCGAAAATGGTCTGGAAACGAAGGTCTGGAACGGAGTGTAGAGTATTGCTTGCAATTTTTCGTAGGCCAATAGCTACCTCTCTATATTCCTTTGAACTATATTTCGCATCAGATGGAGCTTTTGATTGCATGGATGGATTTAAAACCGCCCTCACATTTTTACAGGGGATGTACGTAAAAACAATAGCAGAAACACAGGATAGCATGTATCACCTTTCTAGCCAACCATGCAAGTAAATAACATGAAACCAAAGAGTCTCGAATACGAAATTCGTTTAATAGAGTTAAAATACTATTCACACATATCAGATATCATAGATGGAACAAGAAATAAATGAAACAGAGAAAACACCTTTGACCCATCGGACCAACAGTGTCGTTGAGCACCAAGCTCCAACATCTACTGTTTATTTCTTCTTGGTTGCCGTCTTCTTCTTTGTGGCAGTCTTCTTTTTGGCTGGTGCCTTCTTCTTGGTGACAGTGGCCTTCTTGGCTGTGGCCTTCTTTGCAGGAGCAGCCTTCTTAGCTGGTGCCTTCTTAGTGGCAGTCGACTTCTTCTGTAGTTTTTATTGGGAATGAATGAAAAACAGAAAGAGGGCATCGGTTAGATATTGTCGATAGCTTCCAAGTTGAATCGAGCTCCAATATTGAGTAGTTCCAATCGACTTACCTTGGTAGTAGTAGCAGCCTTTTTGGTGGTTGTAGCCTAAAATGAAATTGAGATTGTAGAAGCGTCAGACCTTCTCTCCGCAGCAAATTCGAATTGGCATGTCAAAGGTAAACCAAAACCTACCTTCTTCTTGGTGGCAGTGGTCTTTTTCTTGGCAGGGGCAGCCTTTTTCTTGGCAGGAGCAGTCTTCTTCGCGGCGGAAGCAGTCTTCTTCTTGGCCTCGGGCGAAAGTTTGTAGGATGCTTTGACTTGCACGAGAACCCCCGTTTCGACGCCCCTCTTCAATGCTGCCTTCAAAATATGCTTCTTGACGGATGTCTGCGAAAGTGAAGGTATCAATCGTTAGCTAATCTTATCAGAAACCGAGTGATACAAGTTTGAAATCAATCCGAGATCTGGAAGGGGGCAATTGTCCATGGTTTTGTAGTCTCCTACAGAAAACAGGTAGAATCGTCGTGGAAAATGTAACCATGAGGATCTCCAGCTATATACCTCGTATGAAGTATTGGTTTGCACCAGTGTGTAGCGGAGACTGTTTTATCCCGTTGGTACAACTTTCAGGTCCGTGGAAGATGTCTGACAAAAAATATCATCGTCGAAGTGTGGCCCAGTCATTTCGTGTCGCATGCGTTGACAGGTCGACGAAGGACAAGAGAATCAACTTAAAATTTGAATGGAAGCACTTACTTTCTTTTCGCTTTCAATCCATTTGTTGATAGCAATGACAGAGGATCCAGTGCGGTCCTTGAGTGCTAAGATGGCTTCGGAGATGAGAGCAATGGTGGCCATGGTGAGAATGGATGGAAGAGAACTTTTTCACGAAAAAAACACAAAAAGGTATTTTTGAGATGTTGTTCAATTTTCCGACTTGGACGTCGCCTTGTCGGACACACGGCAAAGCGGCGCGGCGTAGAACCTCTTACATCTCTACATGCTTTGAATGTACTGCAGATTTAGTACCAGTCGAGTTCTCAAATATTCGACTCTCTGGAACCTACATTTACATACAGTTTGCTGGAACGAATGAATGCCAAGTACACGTACTTCTTTAGATTTCGGTGGCACGGCCCAAGATTATTTATCGAGCGGGCGTTGGGAGAGCCGAAGCACGAAATCAAGCATAATCAAATAAAGCGGTCTTTTGGAGTTTTGTGTTTCAAAAAAGATTTGGCTGGTGGCGTTATCGATCCATAATCGAGAGACCCTCCCCTGGTCTCTACTACTGTACAGCTGCAACAAAGTATTGATCAGCTCGAATAGTTTTGTTGAGATACTTTAACTCCAATCTGTCTTTGGGCTGTCGGCTGCTTGATTGATTCATTCACTCACTCTTTGGGGAATTTGAACTAAGCAGTCAGTCACAGCACTGGAACAGCAGAACCAATCCAATTTGCATCACGGAGGATATATATATATATATAAGCGTAAGGGCACTGCAGTTGCTCAGGGAATATTCACAGCTAGGAACAACCGCAAGGACGTCCTAATCCAATATCCAATATGGTAAAGGAAGGGACCAAAAAAAAGAAGGTACCCCGCGATGATCGCTCGGTTTCTTCCCGTGGCACAAAAGGGACGCGAGGCAAATCACCCAAACGGAAGAAAAAGGGAGAAGAGGCCAAACGTGCAAAGTCTCCCAAAAATCCAGAAAAACCAGCGTCTCGAAAGGAAGGAAAGGGTGGCCGTGGAGACCTCGCCGCCAGTTCCAAGAATCCAGAAAATATTCTCGAGTATATTCCACAGGAATACTTGGACAATGTCGAAACTGCAGAACCCGTCTTGCATTTCTTGCCCAAAATGGTGGCCAGCGCGGATGAAACTGGTGCTTCAGGGTCCAATCCAGGAAGCGGCGTTCAATCCAATACCAAGTTTCCTAACTTGAGAGTCTTGCTCTCTGCAGCTGAAGATGACATTCGATTGCATCGTGCTCGTGTGCAAGCGGCCAAGGCCAACAATATCAATTTCCTAAGGAGCTACAAGATTGAAAATGACGAATTGTGGTTGCTCCGACAGCAGCGACTGAATGAGAGAACATTGATGCTCAGCAAACTCAATACGGAACGCTCTGTGATTTTGAAGGAATTACAAGAGTCCAATGTCAAGGGATTGACCTCGCAGGAAATGACACAAGTCCAATTAGCACGGTGGCAACGGGCGCTCGAACTATATGTGTATGCGCCTCCAAAGTTGGGACAAGCGGAGACTGACGAGGAAGCCCAACGAGACTTGGAATTTTTGGGGTTGTTGGAGAAGCTCTTGGAGCATATCACTGAGGTATGTACAGAATATAGAGAGTGATTATTCTATGCCTTGATAAATACAAAATTTCTGGTCCACTCACCAAATGTTTTGTTTCAATTGGATTCGCAACACAGGAAGAAGACATGTCCGATATCTTTTCGCAAGCAGCAGACATGTGCAGCACTCTTGTCGACGTTACGAAACAGATTGTGAAGGACGCAAGTGAACAAGTCGCAGAGGCTGAGGACGTTTATCAAATTCGATTGGAAGCGCATGAACTGTTTGGACGGAACGCTCTTACTCGGACGGAAGAAATTCAGAATCAGTTCCGTATCAATGGGCGTGCGGCTCTACAGATTGGAAACCAACTAGAGTTTGCCGAATCCAAACGCAAGCGATGTGAATCTGCGTCTGTTCTCATTCGGCGATGGTGGCTCATGGAAAACACTGCCGAGCAAGAAGCACTTTCTGGCGAGGAATTGAACGTCGAAGAGGAAGTCCGTGGAGTGGTACCCTTGGCATCCTGTCGGATGGATCCTCTCTTTACCCGTCGCGAAAACTCATTGGATGCCGCGAGATCCCTCAAGCAGCTGCGTCAAGTGGTGCGAAGTCGTTCCGGAAATGCCAACATGTCAGTGGAGAGATCAGACGCCTCTGTCAGTCGTCGGTTTGATCTCACGGCCAATTTAATCAAGCGTACTTCGGAGGCTTTGGAGCAACGTCTATTGAACGATTTCTCTGAAGCTTACGCCAAAGGAGGAGTCTATGAATTCACAGCCAAGCCTCGCCCGGGACAAATTGAATGGAAGAAACTAAAAGACCTCGCCAGAGCGCTGAATCTCTTTAACAATGGACGCAACCTCTTGGAGCGGTATGTCCAACTAGTGGTAGGAACTCGACTTCCAGAGCTGTTTGATTCCGCTAAGGTCAAGTCATCGGGTGAGGAAAAGGAAGAGGAAAATGACGACGAAGAAGAGTTTGATATGGAGGCGACAAGAAGCGAATTGACCAACTTGTTCCATCGGTTGTCGGAGGTCTGCACGGAAGAGTTCCAACTGATTGCGTATATATTTGACAATCCGGACGCAGATACTGGCATGGGAGAAGTCATTCCTCTCAAGATTGCAAGGGCCCTATGCACTCGTGTGATTGGAGATCCCAAGAATGGATTGCAATCGAGAATCAATGATCTTTTGGATAGTATTGATAGAAAGACAGATTTTGATGCAGGTGCCAAGAAACTTGATACATTTGTTGTCATTCACGAGAAGGCATCTGGACTATTCAGTCTGCTGAGGGATAGCGCAGAGAAATTGGTGTTGCAGACGGAAGATTCTGATAAGAATGCTGACACAACCGCTGTAGATTCTTTGAAGGCCTTCTTGAACTCGCAGGAGGCAGGCTTGAATAATAGCCATCGTCACGGCTACTTGAATCTGGAACTACGACTGTTGCACCATGAATGCTGCAACGCATTAGATCAAGCTGGGTGTATTCTCATGGCGCCAGCACGTATCAGGGTGGACCAGAACCTTTTAGAAAAAGGAATCTTGGAGGAGTATCGGGCACCATTGCTTCCGATTTCGAAAAATAGCATCAAGAGAGCTGGATTCAATGAGCTTCTAAGTGGTCCACTAAAGCAGTCTGTTTTGCGACAGCCGTTGATTCATGCCACGGATTCCTTGGCACGAGCTAGGCTCATGTTTGGAAGTGGAAAGGATGGCGGTGAGACTTCTGCTCGCGTAATCACATCCATATACAGTCAGATGTGCAACTTCTATGGCCAAGCATTCCTCTACCCGATTGCAGAAGCACTCCAGGAGATGCTTAAGAGCAGCGCGCCTTTTGCAGCACCTCAACTACCATTTAATGAGGACGAGGCAGCCCATGACATGGGTGTCGATCCAGCGTTTTGGGTTGCGCTAGAGCGCATACATGCAGCAGCAAAAGCCTTCGATCGTGAGATGTGGGCTGAAACCAAGAAAGGAAGCCTTCGAGTTTGGGAATTGTTGAGCATGAATGGAGAGAACTCCAGTGCCTTGGCTACAGGACGCGATTGTCGTATTGAATTCTTTTCAGAGCTTGAACATCGTGGTGAAGATGCAGTTCTTCGCGCCCTGGACACGATGAGTGCCCATATTCAATGGATACTTGTTACCGGTGCAGAAGCAATGTTATCGTCTGGAGGTGCCCGGTTGTTCAACCAGTTGTCGGGACAATCTGGAGTAAGATCGATTTGTGCCGTTTTCGAAAGTTGAAGTGGATTCTAACAATTTGCGCTTTTGTGTCATTTCAATAGGGCCCATATGCAATGTCATCTGGAACATCACTAGAAGCCCCAAACAGCCCTGCCGTGAAATCACTATGCTACTGTCTCCGTGTTCAGTTTGTTCAGGTGCAGTCGGCTCTAACTCCACAATCTCTTTCCGCCTTTTGGACTGCACTTTCCATGAGAATTTATGACATTCTTGTGACTCGTTTGTTGCAACATTGGTATGTTTCGACTGTTGGCGCTGTCATTTTGGCTCGTGATGTGGAAGCTTTGCGGTCTGTTTCCACATTGGCTGGAACGAAACATGACCACTGGGATATTCTGCGGGAATTGCTGACTCTTTACATGACACCACCAGATGCGCTGAAAATTATGCTCGTTGGATCGGAAGGAGATGCCTCGTCTGGCAAGGGACTATTTCAGCGTGCTGGAAGAGAACAATCCCTTGTGTTTATGAGTCGCCGCGTTGATTTCCGGTACAAAACTGGACAAGGACTTCGAAAAAGTATTTGGGCCACGCAACTTTTGGACGAATTGAAGGTTCGAGATCCAAGCGACGGCCACATTAATATGGGTCTATTTGCTGCTGGGCGCAGAGTTTGAATGAGTAGTGAAGAATAATAGATTGGGACAACCGAAACGGTCAGTTCGGTCGATTTGCTTGTCGATGTCTAATTGTTCGGCTGTGAAAAGCTCTGCAAGCTTCCTCTTCCTCGTGGTACATTTTCTAGCTTCCTGATGGTAAACGCAGACATGCATTTAATTATTATAACTTTTGATTTGCAGTTCGACCTCTTGGTTTGACAAAAGTTCATTAAAAGTGTTTATTTTGAGACTGGTAGTTATAAAATATATCATTGCTTGGTACCAGGTACCGGTACCGGTACCGGTAGATCATCAATCTATCTGGACAAACTTTTTCCGGACAAGAAGTCCGGAGACGTAGAATCCTACCATACTACGAAAAGCTCCAAGGCCAAAGTGGCAAGTTGGGGGCAAATCCGGGGAAATAAAATCGAGAAAAATAGAAGTCGAAAAAACTAGAAAGTAAGAGTAACAAGAATGGCAAAGAAAAGAGCAGGTATATCATTGGTCATGTATTACTACCACAGTGAAAATACTTTCCATCCGTCGTAGGTTGAATAGTCCGTCTAATTCTGGCATGAACCCTGGCCTGAGCATCCTCACGAGCCCTCAAGTACAACGTCTGCATTTGGCTTGCGGCAACATGAATGTCCGATTGGTCCCCTGGTGACTCCTCCGCTTTCCCTACTGTCATGATCTCTATCACTCTCTTGATCGCAGGTCTCCAACTGATTGATCTCCCCTGCTCTCGCTACTGCTTGCTTCTCAATGGCCTTTTGATTTCGTGGCCCTCTTGGAACTCACTCTTCTCTGTTGGTTTCACCGTTCCCATTGCTGTGAACTCCTCATTAGCGCCTCTTCCATCTTCGGTTTAGGGGTGAAATTGCTAGTGTTTGCTATGCTCTAGCTAGCAGAGTGGTTTGAGCCATTCTACGACCCTTGAATGCCAGAAAGTGATCTGGACCATAACGCACCCCTTTGATAGAACGTTTATGTCGTCTACTAGGTGTGCCAATAAGCTTGATTTGATCCCAAAAAGGTTGCTGATTGTTGTTCTTTCTTACTTGGTGGAAAGTCATCGCCAAGCTATTGGATAGTTGCATTCCAATGAAGCCCAGCACGGGTGTAGAATCGGTTTCTTCCTGAGATCGCAAAGAATGTATGCGCGAAAACGGTGTCGGAAATCCACTACCAATCGCAACCAACACTTCGCATACACTGAACATCTGGCCGAAAATCCAAAGGGTATTCTCGAACAATTGTCCCAGTATCATCTGAAGATATTGTGGCGGGATGTCGCCATCTTGACCGGCACGGAATCCCAACTGTCCAATATCACAAGTCTGAACATGACGAACTGGATGCTAAATATTGAGCGAAGTTGGCCCATTTTTTGGTTGCTGCTGCTTGGCATCTCTTATTTTGTTTTTCCGACGAGGCAACCACGTCGCTCGGCAGGAGACCATGTTTCATTTGCAATTCCCGCCCCAATCCTGAGCGAAACGGTGGCTTATCGTCCATCGTCGCAGCCATCAGAGATTATTCCTATAATGTTGTAGGTTTAAGTTTTCGTATCTCTCATCGTCAATATGGCCCGTCGCAGTCTTGGGTTGTCACACGTGTAGTTTGGAAGGCATCACAATATTTAAAATGTTGTTGGTATTTTTTCGGTCAAAGTACTATACGCTCAATGTGGTGACCGTGCTTTTGAATATGAGATCGATCATGCTGTCATGCACGTGGACGATCGCTAGAGTCCGTAACAAGTAGTAAGGACAAATCGGCCTCCAGGGAAGCGAGTCGGTTTGACGATGATAACACTCCTTTTCAGAATACCTTTTGATTGTGTATCATCTGTCGTATGTTTATCATAATACTGTAACGATTATATTAATATGGTTTATCAAGACCCATGAACTACGCTAGCGAAAAATGAATGCTATTACACGAAAAGCACCAAAATGAAACCAAGGTGACCGCCAATAGCGGACAGCTTATGAAATAACACTTGTATTGACCCTTGAAAGCCATGTGTGATCACAGAGGAGTCGATTTTTAAGGTTCAATACAAGCCTTGAATACAGCACCAGGATTATCCACAACCAGAACAAACCTAAACAGTCGAGGGAGGAATTAGAGAAACGAATAAAGACATCAATGCTTGCTATTGATTGATGACGAAATTGAAACGTCAATACTGGAAACGAATGAAGACAGGAAACGAATGAAGACATCAATGCTTGCTATTTATTGATGACGAAATCGCGACGATTGAAACGACAATACTAAAAACGAATGAAGACAGGAAACGTATGAAGACATCAATGCTTGCCATTGATTGATGACAAAATTCTGACGATTGAAACGTCAATACTGAAAACGAATGAAGACAGGAAACGTATGAAGACATCAATGCTTGCCATTGATTGATGACAAAATTCTGACGATTGAAACGTCAATACTGAAAACGAATGAAGCCGTCCATGCTTGCTATTGATTGATGGCAAAATCGCAACAAAAATGTCAATACTGGACGTCTTTGAAGACATCAATACTATTGATTGAGAACACAATTCCATTGATTGACGACAAAATTGCGACAACTGAAACGTCAATACTGGACGCCTTTGAAGACACTAATAAGAGGAATTAGAGAAATGAATGACTATTGATTGATAACAAAATGGTGACGATTGAAACGTCAACAATGTACGCCTTTGAGAGTTTGCCCTGGGTTACATACGGTGATTGGTACTGCTGAATATTATCACCAATTAATGTTGGAACATTCCCGAGCGAACGAATCTTGAAAAATTGATTATGGAACGCTGAACTTGTTTGATTTGAACAACTCAGAGAACGCCTCAATTCTAATTGTTGAGCAAACCAGTGATGGGAAATGGCGTCGCCAGATTGGCCCTGGAAGAGAATGGTCGCAAGAGCGCGGGTAAAAGAAGCCGAGCTATCAATATTCGTTATTTCTTTATCACAGATCAAGTTGAGAAAGGAAATGTTAAGAGCAAATACTGTCCAACTGACAATATGATTGCAGATTTTATGACTAAGCCATTGCAAGGTGAGAAGTTTCGCAAGTTCAGGGATCTGATTCTTGGTCCACAGGACTAGGTCAGACAAGTATGTATATGTTCAAATGAAAATACAAAACAAAAATAAACAGTGAATGAGAGCATGTCCCATTGCTGCCAATGGTGATT